GCGAAAGTCTCGTTGATCGCCATGATGTTTGGCTCCGGGAAGCTGTTAGTAACTTTCCAGTTCAAGTACGCGACGGGATGATCCTGCAAGTTGCTTCCAACTGCTGGCAAGTCGACTCTGGACTTGATCCCGGCAGCTTCCACAACACTCTTAGGCCCAATACCACTCAATTGGAGGATCTGAGGGGTGTGAAGAGCACCCGCAGCCATAACAACCTCTTTTCTCGCGCGGAAGGTCACTTCGGCATTCGTCTTTCTGTTGATAGCCTTCACGCCTGTAACCGTCGTGGAGTCCCCATCAAATGTTAGCTGAGTGACTTGGTGCTTAGTAAGCATTTTGAGATTTGGACGCCAGCTGGCTTTGTCATAGTATGCTGTCAATGACGAGGATCTAGTCATGGTTTTGGCATCAATGGTAGCAGGAGCCCAGAATTGACCAATTGCGTTCCCCTTGGCATGTTCCTGGAGGTGCTCGACTCCAAGCTCGGTGAAGGCATCCGCCATCTTATACTGGTCGGGAGCCTGCCAGTGAGGGAGCGTAACTTGCAAAGGGCTGAAGTGACCGTAAGCAGTCTCGTCATATGTGTATTGGTATTTATCGACGATCGCCTTTGGCGGAGGGGTGAAATCCGCACTCTTCCTGAAATACGGAAACATGCCCTTCCATCCCCAGCCGCGGTTTCCAAGCTCTTCCCAGGAGTCATAGTCGGCAACCGATGCTCTGTCATATGCCATACCTAGAAACAGCGTAAGTTGCTTGTGCAAAAATCATTGTTTTACTTTCTCAACACAAAGATCTACGTACCATTGACGGTCGATCCACCACCGGCAACTGATCCAGCCCTGACTGCATAGGTGTTACCTTCAAGGCCTGGCTCCGGAGCCGTTCTGATATCGAACATGGCTGGGATATTTAGAGAGGTGGCAAGGTAGGGAATAAGCGTCTTGTTGCTTCGGTCAATAACGCCATATTCAAGGACCAGCACAGATACTACACGGAATGCAAGTTAGTTTCCACGCACATTTATAATGTATCGCGGGTCACAAAGAAATTATTCCTCATTCGCTCACATTGGAATCGAGAAGAAAGGAAAGGCAACGAAAGAATACAGGAAGATGTACTAACCAAACAGATTCTCCGACAATCGATGCGCGGCAACAAGACCGGTCAAACCGCCTCCAACAATGATGTAGTCAAACGCGTTAGGGTCACGAAGTGTCCGTTTGTCATTGTCATTGACCAAAACTGCTGAGGTAGCGAACGATGTGAAGAGGAGGAGAGCGCACCAAAGAGCACAAGCACTCCCCGAGGGGCGAAACGAGAGTAACATGGTTCTAGACCATTCAAAAACAAATAATTTTTTTAAAAAAGAAATGGAGGCTTACAGAAAAGAAACCGAATGAGTGACTGAACTGATCGACAAAAAGAATGCAGAACAACGGGGATACATGCTCTATTCATATAAGAACAAATGAGCTAAGAATGATGGGATACCTATATGAGGAGGTCGGACCTCTTTTCCCGCTGACTTCTATGCACACCCACCCAAGCTGGGCCCACCCGCTAACTCCAACGACACGTGGGATATGAGGGTGTGGAAGTTAGTGAGGTACAAGCGCCATTCGACAAGCGAACAGAGCATCCAATCCACGAAACCAGAATGCTGATTTTGCGGGTTGGCTTGCTCGTTCAGGGACAGAAACTGTCCAGTTACCGCCGTTGCCGATCCCCCGGGCGTTCTGCAAGGCCTCATAGTATCCGTAAGCCATGAGGCAACAAGCAGGGGAAAGGGGGCCTTGCGTTCTCGGTAGTGAGGGCGGAGGGGTTAGCCGCGAGAGCGCTGTTGATTGGAATCTACCTTGGCCAACGGAACGTGGGCAGAAGCCGTTTTGTAGAGAGGGAGGGGTTCGGATTGAACCATTATTATTATTATTGCCTCTGCGCACTGGCTCACTCACTGCACTGGCTCCACCGTCCATAAATGTTTAACTGACAGGTCAGGGCGCATCCAGGGTAACTAACGGTAACTAAAGTAGGGACGAACATACGAAACTCTAAGTGAGCGAGGTTCGGTCTCTTCTCAACTCCTAGATATATCACTGAACGGACGGAGAATATCATATTATTGAGGTAGTTATGTCTTCTTGCTTTTGGGGGAGAGGGGAGGAGGAGGTTGGTGCTGGAGGGTTGCAATTCTGCTTGCCTTCTTAGATCTATATGCCACCACCGCTCACCGATATTTTCATGCGTCTTTTTCTTCGTCGTCATTTAGCTCCAATTACACAGTAAATGGTCGGAGGGGGATCAGTCAGGGGTGGGGGTAGGTTTTAACTTTTATCCCAATTACAGTTGAAGAAGATACGAGCGAGTATTTTTTTTTCACCGGCTTTTTAGACATCTTGTTAATATTCAATGGTAAGGGATGATCGCTGATCAGTGAGGGCCCTGACGGGTAGTGTAGCGACATAAAGTCCTATCTCAGGTAGATTCTCAGAGGAGTAGTTTGTTAATCTGGAAATAATAATCGGGCCACGAGAGCTGTCATACAGCATCAAGAGGTACCATTTTAATTTCCTGCTTGCGTACCAGTTAGCAGGTTAAACGGTCAGAAACTGCTGAGTTGAGAATAATACACTCTGTAGAAACCCGTTGATTTTGAATTCGTTTTCTAAAACTTGAAGATTTCATGATTAAAATTTTGAGAAAAGGAATCGACTTTTTGATCAGGGTACACATCAGGTTTGAGTGTTCTGGACAGTTTAATTATAACTAGCCAAAGGGTGGAATCGGCTGAGTGATGAAATTCAGGCTTTTCCCCTTTCTTCTCTCTTTCCCTCGAAAGAAATCTTGGGCGAGCTGGCAACCATACTTCCACGGATGTGTCCCTTCTACTGCCCTTATATAAAGCACTATTTTAGTTGTATTTTGATTTGTTCTGCATGTGAGAAAGGCTGGATCGCACCAAGCCAACGGGAGACTGACGGTCATGACTCGTTGAACTCCACAGGAAAAGGGGGATGTCTAAAAAGCCCCTCTTCATATCTGACGGAGGAGCCCGATGCCACCTCACTGAATGCTTTTCCGCTGGTCTGGGCCTGGCGAGAGTTCCTCCCCGCCGCTCGGTTACGGCCACCCCGACCTGGCTGGGGCCCGAAAGGGTTTTGGAGAAATTGGGTTGAGTAAGGGATATTTTGACTCGGAACAGTTGACCAGGTGAGAAGGCGCCAGTTCTTTTTGGTTTGCTTGGAGCGTGCCCCTATTTTTGATCTTCCATTCCTCGCGACTCTATGGTATCTCCTTCATCGAAATGGAGATGGGCTCGCATGGGACTTTTATGCAAAAACAAAAAATGGGACAAAGAAGTCGGCGAGCAATTATTTCTCACCCAGCTCGTGCCGGGGAGGCCCGCTCAAAAGCTCCATGTAACCCAAGCCATATAACACACGGTCTGTCTGGGGCGATCAAGACTACATAGTAAAATCGGTCTCCAAATAATCCAGTTTGTATTTTATCCAGGTAATCTTGAACTGGGCATAATTTAGCTCCGAAAGATCAGGGGATGTGGAGAATCCGTTTCGAGCTCCTGATGGTAGCTGCTGACAATTTGTTCAGCGTTGTGAAGAGTGCACGCCGTGCGAAAGGGATATAGAACCCGTTCAGCTTTTCACCTCGGTCCGCTATTGTTTCAATGAGAGCAGCTGCCAAGGCATGAAAAAAGAAAATAAATAGACTAATAACTATCATCTTAGCGCGGCTAGTAGAACCAATGGGATTTGAAGAGAAAATCGATGCCGCGCGAGGCATGCGCTAAAAAAAACCAAAGGCTTTCTTTCGACCTTCCACTGAATGAACCTATGCATATTATTAAAACAATAATGCCGAGATCACGAAACTTTCGGTTGGCGGATGGACAGGATGTTCGTCCTCTCGGGAAGTTTGACGCCCAAGAAGATATAATTCGGAAAATTGATCATTATGCGGCGAATGAACAGGCGCAACCGGCCACTTAGCTCCAGTTGACCCTCTTGTCCAGCCCTTCCTGATCACTACTTAGCCCACTGCGAACAGTGTGAAGTGAGATTTGCAGCTTGAATAATAATGCAGCCCTAGGATGACGAACGCAGTATCTAGCGTCCTCGTGCCAAGTGCGAAGTCAAGGGGAAAAAAGGGGCGAGATCTGAGGAGGGGAAGCCGAGGTATCAATCAGCCTACCTACCCTGGTGTCATAGACCTCCTATGACTATGACTGTAAAAGGAAAGTCCTGATTCTCTCCGAGATGAATGTGCGAAAAGCTGGCAGTTTCTGCTCCACTGTGGTGAAGCTAAAAAGCAGCGCATTTTTTATTATGTCCCTGCCGTCCACTTGGTGAAGCTGGTGAACCACCAGAGAAGCCAATCACAACCCTCGAAGTTGTTCGCACGGTCGCTTCACAAGCTTTGGAGTAAGAACTACAATAACAATGTTGTGAGCAACCGGACCGGATGGTGAGAATGTTCTCCCTGTGACTGATTATTCTGTTCTTTGCAGAGAACACTCAGCAGCCATGATATGATTGTTGATTCCCAATTTGGGACCTCAGCGAGTCTTGACTTTCTTTTATGGGTGACAAGGAATAGCCCCTGCACGCTGTTTAAAGAAACAAGAAACAAGCCTCCCGCTTTGAATGCCAGCCATACCGATAGAGTTCATAAAAAAAAAGGTTAGTGCCATTTGAACACCTCCACTCTCTCGCAGGAATAATACGCGGCGTAGGTGTCGAATCAGACGCGGCGAATCATAACATGTGTGGGACCGAAAAGCATCCGCACATACCCGATGATCCAGTGCCGATGATAAAGAGTGGGATTCTTTTTGGGGCCTCCTGATATCATGACCTAAACACGGAGACAGCGGCGGCTTCTAGTTGGATGTGTTTGCATGCGTGTCAAGCTTTGGGCAATTTTTTCCGACTCCCCCCACTGTTTACATCGACAAGAGTCCGGCCAACCACGATCCTGTTTCACATCCAAGTTCCAAGGCCGTTCGGCACTTCCAGCGTAGGCTGCGCCACGCACTTGCTGGCGGTCGGGAGTTCGGCCAAATCCATGGAGATTCTTGAGGGAGGTTTCGAAAATCGACCCTTGCTTCCTTGGACAAACGAAGCTTCAATGCTTCCTCCCCGAGTCCCTGGGTGGCGCACCTGGAGCACTGAAGCGGGCATGTTGTCAATTGGCGAAACCAATGTTCTTCTTCAGAAGGTTTGACCCTGATCTTAGAATGGGGAAACTCAAAAGGGAGAGGCTGGCACTATTAAGTTTAGTTCACATTTCGATTGGCCCACTGATTTCGGACAATTTGTGAAGAATTATTGGGCTCCTGGCGCTCTTTAATTATAGCCTAAGCCATTTAGTTGCTGTGAAGTTTGTTATTTCTGACCGGAGCATTCTGGGAGCCTCTCATCTAGCAAAGTCCAGCCTCCCCATTGAGAGCAAAGATATCAGAGAACCGCGATGTCAATCCTCAGCCAAAATATGCAAGCTTGCCATTTTTTCGCCTTTCTCTTCCTATTAACCTGACAAAACCCACCAAACCCATCCTTGTGGTCCTGGGCGGGCTTGGTGGAAGGGGTTTGACCAGGGGCAAGTCCTGACTCCTGAGGGCCAAAGGTTGCATTACCTCCGACTTTAGTGGAATTGCCCCCAGTTACTAAAATGCTTCCATCCCGAATAATCCAAGCAGTTCCTCCTCTTTGAGGCCAAGCGAAGAGGCTATTAGCCTCGTGGAGTCCACATGGGGAATGTGTCGATTATTTCGCACTACATAGAGCAGGCGATTTTTCCAGCTCCATTTTTTGGATTAGACAGTTCATTATGTGTGGTTCGCCCGCTAATAATCCTAATTCTTGTGATCATCGACCCGAGAAATCCTCCCCACTGATCTTCTGATCCGATCTGCCCTTCAGGAGAAATCTGATCTTTTGAACTGATGAGATCAATCGACCCTCCAATGAAATAGGAAAATTCGAGCTTCACTGTCAAGTATGGATGCTCCAGGGCCGACCGCACTACGGGACCGTGGGCCTGAGTTAATGGGAGTGTCATGCTTTTTGACTGTCTTTGGAACTGTGTTTGTCCTTGCTCGATTCTGGGCCCGATATGCCGCTACTAGACCTTTTGGATGGGATGACTTTCTCATCTGTTTTGCAATGGTACGCTCTCAGGAACCCTACGATTAGGAGAAATGTGAACTGATAGCATGATAGCTAGCAGGTCTTGCGGGTCAAGGCTTAACGATTGCCGGTGTTTTGTATGGGAGTGGGAAGCCGTTCCTGACGCTCGACATAGCCGACGTGGTTCAGTGCATGAAATATTCGACCTTTGCGATTTTTTGCAATGGTGTTGCTATGGCCCTCTTGAAAGTTGGAATTGGCAGTTCACTGCTTCGGCTCAACTTGAGCAAGTTTTTCAATTTTGGTATTATTGCGTGCATTGTGATCAGTCTAATCGTAAACTTGACTGTTTTCCCTACCACTTTCGCAGGCTGCAAGCCTATCGAAAAAGCGTGGAATAAAGACCCAACGCTCCCGGGGACTTGCTGGCCTCGAAAGGTCTCGTTAGTCATGTCATACCTCCAGACCAGTGAGTAAATAAGCATTGAGACGATCCATCTGTGCTATTACTGATAATATCAAGCTGGCAATATTGTCACGGACTTGGCCTTCTCGATTGGGCCCCTCGTATACCTTTCCAAAGTCAGGGTTTCCCGATACAATAAATGGGCACTGCGGGGTGTTTTTATGATCGGTTTAACGTGAGGCCACATGGGTTTTGCTTACCAACTGACCGTAGCCCTTGACTGACATCTGCGTAGTGCCACTGCATGTGCAATCGCGAAAGCTACCGAGCTATCCGCAATTCTAAACACTCAAGATCCGACATATGCGGCCGTGAATTTGACACTCTGGGTGAAGTGAGTGTTGTCCCTACTCCTCTTATTTAAGGACATACCTGATCTTCACATAGAGCCGAATTCAATGCTGGTCTCTTTGCTGCATCACTACCACCTCTGAAATCAACGTTTGAGAAAATGCTGCGAAAGTTCGGTGTCATGAGTGGTCTTTCGACACCATCTAATACCCATACGTATGGCGGGGGATACTCTGGAAGAAAGCGTTACGGGGAGCAAAGCTCTCGCAGCAAACGGCAGGCTTCAATGGGTTATGATCTTGGCGACGACGACGACGACGTTCATCGAACCACATATGTCATGAAAGATGTGAGCCGATCATCACCAACCAATGGCGGAAGCATGGATGAGGAGCAAAGACAGATCTTGCGGCCGGGTGGAAGTGGGGGGTACATAACAAGAACGACTGAATACTCAGTGAGCCGCGCGACTTTGGCTTCGCATAATGGCGCGTAAGAAGATCTAAGAAATCGGAGATTTGTGTGCCTGATTCCAGTTAGTTGAACAAAAAGGTAATAGTATATTATTATTATTATTATTATTATTATTATTATTATTATTATTATTATTATTATGAATCATGGATAAGTTACACACCTAGTCCTGCCGCTGGTTGATTTGTAGAAGTCACGACAAAATTAGCGCGATTAGCGCGTGCTAGACGCTTCTTCGCTTGTCCCAACGTACGTTGTCGATTGAACGGAGGAACCAGTTTATAATTATAACACCATCACAGAGAACTCTGTACGGAGTACATAATGCCTTTTTGCAAGACGACACATTGGTCTTGACACAGGGTAAACGCACATAGCCTCGTAACGGGAGCTATTATTCGGGTGCCAGGTTCTCGCAATAAGCCCATGGTGTCCCTGAGATCATCCTCTTGCAGCGTTGACTCGTGTGGGAGAAATCTAGACTTCTTGAATATCAGCGCCAGATTGGATAGCGAGATGATAAAGCCTGCTCCGCTAACTCATAGGAACGTTCCCTTTGGCTAGTTGACGAAAGTTCTGGAAAAGTAAAACACGCCCTTTGACACCCCCGCCCCGCCCAACTTTACCAGACAAAGCTAGAAGCAAAAGAAACAATTGGAAAACCAGTCAAAGATGAATGTCCATTCTCGCATTGCCATAAGTGACTCATATTTCCCTTGCTTCTTTCTCTAGCATTCCACGAGACTGCCATCTTTTACATCTCTTTAAATTTTTGACTGCGGGAATGTACAGTACATTGCTTTAGGTCATTCGTGATACCTTTTTCATATCATGGTGGCGTTGCAGAATAGAAGAGATACGTCGGAAAACCTCGAGGAGAAAGGTGTGGAAACTGGTCCATTGCAAGCCAACGAGGCAACGCAAACTGCACTTATTGATCGTGGAAAAGATGCCTGGTTGTTCCTGGCTGCCTGCTTTTTCATGGAGGCCCTGGTATGGGGATTTGCCTTCACATATGGAGTTTTCCAAGCCTACTATAGCTCGCTTGACATGTTCAAGGACTCCGGGAACATTGCTGTAATCGGGACCTGCGCCATGGTGAGAAACATGATCCATCCTTTCCCACTTTCAACCCTTTTTGTTTCGTTTTCGAGATAACGGCTTCCAGCGGCATATTCTGTAAGTGGAACGACTGATTTGGTCGCCCTTAGGGAATTATGTACCTTGACTTGCCCATTGTTTTCGCCGTATACAGGCGGTGGCCCAAGTATCAGCGGGCTGGCTGTGCCATTGGTGTCTTGCTGATGTGCTTTGCCATGGCCATGAGCTCCTTTGCCACGACCGTTACGCATCTGATTGTTACGCAGGGTGTCTTCTACGCGCTGGGTGGGAGCATTGCGTATTCCCCCTGCATTCTTCTGATGGAGGACTGGTTCGACAAACGCAAAGGCCTTGCATTCGGTGTTATGTGGGCAGGGACGGGACTAGGCGGCGTTATCCTTCCGATTGTGATGGAAAGTTTGCTTGACCGTTTCGGTTTCCGGGTTGCCCTCCGAGCCTTCGCGGTTGCGCTCTTTGTGTTCACGGCCCCACTAGTCTACTTCGTCAAACCTCGTGTGCCGGTTTCCCAGCGTCCCAGATCGCCTCCCACCAGCCTGCGTTTCGTGTTCAGCTGGACCTTTGCTCTGTTCGAGATATGCAATATCATTGAGGCCCTGGGCTTCTTTCTGCCATCTATTTACCTCCCAAGCTACGCCCGCGCCATAGGCGCTCGAACGAGCATGGATGCACTAGCAGTTATTCTTTTGAATGTCGCATCTGTGATAGGATGCGTGGTGATGGGGGCTATTATTGACAAGTGGGATGTTACCACGTGCATTTTACTTTCCACGATCGGATCAAGTCTGGGAGTATTCCTCCTGTGGGGATTTTCTGTATCGCTGGCCCCCCTCCCCGTTTTCGCGGTGGTCTATGGACTCTTCGCGGGATCATATACAAGCACTTGGCCGGGAATCATGCGCGACATTGTTGAGAAAAAGGCCTCAGCTGATTCAACCATGGTTTTAGCCTGGCTATCCGCGGGCAGAGGCATTGGTAATATTGTCTCGGGTCCTTTGAGTGAAGCACTTCTTAAGAACATGCCTTGGAAAGGCCAAGCGGGCTATGGTTACGGTAGTGGTTATGGGACACTTATTGTGTTCACGGGAGTAACCGGGGTAATTGGGGGTGGCAGCTATGTTGCACGTCGGTTACAGTGGATGTGACTGAGCAATGATGCTTGAGGTTAACAATGCTCTTTAAAGCGATAAAATAACCAATTTTGAGCGGGAGAGGGTTGTGGTAGAACGATCTTCAACGTGGATTTTTCCACAATTAATGACTGTTATGAACAGAGCCCTGGAATGCAAATGGTAGCATTGTGTGCGATATATGGACTGTAAAAGGATGAGATGATGCGAATGTATAGAATTTTTATATCATTCTGAATCTGAGAACCTGCGTTTTCTCAAAATTATACAATACGAATTCATAGCATGGAAGGTATTTTGCAATCTCTTGAATATTCCAATGTGGTGTAATTTTATGTTTGGACATGGAAGCAGTCCGCCCTCACAAAAGAAAAGGAAATGGGACACGCTCGGCTCTATAACTAAAGTAGCTCGTATCCCCAATAAACATAACGAATTTATCCACCCTTTTACCCGTACACTCGTGCTCTATAGCTTCTTTTGCCTCGATCCACTTCTCCACCCACTCCGGCTGCTTCCACCGTCAAGCTCAATAACGTTCCCAGTCAAATGTGATGCGCCGTAGCTGCAAAGGAACAAAATCAGAGCGGCAAAGTCCTCAGGCTTGCCAACGCGGCCAGTGGGTTGTGCGTCAAGGAGGGTATCGAGATATTTCTCGATGCCGAAGTTCGACATTCGGGAGGGGAAGACACCGCTACAAGAGTGAAACGTCAGTCAGGGTTATGCCGCTTGTACATGTGCAAGTCTGAACTAGCTTCTATGCTGTGTTTTCTGAAGATTGGTTGGGAAACATGGAGCTTTCACTTACGGGCACACGCAGTTCACCATGATGTTCATTGGGGCGAACTTTGACGATTGTTGCCGGGAAAGGTGGATACAAGCCGCCTTTGAGGGACCATCTGCATTTTAAAAAAAAAAGAAAGGGGTCCAATATTAGTACGGGATTATGAGAGTGTCACCAAGGAGGCTTGGAAGCACAGGGACCAGGCAGGTTAACATACAGCTAAATGGTCCGGTTCCTGGTGCGGACAGACCTCCATCGTCCGCGGCGGTAGGGTCGAGAGTTGAAATGCCTGCCATCGATGCGATATTAATCACACGGGATGGCATATCCGGCGAGGCGGCTTTCTTGAGAAGTGGTAGGACTCTGTATCGGCATCTTCAGTCAATATCATACACCATATAGAGGGTTTCCTCGTCGTAGCCATGGCTTACCCAACGGTTACTGTTGTTAACCAAGTTAGCAAGACGATAGAGAAACTTTGATAGCCTGCATGCGGGCGGGACTTAACTCACAATAGAAAATGGACTTAACATTCAATGCCATAACCTTATCCCAACCAGTCTCTGGGAAGTCCTCATACGACGCACCCCTGTTACAATTACCAGTTAGGAAAAACCTATCAATCAAATGCTCTAAAGCACTCCTGGGTTTCACTCACCAAGTAACGCCCGTATTATTAACTAAAACCGTCAACCTATCCGTTCTCTTTTTAACCTCTGTAGCCAGATAATCACAGCCAGCCTTATCCTTCAAATCGGCAACGATGTACTCGCATGTTCCGGGACCGAGTTTGTTTAATCGGTCCGCGCATTTCTTCAGTTCGGCTTCCTTGCGGCTCGCAATGATGACTCGGGCGCCGTTCTGCACCAGGCCCTGCGAAGCCATCTCGCCGAGCCCAGAGGCGCCTCCAGTCACCAGGGCGACATGCTTGTTGAAAGAAAAGAGGTTGGAGACGCTGAGGTCAGCTTGGGCGGGCATTGTGAGATGCTCTTGGTAGGCGTTTCTTTTGGTTGGTGTGCAGAAGAGATTGAAGATTGGGGGACGAGGTAGAGAATTGAGTATGTTGTCTCGATACTGTTAAAAGTGTTTAGATATCTAAGCCTACGATATACTTTTAACTCTTGAATATTTCTTGTTTCCTCGGGGTTTCCTCCATATGATTGCGTTTCATGGCATTAACCATTAACCTCGGCGTTGCAGAGCCGCCGGCTAACCCTAACTGCAGAGGGTTCGGCAGTCGGGAGTCGGTAAAGACTGTACCGGACAATGCCTGCCAACGGTTCGCTGTTCTAGGAAGATACTTCGACGTCCTCCAAGATTGAAGTAGGGTTGGGGAAATGGAAGAGCAGTTAATGGCGTAGTCGCGACAATAAGGGTTAATATTCATAAATATTCTTGGGTGATGCGATAAGCCGACGCTGCTCGTGGCTAGAGGTGTGGGGAGGCTTGCATTGGGCAGTTTTACACTGGGCATTTCTATTATCCGATAGTAAGCAGGTCATCTTTGGTGAGAGCGGGCGATAAGGGAATAGGATTGTCATCTCATCCTATTATTATGCTCTGCGCTTCTCTTAAATATTTCAATGACAAGTGTTCACCGACAGAGCCTAGTCAGACCATGCCGTAACTGGCAATTGTACTCGCTCTTCTGTGCAAGGCCCACTTTGGTGGCTTCCCTGGACTTTTTATAGTAAAATTCTGGGCGAGACTATAACTAACTAGTAGTTAGTAGCTGGCAACAGCTTTGTTCTCGGCTCGGTGCCAAGGCCGAGTGCAGAGTTTAGGCCATACCCCAAGTAGAGAGTCTACTCGCTCCAAGCTGATCGCCAGACTTATATCCAAATATACGGTCGAGATCGTGGGCCTAATTGAGATCAAGAGTCGTATATGCAGCTTATTCTGGAGATGAAGAGGATGGAAGGAAGGCGGAGGAGGCGTGGTGGGATCGTTTGAGAGTGTCTATTTAAAGCGATGGTTTCGCCTTTGTGAATGAGGAGTCGAGATATTTACTCGCGCTGGACATAGATAGAGTTATCCCTTGAAGCCTATCCACTCTGGCATTTCGTTCGAATATTCGTTAGTTTTTGATAACACCCCTTGACCTGTTCCTTATCCTTCTACCATGGATCGGTCTGCCATTTTCCACAGATCTCTAGAGAAGTCTTACCCCACAGCCGTACGAGGCGAAGGAGTCTATCTATTCACCGATACAGGACATAGAATCCTCGACGGTTGCTGCGGTGCGGCGGTATCAAGCGTCGGACATGGAAATGAGGAAGTTATAGAGGCTGTGGTCACCCAAGCCAAGAACCTGGCATTTGCGCACACGTCGTTTTTCACTTCAGATCCCGCCGAAGAATTGGCCAAAACCATCATCAACAAGAGCGACGATGCATTCTTCAAAGTGACCTTTTTTTGCTCCGGTTCCGAAGCAGTCGACTCAGCTTTGAAGATTGCCCGGCAATACCACGTCTACAATGGCGAGCAAGAACGGGTCAATTTCATCGGTCGAAACGACTCGTATCACGGAAACACCTTGGGCGCTCTGGCTGCTGGAAACAACACTGCCAGGAGGGAGCCCTTTGCGCCAATTCTAAGCCCCGTGTTCCATCATGTCAGCCGTTGTTTCTATGACGCCGATGGCGCTGGGGCAACGGAGAGTGAATATGAAGACCGTCTGATCGCTGAATTCGAGGATAAAATTAACAGGCTGGGTCCAAAGACTGTAGCCGCAGTCATTGTCGAGCCGGTGGTTGGTGCAACTCTTGGGACCGTACCGGCAACGAGAACTTATCTCCATCGCCTCAAAGAACTTTGCAGTCGCCATGGGATCCTCGTCATCTTCGACGAAGTTATGTGTGGAATGGGTCGTGTAGGGAGTTATCATGCATGGCAAAGCTTGGGACGCGTTGCCCCCGACCTCCAGACTATTGGCAAGGGCCTGGGAGCTGGTTATCAGCCATTGTCGGCGGTGCTTATAGGCAAAAAGGTTTATAGCATGTTTGAGGAGCATTCGAAGCAGTCGAAGAAATTCGTCAGCGGACATACGTTCCAGGGGCATTCGATGGCATGCGCTGGTGCTCTTGCTGTGCAGAAAATTCAGGAACGGGAGGGTCTAGTCTTGAATGTGATGAAGCGAGGGTTGCTGCTTGCGTCCCTTTTGGGAGAGGGTTTATCATCACACATGAAAAAGCATGGTGTTACTCTGCGTGGGCTTGGTCTTTTCAGGGCTGTGGACTTTGGACGGTTGGGTATAGCTGTGGGGGATCGGCCTATTGCTCCAGAAGTTTCTGAAGAGTGTTTCAAGCAAGGGGCAGCTGTGTATTTGTGTTCTGGCAGCGTTGATGCTTTGCTGTTCGCTCCCCCTTTCATCATTTCGGAAAATGAGATTTCTACGCTCGCAAAAATATTTTTAGAGTCGCTGAAATCGGTTCTCGAGAGACGACAGGCTGATAAATAGCATAATAATAGCTAGTTAACGTATTCCACCGTTTGATGAGCCAAAGAAATTTGAACGATCCTGCCCCTGGTATTAGGTTGTCCATATAATATCCTGCCAACCTTATCTCGCATATGCAACCCGCGAAAGAATAACAAGGCAGTCTCATTCCAGTCATTAAATTAATGACGTGTAGTGTACAGCATAACGCTCACCAGACATCTAGAGACAATCGTCAGCAAATAAATAAAAATCTCTCCCTCACCGACCCTGCATGTGTAGTAACCAAGGACCCATCCTCACTCGCGGACCGATCGATGTCAGCCCAAATAATCTCGTATTCACGAGTTAATATCTCCCTCGTTTTTGACGGATATTCTGCTGTCAATTGGCGGCTCTTGCTCCTGATGTGAGTGCGATGGTCAGGCTCAATCGCCTCATGGGCCGCCAGGTACAATGGCAGAGATAGTGCCGAGTCCGGCCCGCAGCCAATAGGTAACGATTCCATAAGCTCGATTAGCACAGTTAGGCTGGACTGAACACGCGGGGAATCGCGACGGTCGCGGAAAATGCGACGTTGGAGGAGGAGGACGGCGCTCCAGTAGAAGCACTGGCCGACTACGTCGAGGTGTCGTTGTCGGTTTGAAAGATTTTTATATGGCGCTGTGGTGCGGTTGAAGTAGTTTCGAGCTGACATATTGAGATCCAATTCGAGTTCTTTGGCTTGCGGCATAAGTAGGAAGGATGGAAGACCGTCGCTGTAGTCAGCGTACAGGTGGGAAATCCTAGCTAGAAATGATATGACCCATTGCGGGCAACCAGTCGTCTCCTGGACGGTTGGCTGTGAATCACCATCATTAGGGGAGTCTTGATTGTAGTTAAAAAACCAGAAGGATAGAGGTAGGAAAGGACGTCGTTGCCAGAAGATGGAGCTTATAGTATCAATCCACGTCATACGCTGGACTAATACAGTGCCGATCGAGCAGGTGGGTTTTCGACGGTCGTAACCGAGTTCCCGGAATAAGTTCCAAGCATAAGCTATGTGAGTTTTGGCTCCACTGCCCCCGCTGGCCATTTCGACCGTGATCTGAAGAAGTATGGTGGCGAGAAGGTCCCGTTTGAGATGCCCATTGCATTCTTTTACGACCGAACTCGATAGGGAGCCTAAACTGTCACGAAGCGTTGCTAATGCTCGAGACTGGTGCTGGAGAGCAAGGAACATGGGTGCACTGCCTCTTAGATGCATATAAGTAGTCGAGATAGAGATGACTGTTCCCATGAGCACCGGAGTTGATAGAGCGAGGATCGCGAGCTGGCGGTAGCCATTCTGCGTGCCGACATGATCATCGCTACGGAGCGGAGAACTGATTATCATTAGATAGAGTATATCAGGGACTGTGTAAGAAATTTGTTTGCGCCATACAATACACGTAGGCAATACTCTCTTCCGCGGTTGGGAGGAGAAAGGAGGATATATCCCTGTTCAACGAAGTTTCCCAGGCACGCAACTCTAATGACGAAGGCGTAGTCTCGCTGATACGGACCAACTCCCCATCTACCGGCCGAGCTTCATTCAACACTGGCTCTTCCTCGTCCGCAGGGCGTTGACCTGGTGTAGTGGGATCCTGACCTTGGAGGATAGATGTGCCGGTTTGCATCCTCCTCACGTCGTCGCTTGGTGCTTCATTGCCATGTGTTCTTCCTGTTGCGTTTGATAATGCCCTTTCATTTGTACGATTTGTAAGGTGCAAAAGATGTTCATCCTGTACCACAAACAAGCCAGAAGGGGTTCCGAGAGAAGAGATATGCGAGACCCGTAAATCCGGGGTCGTTGGCAACAAGTCATCCCAGGATTCTCTGTGGGGAGAATCTCGAGGTCTTCGCCGCTGATGGCGGTGGGGCCCATTAACCCATCGAATATTCTTTTTGTACTCGCAATTGATATTAAGGCGTGCACATCTGCCACAGCGGGGCCGGCCCTCGTCACACTTGCGATGTTGCTGTAGACATTGCGCACAACCTGTGCAAGGATGTTAGCTTTGTGATCAACTCCAGAATCGCTTTAAAAAGAAGATAAAGTTCATATCTGACCTCCCCGAGACCGTCTCCCCGTCATACCATCCAGACTTTTTTCTTTTCTTTTCTGAAGTTTCTGGAATCTGGATCGGCGGCTCGAAGAAATTTTCAGACTGATGCTTTGGGAGCAAAATCTGAGATCGCTAGGCTTGCCCAAGGCTTGGTCCCGGCTAGCTTCCAAGTGCTGAAGTGACAAGATTTAAACAAGCATATGGCACAAAGCCCTCGAAATGTTTTAGCTAGTGTATACGGATTTTATTTTTTGCCTGAAGTTAAATTCATATATGTCTACATCTTCTTGAATCAAAACACTTTCCCGCCTCTCGACGGGTCCAATATCGATTACAGATCTATGTTACCACAATGACATAAAACACTGTTCAATCACAGCTTCAGACCCCCGTTCTTATCCAACCCCAACTCCGCTGTCGCCCGCTCCTTCAACTCTCTCCGTAGTAGCTTTCCAATCGCATTTTTTGGCAGTTCCTTCACAAACACCACACCCCCGCGCAGCTGCTTGTACGGTGACAGCCGGTCTTTGACAAAGTCCTTAACCGCTTGTTCACTTACACGAGCTGGGTCAGCAACAATGTATGCGCGGGGAATGTCAGAACCTGGGTCTTCTGGGCTGGGGACACCACAGACAGCAGCCTCTCTAATTTCCGGGTGAGTGATGAGGAGATTCTCAATTTCCGCGGGAGCGACCTGTAGGCCTTTATATTTAAGGAGTTCCTAAAGATCAAGGGATACAAGGTTAGATTTGGTTTAATGGGATTAGGAGAAGAGGACAAAGGCATGAATAAATAAACACGTAAATACCTTTTTCCTGTCGATGACGTAAAATTTGCCATTTCTTTGAATTCCGATGTCACCAGTGCAGAACCAGCCGTCGTGGAAAGTATCTTTCGTTGCTTGAGGATTGTTGTAATATCCTTGCGTAATCATTGGACCTCTAAGCAAGAACTCGCCTGGCTGCCCAGGCTCGACATCGTTATAGGACTCATCCACCATGCTAGAATAAAGAAGAAATGCTTAGACCTAGACACGAATGCCGGAATTCAAATATGAAAGTCGAGCGATAATTACCGTAGTTCAACATTGGGTATAATATACCCAATACATCCAGTGTAATCATCCACCCCCTTCGGCATCATTGTAACCGCGCCGGTAGTCTCACTCAGCCCCCAAGTTTGGCCAATTACAACTTGGCTGCCATCTCCAAGCTTCTTGCTCGCAGCTGTCTGTAGATCGCCATCCATGGGTGCCGCTCCCGTGGCAGCGCCAACAAGGTGGCTGAACTGATCTGTGACATCCGGGGATTTGGCGATTCGTAGATAAATCGAAGGCACCGTGTAGAACGATGTGATCTTATATTGTTTGGCAAGGCTCAACAGTTTCTTCCATTCATATTTGCCCATCCAGATAACAAGGCCGCCGGCGGAGAACGGACCTATCAGATACCCAAATACGCCTGCTATATGGCTGATCGGCAGATGGGCAAGAGTACGGACTGGGGGAATTTCTCTCCCGGCTTCCATTTCCTTTGCTGCCCAGGCTTTGCCCGAGACACTAACTAGGAAGGTCTCCGAAACCAAGTTCTTATGGGAAAGCATGACGCCTGGCATTTAATTGATCAGTAATTTGATCCACGTTTCGTTGGGCTGGAGGTAGACATGTCAAAAGGGAAATATACCTTTTGGAAGTCCGGTTGTGCCAGATGACCATAGGATCACGATAAGGCTCTTCTCCAAGGCCGTGGGATCCGTAATCCGCTGCCATGTCAATCTCTTGTCTGAAACAACGTTGATATTGCCTTCGAGAGAGCAAAACTTGAGAGATGGATTCGACTCTAATACCAACACCCGTTCTAGGGGTAGATTGCACTGCTTGGCAGCCTGCGAAACGAGCTCCTTCATCTCTTGGCCGCAGATTACCAAGTGGCTATTACCAATTGTAATCTGTCGTGCTAATTCCGCAACTGTCGACGATGGACTGGCTGCGGAGTACACCCCACCAGCAGCAATAGTACCATAGAAGGCGACTGACACAAAAGGTTGCCCATGGCTAATAACAGTTACGACATCCTTATTTGGTCCGTTAGCTCCAATGCCATAATTCGTTCGTAGACCGTGGGCGACACGCTCCGTTAGGTCGCGGAGATCTTTCTTGGTGATTATTTGGGAGGGAATTTCCGCATTAAGATGGAGGGGGGTTTCGTCTAATGTTGGACAGTGTTCGGATTCTTTGCGACAGTTAGAACATAGGCTTTAATATAAAACCCTAGGAAGAGCCTTACCGAATAGGAAAGTTAGCAAGTCGCATTTTGGCACTTCGACAAATCTGTTCGGGCCGTCGTGATAATATATCTTCTCTGGCATAGTATAAGGCTACTTGCTAGAAGTGGCAGATATCTCGGGGACAGATAGTAGAGAAATAAATGGTATGTCCTATAGTTTCACAAATATCTGTGCTGTACGTCTGGAAACTAAACAAAAGTGACTTCCAGGCGCTGCACTTCCATGCATTATATGAGGAGCACCAGTTCTGGCCCCACGGACCATTTACTGAGGAGACATTCTTCTTGCTTCACCGTATCCGAGGTTGGCATCATGGTAAAAGGTGGAGAAAAGAGCCAACCCAGCCACTCAATCGCCAGAGCCCCCTCAGAGAACTTGTTGCGCAAGACCTAGGTAGATAGCTCGCAAGACCTAGATAGATAGCTCGCAAGCTAGCTACATAGCCGTTGATATCGAAATTCTCGGCAGCGGGCAGCCGAAAGGGCCATTTCGGCTATGCGAGAGCAGTTTATTCCAGAGAAAGACATACATATGCAGTCAATGCTCAGACCATTATTAAATCAAACGGCAAAGACTCAAGAGCCGCAATGATCATCGAAACAGAGCACTTGGAGAAATGGATGATGGCGGACGCAGGCACATCGCCTCCTGTGCTGTTCGGGGAAGTGTTGCCGGCAGCTGCCAAGCCGTGCCTAAACTCAGCCGTTAGTCAGCAGATCGTTTCGGTCAAATTCTTCAGTCAAGAGATGGTACCAATTTGGGTATTTAACTTGACCGGCGCTAGATATGCTTGTAAGTTGTGCAGGAGAGGAGTTGACAATGTGTTCGTTCCGCCCGCCAGTTAAATGATAAAACTGATGATTAATAAAATTGGCCTCTAGTTAACTATCCAGGGCGGGGTAAAAGGGACTATACCGCTATGTTACAATCGTGACAAAATACTCCGGTACACATATAAAAAGAAAGGAAAGCGAAGAATAATATCCGAGCAAGCACAGATCACACAGCTCCTCTGGGTTTGGACTTCGCCTCCTTTTTGGCCTTTGCCTCCTCTTTCTTTTTCTTTTTCTGCAACTCCAGCTTTTCTTCATGCTTGCGCTTCAGAGTAGCTTTTTCCTGTTCAGTCTTCGCAATCGGCTTGAAAAACCCTTCCAGCCGAGATTGCTGCGCTGTTTTTAAGTTTTTCTGAAGCCGCGCCGCGCCGTTTCGTACTCGATCCTCGCTAAATGCTTTCTCTTCAACGAGGAATTTCACCAATCCTTCGACATCAGGCGCCTCCCACTTAAAATTGCAGTCGGGGTGGTCTGCTTTGCGGACATCCGGGTCAAAGAAGAGTTCTCGAGCATCTTTATATGGCCAGTCTTCGGGGATGGTATATTTTTTCTTCGGATCGGATTGGATGGCCTCTACGACCTTTTCCAAGGAGCCGTGGTCACGGATTAATTTTAGGGCGGTATTGGGGCCTACTTTGGGAATGGGATCAAGGTAGTCACAGCCAAGGAGAATGCAGAGGTCGACGAACTGAACGATTGAACGATTAGGAACTCAAAGGTAAAAATGTACGAGACGTATTGATTAGAGCTTTCATGGGATCAACTTACCTGCTTCCGATCCATATCCAAACCCTCTAGGACGCGATCCAGATGTATTTCTAGAATTGGTTCCTTCCGTTGCTCACTGAACGTCAGATGTCGTAGCAAGATTGGTGAATCAAAGCACAGTGTATCCATATCCTCTGACGCCGCCGCATAAACCTTTCCTGCTCTTGCAAGCACAGCACATTGCGCCTCCGCCTCAGTTGGGGCGTTGATGTAGGGTACACCCATAAGCTTCAATAACTTTTTACATTCCTCATTATGTTCGCGCGTTACTCTAACCGTTCGTCTCGAGAATTTTTCCACATCTTCTGCAGTGCCAACTTCCTTTGCCTCCTCATGTGCTTCTGCGGCCTCGGACTTGCGCATAAATCGTTTAGCCAGTTCTCCCGACTTGAGTTTTGGAGGGGCACCGTCGAATACATAAACAGGCTTAATACCATTCTCAACGATGCGGAGTGTGCGGTAGAACATGCCCATAAGATGTGAAGTTGTCTCACCGGTTTCGCTCATAAGCTGTTGGCCATCTGAGCGGACGGCGACGAGAAAACTGTAGATGCTCATGGAGCTGTGTATGCAACATTAGCTGTATACCCATGGACTAGAGGGAATTATTATGTGACATACGCATCCTACACGAAACGGAAGTAAGGATGGCAGTTAGCTTAGCTCGTTAAACACATACCATAAGGGTGATTACGCAACTTTTGAGGAAGATACAGGAGAGAAAGTACTTACAATTGCAACCTTCCGGCCGAAATGATTTTTTATTTCACCCGCTTTGACTGCATCGGGAGCATTCTCCTGTATTACTTGGTACAAATCTGGAAATGTTTTTTTACATAAAACATTAGAACATTCCTGTGGCCCACACTATGGCGAGCTGTTGCACCTGCATTTTTCTTTTGGAGGACAGATAGCAAAGAATCGACGGAGACAGCTTACGTTTAATTCCCATTTTCAATCGCGCAATGGGTTGCGGCGTGTGTATTTATTCGCCCTCTGGCAAGACCTGAGCCTCGAAGATTCTCGGGTTAAGATGTTATTCTTTAAGCCGCAATATGGATGTTCCACTAGGCGTCGGGTTAAGTTGATTATATACACAGTAAATGAGGCACAAAGAAAATAATCCGTATATATCCCGTGTGAGGATGTCATTTTATGTTGCGAGGTCGCGATTAATCCAAGGCGCGTGTAATTACACGTGACGACGTGATGTAACTAATAAGACCGAATTAGGATTGGCGTAGTTAACTAAAGCGCAAGCTTGTCGCGTCAGGCGCTTAAATGCACCAGCGACTTCCAATTCCTTCTCTTATCCGCTGTTTCCTGGCCCATTTCCCTCCCTGGCTGTGTGTGATCTGTCTGGCTCTTAACTAGAAAGCTCTATCGATTCCGCTGGATTCCATTTCATCGTGCTTCCAAGATCTCTGCGTGGTGATCTATAGTGGCGGTGGGGTGATATTCTTATTCCAAAGATTCCCATCGCATATGAGCGAAATACCCTGGATTCCAGGAAATGTCAGTTTAAGCCAAGCCAGGGGACCGCTCCAAGACCAAACCTCTGTGAGGCCAAACATGATACAACCATGAGCTGTTATGTGATGTTTACTATGATTGAATCTTTCTTGGCCGCTTGTTCACATCGAATGAGCACAAAAGGTCTAACTTGATGTCCTGAGGTGTTTTACAGAATCCACAGAAATATAATAGAAAACATTCAGTTCAAGAAGATTGTTCCTTTCTTTCCATTGTGACCAGAGGTTGAATCCAAGGACGCGTCATAGTTTTGAACTTTTTCTGGGATAATAGGCATCGCGCATCGCAGTTTGATCCGCTTTTTGATACTATGAAAAAACTGCTGAATACATATAGGGTGTGTTTTTAGCGCTAGCAGAAATACTCCCACCTTAAAATAGATAAGATTATAATCTCCGCTCTTAGTGTTATTAATCTTAGAAGAATCAATAATTTTTATTAGGTCTTACTGTATATATTCTCTTACTTCATTTTTATATTTTTCCCTTTTTTAATACTACTATTCACTCTGTTCGCCGCGGGAGCCTTCATCCACACCCACCGGAGCAAGGTGCATCGGTCTCGGCGCTGAGGCGGGAGGGGTGCCGCAGTTGAGAGTCATGGATGTGGGGTTTCCTTCAGCTAGTGTATTATTAGCTAGCATCTCCTTAGGAATTTGGCGAGAGTTAGGTGCGTCCCAGAACATAGATAGGGAGGTTCAGGATATGGGCAGACCAGTTTCAGGCCATCAAGGCCGTCATCAGTCTCCTAGGACCTGTCGTTAGCAATAATCGCTGGTCCAATAGGAAAGTTTTCCAGAAGAACCAGCAGCTGGAGGAATTCTTCAAAGCCACCATCCGAGCTAGTCATACAGGGCGGTGCTGGGCTAGCCCCTGTGGTCTCTCCTTCTAAGAGAGGCAACGCAGGCGGAAGAGCAGTGGAGTCTTGAGCATCGTAGGCGGAAGAAAGTGGTGAATTGAAGAGAGATGCGCCAGATCATGCGGAAGCTAAGCTCCCTGTGTGGGGTTCTCCGAAGATGGTGTACTGGATGGCAATGGCAATATCTGTCATGGTTGAGGTAGGAATTTAGGCACGGACGGATGGCGAAGCTGGCCGGGTGTCGGTGCTTGGGGGGTGAGAGAGTGCTAAAGGAAGGATCATGATGGTGTTTGGGGGTAGGAGAACGGCTGGAGGTTGAAGAGTTGAGGGATTTGTGCGAGGGGGGTGGTTTGGATTGAGGGAGTACCCATGGCCTAAAGGTCGCATGAAATGTAGAATTCATCTGGGTCTGTGATGGTTATATTTTCAAGGGAATGAAATCTGGAGATCAGGAAATGAGATCAAGGGGAGCATGTATGCATCGAGAAAATCATATCATGAGAGAGGCCCGTAATTCTAGATTCTAGAGGATCGCTCAACTTCTTTATGTTGCTCTTGGAGCATCAGCACACTCATTTCACAGCCTCCGCGGGAGGACTAAATGGAGAGAATCACTCCGTTCCCTGAGCCTCGCTCGAGGAATGTGCGCCCTAGGAGAACAGAAACCTTGGTGTAATGCGCCAATCAAACTCTACCATGACCTCTAAACCGGACATGCCGCACATGAAACCCTCCATCACTGCATCTGATAAAGCATTGAATCCGCCCGAGGCCATATCAAGAAGCGCAAGAGGAGAGAGGGATTGAAAGTTTTTGTTGTGCTTGTTGAGGGCATCGCAAGTAAGTGTATGTTGCTTGAAGGGCGAGCATCAAACATATGTTGGTGAAAATGCAGGATGACTTGTTGGGTCAGCCTTGCAGCAGTTGTTCTGAGCCAGAGCTCAGTCGGACAAATGCAGATTGGAATATTTTAAGCGCGGGGAAATTCAAAGCAGTTACCGAGGTAATCGTCTATCTACTTCCTGATGTATGTACGTACATGTACATGTACATGTACATGTACCGATGAGTATATACAGATAAAAATTTCCTGAAGTTCTGAATACCTTCGATTTAAATGTAAAAAGTTTCTATTTCAACATGTCGGCTCCGGATCATCATACTAAAAACCAATTTACGACATTCTGCCGCCGGCCCGACGCGGCTGAGGCAGCTTGCGCTTGTGGCGCATGACCTCAAAAGGGCTGAATATCTTCTGGTAATGAGAGGGTTTGATGGATCCGTTCCACTTCTAGTCCACTCGCTGAAAAGGAAATAACCTAGACAGTCCTTTTCGTTGATCCAGGGGTCGCTGTATGGGGGTTGGAGAATGTTATCGGTGAGGAGCTTGCAATGCACTTGTTCATGTACATACATCTAACATTATCGTTCTCATTTCACTTACCCTACTATAATATATTTAGTGCCTATAGGAGGTGATTTTATTGAGGTTGGTAGTGGCTTCTCCATAAGCTGCATGAGCATTTCATGCTGAAACTCCAAAATCCACGCGCAGGTGGTTTCACCTACCATCCCAACCACAACAGCAGCTAGACGGCTGTCAAAAAAGGGAGATGGCGGGTACATGATCATAATGCAGACAGGAGATGCTAGGAAACAGCGTGCCCATATCGAATCCAAGGGGCTGGGTAAAGTGATTTTTACGCACACGCACACGCGGACAGTATATCCATCCAATATCATCCCAAGGGAATAACCCTTAACTCATCTATCTATGATTTTTTTTTTTTTTTTTTTTTTTTTTTTTTTTTTTTTTAAGGGGGGGGGGGGGGGGGGGGGTGATACCGGAACTTGACTCCCACGAAGCCACACCCGCGAATCCAGAGCCAGTGACGTCGCGCTTCGCGCCGTGGCATGCCTGCGGCCCCGATTATGCCTCCTACTCAAAGGGGAATGAAGCGTACTGCAGACCTGCATCTGGCCGATGTCACCTGCCGTCTAGCACCGGGAGACGAGGACACAGACGCCGCATTGAAGCAGTGGGAGGAGACATTTGGAATCCCAGGGGGCCCTGGACACCTGCAATTCACGAATGCACGTATGCGCTTCTTGCCGGGGATGGAGGGGAAGAGTGAAGGATTCACGGATGTTTCCATAGCAGTACGCGGGGAGGAGAGGCACAAAGGCATATTCGATAGGGCGAGAGAAGTCGGCCTCCCTTCTGGGGATGGATGGGTTGAAATGCTTGGATGTCGGTGGCATTTTGTCTCGGCGAGTGGGACGAGGGAGGATGTGAGTAAGTTATAGAGGAACCTACAAAGGGCAATCAATGCCTCAATCTTTCGAGATAAGTCGTTTGTTCAGAGGAATACTTTCTTTTTTGATTCGGTGGGTCTGGATTAATATTTGGAACGATAAAAAACGGGAAAATGAGCCAAAAGTCCAGGGTCGCAGAATCGCAGAATCGCGAAACAGGGTTGATCAACCATCTTCTCCTGCAAACAGCAACGGCATTTGAACTTCATCCTTTTCGACCAAAAATTAGACAATGGGCAAGCAAGCTCATCTAATATGTTAAATATGGTAAGAGCGGCGTTTGATATTCCACCATAAAAAGAATGCTATTTGTGAATCCTCGACTGGTGATATCAAACATTTTACCTGCTGCTTGTTAACCGGAAACAGACGAACAGACAACAGACAAACAAACAAATCATCCAGCTCCTTCATAATCTTGAAGTATGGCCAACAGATGATAAATCACCTCGCTTCATGTTTCATTACAAGCGATTGGACAAGGCCGTCTATCGGACTGTACATAAAAAGAAGTTACTTAGTCTCTAATTCTATCTATTCTAGCTTTTTCTCGTCTCCTTCCCACCCGTCCTCTCTTACATCTAATTCCCTTGAAGCAAACGGGGAGAGCTGTCGTGGGGTGGGGCCAATTTCAGTAAGATGTATAGTTCCTTTATATATATATAATATATAAAGAGCTGACATCGCATTCAGATGACGGCCCAGATGTTGTTCACAGTCCACAGTTCTGTACACAGAGATGCTGTCAAGACACTTTCCCCGGCAGTTCTGGAAAACCAATGGACTTTCTTGCACAATCGCCGCATTCGTCCAGCTGACTGCGGACACCAGGATGGTTGTTAGGAAGGGGAGGAAGGGGAGGGGGCCTCTTTTCATTGCTTTGTTTGACTTTTGTACTCCATATTTGGCTATGGGACTGGGAAGCGAGGTCAGTACGCGGAAGTGGTAATCAGACAACTGCCACAGACAGATATTCCAAGCCGTAAGTTATATTATTATAAAGGAGGGAGTTGGGGTGGGCAAAACACTGCATATATTGTAAGTTAGTAGTAAGCCGAATCTGAGAGATGAAAGGCTGAGTTGGGGGGTCAGGGAGTGATGAACGGATTGTTCTGAGTCTCGTGGCACAGAGCATTGCAGCTCATTCATACATGAGATTGCCCATCATTATTAACCTCTGTGGAATAAATTTCCGAGATATGCTGTGTTCATTGCAGAAAGGCTAAGTTACCTAACTGTTTTGACAACGGGGATGCCGGGTCCGGTGGTACGGGTTATGGATATAGAACTAAGTTATTGGTTGATATACATAGTTACATCTCATTAGTTAAATGAAAAAGAATTCCAGAACATTGAGGGAAGGGGGAGATAGTTAACATACAACAATCAGGCGGTTCCTGTCTCCCAATATTCTATAGAATTAACGAAACAACAATTCTCCTATTCCCTTTTCTTTTGTCTCATCTCATTGCGCACCCGCTCATCAAGCAATAGCTTTCTCAAGATTATACACCCATACACTTTTGCCCGCAAGCGAAATATGTATCTCCATTAGAATGAAGAGCCAGATCTCATAGACCATACATCATGTTAATAGAAAAGGAAGGGGGGGGGGGGGGGGAGATAGAGAGATTTTATCCGCTGACATGTCTGCTGCATGTAATACATTAATACATAGTTAACATAAAAATATCCTCTGTTCTTCTTCTCCCCATGCCTGGAAAGTGAACCGCGTAGGCAAAAATGTATGTATATGTATAGAGTATGAGTGTATATCTCCATCCTCCAGCAGAAGCTCGCAGAAGCTCGCAGAATACCCAGGTTAATCCTCGAGTTAATTGTTCAAGGATCCCTCCCCCCCTGGAGTCCTGAATTCTTCTCAAGACTCCGCGAGCAACCAGAAGTATCGTATCGTTCAGACAAAACGTGCCCTCTCTGGATATTCATTTCTTTCATGGATGATCGATTGATCGTGGGATACCTCAATTCACCAATCCACCAAGTTGGTATCACTTGTTAAGAAAGAAAAAAAAAAAAAAAAGAAAAGAAAAAAAACTCAGCTCCACACTAGCTACCCAGCTCAGCCTTACACTAGCGTTTTGGAACAATTTGTTTCTGGTAGTTAGGTATAGAAATCAAGTACTCCATTCTCCATTCCTTTTTTTTTGTTTTAAATTTCATTTCTAGCTTCTAGCCGGCCATACCTTTTTTTAAAAAAAAAGAAACGGAGAAAGCCGTCAAGGTTAGCCCCTTTCCTTGGCCTCAAATCCAGCTGAAGTTTTTTGTGGGAGGAAGAATAATGGACAAACACATACAACTTCGCAGCGACGCTTTGCATCGTGGCAGTAAACCGCGATGGTCTTTAATTTTTGGTCCATGCCCTTTTTTCATGAGAAAAAAGGAAAAAAGAAAAAGACAGAAAGTTCAGCTTCAGGTTCGGTTTATTTTTTTCTTGAAGAAATGGGGTATGGTATTATGGTATGTCCGTCCTCACCTCTGCCTTCGCCTGACACTCTGGATCCGCCTGGCAGTCGATATCGGCTCGGCACTATGTTGGGGGGGAAAATGAATATTGTTAACATCATGACGAGGAAGGTAAGGTGAAGAAAGTAGATAATTTGGTTTGAAAAGGTGTAACTATATAGTTCACGTAGCAAAACGAAAAAAAAAAAAAAAACACAATAAATCACAATAAAACAAAATAAAATGCTGGAGGGACATACCTGATATCCCACTCTACACAGCTCGACCCTGGATCTCTGTGCAGCAGTTATTCCTGTGGCTGCCAGCACGAGGGCCAAGGTGAAGGCGACGTCGATCTTCATGTTGTTTGGGGAGGAAATTATTGGGGAACGGAACGGTGCGTGGTAAAGCAGGTGTGGGAAAACGGGCGCTGCAGGCGGTGATCGGCAGCGGAGAGGAGTTGAGAGCCAAATGTTTCATTCATGCAGCTTAGAATCGTTCGTAGGCCGGGAGAACGAAAGGGAATGAAAGAGGGAGGGAAAACGGGCAAATTAAATAAAAAAGGGATAGTTATGATATGGTCTGGGAGTTAGATATGTAAGATGGAATTTTTAGACGACGGGGGTTTGGGGGGTTGGACGGGGTCTGTTTCTTTATATAATTATGGACGGGGACCATTTTTTCCCGCTCAGACACGTTTTTGTTTTCCTTTCTTTAGTAGTAGTAGAGTAGTCTTGTTTCCTCTCACCAACTGCTGATGGGGAAATGAGAAAAGAAAAGAAAAACCTGGAGTCGGGGAAAACCTGGAGTGTTGTGGCTTGCATCGCGGAAACAAGTGTTCTGTTCTGTTTCTAAGTCCGTTCCTAGTAACATATTAGTTATTCTTCTTATTGCTTACGCCGCAACTATGCAGCGTACGCTGTAGTTATAGCGAGGGGAGAAACAGTAAGAGCCGTGCAGCTGTTAAGTTTTATTAACTAAATACTTGTCGCAATTGTTCGCGCGTATATTGCGATTTTCTAACCTCGTTTCCAAACCATCCACAGGTAACACAGATTTAATATTATTCACTTTGTTCATCCGGGCTGCGGCATGGAGAACAATAGGTAGTTGAGCGAGTCATCAAACGATGCATAGTTAGAACGACGATGCATAGTTAGTTAGTTCCCCGACGGAGGAGAAACAAGCACGCCCCCCCGTCCCCTTTTTTTGTTCAACAGACAAGGGGATTGATTTGATTCATTATTATTGAGTTTCGGAGAGATGATTCTCCACAGAACAAGTCTCACAAACATCGACTCCTGAATCCTGAATCCCGAACAGCGGCTGCTGCGCCCCGTTGCTCCTGGTTCTCATCGCAGGGTCGGTCAATGCTGCTGATTCCCGACTCCTGAGCCCTGAGCCCTGAGCCGCTGGCTGTTGTCGGAAACAAACTGTCTCGGCGCGGGCCAGAGGGGGGGGGGGGTCCGGCTGCTAGAGCTATTTAGCTGCTTGAAGAACTCTCTCTCGTTTGGCGTAAAAAAGATGACGACGTTGACTAGTTATTATTAGTTATCCGTATTTTCCGAGATAGTTCATTATTATTCAAAGCATGAAGGGGATGGACGACAATGATCGATCACCTCTTCCATTTTTTATATGGTAGTGTAGTTATATATACTCCGTACTCCGTACCTAAAGATATGCCTAGGTACTGCCTGTCAAGAACGTGGTGCTCCACCAACAGCACCAAGCTTGACCCGCGCCGGGGACATGGATAGCTACGCCCGTGGGATTTCCCCGAATCGCAGCTCGCAGATCACCGCTGTGATCAACACTGAAGAAACAGATACAATAAGAAAAAGTAATGGGAAGTCGGGGTTTTAATTTCCCCAACCAACAGAAGAATGCCGTACATACGCAGCGTAGTATGTACCGGATTTTTATTTTTATTTTTATTTTATTTTTTATTTTTTTTATTTTTTTTAGTAATCCCCGGAGATATGTAAAAAGCATTCCACGCTGTTAGGATTACCATCTTCTGCTCTCACATTTGACCGGCAGCCGAAAATGAAAATGCATGAGAAATATGAGAAATATGAGAAATATGAGAAAGAGGAATCTATCTATATATACATACTCTGCTAGATCTACACCGGTTCCATGGTTCTAGAAACCACGGCGGGAGCGCAACAAGTGTGATGTTTCGCCCATGGTAAAGAATCAAGAATGAACACCTTATTTCTTATTTTTCTCCAGAGAAGAAGATGCGATAAATAAAAATGAGGGGGATCAAGCAATTAATTAAGTTATATTCCGTACTGTGTATAAATAAAATAAAAAATAAAATAAAATAAAAAATAAAATAAAATACAATGCAGGTCTCACGCTTTCCACACTCTACAGAAATCTCGAATTGCGACTCACCTTCATTTCTCTTTGTTGAATTGAATCCCCTAACTATATATAACCTACCCTACCTACCTCAATCACAACGAGCAGCTAACATATTCGGCACTCTCAGAGATGCCTAGTTAGCTATTATTAAGCTTCCCATCATCCCAGGGCTGGATCTCCTCGATTTATTATTTTATCATAATACGAAATGTGCCGCACACGTACGCAGAGCATAAGTACATGTACTGTACAATAAAAGGGCGCAATCTGCATTCACTTCTACCATCTCAATATGCATAATGCGACTATGGCAAATGTTGGCATGATCTCTTCCCCCGACCAGCTTCCCTCGAAAAAGGTTAAAAAATAAAATAAATAAAAAATAAAAAAAAACCTTCGAACCGTCATATATAGCGAGATGAAGAAATAGACCGACCCGCACTGCTGCTCCTGCCAGGATCTCCTCCCGTGCCGATACGCGGATACTACCCAGTCACAAGAGGATTACAGCGTAAGTAAATATACTGCCTACAATCATCCCGATGCTTCTCCAGGCTTCTCGAGGCAACCTCTCCGCAAACTGTGGACCTGCGGATAGCAGCAGCAGAACTCTCACTTCGCATTCTCTCAACTGCTAGCAGCATCAGCCAGCCAGCTAGCTAGGCGGTGTTTCTGCCCTGCACAAGTTTGTACAGCACATTACATCTAGTGAATACTTGCTGGTGGAAAGGGTTTCCAAACCTGACCGTGGAAAATCAGTGGATGCAGCTTTGCTTTGCACGCCGAAGAAAGGAAACTCTCAAAGAGCTGCTTCTTTCCTGCGTGGGTGCCCCTTTTTATATTTTTGCGCAAGAGGGAAACTCGCCGAATGAGGGTCCCTTCTTTCACCTCGATATTTCTTTATTTTACATCTGTTTCCAGCTTCCGCTTTTCCGTTTCTCCCCCTTCGGTGAAAGAAGGTTCCTCAGGAACTTCCCAAGGATATATCTCAGAAGAGGAAAAAAGCAAGGGCTGAGGACAGGTGAACAGCTGTCTGTCTGTGCCTGCCACAACGAGGAAAAGAACATTTTGCAAAGCGATTGGACTAACTAGCCCACAGCAGCTGTCAAGTTCCTGTATATCGGAGAGGAAACAAACAAGTCACCTATTCGGCCAAATCAAATTCCTACTATGCCTCTGCCTCTATAGGGTCCAAAAGGTCACCACGGCTTCACATACTGAACATTCTATTTTGCGAACAAACGTCGCCTAAGCCTTGGGATTGTTCTTGATGATTGGGGGTTTTTTCATAGCCCGGCCTTGATGAATGTTCTGTCCGCCTGGTTGTATAAGATCTCATGCCCACTGCCCCTTTTCCGCTTCCTACGCGGTGGGTGGTGGTGCCGGTGCAGGCTACCTGATGATCGATAACAGGGTAACAAACAGGCTTTAATTTGACCGGCCAGGCAATGGACAAGGAGTTGGATGAGAGCCTTGTGCGCGTTGCCTGTGCGTGTGCCTGTACCTGACTTGAGACTTCTCTCGTATGTAGGCAGCTCGATGAATCCTCTGTCTGTCTAGCAACCTAAACTGCGGATGGATGAACCATGATCAGCGTCGTATCGTCAATAAATCGTGTAATGGTCCTGAAACAATAATGGGTCGTGTTCCGTAGTGGAAGGAAGGCGGGGGAAGAAAAGAGAGGGAAGTTGGTTGGCTGTGCCTGACTGGCTCAGCCCTGTTGCAAGTCCGTAAGTTCGTTACAGAGTAACTAGTTACAGCCTATGTAATTTATAGATACCAAGACCTTCCCCAAGGTACCTACAGAAAAGAAAAACATCCCTGGCTTCCCCCATGCTTACGACGGGAATCCGTAGCCGACGACGATATATGTAGCTACTGTACACTTAATAATATTGTCCCAAGATTCCGATTCCGACATGCTTTCACTTTAGCTGTCCATTGGAATGGATTTCGTCATGTATCGGGTGTTTTGTGTCAGGTGCGGTACCTGGTAAGTAAAATACGGTACAGTATCGGTATACCAGTTACGTTACACGGAACCTGACTCATCCTTCCTCCTCAAAGGGAACAGTGGCAAGAGTGGCTCCTGAAACACACAGCGGTGATTGGCTGCATCCTGGATTAATATTTCTCCGGTTCCTGTTTGCCCCTCAGTGCGAAGGGAGGCGGGGGGAATAAAATACCGCTGACTAAAGTGGGCGTATTGTCGTTACCCTGATATACCATACCATACCTCGCTCTTCCCTTTCCCCTTCGCGGCGGTGTCTGATGACTGAACTGACTTGACTGACTTGACAGGTTTGATCGTTCGTTCTCAGGCTTCTTCTTCCATTGTTTTCTGTTTTCTTTCTCTTCCTTTTTTCTCCCCCACCAAACAGACATCGTCCCATCACCGCCGCCGCCATTCAAGACATAACGACATCTTCATAGACTTTCTATCCCTATAGCTCCTGTCTTCCTGTCTTCCTGTCACTGCTGTTTCAAAAAACAACAAAAAAAGAACTCTTGTGAAGGTATATTAACCCCCCACCCCACCTCTTCTCAGGCCCTGGCTCTCTCTCGCAGAGTCTGCCCAACCACCACCACCGCTAACTTGCCGCCCATATATCCTTGACAGACAAATCCCTCTCGAAAACCAACCCAAAAAGAACTCCCAGCACACGACCCCACCACGCTCCTACTGCTCGTTTTCCTTCAGATCCTTCTCTTTCTTTCTCTCCTTAACTTCCTTATCTCACATACCATACCTCTTCTCTCGAAATGGCCCTCAAGAGAATTAATAAAGAACTCTCAGACTTGGGACGGTGAGTCTTCCCTCCTTGGCCATACCCTTTTGATGGTTCTCCCTTCGGCGGGCGGCACAAACGCCCACCCCCACCATCGCCACTGAGCAGGGCGCTGCCTCCTGGTTTCGCTCACTCTACGCCTGCGAAACATTCCATGATTCAACTGGAGATATTCATTACTAACTGATATCGATATAGCGATCCCCCATCGTCTTGTTCTGCTGGTCCCGTTGGAGATGACTTGGTACGCTCTCCCCCCCTTCCCCCCCCCCCGGTTTGGCTCTATACGCCGCCCTGCGTCACGTCGCTAGGTTAGATCTACATAAGTCTGGTCGGGTTATACAAGGCTCGTGTTGGAAGGAACATCCAAACTCGAGCGGCGTAGCGTGTAGCGTGTCTAGTTGCTGTACCTTGAGAAGGGGACATGGACTGACTTGGTTGCTTGTAACAATATAGTTTCACTGGCAAGCTACGATCATGGGTCCTGTAAGTTATCACTTTGCTTTTATAAAAGAGACATGATCCCCTACCCTTTCCCTGCCTTATCTGCCACCGGAAGGGCAAAATTCCACCCTTGCTTGGAAAATGGATTGCAGCCTTCTACCCCTAACGTATTGTTGCGTGTAGACAAGAGAGAGACTATGGCTGACATTTCATTTTTTTTTGGGGACGATAATAGGGTGATAGCCCATACTCCGGTGGTGTCTTCTTCCTAGCCATACATTTCCCTACCGACTATCCCTTTAAGCCACCCAAGGTCAACTTCACTACGCTCATCTACCACCCAAACATCAACTCAAACGGAAGCATTTGCCTGGACATTCTCAGAGACCAATGGAGTCCTGCCCTGACCATATCGAAAGGTTTGTTTTGGCCGTTCCGCTTCTCCATCTATTAGCTCTATTTATTTTACTGACATGGGTGTTCCTTCTCAAGTTCTACTTTCCATCTGCTCTATGCTCACAGACCCCAACCCGGATGATCCATTGGTACCAGAAATTGCCCATGTTTACAAGACCGACCGTCCGCGGTATGAAGCGACAGCCCGCGAATGGACCCGGAAGTACGCTATTTGATGAATGAATTAAATGCCACGGCAAACACGTGCACATGCTGCCCAATGTTCCTCTAACCACGAATTTCTTTTTTTTTTTTTTTTATTATGTTACTTTTAACGTTCCCCCTTACCTACCCTACCCCTTTGAACGTACGAGAAGATAATCCTTACTTGCTTGCTGCCACGGGATAGATAATTCTCCTTTGTTTGCTTTGCTCTGTGTTGGTTTGGTTGATTTTTGGCCGGGCTGGAGAAGGAGAGGGAATCGATCGATCGATTTGTTGTAATTGGGCCGGTATATCAACCATTTCAATCAGGGACGACAAAGGAGCGAGAGGAAAATGATAAATATTGATGGACAGAGAAAGCTGGAAGACAAGAAACATAAAAAACAGAAAAAAAAAAGAGAGAGAGAGAGAGCGATCAACCCCCGATCAATATCATGTGAATATATTTTCCAAGCAAGTGTATCTTTTTTTCTCTTTTTCATATTTGCCGAGAACAATCATAGGAAGAGAAAAAAAACATCGAAGAGAAGATACGCGGGGTTACCGAGCTAAAATGTCGTTCTTTCGTTTCTTCCCTCCTTTTTCTTCCTTTTTTTTTGTTTGTTCTCGGACGGACCTGGTCAACTGAGCTGAACGTCAGTGGGAGCCAGATTCAGGGGAATGGGAAAGGAAAGAAAAAGGATCCTTAGGATCAGGAAGCGGAATAGCAGGGGCGAGGGGGAAAGCATTGGGTTGTTGGCATTCATCATTCATCCATGGATAATGTGTTCGTGCTTGCTCGTTGCAAAATCTCCCGCTTTACATAGTTTGTGATTCACATCTGTTCGCGCGCTCTCTCTCTCTCTCACACTCTCTCTCTCTCTCTACCATTTTTTTTTTCTTTTTTTTTTTTTTTTTTCTTTTGTTTAAAGCAACTCATTATCATGCTTCGGCTTCGGTGTGTTTTTTTCGTCTCTTTTCTGTTTTGTTTTGTTTTGCTCTTTTTTAAGCAGCGGGGATGGGATGTGGGATTGGATGAGATGGTTCAGAGATGTAGTTAGTTTGGGGATGGAAATATAATTGGCAGCGGAGTGTCTTGATATAATTTTTTTTTCTTTACTTTTTTAGGGATGATGATGATGATGATGATGATGTGTTTTAGAAAAATAAATAAGCATACATATGTTTATATGATGACTGGTTGTGAAAGAATAGTCTGTTTCAGGTGGTTAGACAGCGGTGAGAGTGGAAATACATACAGAGTTACACTCACTCACTCACTCAGAGAAATGAGTAACTAACAGTATGAAGTATTTACGTTTTTTTTTTTTTTTTTTTTTTTTTTGAATGGAGTTGAATTATTTAGGGCGGTACTCTGTAGTTCTTCTTACTCTGCGTACGGAGTACAAAGGTCGACAATGGCAGTTTGTTGTTGAGTTAAATAACTTGACTATATTCCACTCCGTCTTAAATATTTAAATATTTCCCTCCTCTTCCTCTCCTCTCCAACTCCTCCTCTCCAACTCACTCGCTCACTCGCTCTCACTCTCACGCCCATTATTGGCTTCTCACACCGTCTTATCCTGATCGCTCTATTCTTTCAATTGCTTCCCCCCTCTATCCTATCTGTCTCTCTCTTCTCTTCCTCCCCGACTGCTTTCCTGTGCGATTGACTCATCGCGCAAACAACATCTCCCATCCCATCATATTCCTCCCGCACCTAACAGTCTCCTCCTCCTCCCTCCTCTACCAACAGAATGTCCAATCCGGCTGAGGGCAAAAGAAAGCGGCCCAGTAAGTCAATTTATTTTTATTTTACTTTCTTCTTCGTTGCATCTCTTCTGTTTGCGCGCCTGCCCGACAGAGAAAAGATACGGCGGCGTTGTCTGCCTCCAGTTAGTCGTTGTTGGGCACAAAGCGGCTTTCTTTTTTTTTTTTTTCCTTCCCTTTCAGCTTTCTGCCACCGCACCCAAGAGAGGAGACAGTGGAACCCAACACTGTAACAGGGTCAGGGGATATTGAATACCGCTACCTTCCCCTAATTGGCACTACTGCACAGCGACGCAAGATCAAAGGGAGAAAGGATGAATGAATCCTGGTCGCCCCTCAGAGTTTCTAGCGGAGCTTTTTGGCCTCGTTTCCTTTTCTTGAGCTGGTGGCAGAATCCCTTTTGGCTTCCGTCTCGATACCATACCCCGCTCTGCAATTCTTTCCCCTGCGCGCAACGGAGAGGAAGAAAGCGAAACGAAAAAGAAAAGATAAACGAAGAAAAAAGAAATGCGAAATGATGACCGCTAACCGGAGCACCATCTTTGGCTTTTCAGGAACCCAATCCTGCCCTCCCCCCGAACTCCCCCAGCTGGTCGCTGAACAGCATGTCCCCATCGCCTCCCACGACAAGGAAACCAAGCGGCTGATTGTTGTCCTCTCCAACGCGAGTCTGGAAACATACCGCGCCTCGTCGGGGGGGAGAAACGCCAATGGCAGAGAAGAGAAATACTCGCTACTCAACAGCGATGAACACATTGGCGTTATGCGAAAGATGAATCGGGATATCAGTGATGCGCGCCCGGATATCACTCATCAGGTTTGGAATTACCCCATATATATATATATATATATATATATATACACGCCACGGCCACTTTTTCTTTTTTTTTTTTTTATCAACCTGCCGCGAGCTTAACAATTGTATACATATTATAGTGTCTCCTCACCCTCCTCGACTCCCCCATCAACAAAGCAGGAAAACTGCAAATCTACATCCACACCGCCAAGGGCGTCCTCATCGAAGTCAGCCCAACCGTACGCATCCCACGAACTTTCAAGCGATTTGCCGGCCTGATGGTCCAGCTGCTCCACCGCCTGTCCATCCGCTCCACCAACTCGCAAGAAAAGCTTCTGAAGGTGATCAAGAACCCCATCACAGACCACCTGCCGCCCAACTGTCGAAAAGTGACGCTGAGTTTTGATGCACCCGTCGTCCGCGTCAATGATTATATCGAATCGCTAGGGCCCAAGGAGAGTATTTGCGTCTTCGTTGGCGCGATGGCAAAGGGCCGCGATGACTTTGCTGATGGCTTTAAGGATGATACCATTAGTATCAGCAACTATAGTCTCAGTGCCAGTGTTGCGTGTAGCAAGTTCTGTCATGCGGCGGAGGATGTGTGGGATATCGTATAGCCGGCTACGTGAAATGGGATTGGCCCAGTTTATTTTTGGGAAGGGTATATGTATAAGCGGACACGGTGAAAATTACCCTTTCAGGGCCTTTCTAGAAGTGAGGTTTGTTGTGTGAGGTAATGAGAGGGGTTTGGAAGGTTTTCCTTTTGTTTTTTCCCTTCCTAGATATTACTGACACCGGCCGGTTCGATGGTCCTCCCTCTCTGGTCTTTACCCTACAGCATTTTCCCATTTCAAACACAAAAACCCCGAATTCGAAGCAGACGAACGGGGACTATTGGGACTAACAGTTAAACCACATCCCAACCGGACCTCCAAGCCAACAACAACAACAACTGCCCAAAAAAAAAAAAAAAAAAAAAAAAAAAAAAAAAAAAAGAGGGGAAATAAGAAAGGGAAGAAAAGCAACAAAAAATGAAACCAGTCGAAACGAGAGGCCAGCCACGATCACAACATCCACGCTTGTCCTCGCGGAGACTGCCCAAAGGAAACAAAAAATTAAAAAAACTTTGCCCTTCCCTCTTCTTCCTTTTCTTAGTCTTCTCCTCAGTCACATCACATCACATCGCATCGCATCACATCATATTCACAACAAGCATTTTGTGCTCGCGAACGGATACGTCAAAAGCATGTCGCAACCAGAAGCCATTCTCATTTTCATTTCCCTTTTCCATTTTTTCCATTTTGTCTAGTTAATATATTCACCATACAATTTTCTCTTTCTTTTTTTTGCATATGCATTGAGAGCCTATGCTTGGATATCGTTCTGTTTTTACAACAAAACAGGGGCGGTTCAACAGCCTCAACGCGCGCGGGAGGAGTTTTTGGGTTTCTTTTTTATCTCTTTTTCATTTTCTCAGTTGTTTGCATTTTCTTTTGAATCTTTTCCTGTTCATTTTTCCCTGTGGGTATAAAACCATTTTTTCGTCCGGGGCTCACCTGCTCACATCCGCCTATTTCATTTCTTACCAAGCTCACCCGGGGTGGCCCGGTTTTCTAACTTTCGCAAACGAAAACAAGTACACAACCAAACACGGCTGATATAGGGAAAAGAGAGAGAGGAAAAGAAAAGCGCCCCTGGATATATCCCTACACCTGACCGGGGGCTTCTTTCCGCACTTCTATATCTCAGGGTAAAAAAAAAGAGAAAAAGCTTTCAATTGTCTTATATTTGTAACCCTTATATTTGCCCCTGTCGATATATCTTGTATTACTTTCTTCCTGTCTCCCTTCCCCTTCTTTTTCTTTTTTTCGAGATGTGGAAATTTGGCACTTCAACTTGCCTCCACTGGCCGGGATTTGCTGCTGGCATTTGGTTTGGTTTGGATTGGTGATACATGTCTATATACTATATATATATATATATATATATATATATATATATACCCTCAACATGGCATGGGAACGATGGATGAATGGATGGATGACGCTGATGGGCTTACTAACTAGAATCGGACTTGATATATATATATCTATGTTGGAAAAATGCATTTCTTTTTTTGCCAACTCTTCCCTCTTCTTCCTTGTTAGTAGTCTCAGGGTTAAGAAAGTATCCTATTATTGTTTAAGACTCTAGCATGGAACTGCTGGATAAGGACGTGGATTGGAACTTATCCTGGTCTTCTTAAGCTCCGAATAACGCGGTCAATGAGGAGCAAATGAATGAATATCCCCTACCATGTATAACGTTGATGATGCCGGGGACGCTGGTGATGAATAATTATTTCGGTTCGGTTTGGTACATTTGGTAGCGAGGATGTAGTGCAGGTCAGTTCAGTTGGTTAGTCAGTCAGGACGTAGCTGGCTGCATGGGCACCCAAGTATGGAGATTGGGCAGTCAGTCAGTGAGTGAGAGAGAAGTAGAGTAGAGAGTAGATGGACAGATTTCGGCGCGGAAAAAGTGAGGCTGCTGGGCTGGCTGGCTGGGGTGGTTATGTAATGTAATGTAATGTAATGTAATGATTGGATTGCCATGTTAACTACTCCGTATATACAGAGTACTTATAGTTACTATAGTTCTGCCCATGCGATGATGCGCTGGCCGAATCCTTGGCTGCCCAACACAACACAACCTTCCCAGCCCCCGTTGTTAACAATTTAGCTACATACAGAGCTAAATAATTAATAGTCAATAGTCAACAGAACATTTGCCTGGGTAGGTTTCGGCGGAGGAACTGTACATTATTACATGTATCTAGGCAGGTAGGTAGGTACCTAGGCAGGTAGTTAGGGGGAGGGAGGGAGGAGAGGAGGGCTCGCGGTTGTATGATATCGTATTGCGTATTTAAACTAGTTACCAGTTAGGCCCAAAACGGCAAGTTGGCACGACCAAACCACCAGACTTCCCTCCAACTCTCCCTTACACAGTACTAAGTGGTTAATCTCCCTGCAGTTCTGGACGGTGATTTGTTTTTTTGTTTTCTTCTGATGCTCTCATTCTCTCATTATTCTCCACCCGCCAGGGAACCAGCAGAGGCAGGCAGAAAGAACTAGTTTTAGTGTTACTGCCAGGTGTCAGTCATGTCATGTTTTTCAATCCCCTTCCTTAATTCCTTACCCGGAGTTACTTGCTTGCTGCACTGCTGCCCTCTCCCCTCCTCCTCCCAACTGATGATGATCTAGCGAATGAGACACAGCGAGCCTTTCGTTGATAGGCATGGTTTGCGACCACGCCAGCTTTCAATTCAAACTACTTGCTGTGCACGAAGGAACATTAATAATAATAATGGTAAAAGAAGGCTGAACTTGACTGACTGCTTTGGGCCCCTCCGTCCCAACCTCTCAGTCCCACCTCGCCTCGCCTCGCCTCATTCATTATTATTATTATTCATTCCATAGTTACTACTCCGTATACTGCATTGCATTTCTCTTCCGTCTGCCCAGCCATCCATCCCCTATCCTTCTTTCTGCTCCTCCTACAGGCGGTCTGCGGCATCATCGTCATTTCTTCTTGAATATCCCGTGGCGATATTTGGAGTGATGCGAGTCTCATTGATAAACTGATGATACTAACTATGCTATACATAGTTAGTTAACTAGTTACCTTGGGGGAATTGGCTTAGTGAAAGGCGAAAAGTTGCCTGTGTTGTTTGAATAATCCAAAACTTATGGCAGCGCCAAACTAACGTAACTAGTTACAGCAAACCTATCTCTCTCTCTCTCTCTCTCTATTTAGTATGATATGGATGAATGGAAGTGATATGTGTTTTCCCCTCTGCCCTCAATCACCTATGCTATGTGAAACAGTGCCGTTTGGCATGACGTGCAGAGGGGTCTCAACAACCAACCATTATTTATTATTGATCATGATGATTAGTTAACTGCTTCATTTTAACCACTAACTACCATTCTTTCACCCGCTAACAGCCCCATCACGACGCCTGCCTGGCCGCCGTTTCCCCGTGGCGTGGATTCCTTTCCGCCTCCCCTCCAACCAGCCCAGGAAGTTAACCTTATTATTAGTTACAACTTACCGGTCAGGCTGCGGCAAGCTCTGGCGAATAATGAATGTTGTCCCGTTTAACTATGGGGCCGAGGACACCACGCCAAAGTAAAGTCCCTCTGATTCACTCGCGACTTCGCTGGTTTCCTTGAAGCATTGAAACCCCTTTCATGCAAGACAGTCAGTCTAACGGAGCTGGCTAATATTTTAGGATTCTCTCTCTTTTTTTTGTTTTTCCTTCTTTTGCTTGGTTGCTTCTTCTTTGGAAGCAGAGTACGGAGTACGGAGTATTGACGATGCTGACGCTGGACCCTGCTGCTGACAGCAACCAGTCCCGGCGCTTGCTGGTACGTACTGGTGCTGACGATGTGATATGATGAGGCAGAAGGCCCGACAGCCCTCTTTTTTGTCTCTCTTCTGGCCCTACTGATGCGATGCCCCGTGGACCCAGGCGAGCTGCTGTTCTAAATCGGGTCTACTCCGTGAATTTTTGGCTTCGTCACTTTTTGTCTGCCAATGCAGGGGAACAAAGCCGACGAGATAGACTGGCTCCAATGACTCTGATCGTTTTTGTTCTGGTTCTGTCTGGAGACAGCGGGATAAATACTTTATTGTCTGCTGCCATTTTCTGTCAGATCCTCTTTTTTGTCTTGTTGTATTATTTCATGCCTCCTCCCATAACTAACTAACTAACCGCTGCTTCTTCTTCATCTCGGGCAACATTCCTCTCGTGGTCAGAGTATATATATATATATAATCTTTGCTGCCCCTCCTGCTCTTCCGAACCGGAGCTATATTCGGAAACTATTTCTCCCCCCACTTCTTACTATATTACCCACCAGATCTCGTGAATCTATATAACTTTATAGTATCTATCTGGTATCTGTTTCGTTTTTGTTTTTGTTATTACTTAATTCCCCCTTCCGTCAGTTTGAATACATCCAGCAGCCAACATGCCTGTCTCACATCTCACATTGACCGTGTCACATTTGCCAACATCAACTTCCTTCTTTCTCTCCTGCCTGCAACCTCTTGGATACCGCTTTATCGGCCGCCACGATAACAATGTTGGTTTTGGCTCCGTGCCTGGAGAGCCTGCAGACTTTTGGATCGCAGAGGAGAGACCAGGGTAGGGAATGTTTGAATACATGTTTTTCCCCGTTGGACGTTATCACTAAAAATTTATATTCCAACAGAGTCCCTGCTGGTGCTGCGCATGTAGCCTTTCCAGCCCCATCTCGTGATGCTGTTAGCCAGTTCTTCATTGCTGCCCTGAAAGCAGGCGCAAAGATCCATGGAGAGCCGACTCTACGTGATGCAGAACAGAATTATTACAGCGCTGCCGTTATCGATTTTGACGGTAATAGCATTGAAGCTGTTCATCGCCCCAGAAGCTCTGGATCAGATAAGGCGTCTGCTGACAGGGCATTGACGATCATTAAGAATGGCTCCGTTGTTTCTAGGGCTTCGTCCACCAAGACGGAGAGTGTTGTCCGTGCTAAATCAGAGATCGGAACCTACGTTAGCAAAGCTAAGACAGCTGTTTCAAAACCCGCTGCCGCAAGCGCCTCGCCACAGAGCAGAGCACCAGCTTCGATTCAACTTCAACAACAGCCTGTGCCTCAGCCAAGGGATTCTACAAATGGCGCTAAAGCTGTTGTTGGAACTCTTCTAGGAGCCGCTGCGGGAGCAGCAATTGCGTATTCCATTTTCAAAGCCGACTCATCAGAACCCTCACCAACACAACAGCATCAGTATGTTGAGCAACCTGCCCCTGCTTTTGCACCAGCACCAGAGCCAACATTGTACAGGGCCATAGAAGCACCACCTGCCCGAAGTATGACCTTCGGCGGCGTCGATAACGAGTACGCCGACTACGCACGGACTATGCTGTCTAAAAACCCACGCGCAAGTACCATCATGGAAGGCCTCGAGAACTGCTCTAGGATTTGGGGTCAAACCCAGAGTGTCCGGGGCGGTGATGGGTATGAATACAACAACGCAGGTCGCCGCGCATCCAGCGCAAGCGTATACAGTGGCATGCAGGACATGGACATCCCGATCCGTGCCATAGAAGCCGTCCCCTTCGAAGAAGAAGGCTCCGAATGCTCCTACTCCTACGCGCGCAAACAACCAAGTACCTTCATCAGCAGCTTCAAAGAACGACCCCACCACTACGACGACGACAACGCCAGCAACTACACCTCCTCGACGCTGAAAGCCTCTTCAAAAACCCATCACTCAAGTCACTCAGCACACTCCCGCCCGTCCTCGCACCACTCGCACTCGTCCCGCTCCACCCGCTCCATCATCACTATCAAGGATATCCACACGAGCTCCAAATCCTCCACCCCAACCGCCTCCGTCTACTCCCACACCCACTCCGCCCGCAACATCCCCCTCCCCTCAGGATCAGTAACCACAATCTCCACCACCTCCTCCAGCCGCCGCAGCAGCAGCAAAGACCACCCCAGCAGCCGTGGCAGCAGCTCTCCATCCAAGCACTCTTCCACCTCCCCCACCCGCAGCCACCACTCAAGCAGCAAGCATTCCCACGCCAGCTACGCAAACTCCTCCCGCCACATGCCGCTGCCAGACTCCGTCGCGGGCGCCAGCACGATATTCCTCGAGGGCGTCGATGTCGATTCGCACGTGACGCCTGTGGCGGCAAGTCGCGCGTCGACGTCGCGACGATCGACACGGTCGAGCAAGTTTGATGAACCCGTGCGGCCGAGCGATAGTGTAAGTCAGGTGTCGACGAATGTGTCGAGGCAGAGTGGGCGGAGTAGTCGGAGGTGATGGGTTCGTTGTTGGGTGTTTTTGGGACTTTGGGACTCGTTCTGGTGTTGGGAGTTGGGAGTTGGGCGTTAGGAGTTGGGAGTTTGCGAGCTGGAGCGCCGCTGTGGGGTTTGTGGTAATATGGGTATAGAATAGAGGAATAAGAGGGAGCTGTCCTTTGGTTTTTTTTTTTTTTTTTTTTTTTTTTTTTTTTTTTGGGGGATTTGGTGATTTAGTTTTCCGGTTCCATCCACTCTTGTCAGATACGCTGGCTGGGATTTCCTTGCGTGCGATTTACTTCTTCTCGTGTGATGACATGACATGGCCTTTATTCATTCTGCATTGGGAGGACCAGGCGTCGATTGGTAGAAGGACACAAGTCTGGGTTGGTTCTTTGCTTTATCATTGGGTTTTTGCATGCTTCGCTTTCGCGTTTCGCTTTCGCTTTGCTTGTCGTAGATATCTTCGCTGCCATTTTTATGTGTATGCCTTTTACTCTTTAACTCTTTATGGCATGAGTGTGTTGTTTGTTATGTGTAATCTGGCTTCGTTCGCTTTTTTATTTTTTATTTTTTATTTAAACTACGCTGATGTTTCCTTGTCGTTTCATACCCCCCCCCCCTCCCTTTTTAATCACCCCGCCTTTTTGCATGGAATTTTATGAATATGAATGAATGACATTTACGACAGTGCTTTTTGATAATAATAATAATAATTTATTACTTCTTCGTTCTATCCTTTCATAATGCTAGCAACCTACCCACCCATAAGTTACTTAATAACCCTTATTTAAAATATCCTCTAGATACATCTGATGTTTGCTTGTCGCAACGTCGTTGGCCTTCTTATTGCATTCCGCCCTTCCTTTTGCTTTTGAATTATTATTATAAAATATTCCCGTCAGCGTTCTGCGGCATATACATTCTTCTTCTTCTTCTTCTTCTTCCTTTTTTCTGAAGAGCGGTGAAGGATATGTATGTATGTATGTATGTATGTATGTGTCTATCCTGCATTTACATAACCTGCCTATACCTATTACTACTAACCCTCACTACTGCAATAAATGCTATGTATGTATGTACGTACATTCATCCCATCCCCGACTTTGGACGATAACGATTTGCGGGGGAAATACCATTTCCTGTCCTATCATTTCCCTTTCCCTTTCCCTTCCTTTCCTTCTTCCCGTTCCCGCTTGTATCATGGCATGGCCTGGCTTGCTTCCGGTCCCGGTGTGGGAATTTTTTTTTTTTTTTTTGAAAAAAAAAAAAGTGTGTGTGCGCAATATTAAATAATTATTAATGTAATGGATGAAACAATGAAAAAAAAGCACCGAGTAAAGAAAATAAACCAATGCCATGCCTGAAAGAGATTATTGGATTATTGTATATATGTATCTCAAGCAAGCCGCGGTTTGTCACACGGTCTCCAGCTCCCCCCGCCTTGGGAAGAAGATATTAGTTAGTTACTGCTTGCTGCTTGTTCCGTTGTGTGACGAAAGAAACAAAAAAAAAAAAAAAAAAAAAAAAAAAAAACCAAAAACGAAGAAGAAATGTTGCCGGTCGGGTAGGTATGGTTATGTAGTACATGAAACGACGACGACGCGCGGAGAGGAAGAGGGGGTAGGTATAATGTCTTTTCAGCTTTTCGGGGAGAAATGGGCGTTTTACTCACCTCTCTAACCCGGCCTGCCACATTTCAGTTCGCCGGAGGAGATAGGTAGGTAGGTAAGTACCTAAGGTAGGTCTAGAGGTGCACTTCCTCCCCCCCCCTCCCCCTGGGTGTCGCCCTCAAAAAAGGCTGATTGTTCTCGAACAAATCTAGAGGAAACGAAACCATGCTGTTTTCCTTTCTTCCTTTTTTGGTAATTTTTAGATCTGCTTCATCGAAACTAACCCCCAGAGTTACATATTTAGCAGTCCATGTCAACAAACATCTAGATGTAGAAAAAAAAAATGTTAACAAATACTTCCGAGGCCCGATATGCATCGGGTTTCAGCAGAACCCTTAAACCAACTCTCGTCATACGCGGTGAGCAGAGGGACCTTAGGCTGGGGGTCGCTGAAGCCCCATGTTGGGCTTCTTTGTATTTATATATATATATATATATATATATATATATATATATATATATATATTTCGGGATGGCAAAATATGCTTGCTGCGCATCTCTTCAACTGTTGTCAAGAGGGGAAAACAACAACAGCTTTGCTGCTGCATCTATCCACAGGACAAGGGATGCCCGAGTCAATTCCGGGTTTTATTTCCCCATTCATTAATTAACTCGGAATCAAGCGTTTAAAAAAAAAAAAAACGACGGAGAGCCATAACAATTGGCCGCCCCTCTCTCCCCTCCCCTCCCCTCCCCCCAGTCAAGGTGGAGAGCCTCGCGGCCAATAAATAGCCTTGTTGGGTAGTTTAAGGAAAGTTCAAAAACAGAGCAGCGACAATAGGCTGCACTTTATTGTTATTATATTATTATTATTCCCCAACGTCCGTCGCCCGAGGAGGAGCTGTTCACGCCACAAGGGACCAGCACTCCTGTATGTATGTACATGTACAACCCAATAGCAGGCTGGGGGTTTGCTCTTTCGAACGCCAATCAAAGGTTTGTGGCCAGGTCAACATCCCAAAAGCCATCATCGCATGGCACTTTTTTGGACGGAGAAGAGAAAAACCAAAAAAAAAAAAAAAAAAAAGCAAGGTAGGGTAGGGTAGCCAGCCAGCGATATGAGGTTGGATTTTACATACGCAGTATACGCAGTATGATATTGGTTGGGAAACATTCAAACAACACGGATGAAAGGATGCTTGGATTCGCAAACCAACCAGGCAACCAACCAACTTTTGGCGACCCAGGGAAACAAGATGGAATGTGGCCTCTTTGACGGTAGATACTCTGAGACAAGAAGGAGATTGATTGATTGCAAGAGTGAATATTAATATTGAATATATTCCGTAGTCAACTCCTTAATAAGAAAATGGGGCAGAGAAGAACATCCGGGCTTGATGAGCCCTGTGTGCAGGGAAGGCGTGAGAACATCTATCTATATATCTATATATATAACTATATATATACAAAAAAAAAAAAAACAAAAAAAAAAAGACAACAAACTCGAACAAGCTGCCAAGCGCTGGCTGGATGGGCCAGATGGCCGGTGAGAAGCGGAGATCCGACCGACCCTTGGCAACATCATGCAAATCCAGGTTCCGCTGCTGGATGGATGGATGGATGGGAAGAGTAATAAGAATGGGCTCTGGATGGATGGACGAAAATCAGGGTGGCTGGGAGTGGGAGCCAGTGGGAAAGGCTGTTCTCACGTATGTACTATGCGTAATAGCCCTACTCTACTCTATAATAATAATTAATCTACTCCGTACGCTGCGTAAAACGGCCGGGCGGGAGGGATGGGATGAAGCTCATAGCTCATCATCGGTGAGTGGAGTGGTGGAGTGGAGTGGCAAACGGTTTCCATTCAGGGCTTTTCTTTCTGGTGGTTGATGAGAAGAAATGTAAGTATGTACGTTAAGTATGTAATAATAATGTAGCATCTAGCATCTAAATAATATCTAGCATCTTCATTCTAGCAAGCATGTCGTAGCAGCGGGTTTACAACTTCTTTATTATTATTATTATTATTATTATTATTATAGTTTGAACATGGTTGCTCAAACCCTGGCCTGGCAGCACCCCCCCCCGCCATTAAAACTCCATACACTAGACAAATCTAGCACATCATTCTTCATGCCTATTATTAAGAGAGGGTTCATGTATTGAATTTTCATATATTTTCTTGAGAACTCCAGCTCATTCTCGCTCATTCTAATACTAATAAATTCCAGTTTACCCCTCCCCCCCCCCCCCTCTCTTTCTAAATCTACACCTCTACACTAATAATAACTAAATAAGAAACTGGGTGTTTAAGACTGGATTAGTAATAATGTATGTGTTCTATAGGGGGGGTGTGTTTTAGAGGGAGATGACTAATAAAGTTGAACATTTTATTGTTCCAAGAAGACAAGAAGAGTGGGTCGGAGGTTCAGCCCCACAATCAACTTCTTTGGCACCAAGTTCAACTGTTTTATTGGCCCTTTCGTCGCAAGTAATAAGAATAGTCAAATAAATAACTACCAACTAACTACTAACTACTAGTTACTATTTAGTTAGTTACTATTACTTATTAACTACTACTTAGTACTTAACTACCACTACCACTACTACTACTCTAATATAATAATGGGCCACCGGGTCGGGTCGCCATACAACAGACGCTACTGCGTACATACATTTACTATGCTACATACATCTCATCTCTCTGGCTGCAGCTTCGCTCCACGCACACGGATTGCATCAGGCTTTGTTTCCCCCAGACGAAGGATTTTCTGGGAATCATCAACCCAAGGAGAGAGAGGAGAGGAGAGGAGAGGAGAGGAGAGGAGAGGAGAGGAACTGATAAAACGATCGCGTACCGCCAGGCAATAGCCATTAACCATTAATAAATAGCAAAATATCGGTCATTCGGGTTTCTACTTTTTGTTCTCTCTCTCTCTCTCTCTCTCTCTCTCTCTCTCATTTTATTATTTATTCCCTCGAGTTCGTTTGCTGGTGCTTATGGTGGACGCAACAACCCTGGAGGGAGGACGGGAGTAAGCACAGAGTCATCATTGAGGATTCCGGTATCTCCCACCTTCGAGCTGTTTTGCCACTGAAGCAAGTAGCAGAAGACGTACGGTAAACAACACCAAGACCCAAGACGACGTCGTGGTGGTGGTGGTGGTGGTGGTGGTGGTTGGTTGGAGTGAAAAACCGAGCAAAACCAAGGGATTTTGCCCGCAATCTCCAATCTCCAGCCCTTAACTACCATGCCCCAAAACGGATTAGCGGATTCGCGTTGATCAAGCAGCAAATTAATCGCGACATTTATTTATTTATTTATCTATTTATCTATTTTATTTATTTTATTATCCCAACTATATTTATTTTACTTATTTTATTTATTCTCTTGAAACGATGGCCGACACCTATATTTCTCCCAACTTCAGCAACCTCAACAGCACCTCCAATAACAACAACACAGCCACAACACTCAAGAATCGCTGTAACACTCATGTCCAAACTTCCACTGCTGGTCTCCCCATGAATCCGCTTTTCATGATCACTGCGCGGGACATGCCATATACTGTGACCAACTCGTTCAAGAGGTAAGCAACGTGCAAAAAACCAAGCTAGTTGCCTGTTTTGATCTCTAGCCTACCTACCACTCTACCACTTTGCCTCTCGACGCGCGCGTCCCCTCCTCCCTAACAAATGACAACATGAATGTCTCTAACAATTTTTTATTTTTTTTCTCCTGCGCAGAGGTGTAATGATGCACACCTACGGCCGCCCTATACGGCGTGTTTGCTACGATGATTCACGTCCAGCAGCTAAGAAAAGACGTGTTCAAGCGGACACCGCGCCAAAGGACTCCGCTGAAGACGAAAACAACCTCGAATGCGCCATACGCGAATCTTCTGCTGCCATCCTGTCCAGCCCGTCGCGTCGCAACTCGACCGCTGCCTTCTCGGAAGACCTAGACGATGACCTCTCGACACCCCCTTCCTCGCCTCCATTACAGCTCACCCCACCTCCGGTTAACACACGAAAACCCACTTTTGCATTTCTGAGGCGGAAACGCGCCGCTGCCACGAACACTCCCACAAATGGTACTCCGTTGACAGAGGTAAACTTTAACAGCGTCCGCGCATCGATGGATCCGCCGAAAAAGAAACCTAAACAGCAACAACAACATCGACAACAGACACAGTCCCAACAACCCACGCTCAAGCAGATGCAGCTCGACCTGGGAGGGGAGGTGCGCAAGACATGCGCCACCTGCGGGATGGAATATATCCCCTCGAACGCGGAGGATGTCGCGCTGCACAAGAAATTCCATGACATGAACTCGAGCGGGGTGGACCTGGGCAAGGCATTTGTGCGCGCAAACGCGTGCCGGTGGGTCTACGAGGCTGCCAGATTCGACGAGGGCTATGTCGTGATAGTGGACAGGAAGAGCTCCCCCTCCGCGCGGGGCCAGGCCATGCGTGTCCTGGAGGTGGTCAACAAGGAGCTTTCTGCGCCGGATATTGAGGAGGCGGTGTTGTGGAGCCAGACCGAGCCGCCTAAGCGCCTCCGGAAGAATGGAGCGAAGGAAGAGGTGGATCGGTTCAAGGTATTCTTGCACATGAAGGATAGCAGGTGTGTGGGGCTCTGCTTGACGGAGCGGATTTGGGAGTCGCATTTGGTGAAGCGGCCTGGTCGCGGTGGCCGCACAGGCACGGGCACAGGCACAGGCACAGGCACAGGCACAGGCACAGGCACAGGAACAGGCACAGGCACAGGCACGGGCACAGGCACGGGCACGGGCACAGGCACGGGCATGAATGGCGAGCGGCCTAATGGCTCGTCATCAATCACGGCTAGCGAAGAGGTGCACCACGCGGTCGTGGGTATTTCGCGCGTGTGGACGTCCGCCTCATCGCGCCGGAAAGGCATCGCGATGGACCTCCTCGACTGCGTGGTGAGCAATTACATCTACGGCATGGAGATTCCCAAGTCGAAGATTGCATTTAGCCAGCCCACTGAGAGTGGGTGTCGGTTGCTCGAGGCCTTTTTTGGACCGGATGAGCCGTGGCATGTCTACAAAGAGACCTAAGAAAGGCATCTCTGGTCAACAAGCGTATAACCCTAGCAGATGGATTGGGGGGAAGGGGGGAAGGGCAGCGGCGGAATCAGCGTTTGGTTTGGGCGGATTTAGTTCTGATATTTTGTACTTTTACATACTGCGTACATGCGAAATGGGGTTTGTTTATTTGCTTTATTTCCTTTTGTACTCCTTGTCTTCTCATATCATAGGACTGAGAGGTACAGTACAGTACGGTATGCGCCGGATTCTGTCTGTTTATCTAAATTTGAGATTGTTTTCTGGGACACCAAGGAAGGGCAAAGGGGTCACGGATGGCATGGATTGTGCGGATTTGAGAATTGTTCATTTTCATTTTATATTTTGTCCCTGGGGGCTTTTTTTTTTTTTTTTTTTTTTTTTTTATCCTCGCAAAGGGGCGGATTGGGGGAAATCATTCGAAGCAGGGAGTAAGAAATATTTGTTGTTGCTTTGAGGCTAACCAACTACCGCCACTGCTTCGCAATTATTGCCGATTCATTCGTTCAGCTATTTTTTAATTTTAATTATGGCGAGTTTTTTTTCTGCTCTCGGAATCCAGAGTAGTAGTTTATTATACCTATAAAAACAATATATAGCTAAATAGAGATATGTTGGTGGTGTTCTTTCTCTCATCGTTATTATATATATTTAAGCCAACCGCAAACCACTGTCCAGGCTAATAATTCCTCGCCCGCCCTTGTCCTCACCAACTAAATAAAACACCGCGCATCTGCCCACCAACCACATCAGCACTCGAGTTCTGTTGCTCTCCCCATCTCGCCGGGCAACCTTTTTGCTCTCATGCTTAGACTGTACCGATCCTCCTACGATGTCTGGATCAAATCCTTTCCGCCATAAGAAGAAGCCTACTACTACTACTAGCATCGACGACCAGACTGCCCCGCAACAGGCATCATCCATATCAGCCCACGCCAATCACTTATTAAACCACAGCGCAGCGATTGATCCCGCAGCAGCAAGGACCCGTGGCGAAGGTGTGCAGCCTCAAATTATTTTTTATCCATCTTTCGTAAAACAACGAGAAGAAGGTTCCCGTATTTGATAAGTAGGGGGGGGGGGGAGAACATTTTGTCAGGGGGCTGGCTGACTTGAATCATGTCTGCTTGCTACTCCACTAGGTCCTTCGCAGCCATCCCACCGCCAGAAATCCGTCCGCATCGCCTCTCCGCCCGTCGCAATACAGCCCTCCTTACATCTCAGTGCTGGCGATCATCCGTCGCCATCCAGTAATAGAGCGTCGATCCTCCATCACGGTGCACACCGTGGGTCACCGCCCCCTCCATCCGTGGAGGAGAGCTCGGGCTCAGAGGACGACTCCGCGGGAGATCCCTTCAATCCGGATGCTTCCGGGAGTGGTGATGAAGACTATGGGGATATTGGACAGGGGCGACATGTTGCAGAAGGGAAGCATGGGGTGATAGGACTTGGGCTTGAAGGTGGCCGGCGTGGATCAAGAGAGCCGTACGGCGCGGAGCGGGCCGTGTTTCCACATGTACAGGATCCAACTACACCGCGGAGCGATTCAACGACTCCACTACCTTCAGCCATGAAGGGGAAGAGGGCGACTATGGATGTGGACGCGTTTACGAGAATGCTTATGACTGGAGAGACAGGCGGAGCGGGAAAGGAGCCCGTTTCCGCCCCGCGGCAGCCTTTTGAGCCCACCCAGGGACCAGCCATCAGCGACAGCAGCAGGAACGCAGATACAGGATCTACATCAAAGGACCTTATTTTCGAGACGCGAAACCTGCCGCGGATAGAGACACCCCGGACGTCGTATGAGCTGTCGGCTTCGGAGGCGGACGATGAGCGGCGGAAACTGGCGGCCGCCTTGCCCAAACCAGCGGAAAGGCCGAAACCTCCGCCTCCGAAAACAAGGCGCGGGAAACTGATCAATCCCAGCACTGGCCAGACATCCCCTTTGGTTGGATTGGCCTCTCTTACTTCCCCAAATCATCGCTCTGCGTCGCCCGCGTCATTATCATCTCGATCGTTCACAGAGCAGGAAAGCGGTGACGTCAACAAGCCATCTCTTTTAGTGAGCTCGGAGCAGACTTCTCATGATTCAGAAAACATATCTCCCCTACCGCATCAGAAGCGCCCACCTACTCCACCCTTAGCTAGACGTCGCAGCCAGATGAAACCGAGCAATCCAAGACTATCAAGAAATAACTCCGCCAGACACTCCATGCCACCTACCAACACTATCAGGAACTCAGCCACAGCATCATCCATCCATACCTCATCTCCATTAAAATCCCCGCCTCCTCCCCCGTCCCGACGAAAAGATCGTGAATCATCAGCTTTCCCCTCTTCAGATACACCACCATTGCTACCCCACGAACGACAGCAGACATCATCGCACCAGCGAAGCGATTCCCGAGAAGATGCCTCAGACAAATCCAGCCTCCGCAGCGTGGAGACCGCGTCACCAATATCCAACAAATGGGCATCGCACGGCCCACCACGGCCGCCTCCACCCAGACGAGGGGGAGGAAGTAGAGCTAGTCTAGATGAGTCGCGGCCTGTTTTTCTGGGAGCCACGGATTCGTCAGCTGCGAGGATAGATATGAAGAACGCGGAAGACACAAAGTCTGGGGCTCCCGGTATACCGCCGCAGTCGCCGTCGCAGTCACATGCCGTTGATATCCTTGCGGATTTGTCGCGGTTGCAGAAGGAAGTGGATGATTTACGGGGTCGGTATGAGGGGCGGAAAGCGAGTGGGTGACGTTAACCTTTTTTTTTTGGACGGAGGGATATTATGAATGAAGGAGGAAGAAGGGATAGTAGAGAGCCTGAAAAGAGGTAGGTAGGTGGTGCACGCAGCCGAGCCGCCCCCTCTGGCTATACATATTGCGTGGCCCTTTTGAGCGCTTGATGTTTTTTTTTTAATGACCGTATCATTGAAATGTATGTTTTATCCGATTTCCATGCCTGTCCCCGAAATAAATTTTTGTGATTTTCCCTCTCAAGCCTTTTGATCGCTGCATTTGGCATATTGATGCAGGGCTGGACTTGTTATATGTTATAATGTTTTCCTTTTCGGACAAGTTTCTCCCCATCTATTTGTTCTCTTATCGATGTATAGTCTACCTACCTTACCTTCTTCAATTTCGTTAGCGCACGAAATGTGATAAACTATATCATATGTCGTACACATACATCTGTTCCGTGTTTGTATGTCCGGTTCCTTTTGTTTTCATTCTGCTACTAAACCCCTATTCCGCCCCAGTGAGGCAAACTTGGACAGGGAGGAAATGGAAATGCGTAAAGCAACTTGAAAATCTTTATATACATTATCAAACCCTCTTCTTCCCCTTGCATCTTCTATCTAACTGGGCCAACGAAATATGTGCTGTCCAGACATTCCAGCGCCAACATACCCTAACACTTTTGAGAGTCCCCAGACCGCCCCATCCCCTTATCCCATCATCCCTTCTCACTGGTTAAACATGAAATTTTGTTAGTCATCGCAGCCCTTAGTTAACTCCGCCTGCTTAGTAGCGGCCTATATACTCTCCGCCCGCTGCATCTGCACCCCCGAATCCACCACTGCTCCAACTCATTCCCATGACATCCCTCGGCTGCGCCTTTATGTCAAACGCGTGGGCTTGTTTAGAGGGAAGACGATCCAGTGCGCTCGACATACCTGGCCATCTCTCTGATAATCTGTTCAGATGAACGGCGGAAGCTTTCGTCGAGGTCCCAATTAGGACATGCGGCTTGACGCTCTTCACGACGGCATAGGGATCAAATCAAGTCCGCCTTTCGTCTTCCGGGGGCCTAGCCATCCCGTGCGAAGGTAGACTGGGCCGGTGTTAGCTGATCGCCTTGGGGATGTGAGGAGGAGGCCCTGTTTTATCGATACGCCTGTGATTGGAATATGATCAGCCTTTTTTTTTTTGCATTTGTTTTTGCCCATAGGTGATTGTGGGGGAAAAAAAAAAAAAAAAAAAAAAAAAAAAAAAAAAAAAAAAAAAAAAAAAAAAAAAAACCCGGAAACTACCAAATCTACTTCAATGCCTCATCCTTCGACTTTTTCGATTCCGCAGCTGTTGCGTCCCTGATTTGCGCTGCGATGTCCGTACCTACTAGCCCGGCACCGAAACAAACGACCGGGACATCAGTCAATTTGACTTTGCTAACCTGCAGCGCGGCAAGGAGAGCAGCCAGCGTCACGCATCCAGTCCCCTGAATATCGTCGCTAAAACAGGTCATATGTGGACGATACCTGTCCGTTTGGCATTTTGGAGCGCGAAATCTTCACTGAATGGAGTGATATATGTCAACAGAGTTCCTTTAATCAGAATTTCGGGATGAGGAGAAAGGGGGGGGGGGGGGGTGGTTCTGCCAAACTGGGTTTCCCTTAAGCAAACAGACTCACAAGTGTAAACTATGTATGCATTTGGAGATACCTCTTCCGCGCGGCTTTGACGAATTTATCCACAAAGTTCATCGTATTCCTGCCTGAGAGCGCGTTTCTGTCGCAGACCAAGATACAACTCATCGTTCACCAATTTCTCATTCTAGCAGGGCCCAATTAGCCAAAATGCGCTCCCACAATGCCAAAGAGCCGCAAACACAGAGATATGATTGATATATGCATTGGACGCCATTGACTTTACATTTGATCCACAGTCAAGCACGACAGGCAGCTGCCGCGTGGGATGGATACCCGCCCATAGCGCCGTGAGGACCATCTTGTCCAGGAAAATTCAAGATCCCGCCGTTCGCCTTGATCGCCTTGATCGCCTATTCCTAGAATCTTTTACGGACAAACACATGAGTTAGGAAAAAAGCTGTTGGGGGGGGGGGGGGGGGGAAGATGATGCCGCGGAAAGCTTTTAGGCATCATGATATCGGACCATGAGGCCTCTTTCGCCGTCGGTGATGACGATGCAATCTATCTCCTCCCCACTGGCCCCGAAGTTGGCAAGGTTGGCAAGACACTCGTCAATCCGATCCTGGTCGCGGATATTCAGAAAACAGCCCTCCGGCGGTCTGAAGGTTCTTGACTAAATCTCAATTGCTTCAGCTTCTGTTGGCGTGTAGATTACGCTGAACATCTCCTTGAGGTGTGTTTGCATGAGCTACTTGAATTTGAATTAGAATTAGTCACATCTGATTCGAAAAGATACAGCAGGCGGTATTTTTGTTCTATTCCCCCTCCCCCACCCCCCCCGGCAAGAATATTGGGGTACTGATTGGGGTACTGACTTCTTGTATAGTTGTATCCGGGCCTGGTATAAAGGAACAGATAGACAGACAGACAGACATTATAAAACAACACCTCATTCCGCGCCTTTCATGCTCGCCATAAACGTGTTGTTCGCCAGGTCATCCGGCCGGCTCGCATATATGCGCATACGCTCTCTCTACCGCGTTCGTCCAGCGTTTGGACATTGGACGGCAGCAGGCCATGGAGCTTGAATGTCTGCCTTTCATCATCTGGGAATGCAGTGCCCTTGTTATAGTATGAGCTATCTAGGTTCTCTCTTCCCTAGAGGCGGGTGGTGGTGTGTGTTAATTATTTCGAATGATCCATTGTATGGTTATGGGGCAAGTTATATGTTGGAAAGAGACGAGTGGGAGCAAGCTTTGCCGTGCAAATAAGTACTGATGGATGAGTAGAATGTATTATCTCACCTGGTACCGACATTCCAATGGACCATGCGTTGCTCTGGGTAGATTGTTGAATTTTGAGGGGCATGATTCAATTACTTTTTTTTATTCTTTTATTTCTTAGAATTTGGGATATTCCAGAAGGGTTTAATTTATTCCCGGTATATCTATTTAATTTAAATCGTTCAAAGGATATGAGCAATTCTTCCAATTCAAAATAGCGGTTTATCAGTATCCTACCTAGACCTAACTGTGGATTAGCAGGCTGGAGTGAAAATGTAATGAAGAGAAAAGAAATTCTGTAATTGAGTTAGGTATTGCAGTGAACATTGATAAATAAATGAATGTGTTGGATTTTTCCATGCAAATAGATGACACCACAATGCATAGAAGCCCCCCTTTTCCCACATTTTAAGGCATGTGGAGAGATTTTTCCTGACCATCTCTTTGCACAGTAGTTAACAATCCTCTACAAGATACCAAAATTTGAGAAGCCGAGCAAAAGTTAAAAACAAAACCAAAATATGTCCATGGATGTCTGCTTTGTTTCAATCCAAGGGGTAACTTTACAGTAGCAACCATCAGATATCAAGGCCCAATGTTACAAAGGCAAGACTTGGAGAAAGAAAAGACAAAATACAAGAAAGGAAAAGAGACAGAAAAAAAATGATCAGGGATGCGAAGAAGAAAAACGACACTACCTTGAGAACAAAAGTAGCAAAAGAATCGGAGTCAAAAAATAATAACAGCTCCCCTTTCTTGTTCCCACCCCCATATCCTCGTCCGAGAACGAAATTTGATAGCTTTAAAAGCAATTTGGAAATCATATGAAAAAATACACACATAAAATTCCCTTGAAACAAGAATAAAAACCAAAATTTTACTCATTCGTACATCGTCTTTCATTCCATCATTTGTTCGTGAGTCGCTTGCCTTTTCCTTCCATTCTTTCAACTTTAGTTTTTTCATATTTTTTTTATCCCGAATGACATTTCTGAACTTAACGAGCATTACCATCGAGATCTACACGACCCGGAGGTCGAGCTGTCGTATCCACAATGTCCTCGTCGTACGTCATGCCGTCGACCATTCGCGCGTCAAAATTCGTCTCCGCGTTGTCGTTGTTGGCCACTAGCTGTGGCTCGGGGGTAGTAGATCCCGCCGGCGAGGTTGATGAGTTGAAAGGGCTATTCTCCGCTGCTCCAAGGCTTGACTGTGTATACGAGGTATGTCCGCTGCCTGTTTGTGGCCGATAGTTAGGCGCAGGGCTACTCCTCCCACCGACCCCGCGGTTGCTGGAAGCGACGGAAATTCGAGCTGCGGAGGTTGAAACGGGTCCGCTCACGGTGCTGCTTGCGCCCTCACCGAAACCGACAAGGCTGGAGTTTCCTTCGTCGCTGAGTCCGCCTAAGCTGGAGACACCGTCGTCGTCACCTAGTCTGTCTTGGTCCAGGTTGTCGCTGCCGCTGGCCCAGGTTGTGCGGCCGCCGACGGAGCCCGTGGCGCTGGCGCTGCCGACTGTGCTTCGTTCTTTTAGGTAAGGTTGTTGCAGATGGTCGAAGTAGCCTGGGGTTTGTTGAATGGTGAATCCACCTGGCAGCCCATGCGTGTTGGCTGAAGGGGTCGTCCCGGCTCCGTTGGGTCTCGTGGCTACGCGCTCCAGGCCTGCTAAGCGTGAGATACGATCTGCGCGTTCTGCATCCAGTGTTGTTGTGGACGTTTCGGAAGCGTTTGATGACCGATGGCCATGGCGGGTGTGGTAGCGGCTGCCTTGGTGGCCATCCTTGATGGCTATGGTTGAGAGCGCGGAGAGTGATGTTGTGCCAGAATTGGGTGTGCCACTGGTTAAAGAATGTAATTGTCAGCAAGACCTTTAATCTCATAGAAATAACCAGATAAAGTGCAATGTTAGGTTGGAAGGGGGGGGGGGGGGGGTGTTTCTTACGGGCCCATGTCTGACGGTGACGGTGTTACGGGGTCAGAAGGTGGCGGAGGAAGATCGATCAACGTAGGTGTCGTCATTTTTGATATGTGTAAAAGCGTTCTTGACCTCTGAGAATGAGAAAGAGAAACGAGTCGCAAGAACGAAAGCGCAATTAAGGGATAAAAAGAAAAGTAGAACTGATGATGTAAACGGGTTGAGGAAACGGAGCTTAGCTGCTGCGAAATCGGAGTGCGACCGATTCCCGTTCCGCGACAAATGCGCCTTTCGCTCGATTCTCAAACAGAACTAATCTTCTTTGTTACTTTTTTTTGACTCTGGATGCTCAGGCTCCCTTAGTCCGGGTCGTATAGAGTTAAGGCCTAGAATCGAAACGACCAGGTTGGATATGCGTTAAAGTCTCTGTCCCATGTGAATTAGATCCGCAGCTCGCTGAATCGTGAGGCGAGTAAAGGCTCCAGACTATATAAGGCTTGGGCGTTTCAGGGGTTGCGAGTAGGTAGTTATGAACTAAATATGCGAATATGCCGGTGAACAACAAACAGGTCCCGGAGAGGTTTAACTATTTATACAGCAAGAAGTTCTTAAAATCGTTCAGTAAACTATGATTCAAGCGCAACTTGGACCAGGCGCGATCTAAGCCGGACAGCGGATATGATGTCCCACAGATTCCTCCTCCCCCACTTTGAGAAGAAGGTTCGAGCCAAATAACTGACGGAGGCAAATCGTGAGTTTATTATGACTGGACGAGGCGAGGGGGACAATAAGATGTGGAGTTGGGAAGATGAGATTCGAAGGTCTTTTTTTACTTCTTTTTTAGCGGCGCAGACGACGTCATCTGTTCTTAACTGAACGCGCGCAGCAATTTCGTTCTATATTAGTGAATTACAGTACAATGCTCATATTTGGATTATTAATAGTTACGAAGTAAATGCCAAGTTTATTTTATTTCTCCAGGTTACTTCACATTGTGTTTATGAATCGAAGATGCTCCCAACTTTTCGAAGCGCTTTGAATTTCCTGTTATCGTTATACGGCCGCCCACAACAAATCAGTTCGAGCCCCTCCATCGCCCGGTGAATTCGCGAAAAAATCCCGGAAATAGCTCAGATTTCAAGAAATCTAGCACATTTCACACCCTTGTAACTAGGCCTAGCCAGCGGGAGGTGGCATGATCTAGCCGTCAAGGATGAAAGTAACCATATAACAAAAACGAAAAATAGAAAGAAGTTCAAAGCAAAGAAGAAAGACTAGAACTTAAATTAGCCGCGCTTTCGTCCCTTCGGCTTTGGTGCTGCCGCTGGTGCGGTGATCCGCGTCCTGCAACGTTTCAATACCCGCACCCCAAACGACTTAACCTCAAAACAGAGCTCCAAAAACTCAGGATCCTCCAGGAGAGAATCCAGGTTCGGTCCACATGATATTGCTAGGCAACAGAGTCGAAGTAGGCTATCCTCTTCTTCGCCGTCTTGTGTATTTGCGTAGACGTAGCGAATATCACCTACGGTGAGCAAAGGACATGGAACGCTAGTTACACCAGCGATGAGTTGGTTGTGGATGTGGTTTTTGAACCAGGGGGCTTGGATTTTGTCCGCGAAGATATAGGATGAGAATAGTAGGCGCACGCTGCTGGATGCTCCTTTCTTTTTGGGTTCGAGCAGATGTGCTTCGTGGCGTTTGAACTGCTCCGTGCGCAAGTCCGTCACTAACAGAGAAGCCGTTACTGATCATCGCCCTATTTATCCCAAAATGCACAGACAAATATACCCCTTCCGACCTAGAAACTTTCTCGAATACTTACAGGGCAATTCAGTTTCAGGCTGCGAAAGATCGATGTTACTACCGGAGATTTCCCGGTATACAGCCACTGAAGAAACACAGCGAAGGTCCTGACGTCGTCGTCTGGAAGTCTGATCACACGATCTCTAGTTTCGGGAAAGTTGTTGCGCAGCATGCCGCGAAAGAAGAGAGATTGGGACTTGAGCAGTCCCTCGTGGACATTGAAAATACGCTGCACCCCACTCTGCGAGCCGACGTAGATCTGTAGGAGATCAGTCGAGGTGAACCTATATTTGCGACGCTTAGTAACAAGGACAAAAAGGGCAAACACTTGAGGGGAGTTGAAGAGGTGTGGAACATACTTCCATAGGTGAGGAGAATGGTCGATTGACGGCTCAGGTAGAGGCAGCACACGGACGTCAGCGTCTCGCTTTGGAGGAGCGGCTTCTGCCATTTTGATATGGGGAGGAAATCGAAGCTCCTTGAGGCTAGCGGTGTATTCAGTAGATGTTATGTTGCCTGTGATGATGAAAGTAAAGCTGGTGTATCTGATGAGCAGTAATTAAGAAGAGAAGGGTGATTGATATGATGAAGGTTTGAGCAGTCTGTTAGATAAAGCTGACAGTTCAGCTTGCTAGTTGCAGCGAAGTGGCTGAAGGAGCATGGGTTTAACTGTGATCAGACCAGCTCAGGGTTCCCTGTGCTGTGGAGGCTGTATATTCTCACTTTGAAGTCCAGTAACATCGAAGGGAAGGTTGCTGTGGTTCGTTTTGATATTGCACGGGCAATTAGAGAATCTTCAACCCAACGACGTCGTAGACTGCATGCCGACCACATTCATTAACTTAGCAATAGTGCACTAGGATTTCTAGATCCTAACATAATAGATATATTTCCTTGCCAATCCAAGGTAAAACTTGTTTAGCCCTATGAATTGAGAGACACTCCAAGCAAGAGGGCCACGTTATGGTAACAATGGGAACAGCAGAGAAAGCAACCTTAAACTACATTTCTGGTGAGCTCAAAGGATTTCGCTGCCTTCTAGAGAGCCCAAATTCCAACGAGTTTTCTTTTGTATCTTGATTCAGCTCATCTGTTTTGACATTTCTCAAGTCCGCTAGTCAGGCATGACAATGGACAATGTGGACTGTGAAACGAAATCCGCTGACTCTAAACTCCTTCTTGGATGTGTGATAATCAAGGCCCTGGACCTAGTGGGTTGATATTATATATATTCAAATGATGTGGTTTGTATACTTTTTCGTACAACTATTGCGTAGAAGTAGAAGTAGGATCTGTTATATCGAAATATATTTATTAGCGCTTCATATTCCTTTTTAGTCTGGAGGCTCAAAACCGTCTGCAGGATCCAGAGCCGCACTCAGCCGCACTCAGCCACACGCCCTACCAACTGCACCGCCACATATACCTCCCCAACAGGGCTTAGCGCGCCCTGCGATCTGCTTACCTACTCCGCCTTCAGCCCACATCATCGAAAACTCGAGAAAAATTGAGGTTTCGACTGTTCTTCCTTTCTTCTTCTTCTTCTTCTTTTCTTGTTCTTGTTCTCTTCCACCTCGCCCGCCCCTCTCCCCCCTCGCCCTCCGCCCGCCCTTCTCCGGTGATCCTTGGGATTACTGTCTCCGTATCGCTCAACCGCTGCTCAACAGCCCTGCCCAGCTACAGACGATAGCTTAGCTGATCTCCCGCGTTCGCACAACCAACATCATTTTGTTTCAAGCACTGGCTGGCATTTACTTGTCAAGCTCGGTAGAAGCAAAGGATAAAGAAAACGCAAAAGAAAAACGAAGAGCAAGGAAGTGACAGGACCAGATACAGATAAATCTCTTCTGTTCTACTAGCTTGGGGATATTGGCATATTGTCCGTGTTCCATCCACCGCCCTGCGTATATCAGATACACAAAGATACACAGCGGAAAGGTGACGTACCAAATTTCGAAACTACGGAATCGGGAAAACTCGTTGTCCTTGCCACACGATCAATTAAAACGCTGCATACTGCATAGCAGTTTAGAGGTCCAAAATCTTGACCTTTTACATTGCCATTTGCCTTTTCATTGGCCCTGCTCTCCACTCTTCATCTCAGCTCTCTAGCTCTCTTTTGAACTGTGGCTTTGAGTAGCCATGGCAGCTCCAAATCAGTATGCGTGTGAGTATTTTGCCCGCTTTATTTAAGAAGCCTATAGCTCCTAGAGTTGTGCACCCTCATTGTGCGTACATAGTGCATGTTGAGAAAGTGATACTTACATCCTCGTAGATCGAACGCAGAAGGGTATTTCCATCGTGGATGCAGCTCCAGTCTATGAGTCCTTACCCGGGTTTACGAGGTATTTAATGGCTGGCTCTTACGGGTATGAAAATTAAACTGGTGCTAATTTGGTTTATTCGTATAGGCCGGATGGTAACTTGCGCTGCTGCGCTTACTCTCCATGCGGTCGATATTTTGCCTGGGCGGCTCCAGAAGGGTATGTGCATAGTCTTCCTCACCACGTGTGACTTTTTTTCTTTTCCTTCTTTGACTAAAAATAACTTTCTGCAACAGTGTTGTAATTGTCGATGCCTCTGTTGGCCACGTCATTACTACCCTCCCGGCCGATAATGTCTATGAATTGGGCTTTTCACCCCTTGGCACATATATTATTACTTGGCAACGACCTTCGAAGGACGAGAACGGCGATGCCGTCAAAAATTTGAAGGTCTGGAGGGTCGTTGAAAACGCCCTTTCCGATGAGGGTAATAAACACGAGCATTCATTCATCGGAAGCTACGTGCAGAAATCCCAGACTGGTTGGAATCTTCAATATACACCTGATGAGAAGTATTGCGCCAGAGTCGTCACCAACGAGGTTCAATTCTACGAAAGCGGAAACTTAGGGAAGGTGTGGAATAAGCTGCGGGTGGAAGGGGTAGTGGATTTTGCCCTCTCTCCGGGAAAAAACAACTCAATTGCGGTTTTCATTCCAGAGCGAAAGGTTAGTCGGAGTTGATATACATTTCTGCTTTTTTTTTTTTTTTTCCGTTGCCTTGGCCTAACCCCATCTTCAATGGTCTAGGGGCTGCCGGCATCCGTGAGGATTTTCAATATGCCGCAATTCAACTCTCCTGTTTCACAGAAGAACTTTTTCAAGGGAGATAAAGTTCAGTTGAAGTGGAACAACACTGGCACGACACTTATCGTTCTTGCGCAAACGGATGTCGACAAAACCGGCAAAAGCTACTACGGAGAAACTACCCTCTATCTCCTGAGCGCTAATGGAGGGTTCGATTCAAGAATCGACCTTGGTAAGACAACATAACCCATTTTGTTTACACTGACATATCTTGTTGGCTAACTTGCAGTATATAGACAAGGAAGGACCCATTCATGATGTGACCTGGTCCCCGAACTCGAAAGAATTCGGTGTTGTTTATGGATATATGCCTGCCAAAACCACCATTTTCAACAATCGCGCTGTCGCAACGCACTCGTTTGCCCTCGCGCCTCGAAACACCATAATTTTCTCCCCTAATGGAAGATTCGTGGTTGTGGCCGGTTTTGGCAATCTTGCTGGGCAAATGGACATCTATGATCTGGACAAGGATTATACGAAAATAGCTACGATCGAGGCATCCAACGCCAGCGTGTGCGAGTGGAGTCCTGATGGCAAATTCATTTTGACTGCCACTACGAGTCCGAGACTCCGAGTCGATAACGGAGTACGCATTTGGCATGTCGGAGGAGGGCTAATGTACAACGAGGATTTGACTGAGTTGTACCAAGTCTGCTGGAGACCCCAATCTGCGACGGTTCACCCACCGGAAAACCCACTCCACCCAATGCCCACTCCGCACCCCTCTGCGCTAGCATATCTAGCTACCAAGAAAGCGCCTTCGAAACCAGCCGGGGCATATCGACCGCCCGGTGCCCGCGGACAAACCACTCCGCTAGCATTTAGACGAGAAGATGAAGGAGGGGAGAAATTTGTCAGGGATGAATCATCATCTACGCTCAGCGGCAATGGCCCAAATGGATTTGGTAAGCCCAGACGGCGCGTCGTTCCAGGCGCAGAGCCCGTTGCGGAGTATCTTCCACCTGGCGCCGCTCCGGGAGGCGGGGTAACACTCCCCCCTGGAGCTGAAGGGGATGAGAAACTCTCAAAAGCCGCCGCGAAGAACAAGAAAAAGCGCGAAGCAAAGAAGGCAAGGGAAATGGCGGAAAAGGCCGGTAATCTGGCGGCCGATGCTGGCGCAGATTCAGGTATCTCAACTGGACCCAGCGCTGACCGTCGGGAGCGAAGAGGTCACTCACGCAGTCGATCTCGAGGAAATACTGTTTCTCAGACGCTCGATCCCAACAGCTTTAACCGCCAGAACCGCGACCGGAGCCGCAGCTCCCATCGTAGACAGCGCAGCGATCATCAAAACCGCACCAACGGCGTTCCTGCCACGGGGCCTGGAAACCATAATCGCCCTAGTGTTAACACTCGTGCCCCAGCACCCAACAGCACATCGGCACCAGCACCACCAGACGTGACTGTCACGTCTCCAATGACTCCTAGTGGTGGTACGATCCAAGATAAAAAGATCCGCGGGCTTCTGAAGAAGATCCGCGCTATTGAAGAGCTGAAGATGCGCGTGGCGGGCGGGGAGAAGCTAGAGGATACGCAGATGAAAAAAATCCGGACTGAGGATGGGGTGCGGAAAGAGCTGGAAGCTCTGGGATGGGCGGGATAGAATTACTCCTCGTATCCACTTCCGCTCTTTTCCTTGTTTTGGGGCAAAAAGCACCGGCAGCTCTGGAAAAGTAGATAGCGACTATGGGCTACCAGGGCGAAGCTTTATTTTTGGTACAAGTGGCTGTAGAACAAGGGGTGGCCGCGTTCCTCTCCCCCTATTGTTGGAACACTCGCCAGTACGGTTAAAAAGGCCTGGAATGATGTGACTTTGGATTAGAATATAAGACCGAAAAAATCAATATATATTATATTATACATTTACCTGCACACCAGTTGGCGTGGATCTTAGAGCATTTGCTTTCTTTTACTTTTAACCTTTTTTACTCATCTCTCAGAATCAATCGATATCTGATGGTAGCCTGCCTGGCTGGTACTTGAACTTTATTAATCCTATGCACAAATGTAAGCATTGAGTGAGGGCTTCTAATTTGTATGATTTAATTGTTCTACGTTATTACTGCTCAGATTACTCTCCTGAACTGGGTTGAGCTGCAAAGTATGCCGCCTTGCATTGCCCGTTACACATGGTTTGAACATAGACTCTGGCGCAAACGCTGCTTCTGCCCTAGCCTAGCCAACCAGCACCGTCAACGCCAACATCGTGAAGCAGACATGAAACAGATAATGCTACAAAGGTGCATGATTGGGGTCGGCCCCGAATAAATATGGACGCTACTTTTATGGCTTTCCTACTCGATCGAGGCGCTTAGGGGTGTCATTTTTTTATTAGTTACTTCCCACACTCTGGAACCTCATCATAATACGGTATCATTTCTCCTGGTTTTGCTTTGCAATCCTTCTTGGAAGTTTACTTGAAGGGCCAGAATTGATATCCTGCCCCCCATAGGGCCTGGGCGAACGAAAAGGATGCGCCAGACACCCAGCTAACTTACACACTCTCATACCTGCCCGCCAAAGATCGGTAGCCAGTGCATTCGTTATTGTTCCTCACGCGAAGTCCGCCAAGTTCTAGGCTATGGACTGACTGTTCTGATACCTGCCCTGTCACAGGCTCTGCCTGAAGGATGTTTTGCATCTTCGATGATTCCTGCGGCCGGCGCTCAGCCGGGACAATGAGAGGTTCATATCGTGTTCCATTTTCTCTTGATCTCCTTTTAATGCTTTTCTTTTCCTTTCTTTTTTTTGTTGTTATTTTGGTTTACCTCCTCCTTTCACGCACTGCTGAATTCTTGCTTTTCTTTGCGCCTTGATCCCTTCCATGTTTCCTTGTCGCAGAGCGCGTCGTGATAGCTCGGTCTTTTTAATACGAGGAACAGCCGTCACGGTCACCGTTTGGATCGGCTGGGTGGTTGGGCTTGCTCCAAGTCAAAGGCAGTAAGGATTGTATATCCGTTGCTCTCTCTGCTGTAATACCCAGGCGTTTCATCCTATTGACGCGGACATATACTTTTTAATTCCCTTCTGCCGATTTTGTACTCTCAAGCTGGTTATTGAGAACAAAACTCGGTGTAGACTTTTCAATATCCAATCACCATCTTTCACATCTGTGCGCTACAACAAATATCTATAGGAGGCTTATACGAAGGTTACCATTTTGCCATCATTCTCACACTTTCGCACGCTTTTAACCTTAAGTGGGCCCATTGTTATTGAGTTATCTATTGGAGCCGTCCTCCCATTCCTTATTGGGTGTCCCTCAATAGTTACACAGCCATGAGCAGTGGAGGAAGCTCATGGGGTGGCCAAACAGAACGAGCGAGATGGCCGCCCTTGACGCGGATGTTGATGTCAGGAGAGATGAGTGGAGAGCCGCCACGGGATTTAACTTTGAAGGAGAAATTTGATCGATGGTATGTTTCTTTTAAAAAAATTTCTTAGAGGAGTTAACCTGTGGACAGGATTGATTTTAGCCTGGAATATATGGCCTCGTTGCTGATTTATGATTTTGGAATAGGATGGTTAACGAAGGGTGGAGAAGACTGTGAGTTACATCTAGCTACTGAAACTTTCCCGCCTACGTCTCTAGGATCATTTTTGTATTATCTAGATATTATATCGAGTGGTGTTAGAATTGCTGATTTGATATGTCAGATTCGTCTTGGTTTTCATCGTCTCCCATTTTATGATATTTGTGTTTGGATTTCTAAATTACCAACTAAAGGTGCGTTGTGATACTCCATTCTCACTGAGCAAAAGAATGATATTAATGATTTATGCTAGGACAATCTTAATGGAGCGAGAGGGATCTTTGGTCCTACTTTTGCTATTGCTCGGTCATCTGCTCTGGTTCTGCATTTCGATGTTGCCCTAGTTCTCTTCCGTAAGTTGCCTAGAGTTCTCCTGTATGTACTGCAAGTCCGAGCTGACTGAGAAATATAGCTGTCTGTCGGACCCTCATATCACTTGCCAGACAGACTCCGTTGAACGGTATTATTCAGTTTGGTGCGTGAACCATTCTTGCCTTTTCTTGGATCTTGGTAGTCACTCACTGACATTTGATATAGATAAGAACATCACATTTCACAAACGTTCGTCAAATCACCCTTGCCAATTGCGAAATTCCCCGTATGCCGAATGCTAACTGGGTTCTTAGTTGTGGGCTGGTCTATCTTTATCTTCTCATGGGTCCATACAATCGCCCACTGGAATAATTTCGCCCAACTTGCTGCAAAACAAAACCTAGGCTTTAAGGGATTTATCCTTGCCAATGTGGCCAGCGGCCCTGGCTGGTCAGGTTATGTTATGCTCATTGCCCTCACAGCCATGGTCTTAACGGCGATGGAGAAACCACGCCGGGCAAATTTCGAGCGATTCTGGTACACACACCACCTTTTTGTCATATTCTTCGTTTTCTGGGCCGTGCATGGTGCATTCTGCATGATCAAGCCGGATTTCCCGCCTTTTTGCAACGGCATAGGCGTATTCTGGCTCTTTTGGATGTACGGGGGAGCGGTATACCTCCTCGAGCGTATCATGCGAGAAATCCGTGGACGGCACAGGACGTATATTTCGAAGGTTATCCAGCATCCGAGTAACGTCTGCGAAATTCAGATCAAGAAGGAGAAGACGAAAACTAGAGCCGGCCAGGTGTGTTGAGACTTCTCCATACACTTCCAATATATGTTCCTAACCTACTGCATGCAAACAAAACAGTACATCTTCTTATGCTGCCCGGAAGTATCTGTGTGGCAATATCACCCTTTCACTCTCACAAGTGCCCCTGAAGAGAACTATATCTCAGTCCATATCCGATGTGTCGGGAATTTTACCAAAGCGCTCGCGAAGTCTCTCGGTTGCGATTTTGAAAACAAGGGTGGAGAAAAGGCCAAAGCGGGCGTCTTATCAGTTGTAGGTGTTGATAAACAAATTGCCGACGACGATGTCGATCCCAAAATACGCCGCATTTTACCTAGAGTGTACATAGACGGCCCATTCGGAAGCGCGTCTGAAGATGTATTCAAGTACGAGATCGCAGTTCTTGTGGGAGCGGGTATTGGTGTCACACCCTTCGCTTCGATCCTGAAGAGCATCTGGTACCGCATGAACTACCCACAGAAGAAGACCAGGCTCCGCAAGGTATATTTCTTCTGGGTGTGCAGAGATTTTGGCTCTTTCGAGTGGTTCCGTTCTCTGCTGCTAGCCATCGAAGCGCAGGACATGGCTAATCATATTGAAATCCATACCGTATGTGCACATCACTACTTCCAACTCAACTACTGCGTTTTGATGCCAATTGAAATAAAATCTATAGTATCTCACTGCCCGCATTAAAGTCGACGACGCCACGAATATTATGATAAACGATGCAAATGCAGAGCAAGATACCATCACGGGTCTGCGGGCGCCGACAAACTTTGGCCGTCCGAACTGGGACATGGTTTTCCGGTCGATTCGCAAGATCCATGCCCCAGCTGAGGCGGGCGTGTTCTTCTGCGGCCCTAAGCCCCTAGGTAGCGCGCTTCATGTGAAGTGCAATATGTATTCCGAACCTGGATTCAACTTCGTATGGGGCAAGGAGAATTTCTAGCTTGGAGGGCTGAATGGACTCTACAATGGGAGAAGGAGAACAGGAGATGGAGTTGGAGATTGGAGATTGGAAATTGGAGGTTGGAAGATGGATAAATGGATGTTATGCGTATCAATGTATTTGTACGATTTCTGTTTCGATTGTTGTTCCTCTTCCTGAGTTTAAGTTCAAATATTTTGCATACTTCTGTTCTCAAGAGTTTATTGATTCTCGGTAGGAATGATTTTTCGTGTTATGGTAAATGTTTTTCTGGGCAGTTATGCATCGGGAAGAATGTATCTCGCCAGAGATCTATTAGAAACATATTTTTTTTTGCTCTCCGAGCTTCATATTCCAGGACCATTGGCCTCATAACCTTTATAAAATTCAATTAATGGGAAGGTATTGGGTGATAAATGCGCTTCCAATAAATTATTAAAAAAACCAAAGCAATCTAGCACAAAATCTACCAAGATGTGGGTATCGTACAGTGCATAATCGGGGTGGAAAACGGCATCAGGGGTTAAATAACGGTCCGAAATATGAAAATACTCCAAAAGCGTTAGAGGGTATCCAAAAAGTATATCAGCTAGCACCGTACTTCAAAAATCTCAAAGCTGAAACCAAACCTCAATCCATACTCACAGCATTGTTTAATCCCTCTAGTCTCTGGGGCATCTATGACCTCAAGTTTCCCGGAAACCCTCTTAGGTCTTCGGGTGCGTCTTCTCATCGCTCCTCTCTTCAGCAGCATCACTGCCAGTGACAACCTCTTCATGACCCTCAGCACCGCTCGAACTCCCCGCTTGTTTATTCTCCTGATCCAGCTCAGCTTTTCCCTCCTCTTTTTCCTTCTTAGCCTCATTCCTATCCCTTGAGCTCGACGACCTCCACATAAACCGCTTCCCCTCCTTCCCCCGCTCACTAAGCCATCGAGAATCCTCCTCTTCGACCAAAATCCCACTACTCCTATCGCCACTACCATCGCTGCTCTGATGGCGGTGGCGGCGGGACCACCTTCGGGAGAGACGTGCTTCATCATTAGTAGTAGTATACATGGCTGGTGCAACCAATCGACTCGTAGGTTCTTCAAGTGAAAATGCCCCTTCGATGACGGGGGTTGCCGGTATGACCAACATCTCAGTCGCCTCCGCTAGTCCTTCCGCGACAACATGAGACTCTTCGGCTGGGTTGCCAGCTTCTAAGTCGAAGCTTACCTGGCCAGCATCAAGAGAGCCAGCAGATGACGGATCAACGGGCTGGCTAGCGGCGATCTGCGCGGTCCAGCGACAGATCAAGTAGCGCTTAAGCTTCGAAACAGCACCCAGACTATCGACGCCATGATCATCTGATTCCCGCCTAGCCTGTATTGTCTTTTCGGGTGCGCTCCAGCGTTTGATAAGGTACCATTTGAGGCGAGCGAGGTAGCCTTTCGGGCGGACATAGTCGCGAGGGCCCATGCGCGACCACAAAGAGGGGTTCTCGGTGGCCATGTCGTGAAAGAAGTTCTCGTAGATGCCGCGCTGGTAAGGGGTTTGGCGCTGGCGGGCGATGACATGCTTGACGACGTACCAAGCACCGAGCACACAGAGCATAAAGGGCACGCAGGATATGAAGTACCACTTAATGCTAGGGTTGTCGGCAAACGCATCGACGTTCATGCCTAGATCGAGTCAGTATAGGACGCTAGGGATGGGATAGGTACGGATGAGAAATGTATTATGAGCCATACCGAAGAAGCCGACAATGAAAGTCAGGGGTAGGAAGATAAATGTTATCCAACTTAGCCGCCACACTGGAGGGGTTGTGTTAGTGAAATGTATGCTCCAAGTATGATGAGGCGGCACATACTGCTGACACCGAGTTGGATGCTATGTCTACTATCACGGATTGAAACGCTTTGATAGAGCAGCGAAATCAAAGTCTTAGTTGGTTTGACCAAATCTTCCTCAACCAATGTGCTGAGCCTGTCATAGTCTCCCGGGATATTGTCAAGCCATGTATCGTCTGGGTTTAGTTCGTCTGGATAGATAGTTAGTATTAGCCATAATAAATCCAACATCTAGGGACAAGACAACGCACCATCCAACTCCCCTAGCCTTGGCCGCATCTCCTTGACAACGTCAATATGTATAAACAATAGTTTCTCTACCTTCAGCCAAATATTTGAATTCAGCCATAGCTCTGGTGCCCTCGTCTCGTCGGCTGGCTGCTCATAAACCTTGTCTTCCAAAATACTAACGTGGTCCATAGCAAGGTCCAAAAAGGTATCCCACTCCAACACCAGCGCCTTGAAAATATCCTCAAGGATGATCTTCGAGCATTGGTATGCGAGCTGCTCGTCCGTGGCCACGAGATCGCGAGATTCGAACGCCAGGAAGAAAGGGAGTCGGCGCCATCGTGATTCCCAGAAGCGCCGTGCCGCGATCAAGGTGTCCTCGATGCAGTTGGTGTGTGAATTGTCAAATATGAGGATCGCGTTGCCGTTATCGAGAGTGTCGAGACGTGGGATGTATTCGTTCTTCCTACGCTGCCTAGCACTGTCGGTTTTCGGGGGGTCGATGATGTAAGGGTTCTTGATATCCGGGTTCGTGGGCACCCCAATGGCGGACTGTTTGTGTTGGATATAGCAACTGACGCGCTGCACATAGACATCATAGCCATATTTGGGATTATCTAGCCGCAGTGCAGAGTTCCATTTGCTCAGCATTTATAATTCCCTCCGCATAAAAACCTCGTTTTGTTCAACTAGTTGGCTGGAGGCCTACCATTTTGATCGAAGCAATTCAGTTCCATCATTTTCAAGCTATCATCCTGTTCATGCGGGCCCCTCGGCACTCGATTCATCGGATCAGGGCAACGGTATTGTTTGAAATAATCTACGCCAAAGGACGTCTTGCTAATCCCGCGCCAAGGATCATATTGTACTTTCCACGTCTTCCCGCTCAGAAAGGGCTTCCCTCCCCGTCGTTCGGGACGTTTGTGGCGGACATAGCGGCCAAAGTCAGTGCCAACAAGATCGTCTCGGTTATCGATATTGAACTTGCGCAGGAGAAAATTGGTGGCCCACTCTGCATTCTGCACATGAAAGACGCGCAGCACGGCTTCGCTATTTCGTTCCGGGTTGGTGTACACCTTCCGGAGGTGTTCGAGGTCATAAATTTCCTGCGCAGCTACTTTGCGCATCCCGACCTTACACTCATCTAAATGTGCACAGGAGAAAGAAATTAGTTTATGTATCCCCCTTCCTCCCCTCTAGCTTCCTTGTGCTTTTTATCCCCAACACCACTCAGCTCTTACAAACTGTACGCACCCTGTTTAACAAAATCGATTATCAGGACCCGTCCGGCGAATATGTCAAGGTCGGAGTATTCCTTGTGCCATTTTGGGCCAAGATCATGCTTCTGCGTGTGTCGAGCTAGAGGTGAGGAGAGTATAATAAGCTTTATATTCTGCCGAACAACATAACTAGGGTTAGGCATCATGCTCCCTACCGCTAAATCTCCTATAAGGTTCATGAACAGTCGACAATTCCTCAGCAACTCGGGGAGAGGGAGCGGGAGAACGCTGGTCATGGATGTCTGCTCCAGAAAAGATGAAAGATATCAATCAGCAAGTGCAAGATATAATAGGGGGTCAGAGTCTGTTCCAGTTCCTAGCCCGGGGAAGCATAAGTGCGTCCATACCATGGTCGTCCGGTACTGGCAGGGCCGAACCAAGGTTCCTGGTGTCTAGGTGCGGTTGCGGCCGTCTTGCCGTCGTCGCCGTCGGCGCTGGGGCCGAGGAAGGCGCACCGATGGAGTCTCCCATCTCGGAAGTATAAAAAAATAAAAATTAAAGCATTAATTTCTGCACAGGATAACCAGATAAAGCGTCAAGAGAATGAAGACGAAGGGCGCATCTATACATAAAACCAGGGCAAAACATAGCAGTGGGAAGGTTATATTTAACGCCGAAATTATTTTGGTGCCAACACGCGCTTGTGCATTGGCATCTGAGGCTGGCAGGTGAAAAGCTAGCAAGATCAGCCACAGTTGATGATCAAAACCGACGATCTTAGCGGCAGCCTACGCAAACAGTGCTCGGCGGTCATCTGTGGGGGTTGTCTAGGCTAATAAGGCTGAGCAGGGTCGGGTTGCAGTGCTTGTGGTCATCTGGATAGCTCTCGTTCATGCTGATGGGCCGGATGATGCGGGGGAATTATAGGCGAGAATCTACGGGGGTGTGTATACAAAGTCAAAGCCTAGATATTGCCCCAAAAAGGTGAATAAAATCGTACTCTACTCATGCTAGACATGGTTAATATCAGACATATGCATGTCGACTTGGTCATTGCTAGAAAGGGTAAAATGTATGTACTGAACAAGCTACAGAAGAAGCAAATATCTCCATGAAAGTATCACAAGGGCTATGCCCGCATGTGAGAGTTATTAACAATAATAATATCTAGCTATACGAAGAAGATGAAATAATATATTCCTGACGATATGCTTAGAATATCAATACGTCGGACCATTCATCATTCAACCAGTTAAGACGCTGTGTTACCAGTGTTGCCTGGAGACCCCTTAGCTTAACAAAAAAAAATTAGGGGTAACTCAGGGCCTAAGACGCCTAAGACGCCTAATCCGCAGCACACTCCCCGGGCCTCCCAGCCCCATCTGCGGCGAATAATAATATATAGAAATACCCCCTGCAGTGGATTTCAGCCTTCCGAGCCCCGCCAAATCCGCAACTTGTTGTATCTTCTCAGCCACGCCGCCGTCAAACGAGGTTCCCATCAACAGACTGCATATATAAGGCAACCCCTCTCATACTGTAACTACTTTAAGGGAATCGTCAAAGCTAGTTTCGCATAGTTCAATACATTATTGCCTATTTCCATTCAACACTCCCCTCCACGAAAACTACAACCATGTCTACCTACACCGTTGCCAGCGGAGACTCGATGTGGGCAATCTCCGTTGCCCGCGGTATCTCTCTTGACGCTCTGATTGCTGCAAACCCGCAGGTATCAGTCCCCAGTCAGATCGAAGTTGGCCAGGTATTAAATATCCCTGGCGGAGACGCTCCAGCCGATCCCTTCCCCGCCCCCACTGCCAATGTTCCGCCACCACAAGAGGTTTTTACGCTTCTGTCTGGAGGAGTCCCGCCCCCAGTTCCAGCGGCTGCCGCAGTGCAGCCTTCTCTTCCGCCGCCGGTTGGGCCGAGCCCCGGGAGCGAGGGGTTCAGGACTGTTGGGTATTTTACAAATTGGGTAAGCTTTGACTCCCAAGGCCCATAACCAAATAGGTTTTGTTTATACATACTTTTTTATGCATTATATTGGATGCTATAAGCTTCTGGAGAAAGTAACATCTAAACCGTTCTCTTATTATTAGGGTATTTACGGACGTAATTATCAACCTATGGATATCCCAGGAAACTATATCACTCATATTCTCTGTAAGTAGAAGAGTTGAAGTTGAAAGAAGAAACTATATCACGAAGATATACTTTCTTTTCGGAAAGTTGAAGTAACTACTACATATAAACTATATTCTAACCGTAATGTAATCACAGACTCCTTTGCAAACGTTAGACCAGATTCCGGTGAAGTGTACGTCCAATATCATTCCATGACCGCCGTGCAGAAGGAAACTCCCCCAAGCTAACCCCTTAGTTAATATCAGCTACCTAACCGACACCTGGGCCGATGTCGAAAAGCGCTATCCCGGCGACTCCTGGGAAGAACCAGGCGAGAACGTCTACGGCTGCATAAAGCAGCTCTACCTCCTAAAAAAGCACTATAGACATTTAAAAACCCTCCTCTCCATCGGCGGTTGGACCTACAGCGCCAACTTCCCGGTTCCAGCCTCTACAGAAACCGGCCGAAAAACCTTTGCCCGCACTGCCGTCCAGCTCCTCGCAGATCTCGGCTTCGACGGCATCGATATCGACTGGGAATACCCACAGGACGCCGCGCAGGCAGAGAACTTCGTCCGCCTCCTGAAAGAAACCAGAGAAGCATTGGATGCCTACTCAGCCCAGCATGCGCAGGGGAGACGGTTGCTACTGACCGTTGCCGTCCCCTGCGGCGAGACAAACTATAAAAAGCTGCTCATGTCGGATATGGACAAGTATCTCGATTTCTGGAACCTGATGTGCTACGACTTTGCGGGGAGCTGGGATAGGAAAGCGGGACACATGGCCAACATTTTCCCGTCTAGAGACGTGCCGGAGTCGACACCGTTCAATGCCGACGAGGCAATCACCGCATATGTCGCAGGTGGCGTGCACCCGAAGAAAATCGTCTTTGGGCTGCCGCTATATGGCCGTGCGTTCGAGCAGACTGATGGACCCGGGCATCCGTTCCAGGGGGTCGGCGAGGGGTCGTGGGAGTCTGGGGTGTGGGATTATAAAGTCCTTCCCCAGCCGGGGAGCGAGGAGGTGAATGACGATGACTTGAAGGCGAGTTGGAGCTATGATCGAAATGCGAGGAAGATGATTAGTTATGATACGCCAGCGATTGTGGCGCAGAAGGCGGATTACATTCGCAAAAGGGGGATGGGGGGTGGAATGTGGTGGGAGCTTAGCGGTGATGCTCCGGTGGGGAGCGAGCGGAGTTTGATTGCGACGACGGTGAATGGCCTAGGGGGGGTTGGAAATCTGGATCACAGTGAGAATTTGTTGGATTATCCGGCTAGTCGATACGAGAATTTGAGGAAGGGGTTTCAGTAGGTAGGTTCCTCCGGGGCTGGAGATATGCAACGCCATGCACCTACTTGCGGGGCGTTGCGATGAGTTCAAAACAACGATAGTTCAATGTAGATGATATAGGCATTAGTATGTACTATACGGAGTACATAACTAGTTAACACTTAACTTAGGTTTAGAGTTCACTAGCCTAATATGCAGTACATATATCATTTATATACCTTACCTGAGTCCCTAAATTTCATCTACTCAACAGCAACCATTTTTAACTCGGTAAATTGTCGGTGGATATATATCTTCAATGAACAGCCAAAAAAATCTTTATTATTTTAGATAAATATAAATACTATATATATATTTCTCACTAATTTAACAATTTTAAATAGACTTAGATTCTTTTTATTCAGCTTCTTTAATAAGTGATGTACAGTACATTCAAGAAGGGAGTTTATCCATCCTCTAGTTATATGATCGGCTGGCAGAGAACTGAATGAACCCCTTGTAACATGTCCTGATCTTATTAAATAAAACCATTCACTCAATAAATCATCTATCCCCTAGGAATATATGATAACAGTACATCCGCGGGTAAAACGGCTGAATAAACAAATAAATAATAAAAATAAAAATAAATGCAAAATAAATAATAAAAAGAAGGAAGAACAGAAAACATAACACAAATCAATCAAGGAAACAAACAACAATAAGAATGCAAATCCTTGAAAATTTTGCAACCCATCCCAAATCCGCCCGTCCATTCATTCATTCCAACGATCCAAAAATTACCACGCCGATTTTCGCCGATTACATATCCTGAGTTTTCATAGCAGAAGTTTTGCAAGCACAGAGGAAAGATAATTAAAAGGAGAAATGGCATAAGAAAGAGGGAAAGAAAAAAAAATAATAATTTCCAGCCAGCACCCCACCCCACCCATGGACATTAGAAAGAAGAAAATGGAGAGAGAAAGAAAACCTCCCAGGAGGTCCAACAGGAATGGAAAGGTCATGATCTCGACACGTGCTCCTCGATGTCGTTCACGCCCGATTTGCTTGGGACAAACGCGCCAAACAGAATGACATCTTCATAACGCCTCAACCAACCCCCACATCAAAAAACCCCAAGCCCAACTCTTCCCCAGCACTCCCCAAAATTCCGTTCAATTCCCTCATCAACCATCAAGAAAAACAAATCGAACAAGAAGATTTTATTCAGCCCTTCCCTGCGTAACCTTCGCAGCCTGAATAGCAGACATCTTCTGCGTCCAGCCCTGTGTAGGGTGGGGTTTCTTCACTGTACGCAGGTCGTCCGATGAGAATCCCGGAATGCGCATATTATAGTTACGCTCGAGGATTAGCTGGATATCGCGGATGTCAAGTGTGGAGGCTGGGCGGAGTTTAGCCAAGCGGCATGCAGCGGTGATGACGTCGTCGACGAAGTCGTCGGCCATTTGGAGAATGAACTATACGGCGTTTGGGGGGGGTTGAATGTTAGCTAGGCGTATTATAGAGGAGAGAGAGAGAGAGATGGTGAGAGTATAGTTTATGGAGAAAGTAACGCGAGCCGCGAACGTATACTGTAAACAACAATAAATAAATAACATACCTCTTCCGCATCTGGAGTAAGACCCTGACCCTCTCCACCCCCCGTAACTTGCTTCACAAGAACATCCAACATCTTCTTGCTAAGCACATGCTGGCCCTCCCCCTCAAGTACATATCCAGGATGCTTCTGAATAGCCGGTTGGCCCATCGCGCCCATCGCGCCATGGCTCGGCCCACCAGATAATGTAGGGCGTGCAGGATCCATGGAGACAGGTTCAGGCGGTTTGACGTTCAGGTTTTTGGGAATGGTCATGTGCACGCTGCGCGAGCTGCTATCAGTTCGATTGTGCGCGTAGCCTTGCGGGTGGGCGTGGGGGTTCGGAGGCTGCGGCTGCTGTGGATGCTGCTGCTGTTGCTGTGGCTGTGGCGGTGGCTGTTGTTGCTGTTGCTGCTGCTGTTGAGTGAGTGGTGGTTGTTGAGTTGACTTTGAGTAGTTTTGGGCAGACTGTTGAAAGGCAGCTTCTTGGGAGAGGGGGCGAGGTGGGCCTGGTGGATGGCCCGGGATGTTCTGTGTTGCCGTAGCGGATATGGGAGTACTGGAGGATTCAGTTCGTGATGGTTGTTGAGTGTACGGCTGCTGTGGCTGCGGTAGGGGGTTTTGAGCGGTGTGTTGCTGAGGTCGCCCGGGAAACTGAGAAACTTGTGAAGTAGGGGTATTCTGCGCGGGTGCCGGTGAAGAGAGCTGGCCTGCCTGTGAAGTGGCAGGAGCCATGGTTGTTTGACCTGCCTGGTTTCGCGCAGCTACTGCAGAGTTGATAGTGTAGGGAGCTGGGCCATTGGACGCTTGAGCAGGTAGGCCCGGCTCAGTTTTCACGATTGGACCTTGTGGTTGTTGTTGCTGCGGAGGAGGAACAGGACTGGGACCACCAAGCCCAGGTCTATTTTGATGCACGCTTGATGTTTGCTGTTGCGCCACCTGCTGTGGCTGCAGCTGCGTTTGCGCCTGCCCCTGTGACTGCCCAGCTCGAAAAGAGTCCTGCTGCTCTTTAAACTTGATAAGGAACTCACTTCCCTCCTGATAGAGCTTATTGGCCGTCACCTGTCGATTCTTAAAATCCTGCATCTCCTCCGGCGTCAAAGTCCCCGCGCTCTGACGCTGCTGGTACGCCTGGCGTAACTCGGCTAGCTTTGCTTTGCCCAACTCCTGCTTCTGCAACGCGATGCCATATCGCAACTTAGCATCATTCAGCCACGCTTCAACCTGTATCTTATCGATCTTGGGCGGATATACGAAACTAAAACTGTTCACTTTAGCCTGTATCTGCGGCAAAAGTTGTTGAAACTGTGATTGACCCAGCTGCGCTCGTGGCGGCGGCGGCGGCTGCTGCTGCTGCTGTTGTTGTTGTTGCTGCTGTTGCTGCATCTGGGCTGGCTGGGCGCCTTCATTTTTCATCGGTCCTTGCCCCTGACTCGACTGTTGCACCTGTTGCATCTGTTTCTGCTGCTGCTGAAGCTGCATCTGCCTGTACTGAAACGTCTTCATTTGACGCATGAGTGTCTGTGAGAGGCCGGCTAGTTTTGAATGGGCGTTGTTATACTCGGCAGTACCCGGAGCATGCGCGTTGATGGTCTCCCACAGACTCCGCACAACCTGGGTGTTGGTCGCTTTCTGCGAATCGGTCAGGTGCGGGAGTTTCTGAACTTGATCGGTGCGGATTAGGTTCTGCTGCTGGGCGGCGGGGAGGGCAGTAGAGCTTTGATTTGGTGGATTATTGGGATTATTGGGATTGTTAGGATTATTGGGGTTGTTAGGATTGTTAGGATTATTCGGATTATTGGGATTAGGAGGGGGGTTCGGCGGGTTGGACGGGTTGGACGGAGCGGAGGGTTCCATCTTGATGGCAGTTTGGCGGCGAGTAGCACTCCCGAGCGGTGGTGTTAAGGACAGGGCCTCCAGCTACGGCTCGAGGATGTAGCTAAGGATAACAGGTATATATCGGGAGTTGGAAGGATAACAAGGACGATGCGGAGGTAGTGGTGAATATATCAGTCAGCTATGCTCGTAAGTTACTAGCTGTTGTACTCCGTTACAGAAGTCAAAGTCGAAGAGTTGACGTTGAAAGTTGCCCAATCAGGATGCTCCTCAAGCGCGGTGGTCTTGGCATGGGTCCGGCGTGTATTTATATTTCCTAGCGATATCGATGAGATGGATCTATCTAGATTAAATATCTTCTCTTGAAATATTAGATGCCTCGATATTCATACCCAGCGCATATCTAATAAATTCTATCTACTTTTCTGGGGTGGGTCAAAGGTAGGGTCAGAAATATAAATATCCAAAAGAAATACGCCACCCACATGCAGGCCTTAAAAGTAGATGATATTGATATACAAGCTTCCCAACGTATAAAACAATACATCTTCTTTATGACTATTCCTTTGAATAAACCCACCCATAGCTCTCTATCTTTTAGAACCCGTCTCTATAAACAAGAGATTCATCAAACGAGTAGCCTGACTTCCTCGAAAGCAGCTAGCAGGCGAGTCGTTGCGATTTTGCCGCTCTGTTTAGCAAACCAAATCCTTTTCTTCATGCATGATACTGAATGCAGTGGGCTGTTCGAGATATTCGAGGCGAAGCTGTCTTTTCACAAGATCGAATGAATCAGGTATATCCCCATCCATCACCAACAGGGTGATCTGCGACCTTACTATCTTTCCCCCTTCCGGCAGGGCGTGGCACGAAGTGCTAAGATCAGGTACTGCCAGGGGCAATTGAGTTTCTCTTTCTCATATGCATTATGCATCGGTAGGAGATGGCGGACGAGGAGAGATGTCTCTAGAAACAATCCACAGCAGGATCTGTAGTTCAGGATAAAAATAATATCCCCGGGCGTTAGGCGGTAAAAATCCATATAAAAGTTCATATGCCGCACATATGTATAAAAATGAACCCCAAATTTCTCGTTCTCCATCTTATCCGTTCACCTCATCAGCCCGCCCAGATCCCTCTCCATCCCTGTCACCCGCTCTTCCAGCCTCCGCTTCCGTTCCTCCAGCTCGCGAATCTCCAGTAACTCGCGCTGCAAGTCCTCCTCCGTGACGTGCGATACTGCTTCAGCAGGGACAACTCCGACGTCTCTTTCCGTATCTGCAATATCGTAATCACTGGAATAATCCTGCGAACGGTTCATGCGCTGCAACTGCGCAGCTTGCTCCGCAATGCGCGACTCCAGATGTGCGATGGAAGTGGAGAGGTGTTCGTGGCGATGGCGGAGGGTGGAGATACGTTCTTGGGCGCCTTGGACGGGGCTAGTAAATGACGAAGAAAAGGGATTAGCCGGACGTATCCTTCCGAAAGAAAATGAATCAATAGATGTCTAAACTCACTAGACATTACACAACATCTCCGCGCCCTTGAGCAATACTTCGACATTAATTTCACCTCTAGACTTCTTAATCTCATCCACCATATCTACGCCCAGCACCTGCGCCACGGCGGATTGGTTCTTGTTGTGTTTTGCGGCATAGATGCGGCTGGCCATCGAGTCACCTCCGTCGCCGGGGAGGGGTAGGGCTAGGTCGGGGAATGCAGATCCAGACGCAGCAGTGGTGGTTCTACGGGTAGCTCTTCTTTGGGACTGTCTTGAAGAAGTCGAGGTAGCGGGGTCGACGGAGAAGAGGGCTCGTTCGTGGGGCTCTGTGTCACGGATAAGCGTTGTGATGTCGTGGGGGCCTAGCATGGCATTTGCGAAGATTTTGGGAGGGGGGAAGCTGTGCAAAATAAAAGTTAAGCAGTGATAAATATACAATGATAGAAGGTGAGTTTCATACGGGAGGTCAGCTATGGCAGCTGCGGAGAGGGAGATCTGCTCCAGATGGCTTTCGAGGAGGCCCATGACGGAGGTTGTATTACAGACCGGCCTCAATTGGTGCAGATTCCGTAGACGTATGCTATTAGATGCAGTGAATATGGATATTAACCGGGGAAGAACGAGGTAGTTGAGCCGGCTGTGGGTTTGTTTACTGCATGTATCTAAGATATAAATATCGTGGGTCCCCACGCCAAGACCTGCGCGTAAGGTCCAACAACAAGCTATTTATGTGAGCTACGCAACCGGCGATATAAAAATACTAATTATTTAAGAGACTACGCAAAGCACAGCTGATCTCTGCCGCAACTTGTCCCAGTGACCAGCGTGATAGCCCATCCTCGCCACTGCCAACTGACTATGGCCGCTGACCAGCAGGCTACCTACTGTACGGACTTCGTTAGCAGCTGCTGAGTCAGAAAATGCATCTTCTCACCACTTGTCCCCAGCCAAAATAAACCCGGCCCAGCCTAACCTTTCTTCCCTAACTAACCCGCCACGCCCAACCTAACCCGCCTAACCCGCCTAACCCGCCTAACCCGCCTAACCTAACCCAACGCAGGCTGCTTGTGTCTTCTTCCGTCGTCTTCTGTCAACCACCATCAACATCAACATCATCACCACCACCAGCTCAACCCGTTCAACCCAGCTCACCACATCCACCACCACCCACAGCCCCCCCCCCCCCCTCTCCCAACAACTTCTACTTCTTTCTTCCCAGTGTCTCTGCCTCTACTCTTTGCTACTGCTGTACTGTGTTTCATCTCTCCTTCCTTTGCTTTGCTGCCGTCGCTTCCCATCCAACCAGCTTGCCAGCTAGCCAGCCCCCAGTTTCAGTCCTGTCCAGGCGCCGAGTAGTACGCCCAACAAGCTACTCACTTTCAGAGCTTCCAATATGCCCGCTGAAAGGCGTTCCCTGAGGTCCAACAAGTCGGACACCTCAGCTAACGGAGAGAAGCCTCGTTCCAACTCTACTTCCCAGAGCTCCAAAGATAAGCCTGCTCCTCCTACCACTAGATCTGCTGCTCGGGGGAAGACAACCGCGACATCCGGCAAGAAGACACCTGCCTCCAACACTCCTAGCTCAACATCCACCCCCAATTCGAGCTCCATTCCCACATCTTCTACGAAGAACATGGGCGCTGAAAACGATCAGACTGCTCCCCACACCAACGGGGCCTCGGATCCTGTCGAGAATGGCGTCAACAATGTGAACGGGACGGAGGACGTGGAGATGGCAGAAGATGATGCCAACACCAACGGGTCTGCTACACAGCCGAATCAATGTGGAGGAAGAGGAGGACGAGGTGAGGGTGATGAGGGGATGACCGTCGTGGTGCCACCCTCCAAGGGCTCCAGGTTATCGGGAGAACCAGAGCAGCATCAGGCAGATGTCACCATGGATGAAGCAGAGGATGCTGGCGTGGCTGAGGTTGAGGCGCAAATTGATCCCAGAGAGAAGGCCTTATCAGGTATTATTTTCTTATTTACCTCTTTCCATTTTGTTACCTGGATAATTACCCCGAAAAACCCGCCCCCTATAATAGCGAATGACATCAACGGGTGGCTCGACTGACTAATGTTATCTCTTCCCTTTTTTTTAACAGCTATCAAAAGCAATTTTACGTTGCTCGAACGTGCCGTTACTCATTTTGATCCCCGGTTCACATTGCGAGTGTTGCGGTCGATATCGTCGATGCGGAAACAGCTGTCTGCCGATCTTCTTGCCCAGGCCATTGTAGAAACATATCAGCCTACGGATTCCACGGCATCATTCCTACTAGCTCCCATTGGCAAGCAGTCGGCGTTCGCGGATGCTGCCGCGGATTCGTCAATGGATATCGATGGTGAATCAAAGACTCCTGGAAAGGGATCAGCTACGCACGACGTGCTTCCCGAGGTTGACATCTATCTGTCCATCCTTATTCAGATTTATCTGTATGACAAGAAGCAGATCGAGCATGGCGCAAACTTCTCCAGCAGTCTTGTTGACTTGGTGCGATCGCACAATCGGAGAACCTTGGATTCTCTGGCTGCTCGCGTCTACTTTTACTACTCCCTCTTCTACGAACAACTTTCCCCGCTTCCCCCGTCTCCGGCAGCAGCCGTCATTTCCATCCGACAGCCACTCCTTCAGGCACTACGAACTTCTGTACTGCGAAAGGACCAAGATATCCAGGCAACCGTCACCACCCTCCTCCTGCGCAATTACCTGTCCACCTCGCACATTTCTCAAGCAGACCTTTTCGTGTCACGTTCTGAGTTCCCACCTGGAGCACCCAACAACCAGATCGCTCGGTATCTTTACTACCTTGGCCGGATCCGTGCCATCCAGTTGCAGTATACGGAGGCTCATGAACATCTGATTGGCGCCACCCGCAAATCTCCCTCAAGCCACACCGCCGGTGGTTTCTACCAGGCGGCCAGTAAGCTCCTCGTTGTCGTCGAGCTATTGATGGGCGATATTCCCGACCGCGCGATCTTCCGCCAACCGAACATCGAACGAGCCATGCATCCTTATTTCCTGCTCGTGCAGGCTGTCAGCATCGGTGACCTAGACGGATTCCTCAACATCGTCCAGAAACACAGTTCAACTTTCCGACGAGACGGCACATACACGCTTGTCCTACGTCTTCGACAGAATGTCATCAAGACGGGGATCCGTATGATGTCACTGGCTTATACGCGCATTTCTCTTCGGGATATCTGTCTCCGTCTGGGATTAGATAGTGAGGAGTCGGCCGAATATATCGTCGCCAAGGCTATCCGTGATGGTGTAATCGAGGCTTCGCTGGATCATGAGCATGGGTATATGAAGAGCAAGGAAGTGGGAGATGTGTATGCAACTGGAGAACCCGGTGAGGTTTTCCATGAGCGTATCCGGTTCTGTTTGGATCTCCATGACGAGAGTGTTAAGGTATGGTTATTCTTCCCGGCTACCTCTCTTATATAGTTCGATACTGACTGGAGACAACAAAATAATACAGGCCATGAGATTCCCTATGAACCAACATCGGCTCGAACTGAAGAATGCACAGGAAGCGCGGGAACGTGAGCGGGAGCTGGCCAAGGAGATTGTCGAAGGGGACTTGGACGATGATGATGCGGGCGGAGACTTTGACGCGATCTAGTTGTTTCCTCTTCCATTTTCTGGACTTTGATTCTTTATTTTTGTTTTCTTAGAAGAGGGTGAAAGTCGGCTTGATTGATTGATTGATTGACGGATGGATGGATTGAACAGATTTGAATGGTGTGTGGTGTGGTACATGGTATTTATTGATACTGTGATTGGTACTATATTTTATTAATCGGGGAGCGAAACAGACAAAAGCATTATTTCTTAGTGCTGAGAATCTTTCAGACCCTCACTTCAACTCCTACCTACCGCTTCTTTAAGAAGCTTTCTCCTCATTTTATTTCATTCTTTGTGTTTTTTTTTAACATCGCTTTTTTTTTTTTTTTTTTTCTCCTTTACCGAGCCGGGGGGAAAAAAAGTCAGCGTGCCCTCCCTCTCTCTCCATGGCGCCTCTCTCGCCCCGTCTTTTTGCGTCTCGATGACGGGGACTGCTCGTATATACGGAAGAGCAGAAACCCATGCTCCCGAGTGGACAAACGGACGGACGGACGGACTGACGACCGACTCACCGACAAGGTGGAGGCGGGCGAAATACATCACAGATCGTGGTTGTTGTCTATGTATCCATCTCTGTACAATCATTATCGTCCGAGTGAACCAATTATGTATGGCATATTTTGCTTTTTGCCTGGGTTCTGTTTTCCCACTTGTTCATTCGTTCTGACAACAGATATTTGTATTGCATGTTACCTTTTTTTCTCTGTCGGTGCTGGACGTTCTCTACATATATAGTTAGTTGTTAACACTCATCAGTCGTTGTCCCTAGATTTACCTCGAAATTGTTGGTTTATTTTTATTTGTTTTATTTATATTTATATATATTTATATATTTATTTAATTTACTTTAAATTAGTATTTGATTCAGAAGTACGGAGTGTATTTATGCGGCGGACATCTGCGGAAGTCTTAACTCACTAATAACAGTCAGAGCTGGGTTGGGGGAATTGATACGGCCAAATCGCAGCCAGAAACGCAGTCAATATTAAATGAGGCCAGAGTGACGAATGACGTTGACTACGGGAGCAGATTCGATATCCTGCTGTGAGCAAAACCGAGTGTTGTGTGTGTTTGCGATATGTTTTGTTGTTCCCTAGTGCTATTTAGTTAAATATTTATATCTAGTGCCTTGTTATCATAATCCCAACTCGGTTTTTTTTCCTCTTTTATGTATTTTATCTTCCCCGGCTCCAACTCGTCCTGCTGAAAAAATACATCGAACAAACGACGAAACACCCCTCAATTGATCTCACCAACTGTCCCCACCTCAATTGAGTCATATACATGCCCCTCTAGCAATCTACCAACCCAGGGAGCCCGGCCGCCGTCCGTCGAGCTGCCATGCAAGCTCGCCCAACTCTCCTCACGCCCTATGGGCTGCTCCTCCGCACAGCTCATCCCGCCCGCTCCCCAGCCGCAGCACGAGCAGCAAAAGCTCTGATATGCTCGCAATGCCTCATATACAGCTGCCTCCCCAGCGCCAACTCGCGCTCATCCCCCAAGCTCCCCTACAACACCCGCAGCTACCACCCTTCCCGCCGAAAAAACCAGTCAGCCCTCGGCTCCGCCGTCTCCGCCGCTCAGAACCTGTTCTCGAAGGATAGCCCTCCCCCCCCTCCTCCGCCATTACCACAATCACCGTCACCCCCTTCCTCCTCGACTTCACCACGCTCACGGGGAACATCCCCCCGCGCCCCGGGCACGCCCGGCGGCGTCCCCATAACCATCGACCCGCTTCGCATCGTCGCCAAAGAACTTAAATTCATGAAAAAGAACATCCGCCAGCTCCTCGGTTCCGGTCACCCGCTCCTCGACCGTGTCGCAAAATACTACACATCAAGCGAAGGCAAGCACGTACGGCCCCTCTTGGTCCTGCTCATGTCGCAGGCGACCGCCCACGCGCCCAAGACCGCCCGCCAGGTCCCCTTCGTTAGTGCCGCCGGTATCAACGATGCCATTACATCCCCCGCCATACTGGCCGATACGAACCCGGATCAGAGCGCATTACTCTCCTCCACCTCCCCGTCGTCAAGCGAGGCGGCCTACAATGGGTTGGCAGGCAACGTTGACGCCGACTGCGACGCCGACGGCGGGAATACTACAGACATCCTCCCCGCCCAACGGCGGCTGGCAGAGATTACAGAACTAATCCACACCGCCTCCCTGCTACACGACGACGTGATCGACAACGCCGTCACCCGGCGCTCCGCCGTGTCCGCGAACCTGGAATTCGGGAACAAAATGGCCGTGCTGGCCGGTGATTTTCTCCTGGGCCGTGCGTCGGTTGCGCTCGCCCGCCTGCGCGACCCGGAGGTCATCGAGCTGCTGTCCACGGTCATCGCGAACCTGATCGAGGGCGAGTTCATGCAACTGAAGAACACGGAGCGCGACGAGCTGAACCCGTCCTTCACCGAGCAGACGATCACATACTACCTACAAAAGACGTACCTAAAGTCCGCGAGCCTGATCAGCAAGTCGTGCCGGGCGGCGGCGCTATTGGGCCATTCGTCACCGCAGATCGTGGAGGCGGCGTACTCGTATGGGCGCAATCTGGGCCTAGCGTTCCAGCTTGTGGATGACATGTTGGATTATACGATTAGCGGGGAGGAGTTGGGCAAGCCTGCTGGTGCGGATTTGGAGCTGGGGCTGGCGACGGCGCCCTTGCTTTTTGCCTGGAGGGGGAATCCGGAGTTGGGCGCGCTGGTGGGGAGGAAGTTTAGTGGGGAGGGTGATGTGCAGCTGGTGAGTGGTATTGTTCTACGTTCTACCTGTTTACTTTATTCCCATCGAATCTACGCAATAATGAATAAATACTAAACACAAAAATCAAAACATAGGCCCGCCAAATCGTTGCCCAATCCGACGGCCTTGAGCAAACCCGCGCCCTCGCGCAGGAATACACAGATAAGGCCATCGAGGCCATCAGCATCCTCCCTGACACCGAGGCGAAGGCGGGCTTGGTTGAGATGTGTGTGAAGCTCACTAAGAGGAGAAAGTGAAAGTGCAAGGGAAAAAAAAAAAAAAAAAAAAAAAAAAAAAAAAAAAAAAAATGATTGAAAAAAATGAAATGAAAAAAAAGAAGGAAGAAAAAAGAAGTGAGCCAACCCAAAGCGGACGGTGTTTAACGGCGGGAAATGTGATCGTATGTGGGCATATATTCTGTGTATTTGTATTCTTGCGGGCGTGTGTACGAATAGAGCTTGAGTTAGAGAAAAGAAGAAAGAAAGAACAAAGCATGTCGCTCGGGGTCGCGGGTTGTGGTGGTGGTTTATTAGAGTCTCTATTACTTTTCCTCTTTTTTCTTAATCATTGTTATATTACTATTATTACTCCTACTATTATTATCATCATATATATATATATATACATATATGTATTGTACTGAGCAATCCGTGAACTTTCCTTCCCCTCATGCTTTTACGTCCAGTCCCGATTCATTTGCTCAACGCAGGCATGCTGATATGTGTGTATACAGCTCAGGCGGCGCCACGGGCGGTTAGGAAGGATATCATTAATGGAGTTAGCAACTAGAAAACTTATTTAAAAATAAGTTAGTTGCAGAGAAAAGAGAGAAAAGAGATAAGAGAAAATTGTATTATTTACATCTTCAATAGCTTAGATACAGAGTCACTTGTAGTGTAATAATAAGCTCTGCTGCCTCTTGAGCATCAATATAAATGTTAACTATATATGTAGATAAAAGAAATATGATGGAAAAAAAATTCTTGAGATAATAGTTCACAAAAAATGAGAAAAATAATCTGTGAAACATGCCTATTTTTTACAAATGTTTGTCAAATATATAATCATTGTCCGATTACTGATGAGAATATCTTGCTTGGACTTGAGTTGTTCCCACGGAGATCTTGAGAATGTTAAATTGGAAAGCTGAATTTGCCTGCCTACAACATGATTTGCAGAGGCAGATGTGATCATTATAATGGTTGTATGAGGCAGGCTTGCATGCATGGGTATATGCATGTACACATGTCGTGCGGAGGGATGGTGAGCCGGCAATAGTTTCCACCAATAGCCGCACAGAAGGGGATAGCTCTTCTCGTTTTGCTCCAATGATAAGCCGGGTTCGCGGCGCATCGGGCAGGTCAATATATATCCGTATGTGAAGAGTTTTGCGACGTGTGCGCAGTATACCAACCAACCACAGTAACTACCATGGATTGAAAATTTGAGGTTGACCTCTCAACTCGAGCCTCGACGAAACTCCGCATAAGGTCCTGTCGCCGCAATCGGGTTGCTCGTCATCGGCACGCTAACCTTCCTTGCCGTCAACGGCGGATCTAGAGGGAACATATCGTTACCATCTTCCTGAGTAATTAACCGCACGGAACCTAGAGACGGGGTAGTCATCCCTGGCCTCGAAGCGCTCAGGCCCGTTTTGCTAGCCAACCGCATCTCTGTTGGGGAGATAGGCGATAGGTTCCTTTGTGGGGTTGATACACCCGTGGGTGACCGGTTCAAATCGCCATCATTGACTTTTAATGATAGTTTCATTTTCTGCTGTTGTTGCGGTAGCTGTGGAGATTCGGCTTTCAGCCGCTCGAATTCTGAGACCAGGCTGCGGAAATACACGCCCGCTTGTACACTCAGTGCATAGTCTGCGGGTGTGCACATGGCATGATTGAGAGCTAAGGGAGGCGCGCCCGCTGATACCAGCAATCGGAATGCCTTCAGATTCCCCCATGCACTGGCATAATGTAAGGCGGTATTGCCCACGTTATCTGTGAGCGTCACGGACGCATCTTGTCTGAGCAGCGTTGCGATCGTACTAGTGTCTTCTGCTGCATTGGAGGAGGAACGTGGACGTTGCTTTGGAGGAATTAGACATGTGCTTCGTGTAGGGTGGGAGGGGTTGGAGCTTTGAGCTGCGAGCATGAGAGGTGTGATGCCCTTATGGTCAGGCCGGTCGATGGTTTGGGGGAACTGAGTGCAGAGGTATTGAACGCAGGCGGCGTGGGAATGCGCAGCTGCAAGGTGGAGAGCTGTAGCCCCATCTGTGTTCAGGCTGATGCCGGGGGCAGCATCGAAGCCAGTTTCCAATATTTTAGGGGCACATGAGTCGTGGCCGAATGATACGAGGAGTTTCTGGGTCAAGTTGGTGCTTTAGTTGGAGATCTATAAAAGGGGTACACAAAAGTTTGGAAGATGCGGGGAAGTACAATGATTTCGAGGTTTCCAAGAATCGCCGCGAGATGCAACGAAGTATTGCTCTTATCTTCGAAGTTTGGGTTCTCCAGGAACCTGGGGTTATTCTTTATGATGCGCTTGACCAGCAAGACATCTTTCCTTATGATCGCGCTGCGCAAGCGGACGTGCACTGGTAGATCAACCCTAAATACCACATATTAGTGCTGCCGGTACAAGACTTTTAGAAAGTGCGCTAGGTGAGCCACTTACATTGCAGCGACTGTACATCTCTAGGGGTACAGGCAGCTGAAAGGTCTCACTAGGTAAGTTGCAGATTTCCCATGGTTTCTTTGAAGCTTCGAAACTTGAACGATGTCAGAGGTTTGGAAGCGGAGAGTTGGTTGAGGCCGAATTACGTAATGGCTGAATTCCGGAGATAGAGTGCACGTGACAGTTTAACTCCGTCGGACTATGATTGGCCAGGAATTTCAAGCTTCAACATTTCCTTTCTGAGACGGAAAACGCGGGGAAATCATTAAAATCTACTGCAATGAGCGCCTATTTATATACCAGAGACATATAAATACCTTGAGAGCCATATATATGTGCTGACATATTATGCCCATTGTCAATTTAATCCCATTGTAGCTATTTCTCAAATCAGGGCAGAAGAGCCCTCTAGCTGCTCTGATCATCCCTCCTCCCTCTCTCCGCCTCCGCTCGCCGCTCCGCTATAATGCGCCTCGCTCATCTCCACGTTCCCAACGTCGTCCCTTTCACGCACGCCTCTCACCTTCAACAGATTCTTGTTTCCCGCCTCCTAGCTCACAAAAAGCTCCATGACGCCTCCTCGACCTCTCCCGCTCTCATGCAGCCACCACCCCCTCCAGATCCCACTATCCTGACCTTCACCCCTCGCCCCGTATACACAACCGGGCGCCGCGACTTACCTGCCACAATCTCCGCCACCACGACCCCTTCAGCGAACCCTCATCCAACCCTCGATCTCAACCTACCCAAGCCCCTGCACTCCATCCGCCACCTCCTAACACCTACCCCAACCCACCCCGCGGTCGCTGAATTTCACCCAACACTCCGCGGTGGGCAAACCACCTACCACGGCCCCGGCCAGCTAGTCGCATACACAATCCTCGATCTACGACGGTTGCGCCTAGGCCCGCGCCAGCATATACGGTTGTTGGAGAGGAGTGTCCTGGATGTTTTGGCCGGGTACGGGGTGGAGAGGGCCGGGTTGAGTGAGAAGGACCCGGGGGTTTGGGTGGATATGTCACGGTCACGATCACAATGGGAACACAATGGGAGGAGCCGGGAAGGCGACGAAGGTAACAGATATTTATCTAAGAAGATTGCGGCGGTGGGCGTGCATCTGCGCCGGAATGTGAGTAGCTATGGCATCGGGTTGAATGTGACGGAGGAGCCGATGTGGTATTTCCGACAGATTGTCGCGTGTGGTTTGGAAGGGAGGGAGGTGACGAGTATAGTCGGTTGTGGGGTGAAATTTGATGCCGATGATGGTGATGCTATTATGAGGGAGGTTGCAGAGAGGTTTGCGGATGCATTTGTTAGGCGGGTTAATGAGGTTGGGACTGCTCAGGCGGTGGATTGTTGTTGCCAAACGGGTGGGGGAGTAGGAATTGATGAGGTTTATCACATTGAGGAGCGGGACGTGCTTGGGGATGTCGGGACATAGGAGCGAGAGAGATCCCCCGTTGCTGTACAGTAGGAGGTCTGCTTTTAGTTGAGCTCTATACCCTTCTCCTTTTTTTTGTTCTCTAACTTTATAAGAATCACAAATATTGCGCAGGCGTAATTTGGACTAGCAATGGGGTTTATAACATGTGGATAGATATATCCAGAGAACCAGAAGAAATGCAATTTTAACAGGTAGACTTTCAATATCTAACTAATGATCATGAGGAGTATGTATCAGTGACAGCATCAGATGAGTAGCTGAGATAAAAGGTTTCTATGCTCTTTCTTCAATCCCTTCAAAAGGTAGTGAACTCGCACAAAATATGCCCCAATTACTATTCAAGACCATAATATTTAGATATTGTAAATCAACATACATTTCTATAGATTGAAATTGAATAGGTGACTGTATACTCCGTAGATTTCAAGAAGTGGCCAGAGCAATAAATATAAGCCGGACATAAGCTATATTCATGTAGAACCTCAACAAGATGGATGAATCATTGGGAAGCAGAGTGGAGTGAGTGCAAGCTAACATGATAACAAAACATACAAAATATTTTGTAGAGAATCCAAAAACTACAAATATATGAGGAATATATACAAATAATTATAAACAAACCAAAATGAGTTTGTTGCACAGGCAGGGGAACTGAAATGAACACAGTAGAATAGGGCAAGACAGAATATAATCAGTAATTAAAATAAAGGTTTGTACACTGGGGTTGGCTGTCAAGAAGAGTTGGAGAGCAAAGGACAAAGCAAACAAAAAGAAAAAAAAAAAAAAAAAAAAAAAAAAAAAAAAAAAAAAAAAAAAAAACAAGTAAAATTTAATAGAGAAAAAAGCAAACTGGTATCAATCCGGCGCTCCCATTGATGTATGCTTTGCTCTATTATGATGTTGCATTCAAAAAGAAACAGGAAGCAAAAATGTTTTCAGAACTCCAAAGCTAACAACGAGGGGTTGTAGTGAATAGGAAAGTTAAAGCAAAAGAAGAAACGAATTGAAACACTCGCCATATACGTAAAGGTAGGGTGGATAAGGAAGAATAAAGAAATGGCGGAGCTGTCGTATCTCTAAGTCAGGTCTGACTTGGGTGGACCAGAAAAGATAGGCGGGAGATGATGATAAGGCGCAGGAAAGGGAGAGAGAAGCTAATTGCATGTTAGTAGGACCATAAACGTGACTGTTAGAGGGTGCACAGAGAGGGATATCTCTGGGACTTCAAGTCTCTGGTTCAAGCGCTTTCATCACATGATGATGCATTTGCCAGCTCTCTCGGATGACTTCGAAGGTTTTACAGACAGTGCCACCCTGGCAGCCTCTGTGAAGGCTTCGTTGACGCCGCGATTTCGCATGGCCGAGCATTCTATCATAGCAAGGTAAGGGTAGAGTTAGCCGGTTTTAATTTTTAATTTTTCAGTTGTTTCAGTGCCACACGGAGCAAAACCGCGAAAAAAAAGTCGTGACCATACCTAGATATCTTAGAGCACCAACTTTTTTCGCAACCTCCAGTCCCTGGTTATACTTGACGATTGGTTTCCCCGTGGGTTGCGACTCTGAATTATCGCCATCTTTTTCGTCCGTTTCTTCTCTCAGATCGCATTTCAACGCGACCAGAACGATTTTGGCTCCGGCGCAATGTTCCGCGATTTCCGCCATCCATTTCGTTTCGACGTTCTCAAGTGAGTCCTTGCTGTCAACCTATGTTTGTCCACCGTCCAGTTTTAGCGCTGCTTTATTTTCATCCACATTTTTTCCAAAGTTTTAGAAGGAAGAAGCTGAATAGGCTCAATCAAGAAAAGGAAGGCAAGGCCGAAGCTTACGCTAAAGCATAGCATTATGACTTGTGTGTCGTCGTACGATAGAGAACGGAGGCGATCAAATTCTTCTTGTCCAGCGGTATCCCATAGAGACAATTCCATATGAATGCCATCGACATAGATATCTAAAATCATAAGAACATCAGTATTGGGCCTTCCTGTCGAAGTTGGATATGCCACAATCGACGACAGGCGTGTATTTTACCATGAACGTAGTTTTCTATTAATCCAACCAGTTAGTAGGGAAGTTCGCAAAGGAATAGAGAATAGGTTGTTTCGTACCGAAAACAGTTGGCTCACTGCAATTTCAGAGAATACACATTAGAACACTTTGGTCAACGCTGATATGCTTTTCTCGAGCCATAGGGACGCCTGTACGGCAGGATAACAAGGGAGATAATTGGAATTGTGTGGCATCTTACTAGACTGTAGGGAAGAATCTGTGCGACACAACACGATCAGTACGTATTCAAAGCTGCATTCATTTTCTTTCTGATTTTCCGGCCAATCCAAAGCGCGATGTGGAACGCTGTGGATTTGATTCCCCGGGAGCAGGGGGAATACTATGTGCCTACCCTCTTGTGAAGACATTCAGCAGCGATGTTTTACCGCATGCGCCGTCACCCCTATATACCCATCAATCCCATGTTAGCCAACCAGAGGTCACTTAATACGACAGAGTAAGCGGTATGAAAGCGCGTCATAAGGCTAGAGAGGAACGCAGGATGACAGCAACGACTTTGTGTGTCCAGCTTATCGGGTGCGGGGGAGGATGGTGCCGGGCTCACAGGAGAACCAGTTTGCGCTGGACGGTCTTGTCCCGCCGGCATAAACTCATCGTGACGGGTGAGGTGGAACCGGCGACTACGGCGGAGTAAGGATGGTGTAAATTGGGATGGGGTATGAATAAGGGGTAGATATAATTTATTTTTCTCGGGCTAGTAGTGGTCTGTGGATGATCCCGGGCTGATGGGGGACGATGGGGTCGATGACTGGAAATAGGTGGGCGGACGTACGGATGTACAGGACGCGAATGGGGCCGATGGTAGAGGGCAAGCAAGAAGAATAAATATGTATATAAGGGAACGTTAGTATAAAGAGAAGTATGATATCGAGATGTGTATTGAAAATGAATGTTTGGCGGAGAGTTAAATGCTAAATGAGTGTCGAGAAGCGAACTAGCAAGCACGGGCTGATGACATCGCTATCTCAGCCTCCGGACAGAAGATTTTCGCCACTAATAATGCCTGGAAGTCACAGGCCGCTAGGCAGCATACAGTTAAAGCCCCCGCCTAATCTCAGCTAGAGCCAGCCCAAGCCCAGCGGCCGCCAGCTTTGTGAGCAACCGTCCTCCCCCCGAAACAACTTAGGGCCAGCCACTAATTTCAGATATCTCTCCGGGGAACGGCCAGGCATCGCTCAACTATTTATTGGTACCAACGATCATGAGTAATATCTGAAATTTGGACATCGCAGAAATGTGCGAAATAATTTTATTCTAGTGATGAGCCTCCTACGAACTACGTCAGTGGGTGGAATTGATATACAACTTAGACAAAAGCTGGTTCATTGACATAGTCGAGTAAAAAAGAGGACAAGTGTAACAAATATTGGACAGAAAAGTAAAGATGAAGGTTCGTTGTGTCACTATTTATCAGGCGAGATCGGTATCTATTTTAATAAAGGTGGATGGATGATGTGAAGACATGGATAGATCCCTAGTAAGGCACCAGGGGCTAATGCTGGTCTTGAAAAAGATGAAATTGAAATTAAGGTACGGTGCCGAAAATAAGAAAATGTCCACTCAGACGTTTAGAATGCACTCCTGTCCTTATCCATGTGTTATATCCGACCTTTTCCTGGATGAAGAACATTTTGCCAAATACCTAGCGTACGTCAAAGGCGGGGAACGTGAGGGTAATGGAGAAACAATGTAAACGGAATAGCCAAAGATGGGTCAAACGGTCAACGAAGTGGATATCGCAAGGTCTATTAATGCACCCGAGGTAAAGCGCCAGCCAGCCATCAAAGCAAATTCCATTCAAGTCATTATCATCATAAAACCAAACAAGGCCACATATCCTAGAAAGCCTCCTGCTCTTTCTCGATATTCCTCCTGCCACGTCGGAGCCTATCCGCAAGATCGATTTCTCCAGCACGCCGATTCAACCCACTCACGAACCGTCCCTTGCCACCATACTTGCTCGACTGAACCCGAGCCGCCTCCTCTGCCTCCCGCTCCTCCCGTTCCCGCTCCTCCGCGGCAGCTAGACGTGTAGCGCGAGCTTGGTCTAGCTCGTTCGCACTTTGCTGCATAGCTGCTAGCCTGGCCATACGCTCTTCATCATTTGTAGAGGTAGTTGCGGTTGTAGCTGGTCTGCCGTCCATCGATGGAGCGGCATCGGCCCTGTAACGCGGTGGTGGCGGAGGTGATTTCCTTCGTGAATGATGCCAACTCTGTCTCTTCGAGCGTGGGGACTTCTCTCCAGGTTGGTAGGGCGAACGTTCCCGCGAACGGCCACGAGGGCGCGGAGAGTATGACTGTCGTCTTTGGTAGGGAGATGATGAGCGCCTTGATCTATGATAGCGAGGGGGTGGACTTCGCGATCGCGATGGCGATCTGACCGGGCTGCGTGATCGGTGTCTCCGATGGCGGCTTCGTCTGTCATCCTCCTCGTCATGTCTCCTGGACCTGTGTTTGTCGCTTTTATCGTCATTCCGCCGTGATCTATGCCTTGAACTTCGCTCCTCTTTTTCATCGTCCCTATGCCGATGTTTCCGATGCTTTCGACTTTTTGCTGATGACTGTGTAGTATCAACACCTGCAGCTTTGAGTAGCTGCTTCCTTCTCACGGGATCGTTCATCATCGCCTCGTAAGCGGCTTGTTCTTGCTTCTTTATAGCAAGCATCGGGTCTTCTCGTATTTTTGCAGCCGTATCCCTCGCGGTATTCGCGTTTTGAAGGGCCATAAATGAGTCCTCCGTGGACGATTTCTGTAGTTTAGAATTTTCTGAGCCTTTGATCAGATCATCGATGCGGCGTTTGCCCAGCAGATAGCCTTCCATTTCCTCCGTTGTGCCTGTCTGTCCCGCTGCGGGCCCCGAGTACATCCAATCCACGCGGCTTAGTCGTTTCTTTCCGCCTGCTGCTTCTTGCATTTCCTGTAACTCCTGAATCTGTCTCTCTTCCTGCCGCTCCTTCATCATCTGCTCGATCCGCTTGCGCTCTTCGAGCGCTTTCTTTTGTTCTAGCCATACCCGCTCCTGGTTCTTCTGGAGCACGGGATGCCAGGACTTCTTAAGATTGAGATCGCCTCCCATTTTGGCGCTGTGTAGGAATGCGAATGGTGTAAAAACCCATGGACTAGACCGCGAGCTGGTCGTTCGAAGAGGGATATACTTATACTTCCCCAGAAAATAATCGACGCGGCGGCGGAATGCAAGTGGATAAGAGCCGCACTAGTCCTTAAACAAAATAGCGTCTTGGCAATCGCTCATCCACTCCTCCGCCTGTTGTTAATGCCTTCATACATATGTTGTGCAGATAGTTATACTGAACACTAGACAACACATACCTTGACCAGTGGATATTTCTCTCCTACATCGCCAGCTTAGAGAATCTTGATTCTTACTCCTGCACCCCGGCAATCCGAATTCTCCAGCGGAAAAGCTTGTGATCTCCAATTAACACGGGCCTTGTGGGCTAGTTACAACCTCATATTCCTTTAAGATGTCGGATGACGATTTTATGCAGGACTCTGACCAGGAGGAGTACGTTGTTATCTATCTCGTCGCCAGCTTCCTGCTGCAACCACTAACCATTTTAATATAGATATGACTTCGAGTATGAGGACGCCGATGACGATGAGGCTGGTGATATCGGGATCGAAAATAAATACTATAATGCGAAGCAGATTAAAGCGGATAACCCAGAAGAAGCCATTAATGAATTCTTAGAGGTACCTGCTCTAGAAGAGGAGAAAGGCGACTGGTACGCTTTCCTTGTAAGAATATTTGAAATTGGAAGGGGGCTCCGCTGACAGCAAAACTCCTTGACCATCTAAAGGGGATTTAGAGGTTTAAAGCAGGCGATAAAACTAGAATTTAAGCTTGGTCGATATGAGGATGTGAGTGTCGATTATGCCCTCTATCTTGAATCTGTGCGGATGATGTAACTTATCGCAAATGCTTATAGGCCGTTGAACATTACCGCGAGCTGCTCACCTACATTAAATCCGCCGTCACGCGAAACTACTCCGAGAAATCGATTAATAACATGCTGGATTACATTGAAAAGGGATCTGATGATGCAAATGCGTACCACTGCATGGAGAAATTTTACTCCCTAACGCTCGACTCTTTCCAGAATACCAACAATGAACGGCTTTGGCTGAAGACTAATATCAAGCTAGCGAGACTCTGGCTTGATCGCAGAGAGTACGGCCTGCTAAGCAAGAAAGTTAAGGAGCTACATCGAGCATGTCAGCGGGAGGATGGAACAGATGATCCAGCTAAGGGGACATATTCACTGGAAGTCTATGCTCTGGAAATCCAGATGTATGCTGATACGAAGAACAACAAACGGTTAAAAGCTCTCTATCAGAGGGCACTCACTGTGCGGTCCGCTGTCCCACACCCGAAGATCATGGGAATAATTCGCGAATGCGGCGGGAAAATGCACATGAGCGAAGAAAACTGGAAGGAGGCACAGAGTGATTTCTTCGAATCGTTCCGGAACTATGATGAAGCGGGCTCAATGCAGAGGATCCAGGTCCTAAAGTACCTTGTCTTGACGACCATGTTAATGAAGTCCAATATCAACCCCTTTGACTCCCAAGAAACCAAACCATACAAATCAGATCCGCGGATATCTGCCATGACTGACCTAGTCGACGCCTTCCAGCGCGACGACATCCACGCTTACGAAGCAATCCTCCGGAATAACCCAGACGTCCTCTCAGACCCCTTCATAGCCGAGAACATCGACGAAGTAAGCCGCAATATGCGCACCAAAGCTGTCCTAAAATTAATAGCTCCCTATACCTGCTTCAGCCTAGCATTCATTTCCAAACAAATCAAGATCTCCATCCCTGAAGTCCAGGATATCCTCAGCTTCCTAATCCTTGACCAGAAGATCCCAGATGCGAAAATTGACCAGGAAACCGGCGCCGTTGTCATCAATCGGCCCGACGACCATGAACGATTACAAGCTCTGGAAACGTGGACATCGCAGCTAAATTCTCTATGGCAGAGTGTTCTGACAAATGCAGACGGGTTTAGAGTCGAGGATACTGCTCGTCTTCATGCGTCTTTGATGAGTAGCGGCAGCGGATATGGGCAGTTGGGCCTTGCGGGGGATGTATTGCCCTCTCCAGAATTCAGAAAATTGGGCGCTGGTAGGGCGAAACGGGATTGGAAAGGGAAGTCAGGAATTGCAAAGGCGTTTTCACGAGCTTTATAATACCTTTTTTATCTACTGACCCTATCTTAACTTTTGTGTGTTTTTTTTTTTTTTTTTTTTTTTTTTTTTTTTTTTTTTCCTCCATTATGTAGTTGGGGTCTTATTGCACTTAGCTGGCAAACGGAAAATTTCGACCGCTGGCGATTGTTACATTATACCACCCTGATATAGGCATTAGGAACGTAGACAAGATGTTAAGGTTGGTGGTGTTCACTAGCAGTGGCCATGAGAATGGAGAGCTTTGCAACAGGGGTTGCAATCCAACAGACTAGCCCTCTATCCTAATTATCCTGCGGACTCAATAAACTCATCGAGGAAAATAAATATCAGCGAAATATTACATGAACCTCCCGTGCCTTTCGAAGGGGATGTCTTCCCGTGAATTGGAACTACGCAACAAGGAGTTGTTTATGACCCTGCTCCCCCTCTATATCTCGTTCGTATACGACTCAAATTTACCATTTCTTAATTCCCGAAAAATATAAGGAGTCTAACCATTACGCAATTTCTGTCCAACGAGTAAACAAACATCAAACGCTATTTGTATAATCGCGCCATCACTCTATCAAGTTACCCCTTCTGCTATCCTGCGTATGTAATCTATTGATAGCATGCAGAATATACACACCTCTAGAGCCTAGTTTTTAGTACACAATACGATATAGGGTGGTGAATAGTAGAGTAGTCGATAAATAGTAGGCCTGCACTCTACTCAGCTTTGTCATAGCCAGGTGTGGAAGGTCGGTCCGACCCATCTACTGTTCCGATCAGCTGTCGAGTTGTCAATTGTCACCTCCCTGCCTGATGATCTTCCACTTTGCATGTACGTGGACTGAGGGGAACCGGAGCGGGTCTCTTGATCATCGAATCACAATCAAGCATGGGCAACGAGGAAGTGCATAGCATACTCCGTAGTAGCTGATAGGGCAATAGGCTGATAGAAAAGCGTGTTGGCTGGATGATAAAGAAAGTTGCTGAAAAAGGGTAGCCAGATTGGCATTTACCGTCGGACTCACACTTCGGGGCCGATCTATTTTAAGAGAAAAGTGTTTCTCTTAGACGACAATGGATGTTGGAGATTTCTCAGCCAAGTTCTGTCTGTGTGGGCATGCGCGATGCATGCACTATCTGCAGACCTCCTTTAAGCGTTTCATTTGTTGCGAGCTGGTCCCCAGCGCTGGCAGGCATCCAATAGCAGGACTCGAAAAAAGGGATCAGGGGGAAAACAAGAAAAAGATATTGGTCGAGGAGTTGCTATTTTGTTCGCAATAATCATCGAATAAAAAATACGATCATCCTCACACATCGTTAGTCGAGATGCCAATAATGGTGGTTCTCTGGTCCAGCCATTTCCAATATTCTCTCGTATTATTTTCACGGGTTGGAAATTGCAACCAAGAAGGGGATAGTTTCTAATATTGGTCGGGCCGGGTACCAAACCCTTGGTAAGTCCACTCCCGAGCGGAATACCGAGTAAGTCCAGATTTCAATAGGTAAAACAGTCCAATGGAAGGAGATGCCGCATTTTTTTTTCTTTTCTTGTCCTCTTTTTTGAGGGGTTTTCTGTTTCCTTGACTTATCGTGTGTTGGTCAACAGGGACGTCCATTTCGTCTCTGAGTGTGTGCAGTACTAATGCATCGAGAGCGTATAGGTGAGTTCTCTCGACTTTTTCAATTTCACAATTCTTGAATCGTGTCTTAAGTTCTTCGCAAAAGTGTCACGGCGATTCCCAAGCCTGTTCTAGTTTTCTAAAGGGTGTAGAACAAATGGTCTATACGAGAACGTTTCTGAAGTGCCCCGTGTGTGCTGCAGGGTATGCGGGGTCCTGAAGAAACCCTAGATGTAGATCATGGCGATCATGTAAGGATGGGTAACTGGCTAGATGTAGTTAACTCCGACAAGGCACATGCATGGGCCATCTACTTCCATTTTCATACTTATCTCTCCTCTTAATGTTCTTTTCTCTCGGACTTTTTCGTCTTGCTGAGCCACTTTGACTGGTTGACGATACCACCGCAGCAGATCACCAATTTTCCAGATTTCACATATGATCCGATGGCACGAAAGTATTCCTGCTCGCAGACGAGAAGCTACTGCGGAGAACACTGTAGGATCATCCGACAACAAACAAAATAGTTATCTGGAAAATCAGTAGAAGGTTAGATAGGAAAAGCAGGAATTATTGACCTAGAACACAATAGGGTGCCGTGGTTTCTCAACGTGACTTGGTGTTCAGCAGACGGTAGTCATTGGTTATAATGCTATGAGATACACTTGTAGAATGACTATCGGACCCTGCATATAGATTTGGGTTGGATTGTGATTAACAAGTTCTCATTATTCCCATCGTAGGTACTGTTGGGTTCGTAAGGAGCGGTCTCCCGGGCAATGTGCCCGATCGCAGGCTCTTGGGAGCGATCGAATCAAAAACAATGCCAATTAATTGGGAAGTAGTCAGATTTCCCATAAGTACCCAGAAGACGTTCAATGCCCGTATATTTGCGGTTTGGGAAACCACAGAGAATATACGTCGGAGGGAGATGCTGATTACTAGTCTTATCCTCCGTAATGTCAACTCGACGGACATAGTACAAAGTGGAATGATCAGCGCAGTATTTTAAACCTCTGAATCTGTCTGGATCTGCTTTTGGTTTCCTTCCGGACGATTAGTCATAGATTGAGGCCTAGGCGGCCGTGGAGGTTAACCAGCTTAAAAATACGGTTCTCTTTGGGAACTGGTTTTTGTGAAGTAGGACCGCTTGTTGTTGTCAGCTCATGAGCAAAGCGCGTATATTCGAAATTGGGTGCTCCATGCTCCGTAAGTTAGTTAACAACAATAATAAATACGATAGACCGCACGTTCACCTGAAGGTTCTCGAAGCATTATTGCTTTCTTCGAGCCACAGCGAGATCCTCATAAAATATCCCTTTTCATTCGCCAATCGCAGGACATACCCCAATTTGTGGCCGAACTAGAAGATAAAGGAAAAAGATGCTCGACCAGTGGAGGGACAAGAAAAAGGAATCTCCAACTTTGATCACACCCGCAGATATACGATATTGGAGGTTGGTGCCCAGGCAATGAATCGGTGACCCAAAAGTATTCTTGGCGCGCCAAGTTGTGATAGGGGCGGGAAAGTTCCGCTCCGCTAGATTCATTGTATTTCTCTTTTTTCTCTTTCCGTCACATTGAGGTAACTATCGGTCAACTTTGTACCCTTACCACAAGGACACACGTCGTCCTATTTCTTCTAGATTTGACTAATTGCTTGGTCCAGCGGGAGGACATTTCGTGATATGCAAGGTGATTTTCTGCGTGCGGGACACGTTCGAATTCTTATGGGCATCCTCTGATCTGAAGAACGATAGTCCTCCATTATGACGTCAAGTATTGCGAAAAACAACGGGAGGTTGGAGTCGATATGCCAAGATCGCAAACACGGAATTCGGTATTGTCAGGACTTCAGGCCATTCGAGCATTAATGAAAGAGAATGGTCAAGTGAGCTTCCTCCATTTTATCCGATTGTGTTGGCACAAGTTGCCGCTCATCAGAAACAGGGCATAGAAGGAAATCCAGCGGAGTGGATAGCACTCACACCATTTCTTGGCCGTGGGGCTCAGGAAAATGTAAACCCCTATCTCTGCTAAAGGGAAAAGAAAATATACGGACAAGAATGGCGATATGTATGGTTCCGGGTCGACTGCGTACAATTTGCATAACTGTGTTTCCTATATGCGGGCCGCTTGGCTGCTTCATTCAATCAAGCCAAGCCTGACCAATTTCTTGGTTTCTGTGAATATCCGTGACTAATCCACGGTTCACGGGAGAGTAATGGAACACAGCCGGAGCCGGTTCATTCCACATAGGGAGGGTACTCCGTACAATCGCTCCATAATAAAATTGTCGACGCAATGAGTGAATGGAATGGAATTTTTAGCAAAATGCTATAACGTAAAATATTCAATTGATTGTGATGCGTGTTATGACAATTTCCCTTTGGAGGTCTTCGAATGAAGTGACACATCTGCCTATGACTGGCACGAAACTAATAGGTTGTTAAGCTGTTAATCTAGGTGTAGCAACGTCGAAAGGCACGCGAAAGTGAGCTGACAAACAAATGATAGCTAACTAACTACCTAGATATGTCAAGCCAACCTTAGAAGGAGCGGGTACAAGCGAGCCGGTTTTGATAGTTGACGAACGATGGACGACATTTTCAACAAAGGATCTGTGGAGGATCGACATGACAAGGTATAAACGGCGTGCTAGGCGCAGCTCGCCAATCTGACATATCGAATCCGCGCCCACGGGTCGATGGCTCTCAGGTTATGAGCGTCTTTACGGATGTAACGGATACCGAGACGCTCAGAAGGAGCCGATGTATCTCTAGACATCTGGCCAGGCCGCACTGCAACAATAGGGATGAATGAACAAAAATGAATATACGGAAGTGGGAAGCATGCAAGTATCAGAACCTACTTCAATGCTTCGGCTTGGCCTTTCAAACATAAAGGTTAAGCACATGCCATTCCAGGCAAGGACTGTAACGTACTAATAAGAACGGTACCAAGCACTGGAAGAATCGTTGCCCAAAAGTTCATGTTTCCGCCGCGAATAAATGCGCGCTTACCTGGCTGGAGCAACCCCGCTGCCAGTTTCAGCTTTGCATTTTAGCAACATGCGGTTGCTTCAAATACCTCCATCGACTGCCAAGCAGTCAGCTGAGCTGAGCTTCCCTTGAAATATACTGTACCACATGGACCGGATTGCAAGGGAATTTGTGGACGGCTCTTGTGTATGCGCAGGCTTGGCTTGTTTCATGCACCTTTTGCTTTGAGATTGGTCGAACAATATTTCTGGCAGGTGCTGACAATAATGTCTAGGCGGATGGCATCGACTTTTCTTTTTCTTTTCTTTTCTTTTCTTTTCTTCTTTTTCTCCCAGTAAAGTTTGCGCGGATCGCCCGGAGAGAGCTCTAGACACAAGGGTACAATTAGACTCAAACTTTTTTCTTTTTTTCTTTTGGATGTCCGATTTATACATTCTTGAATATCCTGAGCTTGGCTGGTCGCAAATATTATTTTATCAACAGCATGAGATGAGGGCAGCTGGTGGTCCCATCCGCCCCTGAGTAGCCTGGCCCCCGCGCAGATTGCTTGTGCTGGCTTGACGATTGAAAGGTGCCTGCCTTGGCAACACTCAATGGCTGCGCCATAGCCATTGTCTTGGTTGCTGCTGCTCGAATTGATTCGTGCTTTACCGGATTTTCGCTGCATGTGCGCGCTCGCCTTGCATCATACATGTATGTATGTACATGCACATGTGCATGTACATGTACATGTCAATCGCACAGCCAATGGCTGTTTGCGAGTGAACCAAATTGTGTCGATTCGCCTCTCAAAAACAGCAACCGAGGACAGTTTCTGCTCCCGGGATTTGCGCCATAATTCATCATCCCGTTTCAGCAAATATGCTGCAGCTGAGCATAGGCCAGTGCCGTGATGGTAGTTAACTCGTTTGTTCCGGCTGTCAGAGCGCCATGTTGCTAACCCCAAACCTTGTTACAGTACAAAGTACCCGTTTTGCTTATTCCTGTAGTGAACCGTGGTAAGCCAGTAGCCATTAGTCCGCGAATCGCAGCATGACGGGTATGAGGAGAATGTGAGCCCGCCTGTCTCCCTTTTTCATCATCAGTGTGGGTGGTTGGTGTTGGTTGGATCACAGGCACCGTCCCGCCTTTCCCTTCCGCGGGTTGCTGAATAAGCCGCGCTGAACCTTCAACTCAACGCCCAAGAAGCGAAGTTCGCAAGTTCTCGCTCAACAACGAACGACCCTTCACGGCTTCAAACTCTCGTGCAAACGATCTATTGCTTCAATGCTGGCTCTAGCCTGCGACTAAGCCATGCAGGTCCTATTCGTTGCCGTCGTCTGATCACTCCAGTTACAAAAAAGATCCGTCCCGAAGCCATGGCAATACTCTGAATCTGGGTAGGAAAGTTGATACCGCTTCACTAGACACGAGGGAGGGGCTTCTGCTAGCTATTGTCCAGCTCGCCAGGTTGGCGCTCAATACCATAATACATAACGGCCCCTTCTCCCTCGTCATAATATTAAGACAGAACAAGCTCCCACTGCTGTCAATCGACGTGAGTCTTGGATATCTTTTTCTTTCTTCTTCGTCTTCTGGCTGCTGTCAACTTTGCTGTATCTTTACGCATTGACTTGTGTTTTCCAAATGTATTTTAGTCATTATCTTATTTGACTCTATTTAATTTTTAATCGCTTTCTGTTTCCTTTGTGTGTTCTTTCTCCCGGAAATTGTGGCCATCATCTGCCGCCTGTGGACCGTTTCCTCAAAGAGAGGCACCAAGAGAGCAAGAAGAAACATCGATTGCCAGGGCTTGTTTTTTCTTTTCTTTTCTTTTCAACATGCAGTCCCAGGCAGTTGCGCCGGTCTCATTCAGCCTTGCTTACCTTCAGCTTTACCCTTCCTCAGAATCTGCGCAAGCAGCATATAACCACCAAACATATCGGACAGCTCCTGTATACCAAAATATATTTCGCACCTCACCTCTAGACATTATCCACCAAGCACCGCACTACAACGTGACTATGGGCACCATCCCCCCATCAAGTAACATGGCAGACCCGGATCATATGGCTGAGTTTCAAAAGCTTTCCAATCATTATGAGCCGGATCTACAGGTGAGGAGGCGCCGCTTTGCCTTTTTTAAACCTAATGGCTAATCGGCTGGCACAGGGACCTTTAGTGGGTCCGAAACAATCGAGTAGTATGATAACGTCCGAATACGCAAACGCGGACCCTATATACGTCGCAAAGACCACTGTATGTTTTTTAGAAACATTGCTCATGATCTACAGGGGATACGGTATATCTTGAAAAACGTAGGGCTAACGAAGGGTAATTAGGCGCTTTCTCATACTCATTCTCATTATCGTATAATGAAAGGAGATGGAAATTGCGGGTGGAGAGGTGAGCGACTCAAACGGCCCTTCCTAGGCATCTTGTGCTTCCAAGACTTATACCGCGCTAGCTGTTGCCTTCGGATATTTTGAGACGTTATTCAACCTACGCGATACTGCAAAGCTAGAACAGGAGTTGGCGCGGATCAAATCCTTGAACGAATCACTGGACTCTATTGGATGCCAACAGTACATTTACGAAATGTTCGTTGAAGTCACGGAGGATGTCTTTGGCCAAATATCGGGAGCGATTGCGGAAGGATCCTATGACGATAGTTTCCTCCTTGACGCATTTAATGATGAATCCAAATCCTCCGCTATCATCACACATTTTAGGGTGAGATGAAACGAATCCCAAGCCCATATATTTTGTGAACATTGACTTAACAAATTACTACTGACTAGTTAATGACGAGTGCCTGGATGAAAAAAAATCCCGACCGCTATGCAGGCTTCCTTAGGATGACTGTTGATGACTATCGCACAAAGACAATCGAACCCGGTAAAACCGAAATCGATGAAATAGGCATTCACGGGCTGTTCGACGGAGTCATTGAGGGGTCTGGGTTTGCTATCGAGATTCTCTACCTTGATAGGAGCGAAGGAACAGAAGTCACCCCGCATTTGCTCTCGCCCGATAACCCCATCGCAACAATTAGGCTTCTTTATCGCCCGTAAGAACTTCCTCCTGTGTCGCTCCGTATCTTGAAATAACAGACGGCTAAAACACTCCACAGTGGTCACTACGATCTCCTATATCAAACCAACCAGGCAATTCACAACCAAGGGATTATTACATCGGTTAACTTCCAATATGCCATGAGCTCTGACTATATGCCCTGGTATTCGAGTGCCTTGCCGTTTGATCTAAACCCAGTTTTGATGTCCATCCCGAGCCTTCCGCTCGATACCACCAGTATTTCATCACCAATGACCGTTAACCAGCCGTACGCGTTTCCCGAAAGGCAAATTAATTCCAATGTTCCACCTCAAATGATTCCCCAGTCTCCGCCAGCCCTGGCACAACATTCTCCAATTTCGAGCTTTCCTGTCAGCCCAGTTTCCACGCCGGATAAATCCACGGAGCTCCAGATCAGGATGAATCCATTAGTGTGCGAACCAATGAATACGCTTCCGCTGTCCTCTGTACCTTTTAGCAAGTAAGTAAATCCTTACGTATCGTCGTACCTGATTGATACTACGTTCCCAAGATTACCCTCTTGTGTACTGACCACCCCTGTAGCTCTCCCAATAATCTTGCACACTTCCATCATCCCGATTTCCAACCTTCCCAATGGGACCCGAACGAGGAATATAAGTAACAAAACTCGAACTGCTATCTCTACTCATGTGGGAATAGCTTTGACATGATGAGAAACGACCCTTTGCATCATATTAACCACCCTAGATCCTGTGTCCAATTTTCAAACTTATTTCGCGCTGTCTTTTAAACTTCAGCAATATGGCGTTCCCATGGAGGAGGGCACCAGTTTGTAGTTCCAATGCCTCCAGAGTCCCTGTTTGTCTTTCGATCCTATTCGTTTTTTCGAAGAGCTTATGACATGTTATTAGCGGCTATTTGCATTTTCTTAGTGTCATACCTACATGTGGTTGATAACGCCTGTTTTTAAAAGCAGCTTAGCATTTGAATTTGACTCGTTCATCTATCTACTCCACCTTAGAGGTTAGTGGAGGGATACAGCCAAAACGTGTTAATTGTATTGGGCTTTCTGATCTTCTTTTCCAACAGTGTTAACTTTGCTTCTCAAACCTAGGTATGATTGATTCTTCTGTCCATTTCCACGAGCGCGCTTCCGTGACATCCCCGAACAGAGATTTCCCGGCCACGGAGAATAAAAGCAGTGCAGCATGATTACTAACGCTGCTACTGAGATTTGCAGCGTTTAGTGTATTTCGCTACCTGCATATTCGTCAAGTTCTTGCCTGGCTTTCCTGTGTTTACTCCCTACTACGGCAACGGTTCGGGGTATTTGGATTCTGAAATCATCATTCTCGCTATCAAATTGGACAACCGAAAGGAGCTATAACTTGAGATACTGCCCGGAGCAATATCCCACTTTTATTCCACCAAAAGCACATCATATCAGTACATTTTCTCTTCCAAGGGTTCAATATCCAAAGTACCCGAAATATATCGAACAAATCACTAATCAATCTCAAGGTAGTCGATTCACTCTTCAAGGAAGATAGAAAATAAAGCGAAAGATTTTAGAAAACGTAAGAGGGGCGAAGAATCTAGAAAATAAACAAAAATAAAAAATCCAAGAACAGCAAATTATGCATTCCCCCCCGCCGGTTCCCCTGATGAATTCTGCGGATAAGGCTGTGTCAGCCATACATGATCGGTACCTGAATTGTTCGGGAACGTTGTTGACGCAGAAAGAGACGACACCCGCCGCCTGTGATGGAGACCGAGAACGTCACTCTTTAAGCTCCGCATATCCTGCAGACCCTTGTCGAACAAGGTCGAGTCGGAGAACAGAGCGATGCCGGGATGCAATATCATTCTTCTTCGAGGTTTTGGCTTGCTATCTTTGTCGCTGCCTTCGTCCTCAGTGTCGAATTCCCCGATGATTTGTGGCAATATCACGTATGATTCGGCTCTTCGGTTGATTACTGATGATTGGAGCGTGCTGTAGGTTGGGCTTTGGGGCCCGTTACTGCCGCTGCCACTTCCGTTTCCATTGCCAATAGTTCTGTTGGTCCCGTTGCTGGGAAATGAGAAGCCTGGTAGCATTGAACCCTCGTCAACCGTCCATTCTTTCCACGAATCGTCCACCTTCAGACCGGGCGCTCTGTTGAATGTTATCGTGCATCGATCATTACGTCGCAGGGACCAGATCTTCAGCGCGGCGTTGATAATTTCGGCAAACTGCTCTCGAACATCGGTGTTCGTTTGTTCATCCTTGCCGATAAGCGGTTCCAGCATGCCAGCCCCTGCTTCCACCAATTGCGCGATGATCTTCTTGATATCAGAAAACTGGGGCAACCTGTTGAGTGCCCTGACGGTTATTCCTCTCCATACTTTTTCCTCATCCGGGCTCAAGGCGGCAGATATCGCATTCAAGATGGCCTCGTCATGTTTGTCACTGTTCGTGCTGCAACCGACAAGCAACTTGTTCTTAAATATTGCATCCAGCTGTCCCGAGATAAAGTTCTGCACGCCAGCCTTTCGCAAAGATGTGGCCACAGCAGTACGGGAAGAGGAGGTATAATCGAATATACCACTCGCTTGTCTAAGTTTGCCTAAGGTTCCCAGTGGTTCAAGGACCTACACACGGGGCAGAGCAAATTAGCGCAGGTTTGGAGCACATGCTGCTTGGTAAACATACCAATTCAACCTCCTGAGGGACATTCTCAAACCTCGTGGCGAAAGCCTCAATAAGCTGGTACAAATTTTGGACGGATTTTTTACTGTTCAGATGTCTTAGCCACGAAAAAAAAAAAAAAAAAAAGTTTCCGATAACCATTTACCCACACAGCGTAATAGCAGAGAGATATGGACTTACTACTCAACAAACGGCGTTGCAGAAACCGCCATTTCAGCGCTCAGCGTGCGCAATTTCTCCCGGAGCGAGGCCACGTCCTCTTTCAGTCCTTCGTTCCTCTCCTCCAAGGTGTCTCGATAGACAGTCAACCTGTTCACTTCGGTGTTGAACTCCCTATTCAATCTGACGGCATCATCCTTCTCCTTTTCCAGCTTCCGTTTCTCCGACTCAACACGGCTCTTCGCAGCCTTCACTTCTCCCTCGTATTGTTCCTTGACTTTTTTCTTCTCCTTTTTGAGGGCCTCTTCCTGTTGCTTCTTGAGTTTAGCCTCCTTTTCGCGATACTCCTTTTCTGCAGCTTGGCGATCTCGTTCCAGCTTAGTCTTCTCCTTGACGACGGCCTCCTTCTCCTTTGCAACTGATTGCTCCTGTTCTTTCAGTTTCTTGTTTTCTGCTTCAAGCTTCAGGATCACCTTGTCCTTATCTTGTTTGATTTCTTCAATTTTCTTATTTTTGACAGCAGTAATTGTATCGACCGTGTTATTGAGCTTTTCTATTTCATCCACTCTGTCGAGTTCAGATGCAGTGGCCCTTTTAATGCCCTGGATTCTATCTTGGATTTCTGGTATTGCTAGGAAGCGGAGAGCATTGAACAGTACATGCACCGAATCCGCAATCGTAATTGTCCCATCTTCGGTATTGTGGTCTCCCGCAATCGTCTTGCCGCGGGCATGGTCGCCTACTTTCTCCGCAAACGACTAGAGAGGGTGGGAAGGTTTTGGATGTAAAGTTAGCTCTCAATGATATCTGGCCTATCCTAAACCAACATTAGCGGTGTTTATTCACTCACTGCATCTACATACCTTTGAGTCTTGGTTTGAATTCATAGCGTATCGGCTGGTATCACTTCCGCTGCTGTTATGTCGAAGCCGCAGCCGATCTAAAGCCTTGTTAACAGCGTAGTGTGTCGGCGATATGGTACGCCTGTCTTTTATAGAAAAGATATGGTTTGGGGACTTTCTGCCCATGGATATCCGATGTTTCTTTTCGTACCATCAAAAGCTGTGGAAGGGTCACTTCTAGCCCTTATAATGAAGCAATGAAGAGGGGCAGTGGACTGAATATACAAAATTCTATCAACTCCACGAAAAGGCCAGCAGCTGCAGTATATATATATATATATATATATTTCTGTACTGTACATAGATATGTATCTCCCTTCCCAACTCTTCCTTCTCTCTAATCCTTATATCACGGCGACATCATCAGCCACACTCACTTCAAAACTGAGGCCTCCAGCTCCTTTCCCACCCCTTCCACCCGCTGATCAAATCAGTCTCCATTCTCTATACGACGTACCAGAATTCGGACAGATGCATGCAAAACCTGCAGCGAGGCTGCATATCAGGAAAGGCTCTCGATCCACCCGTAGCTGTCAACGTGGTTTTCTCCGCGCGTCGGGCGCATGGGCCCTTCTACTCTTACTCCCTCTTCCGTTCACTGCCTTTGGGAGTAATGCATCTTGTATTGGATAGCTCTTTACCGCGTAGCCCCTCCGGTGCTGGCGCGGGGTGGGAATCATTGCTTTGATCAGGAAGGGAGTATAAGTCTCGAACCCTTTGATTTCAAGCCTGGCTGGATCCAAGCGCTGATGCTGACGCCAAAACCAACAGGCGATTAGGCATGGACGGGAGTGATCTAGTTAACCGGCACAAATTGGCGAATCATGTAGGGATCTTTGAAAGTTGACGTCGTCGTCTTAAGGAGTTCTTCTTTTTCAGTTCTTTAAGGCGCCCGATTCGTGCAGTCTCCAGGCATTGCGTTGAACCAAAGGATAATACTTCGGGTTAATCCAATTCGCATCTTTTTCTTTTCTTTTCTTTTCTTTTCTTTTCTTTTTTTCTTTTTTTCTTTCTTTGTTCTTCTTCTTCTTTTTTTTTTTTTTTTCGTTCGCATGTTTCTGGAAACACGACCGCTTCCCCAGCGGGATAGATAGCGAGAGTGGACTGCCGCTCATGTTAATGGATGCAGAGCTTATACGGAGTAGTACTGATTGGGCTGTTAACTGTGACTAGCAGAACAGTGCAATGGAGGATGGGAAATTGTCATTGGAGCGGAGGTAGACATGTCTTGGATTAAATTCCTCAAAAGACCGTCCTGTTGATATATGGGCATACAATTCAATTTTAAAGGAGACACAGCTAAGACATTAGTTCTCATGGCATAGAGAATATGTACATTCTGTGCTGTGTACTTCAAGAACAAAGTAACCGCGATGATGTTTACTCCTCTCCCCCAAGGCTACATTCAATAGGAAGACATGTATCAATTTATGTATAATAAGCACCAAATCTTGATTCCCACGCTCAAACAGAATACAAATAGATAATCAACGGAGAGAACAACACACAAGAATTCTTCCTCGATATTGTATAATTCTCCACTCAACTCTCCGCAACCTCACTAATAACCGCTGAGCAAAGCACACTCCCAGACTGACTATCAAAAACCAGAAACAAAAAAGGTCTATCCACCTCCATCTCCACCAGAACCCTCATGGGTGGTGAGCCACCAAAGACCCCCATGGTTGTCGCAGCAGCTACCTCCGTCCCTTTTTCATTAACTTCTACAACTAAATCATGTTTGATGTTGGAGATATAAGCGTACTTCGAAGGCGTCATGGGGCGAGAAGTATGGGGATGGGCGGGAGACAGGCCGTAGACCCAGGTTGAAAAGGAGCTCGGAAAGATCTGTGCTTTGTTTTAGCGTGAAGCGGGGGAGAGTGAGGCGGAGGTATGTTGGCTTTAGATTCGAGGAGGGGGTGGTGGTACTGTTTTGGGAGTTTATGCTGAAGGTGGTGCGGAGGGTGGAAGGGCAGGTGGAGAAGTGAGAGAGGATGTCGAGGATGGCCGTTGCGCCGGGGTTTTTGGGGAGGATTATGACTGCGTTCCATGCCAGTTCAGCGGTGGGACCACTCGTATTGCCGAATACTGTCGAGCTTGTCGCGGTAGGGTGGTTCGAGAGGAAGGGTGATGGCTGGGGTTTATTCATGTTGTTATCCTTCGTCTGATACGGCAGCACACACATCTGCGCAACATTATCCTCCATATACAGAATATCAGAAGTCCGCCGCATCATAGGACAGCGCATGCCCAATCTCGTTACCCCACTCTTCCTCATCCCTTCTTCGCCAAAGCCAAAGAATGCACCCGGACGTGTGTGATAAGGGTCAAACGGGACCTCCCACTTCGCCTTGAAGTACAAACACGTCATCAGCTTAATATCCTGATCTGACATATCTACTTCGCTAACAACACTCTGAATCTTCCCCCGCGTACTCTCTCTCGCCCAAGCATTCATCGCGTACACCTCCTGTGGCGCAATAGTTGCTTCAAACATCTGGTCCATTTGCTTCGCCCATCGCGGCTCAATCTCAATCGACTTCCCGGGCCACACGGAACTGCCAATGACCAGTTCAACAACACCGCCATTTTTGCTAGGGCAAGGCTTGCAATACTTATGCAACCGCGAAATATTCTGCACCGTGACTCCTAGCGCGTCACTGCTAGCATCAAACCGGAGCACTTCGGCAAAGGCGTTCATGTTTATGCTCTCCGAGCCGGCCACAGCCATCATAAGGCAGCAGTAGATATTTGCTGCGACGACGCCGTTGGAGCATTTCTCTTGAGCGAGCATGTATTGGAACTGGAGTCTGAAGCCGAACTGGTTGACGGTGTCCATGAAGCTGGGTGAAGGGGAATCCGGGCTAACATGCGGCGGGTGAGGGAGCGATGGGGCCCCACCGAGCGGCACTTTTGGATGGAGACCTGGCTGATGAAACCACCCCTGTTGCTGGGGGTGGTGGAGGGTTTTGGATTTGTGTTTGGATTTGTCGTGTCGATGATCCCTGGTGATGGCACTGCATTTTGCAGTGAGAGAGGCGCCGGGATGAATGGGAATGTCTCGACAGCCCCTGGGATTGGTATCCGGATCTTGAGAAATGTATGCTTGTGATCGTGTGGGTTCAATTCCTCACAGCTAGAGCACTATAGAGTGTGATGGGGGATATCAAGGCATGGAACCCCCAAAAGTTAACCCTTGCATCAAGATATCCGAATGAATATTTATTTCCGGATATATCAAGCCCAGCGCGAGAGTACGGGTCGTGGATCCAGTATGAAAACATTATTCAGGCTTCCGATTACCAGGTCGAAGTCTATGCAATTGATACATCTGAACCGGTGGCCAACGATAGGCATCACGCGGCAGTTATCACAACCTTCTGATGCCATGGTGTGTCGCTGGTGTTATCCTGTCAGCCATTATTTCTTTGTTTGTTGCTTCTTGACTCCCTTGCGTAAGCTAGCGTGCTAAGTTATGGCACTGGATTTTCTAACGGAGTGAAACCTGCTGGGTGAAGTTGACAGTTTCCTATATAGCATTGATGGCATGGGATGAAAGGGTCATACAGAAAGAATAGCTATAGGACTTAGGCTGAAGATAGCCATGCAGTACGCCCGAATGCCGAATGAGAACTGTTGGCTTTTATATAGTAAAAGTGTTGTCTCCGGCTGCCCCGCATCATCAAAAACACAGCTAACTTACAGACTAGGCTAGCTCAAGATGGCTTTATGCAATATCTGGAATAAAAGTGCTGAATCCTCACAATGTGCAGGTTCTGAGGATGCTCTGTCTATGTAGGTAAATTGAAGATGATACGGTGGCAATTTGGTGTTGAGGTTTCAATCAAACTTATGGCGAGGCATTGGAGGCCAGAACCTCCAGGAAGAAGGGTAGAATAGTTTATTTTAGACAGTCAACTTACTGCCTAATGAAATAGATGACTTTTCTTTTTTTTGAGAGAGAGAGAGAACAGATCAAGAGCGTATCTATTTTCCAGATCATGCTGATATCACCCCATTAACAGGGTATATTTATTTCAATTAGCAACGGAGTCAACTTATCCGCAAATATACTCCAGACCCAGTGCCTCCATTGGCTGAGTTGATATGTGCAACACTTTTATATCCACATCCGTGTACCTTTTAAGAAACATATTTTCATATCCCCTTCTTTTCCCTAGCCATATGATTCCGCTATGCATCCACCCATGGATTTGACCTATACTCCGCATCCATATTTTCAAAGCTCAATAGCAAGAACAGTCGGAGAACCCTCACCAAATCTCATAAGTATCAATCTCTCACCCCATTGACCATTCCGCGTCCCCCATCCCCTTCCTCCACAACCGCCCAATCCCGCACCCCACCCTTCCAATCCGCAATCCTCCCCTTCCTCACTTCAACAATAACAACCCTCGCACTCTCATCCACCGTCGTGCCAACCACATTGCCCGTATCATCCCCCTCCCCCTCACCCTCCCGTTCCCCCCGCCCCTCCCTCGCCGCAGCAAACAAACTCGTCCCATCAGGCGCATCAGACGCAAAGGTATTATTCTCCAAATGCCGCGCTTTACACCACTTTTCTTCTTCGGAGCCTGTCTCCGCAAACCTCGCCTCACCAATGATAGTCGTACTAATACTGCTTAGCGCGCTGGTGTTGATATTCAGCAGGAGAGAGGCGAGGCTGGAGCGGGTTGCTGCAGGTGGCGGGGAGCCGTCGCGGGCCAGATGATGGGTTGTGGAGCGGGTGGGGGGCCGGTGGGAGACCCAGTCGTGGACGAGGAGGGAGACGCGCGGGTTTGAGAGGAGGTTTAGGGTCTTTTTGGAGGCGGCGTTTGTGGTCATGATTATTGTGGGGTGAGTGGTGAAGGGGGTTGAGGGGAGGTAGGTGTAGCTCATTAAGGAGACGTGGGGGGTTAGGTTGTCGCAGGTTGCTAGGTGAAGCTGGGGTAAGGGGAGTTAGCGGCGTGTAATTCTGACAGATGCATGTCTATGACGTACAAATCTGGAGTTCTTTAGACATGAGACTACTTCTGGCGGTAGGCTGCTGGCGAAATGCGGATGGGTGGTGGTGGCCGAATCCTCATAACTGAGCGGCGGATGTTGGTGTTCGGCCATTTTGCCTGTTTGTTGACTGACACACGCTATCGAGTATAAGTGCAATTGTAATAAGAGTAATAAGGAAAATTTTATAGCAATAGGCTGTCTATCCACTTCGAACTGGCTTACTGACCTGCTGGTGATAGGTTCAGTACAGCTATGTATTGCGGTTAGACTCAATATTTCCCCAACAAACAAAGCAAACGACGGGGACGAGCTCGGCTGACGTCATATGATGAGTCACGTGGAATGTGTCCCAAAAAAGTCTAGCGTAGATCCCAGCCAGAGCCTCTAACCCTTTTAAGTAATCGAGGCTCTTCCGGGATCTCCTCCTGGTCTCCTCCTCTTCTCGTTCTATCTCAACGTCAATGCTTCTCGTTCTCCTCTCTTTCTATTCATTCATTCATTGTCTGTCCGTGTGTCTCTGCCTTGGTTTGTCAATTCAAGCTGGTTTCACTTTCTTATCTCTGTGTTGATACTTATTCTATCCCTTTCCTGCAAACCAAGGGCTCCCTGTAGTCTGACCTTAGGTAGCGTGTTACCTGGCTGCGTGTAGCATTGGCTCATCCTGGCCATTCCCTGTCAAACCAGGCCTTCCCCTCTTGTTGTTCTTATCTTGTCTTGTCGCTCGCGTGTCCAGCTAATCTAACACCCCTCACATTGTTTGTGTAGTACTGTACTGCTACTACTGCTACCGCTACATTCTACTACTGCTGCTGAACTATCCCTCCATCCCCCAATCCCCGCATACTTTAATCTCGGGCACTCGAGTCCGGTAGCTGGTAGCTGGAAACAAAGTAGTATACTTGTTATTGCTTGTGTCGCCGTCGACACTCCGCGCCACTTCTATATATCGCTTGCATCTTTACACCGAACACGCTCGCACACACATCTGTACGCCGTATCCTCTCCTGCCATTCATAATCACCATGTTGGCCCCTCGTCTATTCCGAATTCAAACCAGCTCCTCCACCTGCCCCTCGACTTTAATACTACGACCCTTATCCACCACCAGCGCCTTATATCGAGCCCCTTCGCTTAGAGATATCACCCCAGACAACGCGGCTAGTTTCAATGCGAAGCAGAAGGAGTTCCGCGCGAACCTGGAAGCTGCTCGGAAGAAAAAAGCACAGGCAGAGAGTCAGTCGGATCATGCTTCTGTTGTTTCTCCTGCTCCATTTTCCTTTACTTCAAGGCGCTCCTCCGGCTCTTCGCATCCCACTGCTCCATCTGCGAGCAATGCGAGCGAACAGCCTGATTCTACCGCTGCCGCTGCTTCTCCTGTTCCTGATGCTGCGAACACCCTAGACGTTAAAGGTTTGGGCTCACTTTCCACCCACCGCATTGTAGGAGAACACCGTCAATCCGATGCTGGCCAGACCCCAAAGCGAGGGGCCTTGTCCAGCTTGATCTATGGCACCAAGGAAGGACAGCAGCTGGACAAGGATATCGAGCGCTCTTTCTCGGAAGTGCTCGCGCGAGGGAAATACGTCCATTCGATCGTTTTTCACGAAGTCAAGCCGGATAAAGTGGAGGAATACGTTGATTTGGTTGGTCAGTGGTATCCGCGGATGGCACAGATTGAGAACAACAAGGTCAATCTGGTCGGAAGTTGGAGGACACAGGTTGGAGATAATGATACATTCGGTAAATAAATAAACCCCTTTCCCACATCAATCTCTCACCAATTTGTGCAATTACCAGGGAGAAAAAATGCTAACATCGAAATGATGCGGTATAGTTCATATATGGGAATACCAACGCTACTCAGGCTACCACGCCTCCCTCCACGCCATCTCCCAACACCCGGACTTCCGCGCATTCGACCGCCGTCTAAAATCCCTCATCAACAACAAACGCACTTCTCTCATGCAAGAATTCTCCTTCTGGCCCACTACCCCTCCACGCAAACTCGGCGGCCTCTTTGAACTCCGCTCGTACACTCTACATCCGGGCAACCTGCTCGAATGGGAAACCCACTGGCGACGAGGCCTACACGCGCGGCGCGAAGTCATGGAAGGGGTTGGTGCGTGGTTTGTGCAGATTGGCGAGCTGAATACGGTGCATCACCTGTGGCAGTTTGCGGATTTGGAAGAGCGGAAGATTCGGCGCGAGCAGTCTTGGTCGATTGAAGGATGGGCAGATACGGTGCATAAGACGGTGCCGTTGATACAGTGTATGAAGAGTCGGATTTTGATTCCTATGCCGTGGAGTCCTGTGGGGTAGAATTTCTTTCTTCTTCCTTTCTTTTTCCCAAATGACCGGAATGAGATTGTGCGAACGGGAAAGGGCTCTGTCGTCGTGGAGGATTTTTCTTTTTTTTCCTTTTTGTCTACTTTCATATATATCAAGTGACAGGTGTGAGATGTCACGACTGTCGAGAGAGTTCTTACAAGCATACTTTACGGTGTTTTTAAGACTTGAATGCTCCTGCTACTGATGCTGGCGGGGGCAGGAAGAAGAGAAGGAAGGAAGCAAGGAAGCAAGGAAGCAAGGATAAACGCCCCTCCGGGGCGTCTTTTCCAGCGAGGTTCGATATCATCCTGGCTGGTTGGATAAGTGGACAGCGGCGATAGTTGTTGCCAGGTCCATGGTACGAATGGAGGAAGATAGATAACTGAGGGGCCTGTGGAGTCTGTTTTCCCAGTGTATGTTCTTTTTCTATTATCAAGAAGGCGGGGTGTGGAGGAGGGGGAATATATTATTATTGATGGAGAATTATTTGGCAGGGAATTGTTAGACATTTATTATTATTCAGAGGGGCATTTGTTTGATAGCTAAGGAACGAACTGGAGAGTGATTATGATGATCATGGATGATGTATCGTGGCTAATAAGAAAGATAACCAAGGTGTAATTTATTAGCAATGAATATTAATAAAAGACACCTTGTTCTCTTTTCCCTCCTCCCTCCTCCCTCCCCCCTCTCCCCTCGTACTTCTTTCTTTCTTTCTTTCCCCACCTTCCACAGCAATCGTAAGTCCTCAGGGTTCAGACTTTGGAGAGCAGCAATTAGTTCCTCGTTTGTTGCCAATAAAATGCAACGTTAGTGGCTCATAAACCCAGCAGAGGCGCGTTTCAGCCAATCAGCAGCCTGCAAGAGCGTCGTCCCCTGTCCCCTCCCCTTGTCCTGTCCCGTCGTTCGTCGCCGCCTTCTCGCCTTTTCTCGCTTCCTTCCTTCTTCTTTTTTAGTTAACTTTTAGTTAGTTCTCTCCACAGGCTTTGGCAAAAACTTAACAAGCTTTTGTTCCTTTTTTTTTTCTCCGTTGCAGGCTTTGCAGCAGAACAAGAACAAGAACCGCATACAACCACTCCAACCAACAATCAAACCATTATTGGTGTACGTACGGAGTACAGCGTACATAGTAGTATGTACTGTACATGTACTACATATACATACATCTATACATGTATATACTACTCCCCGCTCACCCCAGGCCTAGATAAACTTTACCCGAACCCTACAACTACCCCAGAACCTACACAGTACAGTACGCTACCCGATACGTTACCTAGGTACTAAACTACTGAGGATTAAGCCGTAGACATCCATTTACTTGGCCCACATGGTTAGCGATTGAGGCGATGGATGTATAAACAACTTGCTATTTCATTTCCATATTCCTCACCAACCCATCGCTTCTTCCCACTTTTGACTGATCGAACAAAGCGCCGTTCTGTCTCTCTCTCCTTTCTCCTCTCTCCTCTCTCTTTCTTAAGCTGTCATCTCTCCCCATCCATCTCTCACCTACGCTTTCGCCACAACAATAACAAGAACAACACTACCAACCACTACCAACCACTACCAACCACTACCAACCACCAGGCAAAGTAACCATCAAACGATCCGGGAAAGGAAAGGAGGGCTATATACACAAGCCATGGTCTACGTCCGCCAACATAACCTCGCCGCCCTGCGCGAGTACAGGTACTCCGGCGTCGACAAGTCTCTTGTTTCTCGCTATATCTTGAAACCCTTCTATACACATGTCGCCATTAAGTGTTTTCCTATGTCTATGGCGTGAGTATTACCCATTTTCTTTTCTTTTCTTTTTTTTTTTTTTCCCTCTGTTTTCAGTTGTTTTTAGTAATTTTATATGTTGATTTTCTGTTGAATGATTCTTCATTACTTTCTCTTTTCTTTTTCTTTTTCTTTTTCTTTTCTTTTCTTTTTCTTCTTCTTTTTTCTTTTTTCTTTTTATTCGTGTTGGTTGGGAATTTTTTTCTGTTGGGGTCTGGTGATGCTTTCACTGAGCTATATCATGCTGCCAATGACTGCCACATCCATGGCTAGAGATGTTTCTTTTTCTTCCCTCTCATCCTCTTGCTGCTATGAAGGTTCCTATGTTTTGTTGTTTTCTTTATATATTATTTCATGCTAACATCTTGCCTCTAGACCAAATGCTGTAAGTGGGATGGATCCTTTTATCCAATTAACCTGTTTGAAGACTCCTTCACTTACCCCCGATGCCTTCTATTCGCCATTTGCCCCCTTATTTCTTTTCTTTGGTTCCATCTCCCCGAGAAAAGGAAAGAAAAAAAGTGCTAACATTAAAGTCATCACCAGATCACACTAACAGGCTTCTGTTTCGTCGTCATCAATTTCCTGACTCTGCTCTGGTATAACCCTACCCTAGATCAGGATTGTCCGCCATGGGTCTATCTGAGTTGGGCGGTAGGATTGTTCCTGTACCAAACGTTTGATGCAGTTGATGGGGCTCAGGCGTATGTTCTTCCACTATCACTGCTTTTTCAATTATGCGTGATCTTCTGTGTGATTTTAGACAGACAATTTCCTCTCGACTGAACCCAAAAAAGCGGGGTTGTCAAGTTGACCTTTGTGCTGATATGATACTATGTTTCTATGTATAGACGGAGAACTAGGCAGAGTGGACCTCTTGGTGAGCTTTTTGATCATGGTATGTTTTCTTACTTTTTCCTTGTTGTCTTTGCTTGAAGAACTCCCCTCTAACATATTTATACAGGAGTCGATGCGTGCAACACCGCCCTGGAAGTCCTCATCTTTGCCGGCGCAACAAACCTGGGCCAGTCATGGCTAACTGTATTGACTCTATTTGCCTGTATGGTCCCCCTTTCCCGCCCCCCTCCCACCACACCCATCTCAACCACCACCCTACTAACTTACCCCCAGCCGCCCTAACCTTCTACGTCCAAACTTGGGACGAATACTACACCCAGACGCTAACCCTAGGTATAATCTCCGGGCCCGTCGAGGGAATCTTAACTCTCTGTGCTGTCTACGCAACAACAGCCATAAAAGGCGGCGCCAGCTTTTGGCACAAACCCATGCTGGCAACCCTAGGCGTCCCAGCCTCAGTTTTATCCATCCTACCCGCATCCGTGTCCAACCTTCCCTTTACCTCCTGGTACATCATCTACGGCGCTGTCGTCTTGCTCTTCAGCACCTTCACCAGCATCTTAAACGTAATGCATATCCGCCGCCAGCGGAATCTAAACGTCTATAAACCCCTCCTGGGCCTATTGCCCGCTGTTGCGACGTGGTTGCTGGTTACTGTATACTTGCATCTGCGGCCCTTGGTCCGGGAGAGACATCTCGTCCCCTTCGCGATGTACGTGGGGCTCATCAATGCGTATTCGGTTGGGCAGATGATTATTGCGCATTTGGTGAAGAGAGGGTTTCCGTATTGGAATGTTTTGCTGTTGCCGTTGGTGGTCGGGGTTGTGGATGGGGTGTGTGGGTCGCAGGATTACTTGGGCTTGTGGGAAGGGAGTTTGTTGTTTGGCAGCGGGAAGGATGGGGAGGTGTATCAGGTTGCGTTCGTGTTTTGTTCGTTGGGGCTGGCGGTGGGGGTTTATGGGAGTTTCGTGGTAGATTTCTATTCTTTTTTTTCCCCTTTCTTTCTTCTGGTCCTTCCTGGCTTCGATACTTCCTTCCTCCCTTCTATTCTTTAGTATGTGGATCCGGAAAAAGACTGATTTGTGCACAGTTCGATGTCATCACCACTATCTGCGATTACCTTGATATCTGGTGTCTGACTATCAAGCACCCATACGTCGAGGGTGCGGCGACAGAGCCCGCGAAAGTAATCAAGACGAAGGTTGTCGATACGAATAATACCCACTCCGCTGCGAAATCGAAAGTTAACTAAGACAATGAAACGCGGGAAACACGGGCGTTGAAGAGCTTGCGTGTGCGCGTCGCTGATCCAGATATTGTTGATATGGATCCCTTTGGCGGCGAAAATATTTTACTTGAGAGGAGTTCTTCGTGATAAGATAGGAAGGAAAGGGCGATTGGCTAGAAAGAGATGGTGGAAGAGTTTTACATCATTCAGGTGAGGGGGAAAAAATGTTGGTTGTTGATGAGGGTGTCAGTAAGTTGAACTAATGGGTAAGTTTTATATCTGGGGCGGCGATTTTATGGTTTGAAACCATGTCCCTCTGCTTTCTTGATGTATTAGTTTTCTCTTCTGTTTTCTCTGCCAGTGCTTCCTTGTTACTCGGTATATGCATGCATGTTTGTTTCAACTTGGTTTTCAACCTTTTTTATGTTGTATACCCTGATTATATACATCACCACTTCCAACGCACGCCCCTTTCTTCCCCCTTCTTCAAGCATCACTGGGTTTGCTGGGTTTGTATGTTATGTATGTTACTTTAGCTTGTACACATTTATAGAATGGGGCGGGACGGGATGGAATGGAATGGGATGTATTAACACTGTTAACTATTTATCATTTCAGGGGGTGTTACGTTGCATTCTCTGTTTCCTTTCCCTTACCTTTTTTTCTTTTCTTTTCTTTTCTTTTCTTTTCTTTTCTTTTTGTTGAATTATCCTATTCCGTAGGCTGTTTCATTCATAGTTATGTCAAATTTCCTTTAATCTCTTCATTTCAGAATTTCTTTTCCTTCATACAATTAATCTTAATCTCGTGTGTGTGTGTGTGTGTTTTGTATAGCTCTGTGGATCTATCTAAACTACGGCTTTGTATTATGCTTTGTGTGTGTATTTCCCTCCTGCTTGAGTATCAGTCCATTTCATGATCTCTTGTTGCAGAACCTTGTTCTCATAACTACTTTTTAATTCTTGAACTCCTCTACCCCGCCGGCCCGGCCCCGCCCCACCCCCCGGATAACCTAGGAGACAAAAATACTGCATATAAAGTAAAAAGTAAAGGTAGACAGATATATTCATAGTAGTGGAATTGATGGGAGTCACTTGTAGTGGCGAAGTGAAAGGTTACATCGATAAATCATCTCAACCTACATATAAGATGAGCCCAGAACAGAAGTGAAAATAATCTGCTGATGGGGTATTGATAACGGGGCAAATTACCCACGCGTTGTCAAATACAGGGGAACAGAATCGAAACTGGAATAAGAAATCAGAGATTAGAGATTAGATGGGCACAAAGGGAATATAGTGTCATGGAGAAGACATTGCAGGCACACTTGCCGTGTGCCTTCCTTCTCCCAATGAAGGCGCTAGGAAAATGAAAACTAGTAATCTAGGAAGTGTAGGACATTGGGGCAAAAGAAGAAGAGCCCGATCACCCACCAGCCGTTTACTGGTAGCTAAAGGGCCGAACCATTCCAAATATATCAACAGAATGAGGAAATATGGTGGATAGTCTTGTAGCTAGAGAACAAGAACACGTGTACAAGAGGGTAACATTCCAACCGCCCGCGCGCAAGGGGATGTCTATTTTAAGCGAAAGCGCCCTAATACAAACTTCTCTCTTCAACTTACTTCACGGCGGCCTCATCATCATCATCATCTGGAAAAACCCCGGAGGCAGGTTCGCCGCCGAGTGCTGCCCAGGGAGAGTAACCTGTAGATTCCCCTGCGCATCGACGACTGTGAAAAAACTCGTGCCTAGGACGGCGTATACCTGGGATGGCGGGGCCAATCCTGCAAAGGCTGTCCCTGGTCTACCGGCAGGAGGGGCAGGGGCAGCAGCGGGATCCTGGGTCTGCGATGGCACGGAGGGCCCTGCGGGCGCTACTGCGGGCGCTGGCCTGGGCTGGGAAGCGCCACCAGGAGCAGATACAGATACAGGCGCAGGCGCAGGCACAGGTGCAGGTGACATTTGTAGAAATTGGCCAGCGATCTGCTGCTGCGGGAGGAACCAGTGAGGCGCCTGGGCCTGGCCGGACGGGGTCGGGCCACTGGGTAGGGCGACCATGGGGCTTGCCGGGTTCCCGACGACTTTGCCGTCGCTGGAGAACTTGTATGTCGTTGCGGATACGGAGGCCCATCTGGGGTCACATGTGAATTTGCCATCCTCGCCTTTGGTAATGACGAAGCCTGCTGGGGGTGGTGGTGCCATGATATTTGGGGGGATGCCGCCGTTTGGAGGGCCCCAGAATGTTTCATGGCCAGTCGGGAAAGTTCCCCAGGTCATGGCTGTGGAGTATGTGTTAGGTGAGGGAATTCTTAAAGAGGGTTTTATGGGATAGGATGGGGAGATGAGCTTGTATGTTTCAGGAGGACGGGGTTGAGGGAAGTGAGGTTCTAGTATTGTCTAGACTCTGGGAAAAGGGAAAGATAAAAAGAGAAAGCCAAGAATCTATGAGAGATTCTTCGGTATTTTATATGCATGAAACATCCCATATATGGACCAGTGGCAGCCCTATAACTCTACACATCTAAATATCCAATTGCTTGCGTGTGACCTTCTGCTTGTTAGTATCGATACAGGGCGGGCGAGAGTATGTCATAATCTTAGCAATGAAAAAGAAAGATGCTGAGACATAATAGAGTCCAATGACTGCCGCCAGTTTGGTATTTGGCACACATCAAACCTCGCTGCGCTGATAAGGTATAGCACTCTGTACGCAGTATACATCGTGTGTATGTACTATGTAGAAGATGTTCAGGGGCAGGGGTTGATAATGCGGCTGAAAATAAGCTCTGCTGACTCAGTCAGAGCCGCGCTAGCCCAACACGGCCAGCTAAGCGAGTGCACAATCGCCCATTTTGGGCACTGCGCGGCGTAGTCATCCATTGCTGGCTTGCTGTTCGCCATTTCTCTTCTGCATCGCCGCCTCCCCCTCGAGATCCTGTTCATCGACCCTCCGACCTTGCTGCTCTCCGACTGTCCGTCTTGACAAGTTCATCCCACAGGTCACAGCATCGACAACATCTCCAAGCCGTCAAGATGGTAAGCTTCCGCCTGCTCGTGTGATGCGTTTTCGGTGGCGATGGATAGGATGGCCTTTGTACATTATGGAATGCATATGATATGATGATATCTGGGACCTCCTCTATCGTCGCCGGCATCACAACTTTGAAAAAAAAAAAATTACTTTTTTATATTTTCTTTTGAAACGGAACATCATACTGATACATCTTTCTTTCATCCAATAGGTTCTCGCGGTCGATCTCCTCAACCCGACTCCCCAGGCGGAGGCCCGCAAGCACAAGCTGAAGGTACGCTGCACACACGGTCCCTACCGAGAATCCCGCCAAAACAATGCAATACCGAAATACATCCTAAAGAACAAAAGCCAACTAACTTCGGATATGGTAATTTAGATGCTTGTGCCTGCTCCCCGGTCCTTCTTCATGGATGTCAAATGCCCCGGCTGCTTCGCTATCACAACCGTCTTCTCGCACGCCCAAACCGTCGTCATCTGCGCTGGCTGCTCCACCGTCCTCTGCCAACCCACTGGTGGAAAGGCTAGATTGACCGAGGGTTGCTCGTTCCGGAGAAAGTAAAGGGTGCAAATCGTTTTGCTTTTTTCGCTTCTTCGTTTTGTTTGAATGATGATGATTGTTGCTATTTGTTTAATTATACAAAAAAACAACCCAAAATTTTAACGGGGAATTTTAAAAATCGAATGGCGTTTTCATATTCTGTCACATATTGCTACCTGTGACCGTCTTCATACTTTTCTACCCTAACCTAACCCTTGACTCTGTCTTTCTCATTGTTTTTTCTAGCGGACCTTAAACCCCGCTCCCCCCCACCCAAAAATCTATGATCTGCAGATAGAAGAAGATGGAATGAGCAGTTTACCTTCTTCCGGCCGAATTATGCAAGAAAAGCGAGCTAACGCAAAGCAAAAGAAAACCATCTCCTAGTCCCTCTTGCGCATTCTTTCTTGCATTTGCCAAAATACGATGGACTCTCAGGGGAAAGGGAAACAAAGAGCAGACCTGGCATCCGACAAACCAAACCAAAAACCAATACTGTTCATGAATTGCTATTATGATGCTTGTTTTATTTCAGACACCTACCTACCAGAAAAAACTCCTCCAGAAGGAACAACGACAAATCGATCCTGAAATTCCACTTCTTACCTCTTGTTTGCTACATCGGCCATTCAAGTGTTGAAAAGGAAAATCAAGGCGCGAATGGGTAATATATATATATCTCTCTCTCTTCGGGTTGCGGTCAAAATGTATGGATTCCTGTACAAAGTGTCACCTGGCTGGAAAGGTAACCTGCTTTGGGAGGGAGATGGAGGATTGCTCGTGAAGGATGTCTGGTTGTTGATTTTGGTATGGCAATACAGACAACTTCGACCTGCTCTCTGGTCTGGATTTGTGTCCTGCTCGACATGGATTGTTTAGTCGATTTCTTTGTCAAGCACGAGAATCTGTTCCTCTCCCGCTGCTATAACAAGCAGGGCATTGTCCCCTGTACACTGGTTTGAACATGAAAATCAAGCAGACTTGATTATTTGACTTCTACCGGAATCCTGTGTGGTTTTAAATCTTCAAGGCATAGTTTTAGACTGCAGGATTGACTGGGTGGTGCATTCGCGATGCCAGGCAGTGCTGGATAAATCCCTCCCACTTACTGTAGGCCCGAAGATAAAGGCTTCCATATGGTACGTACTGTAGAAGAGTAACTAATGCAGTGATATATTGCAAGCCACATAACTAGTCACTGCTCTAATACAAAAAAGATACTGCCCAATGCCACCTCTCGCAATGCCCAACCATCCCTAAATTCCAAAATTACAACTCCTTCTCCCTGCTCTTCTTGCTCCACGCCTTCACCTCCTCCTCCTCCCTCCTCTTACACTCCGCCTCAAAACGCGCTTTCAACTCACTATCTCCAGCCACCTTGGCAGCCGCCCACCTCGACCTTAAATCACCAACCGTCGTTCCCACATACACCTGCTCCGGGTGTCCCATGGCCAACGGCCACAGTTCATCCAACCACATTACCTGGTTATACGTCAGCGCAAATAACTCACTCCACACTAGCCGTGTTAGGATGCGCATGGAACCGACGTAGCCGGGGGATTCTTCGGGCCGCTCGATGCCCTCGGCCGGGTCGTAATGGGCGTCGACGGCGAGGAGGAAGTGGTCTTCGGTGTCATCGGTGTCGTCGGTGGTGGGTTTGGCGTAGGATGCTAGGCTGGCAGAGTCGATGATGAGGATCGTGCTTTGGTCGATGCCATCTGAAGGGGTGAGTGTATTGAGGAAAGTGATGAAATGACTGGTTTTTGCAGATATGGTTAGCGGGGATTGGGGGGGTAGGTATTACGATATCTGTTCATGTGCTTTTCTTTTGCTTGTCCTTTATTCGTTGCGTTTATTGGGTAACATACCGCTTCGCACCATCGATATCATCTTTCGCGAGTCCAAGCTCTCGTCCATCAAACCATTTCAGTTTCAGGAATGGCTTAATGTCCTCTACACCATCGATACCATCGCCCCAAGACGCTAGGTCTTTCTCTATAGCCTCCTTGAGAGCCGCCCATTCAACACCATCGTCGTTCTGGCCATAGCTGAGCCTATAAATGGCAAAGCCAACCTCTGTCATTGGTGGTTTCCCCAAATTCTTAATGTCGCGGATACGAGATGTGACATCAGAGATCCATACAGGTGGCGCACGGGGTCCTGGATTTGGGTCCGATCGCGCTCGGAGCCGCTGCTGATCCTGTATCCGCAATTGGCCCTCAATGGCCTTGAGCAAATCGTTTTCCTTTTTGGGACTCGCGTCTGGGGATTCTGTGGGGTAATAACCGGCCAGGTTGGCAAGCATCTCGTTGGTTAAACTGTTGATCTTTTGAAAATATGCGTATGAATTGACATACGTCTGACGGCGTTTCTCCAGAACTGTGTTCCGCCAGTCACCCATTCGTCCCGGCGATGGTCCAGAGCTGTTTTTGTACCCATACGTGGACATATAGATGGTGTAGTCGGCCTCCGCGGCGAGGCCGGCGAGCTTTCGCAGTTTATGCACTAGATCCAGCTGCTCCGGGCTTATGGTGTCGTCTGAAGAAGGCCCCTGCGCCTTTATTTCATTTAGCAGAGGCTCTCGCAGTGCATCGACGTGAGAAATGACCCAGCTATGCGCACGGTCTGTCATGACCTCGTACTTCGCAAGAATAAAGTCTGCCCACAACCCTGCCGTGTTAATATTGGGCTCCTTCCCATCCCGCCGACGGATGTTATTCAACGCCTCGTCGAACTCTGACAGGTGATCGGACATATAATTGAATGTCTCGCGCATGTGTGAGATATGCAGCGGTACATTAAGATAATCAAACGCGGAGATAACGGCTTCGATATATTGGCACGCGTAGTTGAAGTTCTCTGCTTTATCTAGACCCTTTTGTCTCCATTGGTGTTCTGATATGGGAGGTATGCCTTCCCATAATCGGGCCTTCATGGCATGCACTGGCTTCTCTACTAGAGCGAGGCGTCCGGGGTCCTCATCTGAACCTACCCTGCTCATCAACATATGGCTGACGGGCAATGTGATTTTGTTATGGGGCGGAAGGGCCCATTCACTGTAGGGAGAAGCTACTAGTGGTATTTCTTCGGAGGAGATGACAGGCAGTTCGGTTTTTTTGCCATTGGGTAACGTTCCACGACAGGCAAATTCAAAGAAATGAAAGACGGTTTTCGGGGGGATTAGGCGGTCAACTATTAAACGGGTCAGTATACCAGTTTTGCCCACACGCGGGGAACAGTTTTCAATGCCCATGCCCATTATCATGCACAGCGTACAGATCGTACATTGGACAGGAATTGTGTTACGATGGAAATGAACATGAAACGCCATGAGCTCCAGTTAATAACAGTCACATACATTCCAGGAGTAAGCTTGCAAAGATGACCTTGGATCTCATCCCCATATATTAAAATTGAAGGCATGTATGTGAAGTGAGAGTCCCCATACCAATAAATAATATGTCCAAGTAAGGCATCAGCGGGTCGGATGGGTCTAAGCCATCAGGGAGCTTCGGTTCGAGTCCTTCTGCCCACTGTACGGATGTGGGTAGGTGTTGCAGCAATTGCTGGACGTCACTGAGTTTGGAAGCTCCATGTTTGTTGGAAAGGTCGTCAAATGGTGCAGGCGGTTCGGACTTCCATGGTACACCAGCCTGGGGCAATTTTCTGCCGTGAAGGGCATGGGCAGTAGAAAACAAGCAGAAGCCAGGTGGTAGCTGGGAAACTGTGCCGATCAATGCGAGACGCCAGATAGTGGTGGGCTTGCATAACTTTCTTGCCCAGGTGGGCGTAAATAGTCGCATTGATCTTATCAGCCCAACTCTTTGGGTGACATCTGGGCTTGCTCGCGAGGGCGTCTTCTTCCAGAGGGCGCGCTCTCTCCTTTGTATAGGTTTTTTGTTTATAGCGTAGTCACATATGGTGCTGAGTCATCCAACCCTAATCTTATCTTGATCTTTGGAGATCTTTGACATTTCAGTCAAACCAGATGAGCGTTATCCATCATCATGATGGCCATTGTCCCCTTGAAGTCTGTCCACTTTTAATTCGTCTGAAGATTCGCCTCCAATCCTCCCTCAAAAAACATATACCATATATGCTGTGGTATAGCCATGCTGCTAGACATATCCGCTCTCTAACGAACGAACCAAATACCCGTGAATTGTTTCCGCCCTGCTCCATCCACTTACCCACACTTCACATCCACCGCGATCACCATGGCGCCTCAAACACCCGCTCAATCCAAAGCCCCGTTAAAAGTCCTCATGCTACATGGATACACTCAATCAGGACCTCTATTCCGCGCTAAAACCCGCGCGCTGGAAAAGCATCTCAAAAAATCTTTCCCCCTCCATGCCATCACTCTCTCGTACCCAACAGGACCCCTCCACCTATCCCCTTCAGACATCCCAGACTTCCAACCCTCCTCCACCGCAAGCACAGAGGCCAATGATGCCGACCAACCCGAGTGTTATGCATGGTGGCGACGCTCCAGCACAGCTAACCCACCAGAATACGTCGGGCTAGATGAGGGCTTTGAAGCCGTCGCACGCGTGCTGGCTGAGGAAGGACCCTTCGATGGCGTTTTTGGATTTTCACAAGGTGCAGCTTTCGCGGCAATAGTGGCTAGCCTACTCGAGCCGGAACGGAAAGCTTCTTTCAAGTACTTTGCCGATATAAAGCGTAATAGTAATACCCCTGTCCTTCCCTCTGATGCTGGGGATCCCGCCACAGGCATCGCGTTCCCGGCGTCTTTTGAAAACCTGACACATCCACCTTTTAAATTCGCGATATGTTATTCCGGCTTCATTGCTCCGGGCGCACGGTATCGCGCCTTCTACGAGCGGCCGAAGATCCAGACGCCCGTGCTGCACGTGCTGGGGAGTTTGGACGCGATTGTCGAGGAGGCGAGGAGTAGGATGTTAATTAGCGCTTGTGAGGGCGATGCGGAGAAAGAAGGGAAGGTTATCTGGCATCCTGGTGGGCATTTTCTCCCTAGCCAGAGACCGTATTTGGATGCGGCAGTTAGGTTTATTAGGGAATGTCTGGAACAGGTCGATAAACAGACAGGAGATGGGCTAGAAGAGAAAGTGGAGGATATGGAGATGCCGTTTTAAATATCGTAATTTTCGGTAGGGGTGTGTTGTGGGATACCATTCATGTTGCGTTTGGAGGATGACTGATGACTTTCTCACGACGAACTAGACATGCGGTCACAGTGCGAATTAAATAGATAGACATAGAACCGGCGTTGCATACCCGCTAGAATTAGAAGTACGAATACTAACCCGAGGCCATGGCCCAAACAGCTGAAATACTTATGCGTATATATCCGCAGCGGATACTATTCCTTCCTCTCTACGAAGCTATGAGTATTAAATCCAACGACAACTTCCATTAATTAGAAGGCTATCTTGAGGGAGTACTGTGTTATTGTACATTCATTTTTACGCAGGACCAAAGAATGAATATTCACCATACACATGACGAGAAGAAACCCACGTAGATAAAGGAACAGAGAGAACTTCTAGCCTAGCGAGCCTTGGCCTTGGAAGTCGCCCGTTCCGCCTTAGATGGAAGGATACGGGCCATCATCTCTTCCTTAGTAATCAAGTGGTCAATCCGCTCGAGCAAGCCCAGCAAGCTCTTCATATTGCTACTCCACTCATTCAATACATCATCAGCATCCCGTGGTTTGGCGAAATCCACGATTCTAGCCGGGCGGTCTATCTTTGCATAAACAGTCTTGGAAGTGACGAGGTCAGAAATGTACTTTTCGGTCTCTTCCTCGTTGAGGTCAAGCAGCTCTGTGAGACGGCCCATTTGGATGCGAGTGTAGTATTTGGCAACGACGCGGACATTGTGCTCAATAACGCGCTTGCGCAGGTCTTGCCATCGGGTGTGTGCCTTGTTGTCAGTTGATGGGTTTGTTTGGGCATCAAAAACGTCGGTACTGCAAAGGTGTGGCCCGAATTGCTCCGCAACCATTGGCCATCGCATCAACTCGTTTATCGTGAAGAGCTTGAGAAGGCGCGCTTCAACGGGGACAAGGGAGTTTCGGGAATCTGTTTGGATGCGGTGAATGAGGTCCGATTGCTCGTTGTCATAAGGCGAAAGCACGACATAGTATATGATACGTTGAAGTGTCTATGATGCCGTTAGTCGTTGCCAACGTATGTATATGCATGCCAAAGGAACCATCAAACACTTACCGCGCGTAGCTGCTCTGGGTTCTCTTCAACGGATTCGGTATCAAGAACCTGTCGGTAATGCTTGCAAACGTCCAAGTACTTATTCTCGTTGTTTGCGAGCATGATCTGTTGCTCGTAATACCTCAACTTCAAGTCTGTCACATCCTCTTCCTTCTCTATTGGTGGATCATCAGGCTTCCGGTTTCTTTCCCGCTCTTCCAACTCCTTTTGTTGTTTCTCAATCTGTTCCGGAGTCTTCTTCGGTTTCCGCGCAAAGTATTTTGTGCTAATCTTGCGACTTAATATTCCAGCCTGTGTCCAGTCCCCTTTAGCTATACAGAGAGCTACCTGTTCCAGAATGAACTCAGTCTTCTCTCTCCGGGTCATTGATCCAAATGTCTCCACTTGTAACTCGCAGAGAATGTCCACAGCGCTGGCGAGGTCGCCTTGAGACTTCTTGATATCCGATAGAATACGTGTAACTCTAGCTCTCTCCACTTCGACGAAGATCTATATACTCGACAGATCAGCAAGAACCCAGCCAAACTAGATTGGAGGTCGTGACAAACCTTGCCCTCAGTAACAGTCCTTAAAGTTTCGATCAATGTCATCTTCTCCTCCATATTCGGAGTTTGATCGATGAATCCCATTACAGCCTGCACCATCTTCGTTGTAGCTTGTTTAAGCTGCCCATGTTTCTTCGAAAGCGCGATGACCTGCTCGTTCAACAGTTTCCAATCGCCGGACTCTTTGGAGAGGGTAACGATTGCAATGAGAAGCCTGGATGTGGACGGTAGATCGGATGCCTAGGGAGAATAATATTATAAGTACTAGTCTACAAGGAGTTTTAGGAAAGCGGTGGCATTTACCTGTCTAGCTTGTTTCTCGAGTGCCAAAAGTTTGTCAATCGCGCCTTGGAGATTGGTCTAGGTGACGGTACCGGCTGGTGTTAGTATATGCTCTATTCTAGGAGTCCGAAAACTGCAAACCTTAGCCAACTCCTGCGCTTCTGGAATCAGAGAATCGACATCTTTCGTAAAATCCTTCTCAGCCTTGAACAAGGTCCCGTCCGACATGATCATACGTCAAGTAAACCAGCTGTTCTGAGAGGAACGAGAGCTGTTGGGATGGTTTGGAGAGGATGAGCAGCGGAGGTTCGCAGCCTTGGCTATCAAAATTTCGCTCTGTAATATGATGAGACTATAACTGTGCTCGGAGGAAATGCAGATGGCAATCAAGGAAAATGAACGTTGGGGGTTGTGCAGAAAGGCAAAGCTAAGCTGCCGTCTTGGACAAAGCGTCCATCCAGCTAGCGTGGGCGGCTAATTCCTAGTTACGCCCTACGCGCGACTGCGCTTAGCACCGAACAATTGACCTTGCGACGAATTACAAACTCCGCACAATAATAGCACATGACCCATTTCAAATTCTTCAACTACACAAGGACTTCATCTATCAAAAATCAAAAAGCAAAAACTAAAGCAAACCACTTGCAGGCCCCTGCGAAACAAAGGAGTGACATCAACTGGCGCCCGCGCCAGGACTCCTTGAGCATCCAAAGCTCACATTGGTAGTGGCCGCATATAAAAATGGCCGGCTACATGTCTGTTCCTATGCTGGTGGATTTCCCATCCCATATCTGACACCCATTTTGCCCACTCGAATTCCCACACATTCTCCTCCTGATCGCGTTCTGCCTCTTCGGGGGTTGGCCCGAATATTACAACTGTTCTCTTCTGGGATGTCGTCCATCTCGCTTCAATACGATCAAATGTGAACCCTGCGTGATGCCGGCTCTCAAAAAATTCTTGCAGCTTATCTTCCACTTGATCGATGGCTTGTTGCTCAAGCCCACTGTAGTCGAGTAGTTGCATATTCAGGACAGTCTCTCCGACGCTCTCATGCGGTCTTTTGAGGTCTTCGAAATCCTTCTCCTTCATGGGGATTGTGAACCACTCCTTCATAGCGTACGTTGCTCTCCCTGGATATCGATATCCGTACTCCAAAAGTTCGTGCACAGACTCCATTGCAGTTGTTTCTGCGCACTCTACCAGCTAATTATTAGCCAAGCCAATACAAGGAAAGCTCTTATGCTTCGCTTACCTATTACCGCAAACATGTCAACTTCAAATGATTGATAGACCTCATCTCGAAGGTACCATATTTCCTTCGTGCCGTCTACCTCTTTCAATCTCTTAAAGAGATTTCTCCAATCCAAACTAAAATTGTCCACAATCGGATCCATCCGCCTCTCCTCAAGCCTCAGAAATGTGAGGTACACGAGTGGCTCATAGTCGTGAATGCGTGGCCCCATATTGTCAGGGTTGCGGTTAAGCCTGCGTCTTCTCGGATGGTACCTGTGTCTCCCATCAGCAATGAAACCTGTGCAAGTGTTATATGTTCCTGCGAAAATATTAATACAATTTGGGAATGATGCTCACTTGTCGAAGTTTTGATTTCGATGGGAATGTAAGTTTTCTCAAAAAGATGTAAAACGTCCAGTTTTCGGATAGATTTCCAGGCCCTCAAGTCACAACTACGCTGCTCTTCACAAATTTTACAGATTGAGTTGACCTTTTCTTTCTCTATCAATGATTGCAATGCTCTGTTATTTATGCTTCTTGCACTTCCTTGGGATTTCCCCCGACCCATACTTCCCGGTGGAGAATCTCCTCTTCGCCATTCGGTTCAACAAACAAGGCCCGTTGGTCTTCGCGTGAAAGATTTGCCTCTACTTTCATTCTCTTCTGTAACAGCCTCCCATGTCTGCTACCAAAAAAAATATGTGGGCAGGTTTGATCGAAGCCCATCAAAGAACTTCTCAAACTCCATCCCATCATCAGACATGTCGTCTTTATCTTCAGGATATTCCTCTGTTGACATCCCAAGAAATCAGCAAAAGAGTTACGATTAGTGCTGATCGACCTCCCGACAAAATAATTTCCACACGCCGAACTCCATGTCGATGCATGTGGTCAGTATTTCATTGTTGACATCCTTAGAAACAGTTAGAGATGTATAAACTAGTCTCAATTGAAATCTGGAAAGCTGATCTAACACTGAATTTTATCGCGAAACGTGACCTTGTCTTTATCTTCGGGATTCTACCTTGTTAGCTTCCTAAGAATGAGCGTGAGACTCCTAACTAGCTCTGATTGAAATCTGACCCGGGGGTAGGGGGGTCCGAAACATCAAATTCTCAGCATAAACACGAAACCACCCTTGTCACCAGGACATAACTGTTGGCTTCCATCAAAATCCATTCGAGGATGGGCAGAAGCATCCGGGATAGCTACTTTCTTTTTCCATGCACAAAGATCTGAAACGTGCGAGACATAGAACGATCACTATCAGTGTTGTTTAATTATATAGACGCTCTTTCTATGCCTCCCCTCCCTGGGTGTTACGCGCACCCTTGGACTTCTTAATATCCCGAGATATTTAAGCCAGATAAAGGATGGGAAAACCGAGGTGCCCGCCATCATTAGTCGCGGTTGATCTGACTGACCTCGGCATCTCCTTTCCCAGCACATCTCTTGCAAAAAAGGAAAATGGGGAAATAGAAGGGAAATAAAAGGTTGAGAAGAATCAGATAAGGAGGTATAAAAAACGTCCCCAAGTTGGTAACTAACTCTTCACATGACTTATTACGTAATCGCAACTACTTCGATCACGCCATCCTGAAAAGAAGAAAAAGAATAGTAGATAATCAGTGCCTAGATAGATAGAATAATTCATAATTCATATTTGATGTATTTTTTGCCTTAATATAAGACACCTCTCTGCGCCTTGTTATTTTCCACTCTTGATTGTTGAGGTTTATTACTCGTTGAAATCGTTATCTCTTGTTTTAAGCCCCTGTCTACAAGCCCTCCTCGATCGCCCCTATCAAAGTCCCCTGCCCAGGTGTGAAATACTTCTCTGAGAAAATTGTGCATATAGTTATATCCAGATATGTCGTTGATATATGCACACGGAGCTTCCTTATATTTTTAAATCTGTTGCTTCGTTTCCTTCGCCGTTCATTGTCAGAGCTTTACAGACTGCTACAGATTGCATTCTCTCTATTTCTCTGCTCAACCGGCAGTTGAAAGGTTAAAAACCACAATCAACATTTCAGCTCACATCATGAAAGACCTGCGACACGAGTCACCTGGGCCAGCTCCCATGTTAGCAGCCTTGGATGTGAAAGACCAGGTGCATCTAATCGTGGGCGCAAACCCGCTGGCAGCTGCCCGATGCACCAAGTGTCTTGACATCGGGGCAATTCCCATTGTCATTGCGCCTGAAGGTGTGGAAATTCATGCACCCCTTCTGCAGAAGATTGAGGATGGACGGGTGCGCCATATTGGAAGAGAGTTTCAAGATGAAGATTTGAAAACCCTGGGAAGAAACGAGGTGGATAATTATGTCGACGCTGTGTTTATTACTCTTGGGCCTCAGAATCCTTTGAGTAAGTTTTATTTCCTTTCTTCGCGTATATTTATATGTGTTAACGGCTCCTTTCAAGGCTCTCGCATATATCATCTTTGCCGTCGGTTAAGGATACCAGTAAATGTCTCAGATGCTCCAGATCTTTGCACATTTACACTACTCTCCACTTACTCTGATGGCCCGCTTCACATTGGCATCACGACCTCTGGCAGAGGCTGCAAATTAGCTGCCCGCATACGGCGGGAAATAGCCGCCTATCTCCCATCTGGACTCGGCGCCGCCGTTGAAACACTCGGCACAGTTAGGAGACGTATCTGGGAAGAAGACCATAGCCCAGATATAGCTCCTGAAAATCTGCCATTCGAGGCTGATGACTCGACCGCTCAGAAACATACCTTCAACTCACTCGTGACGTCTGAGGAGAGCGAGGCTGCTAAAACTCGTAGAATGCGTTGGCTGTCTCAAATATGTGAATATTGGCCGCTTCGTCGGTTAGCCTCAATCACGGGTGCTGATATGGAAGCCATACTTGGAGCTTATCGATCGACGAGCGGCACAGCCTCTTCCACGTTGGAAGACGGCCTACCTTTACCACCAAAGAAAGGAAAAATCATCCTTGCAGGATCCGGACCTGGGCACCCGGACCTTCTTACTAAAGCAACACACAACGCGATCAAAAATGCAGATCTCATCTTAGCCGACAAATTGGTTCCGGCCCCCGTGCTAGATCTTATCCCTCGACGAACGGAAGTCCATATCGCCCGGAAATTCCCTGGGAACGCCGATAAGGCGCAAGAAGAATTACTCGAAATGGGCATAACTGCCCTGCGAGCAGGTAGAACGGTGCTAAGGCTGAAGCAAGGTGACCCATATCTGTACGGCCGTGGAGCCGAAGAGTACGACTTCTTCAGAAGGGAGGGATATATTCCCGCTGTTCTTCCAGGAATCACCAGTGCATTGAGCGCGCCACTCTTTGCGGATATACCCGCGACGCACCGCGGTGTTGCCGACCAAGTATTGATATGCACTGGCACGGGGCGCAAAGGAGCAGCACCAGAGCCACCTAGCTATGTACCTACACAGACGGTGGTTTTCTTGATGGCGCTACACAGACTCTCTTCTCTCATCGAATCACTTACTAGTCGTGCTAAAGGGGACGAGAGTGCTGCGTCCCGAGTCCTATGGCCGAAGGATACCCCCTGCGCGGTGATTGAGAGAGCGTCATGCGCAGATCAAAGAGTTATACGGTCAACGCTTGAACATGTCTATTTGGCCGTTCAGGAGGAAGGATCGAGACCGCCAGGACTTCTTGTTGTTGGTGCGAGCTGCGGGGTGCTTCATCCGCTCACGAGTGCAAAATGGACAGTTGAGGATGGGTTAAGATGGAAAGATGGCTATTATTAATGAATTGGGGGCTGTCAACAAATCCTAAATGCAGAAGCCTTCTTTACTCGGGTTTTAGAGGCGCTGGGATTTGTATAGAACGATATTTTCGCATGTTCTGGACACTTGTTTGCATTTTATCGGAGGCTGTATTAGGCTGAGCTTTTCATGCTCCACTACATATCATAGAGCGCTATTGTGTTAGTTTAAAGGAATTGTTGGTCTGATGTAAATTAATAGTTCAGTAACAAGAACTTAAAATATTCCAAAAATAGACCAGTCCTCGCCAAGCACAGCAAACCAAAGACCACCTAACAGAAGCAAAACATCTCTCAACTTCCACAACGCATCCTCCACCGTGTTCAGTATGGCGAATGAAGACAAAACAGCCAGAATGTCATCTCCAAAACCCTACCTCTCAAATGGGCGTATGCTAGAAAGGTATGCGATCGCACCTCCACTGGATAAGATCTCCTCGTCGCTATCTCAATTTCGCCCTCAACTAAAAATGACACTGAAATCTAACTCTCTCATCAAAGCCCGCCGATCTCCGCCCGCATCCGCTACTTCATCGATGACCTCTACATCTTCTTCGGATTATACATCGTCAGCCTATTTGCGGTACGCCTTTTTTTTGAGCTTGCCCACCAATTGAGCATCCGATCCGTTTTTATTTTTCTCTATACTACCAATAGACATACAAACCAGAGCCTTTAACTAACCGCTTTATTCTTCTTCTCTAGTTAAATGCTTCTTCGGCCGCCCGAAGCTCCCAGTTCAATATTCAGAATATAGACAATACCCAAATCCATCGGTCTCGGTGGGGTAGTTCGCGAGGAGGTGGTGGTGGTGGTGGTGGTGGAGGCGGCGGAGGGCCAGGAGGACCAGGCGGCGGTCCTGGGAAGAGACCTGGTGGTGGCGGAGGTGGAGGGCCTACGAGGCGTATTGGGCGAGTTGATGATATTCGCGGGCCGGAGTGTGGGAGTGGAGGTTGCAGGAGGTAGGGTGACAGTTGTGAGCAAAGAGGGTGGTTTTGCGGATTGCCATAGGCGGGAAAGGAGTTACTGAGATACCTTTATATTCTGTTTTTATTTATTTCGTATCATGCCTAGGATTTAACGTGGCAGGTGAATGAATACGGTTTTCTTCCTTGCGCTCTTGATGCTTGCTTCTGCTGCGAGGAATGGACTGCATTTACGTGCCGGATTTTTCTTTTTCGGAGGTTAGGCAGAGAGGATAAGGATAATAATGTATTGTCCTCGCTGTGCTCTACTTTATCACGACTAAATAAATAAATATTCATATGTATGATTCATTATTTTTTGCCGTAGATGAGGTCTGCCCAGCGAGATATCTTTGTCGCGTTCGCAGCACAGTCAAATAACAACCACGACTTTTATCAGAAAATGCGAAGTTATGATAGTGAGGTAGTTAAACCAGTACCCGATCGGTGGCTGCTCAACATATGGCGGGCGCGGTAGAAGAACCATCCCTATTCATATAAGATTCTTCCATTTGTTCCCATGCCAAGTCTCCTGTAAATGGTCTACTTAAAGGAAGTTCCAGGAACTGATATAAATTAATTAGGGCAAGCCGTGTCACGTTCTAGAAACTGAGGGGCGTGCTAGAGAAGAGGGGTCAACCTCCTTCTTCTGCCTTGGCTATACATAATAATAGCACCCTAAACGTTGCGTCACTTGGCTTGCGGGAAATTGTCTCTTGTATTTATATTTTGCATTTGGTCAGTAAGAGGAGATTGAGAGGACCTGAAACTAATCTGGCGAAGCAAGATATTGGCTACTCGCGAGGTTGTGTCCGGCTTAGAACGACTGTTTATAGCTTGAGTTGCAGGTGTGTTTATTAGTCTCCAATGTTGGTTCCTTTCAATTATATTACTACAAGTGATGGGTCTATTGCAATTGTGCCAAAAATCTCGGGGCCGTGGCGTCTGCCTCTCTGGCATACTGTCTTGTGGATAGCGGGCTTCCTTACCTCTCCATAGTTACAGTCATAGAGACCTAGTATCACATTCTTGCCTGAGTACTTAAAATTATGTTTGTCTTCTGTCATCCCTTTGTTGTTTTTGTAGAATAACCTTAGGTAAAGTTCATATTCAATACAAACCAAGCTAATACAAGTTCACAGGTCTTCGAGAACAACCACGAAATCACGCGGAAGAGGACATGCTCAGCTTGTGTCTATGAAAAATAACATGATTCAAGTGCAACTGTCCATATAACATAAAATGGCTACTCCGGTTCCCACAACTGACTCAGAATGGAGGATTTTAATCTCTCAAACGCTAAATGCCCTCCCTGAAACAAATATAGCGAACTATCCACCCCCGACAGACCCTCAGACTTCGATCCCTCAGACAATAGACCACACCCAACTCGCACCCACTGCCACAGAAGCTCAAATCGACACGCTCTGTGCCGAAGCCATCAATTACAACTTTGCAACCGTCTGCGTACGTGCAAAATATGTCTCACGCGCTGTTGCGCGGTTGAAGGAAACTGGAATCGGCGTAGCATGTGTCATCGGTTTCCATGAGGGAACGTATAGCACAGCAGAAAAGGTTTCCGAAACCCAAAATGCAGTCAACGATGGTGCATCGGAGCTGGATATGGTTATCAATTACCCACTGCTAAAGGAAGGAAAATATACAGAGGTATATGCGGATGTCCTCGCGGTGCGCAAAGCAGCGAACCATGCTTCTGAATGTCTCAGTAACAATGCTGGCGGAAAAGTTGGCTTAAAAGTCATTCTTGAAACGTCGCAATTGAGCCGCGAGCAGGTTGTTGCGGGATGTGTGATATCCTGTCTTGCTGGGGCAGACTTTGTCAAGACTAGTACGGGTTTCAATGGGCCCGGGGCTAGCGTGGAGAATGTTGCGTTGATGAGGTCAGTCTGTGAAGCTCTTGGGAAAGAGGTTAAGGTTAAGGCTAGCGGTGGTGTGAGGACGTCGGGAGATTGTGTGCAAATGATTAGGGCTGGGGCGGAGAGGATTGGAGCCAGTGCTGGGGTGAAGATAGTGGATGAACTGACGGGAAAAGAGGGCAGTGCAACTGGAGGAGATGGGGTTTATTGAGAGGAGTTTATTGTGTGGGGAGGATGTGAGTGCGGATGGATTTTGCCTTCAGAAGTGTACTGGCTTGGCTATTGATGAAATAAAGCACTTGTGTAAATGTTCTATATGTGTTACAGGATATTGATTTTACGTTTAAGGTGAATTGGGCCATTGGATATAATATTTATCAAGCGAGCCATACAGTAACTAAGTTAATTGCTCACAGAGGCAGATGCGGACTTCACAGCATCGGGTTGTTTACCTATTGTCAAAGTGCAAAGCTCGCAATGGGCGATTTTGGTAATCAGCGCTTTGAGAGGAAATTTCATATACAGATAGAGAGTAGCCGGAGTAGAAGTAAGTCAGTCAGAAACAAAGTAGGATGGGATGTCCAGTGCTCCCAAGTAGAAGTCTGAGAAGTGGGAAAATTTCAAATTTTTAGAGAATCTTGATTTTACACACAACTTTTGAGCTTAAATTTCTCAACAATCATACATTTAAGATTCGTGCATGAATTATAGCTAAGGAGAAGAAGAATAGAAATGGATAATTAATCTATTAAAAAGATTAATAGTTAATATCAATATATACTGTTGAAAATGATATATTTCATTCTCTCTACAATTCATGTACGGAGTTTTTTATATGAGAAATGATATCATATGAGTCAGTGTTTAAAAACGTATAGTTACTCTTTAAACTGATATTTCATATTTTAAATCTAGAGATATGAAAATAAAAATTAGTTTCATTAAAAGATAATTGAATTCTCTATTACTTTACAGAGTAGACTGTGTGAGACAGTGTGACAGTGTCTAAGACCAGGACTGAACTTTCTCATGATTCTGTTGATCAGAGAGATTGGTTCTTGATCTCAAATATATATCAGAGATAGTGGTCTCATATAGTCTCGGTGAAACTACTATCTAGAAGTGATCTTAGTCATTAAATGAGATCAGTATTCATACTCTAATATTTTGATTTCTTTTTATTGTTTTAAATCACTTTAAATATCATAAAGTGTTATCAAAAATCATTACTTTTTCAAATTTTTAAAATAAATACAAATGAACCTTTCATCAAAAGTTTTGATTAGCACTAAGAATTTAAGCTGTAAAATACTGTTATCATATAAATTTTTGGTGGCTTGACAAAAGTAGTCTAGTGCCACGGTGGCTGGCCGCGCAGAACAAGAGGTCTGAGTCTGAGATAAACTTTACTCAAGATAGCTTCTTCACCTCTTGCAGAAAAACGCAAATTTGCCAAACTTTTTAGGAAAAGTGAAAAGTACTTTTAATTCTCAGGGGTCCTTTTTTATCTATCTACTACTAAATTATCTCTCGCCTCCGGGCCGGGCTGTGGATAAATCTTAATCTGCGCTCAACCAGACAATAATCAACCCCATAAATTTTGAAAGGACTTGGGAGCTGGTTATGCATAAATCAAAGGTATGGATGGGGAAGAAACATGCCTAAAGCTCAATGTGCTCGCCCTCAATTACATATCCTAATTTCATGTGAAATTTACAGAAACGAAAGACTGTTCACGAACAGCCTTCCGAACCTAACGGCGGCATTGAGGTTGATACTTCGAAACCCACAGCTGTATTTACCCCCCGCGGAGGAAGATCACAAACATTGAGCATCGCTCTTCCGGGGAGCATCATTGCAAAGTAAGCCTTTCGCACCGTTCATCGAACGGACGTAAGGAGGACATGCGCTGACAAAGAGTCAACCAGCGCCCAATCGCACGACCAAAAAACATTCCTAGCAGGTTCAATCGCCCGTGCGCTGGCAGTATTCTGCGTCGATGAGGTCGTAATATTCGACGACGATGCCCGCCAAACACGATCCAAACCCTACCATAATGCAAACGAAGATGAATACACTGCCTACTCCGACCCTTCACATTTCCTCGCACACGTCCTCTCCTACCTAGAAACCCCGCCCTATCTCCGAAAATACCTATTCCCCATGCATAGAAATCTCCGAACGGCGGGAACATTACCGAGCTTGGATATGCCGCATCACATACGAGCAAATGAATGGTGTGAATATCGAGAGGGCGTTACTGTCTCGGCTAGCGAGGAGCAAGCGGATGCTAGAACGGCTAGGGAATATGGCAATACGAACCATGAAAGAAAGAAAGGAAAGAAAAATAAGGAAAAGAAAGGACAGGGCTCATCAACTTCTTATACGTTGGTTAATACAGGTCTTCCAGAGAAATCTCGCGTGCCTCATATCCCTGCGCCGGAAAATACGCGAGTAACTGTCAAGTTCGGGGCATCAAAAGATCCATCAGAAGTTGCTGAGGTGGTATCACCTGTTACACCGCGGGAAGAAATGGGTTACTACTGGGGGTATTCGGTGAGACGATGCTCCTCGCTTTCTACCGTGTTTACCGAATGCCCCTTTGAAGGTGGGTATGATTTGTCTTTTGGGACATCGGAACGGGGTGCCCCGTTATCCGATGTCATTGCAGGACATGTGCCCAAGTCTGAACATCTCATTATTGTATTTGGTGGTGTAGCAGGTCTTGAAGCTGCGGTAAAGGCAGATAAAGAGTTGCAGGAAAAGGGCCTGAAACCGAGTGAGGCTGAGAAGATGTTTGATTATTGGATCAATGTGGTTCCGGGCCAGGGAAGTCGGACCATCAGGACGGAGGAGGCAGTTTGGCTAGGTTTAATGGGGCTGAAGGGTGTGGTTGAAGGTAATGTTTCTTAGGTGCTGCTCGTTTGATACTAGTCAGGCTTTGGGAATATTGCGGGAAGTTGTTGTGCAATCATTCCGGAAGAAGTGAGGCTGGCTCTAGATACCCCTTGCAGATATATTGAAAAAGTTTTATGCGATCTGTGGCCTCGCTGGTGTTGATGAACGATCTGTTAATTAGACATTAAAGCAAAACTCATGGTTTCATATGCTCGTAGTTGTCCATAGTTCGTGGAGAGAGTATCAATCCACCATTTGAGTTCGCTAGCTAGACGATAGATATGATGATTTTTAGGTGAAAGGAGCCCAACAGAATATGTGGTCCATCGCCTTGCCCAAAAATTGTATCTCAAAATATATTAACCCAACATGAATTAAGATGGGAAACTCCGGAACCCCTATTTCCAGCACCCCCTTTTTGTAGCAAAACACGTGACATTGAAAGCAAAATGTTACCTTCCCATGATATCGTTAGGAGCCAAAAGTAAAGCTCCACTCCAGGTAGGTGTATAAAAAGCACATTTAATCATCGCCACTACTCATAATGTCTGCGTCGCTCGTATCTTCTTCGTCCTTAGCTTCCATTTTTCGCATGACCGCATCTCCATTCTCCCCTTTCTTCTCAGCCTCAAACCATGCCTTCCTACGTTTGAGCGCACGTTCTTCCTGCCGCGCTTGCTTCTCTAGCCTGGCCTGTTTTGCCTTTTGCTGTCTCTCATAGAGCTCGTTGTTTTTATCTTCTAGACTGGCGATATGTTGCCGGAGTTTTACCAGCTCCTCAACGCTGGCTCTAGTTGCTAATTCTTGGAGGGAACCCTGTTTCTTCAAATGTGCGATTTCTTCCTCCAGCGATTGAACTTTGGAAGTATCTAGGTTTTCTCGAGCCGCAGGTTGAGATATTTGACCGTTCGTTGTCGAGCTGGTGGTGCCAGCTTCAAGGGCAGAAAGCTCAGCTAGCCCTTCTGATATCAAGGATGGAGGGAAAAGCGGATGGGTTAGCGCTTCTGAGAACTCATCTGTTGGTTGGGAGTTGTCTAGATGCAGTGGACCGGTGAGGTGAGCTTGGAAAGTGTATGTCGCTGGAATAACGTCTCCAAGTTGTGCCGAATTTGAAAGGGCATGATCATAGCGTGGTTTGACAATATTGTGGATAGTTAATCTGGTCGACTCGCTGCTCTCTTGGACGAAGCCAGTCGGCGCCAGCATCTGCAGGTTGGTTACGGGACAACCATAAGTGGTTAGGGTCGAGGCATATCTTCCCTTGGCGATATCCCAGCATACAATTGCTCCGCCCTTGTGACCTGATAGAAGTGTCATTCCATCATATGAGAGCGTGAGGCATTGTGCTGCGCCCAGATCAAGGTTGGGTGGAAGCCATCGCTCATTTGCTGAGAGCTGTGAGGGGGTGGACTGTTGGCTACTGTCGTGAAGTACGTTTTGGATCGAAGGCGTTTTGAAGAAATATATTATTTGAACGCTACCATCGTCATATCCGACATAACATGCACGGTCTGCGGGGTCCACAGCCGAGCACAGCGGGGTTGCTGGCAAGAGGAATGTGCGTAATAGTTTTCCGGTTCGGTATTCCCATACAATGGCGGTATTGTCACGGGACGTAGAAATCGCAACATTATTCTTGCTACAGCTATGGCCAACCGCAAGGCTCGTAATTGGTGCTCTATGGTGAGAAAATGTCCGGAGCGGGGAATTGGATTGTGTTTGTGTCTGGGAGCTGGATGAACGAGAGAAGGAGGTTAAAAGAGGGATCGCCCAGACATGGATATTTGAATCTTCCGAACCAGACAAAATGAAATTGTTGGTTGGGTCTACGATCAACGAAGTAACGGGTTGTAAATGGGAGGCTGTTGTCGATATTTGGCGCCCTGTGCATGTCTACAAGAAAAAGTTAGGGACCAAATAATGAGAGCTTTGGAGCAAAAAGGCTTCAACAGGACGCTCACTAACCTCCCACACAATAATCCTCCCGCCTTCCGTACCCAGGACTAGCAATCCGGGTTCGCTTAATCCTCCTGCTAATGTGAGACTTCGAATTCGCTCCGGAAAAGGTACGGTCGCTTCCTGATTATTCTTCTCCCGGCTGTACACATGAACGACCGCTTTGCCGGCTTGTGACGCGAATATGTGTGAACTACCCACAGCCAAGCAATTGGAATCAGTGGAGCTCTTCTTAAAAGTTAGACGAAGTGATTGCGCCGGCTGAAATTCATGGAGGCATATCCCAGCATCCTTGAGCGCGGGCGAGATTTGTTGGTTGTTGGACGTTAGGAACGACGCAACAAAGCTCTCGGAGAGCATTTAGGATTGAAAGGAGGTTTCCGCTCCTGAAAGAATATCTCCGGGACTATAATTTCCCAGTTGTTGATCCCCTTGAATCCGTCTTCTCGTAGATTATATATACAGTAGTGTAGTACTATGTATGCTGAACATATATGCTCAATGGATTTTTTTTTTCAAATAATGGCAGAGTTCTGTTTGTCCTGTTTGCTTGCAGGATCTCTTATCAGATGCCGGATCATCTATTAGCCGAGATAAGCAACCAACCAACCTTGTTCCCAATCAGGCAAAAACCAACCTCAATCACAACTTTGTCAAAGAGATTTCCAACAACTCGCCAAATAGCTTTCTTTCTTTCACTTTTATCCCCGGCAGCTGGTTGTGTCAAACTGCCCTGCTCTTTGTTTATTAAAAGCCCACTGTTGCCATTCTGCGACGGTCCAACGGGCAATGCCGCTTGGCTGTTGACTTTCTCTCCTGAGTTTATGGGCCTTCAGGGGCCAAAGGTAGACAGGGGATTGAAATGAAATCTTAGGAATATGATTGAAACTTTGTGGGGAATTAACCAATTTTCAGCAGTGGCGGTGTTTATGGTACCTGCACCGGCCCCAGGAACACCTCTAGTAACACTCTAACGTCTCTCCACTTTTCCAGTGTGCGGTCACGATCTTGATGTTGGCAATATTAATGGGCAAGCCTAGGCGGTTTTAGCGGCATCGGCTGGCAAGTCATCGCATCATCACTCAACCCGTTCCTGACAGCCTTATAGATAGCTGTCCTGGTTCTTCATTTATTTCAGGATTTCAAATTGCAATAGTTCCCCTGGCTTTTGGCCACTATTGTTTCTATCCTTCTAGCTCACACTTTTTTTTTCCCTTTTAAAAATGTTTTTCTTTATAACCTAAACGCAGCGGTGGTGGTGCCGTTGATTTGTATTGTTTCAACTTATGCTCGCTCAAAGTTGGGAACGTAGTTTGGCGAAGGTGTGCTGTGAACTGAACTTATTGGCTTTCGTTTAGCCATGCCAACCGTTTGCACTTGTTGGTTTTATTTTCATTCAACAGATGTGGCATACAGAAACGTTCCCTTTTGGCGTCATATTTATTAGGACTCGGAAGTCTCAGCTATGATGAACCTGGAAGGTCCGCTAACTTATTAGGAGAAGTGCTCTTCGGCTTCTTTCCCATCAACTTATCTCTTCTTACAACCCAGCGGATACCCCAGGCGATTGTCTAATTATTATCTTCACCCCGTCAGTTTGGATAATAACATTTAAGCATTCAATTAATGTCCAGTTGGCGCATAGCGTATGGATACACTGGAGTCTCACTTATCTGTGCCGACGTTTCTGCAACCCGGATCACGACGCGCCCTTACCCGACAGCCAATTTCCAACTGCATCGGGCTAACTTCTCCGTTGGCGAAGTCCGATTGCCTTCCAATGCGAGGAACCATGGGCGGAACGTTTGTTCCTTATTTGGACGCTCGTCATAGTGAAGAATATTCTCCTGGAGTCCCACACGAAAGCTTTGATCCCCCCGCCAGCCGTAGTTGTTCAAACGGCTCTACCAAGATTGTCACGCCTGAACAACCTCGAAACGAGCAACCATCCTCTCAACCTCTCCAACCGTCTGCTACATTTTCCAGAAGAATCTCCAGCCCTCCAATCAAAGCATTCGCGACTGAAGAATATTGGCATTTTGGGGAGTTTATCAGCGCACATTACGGGAATATTGATACTCATGAGCCGCTTAAAGCTAAGAAGCGAAAGTGCCAAATCGTGCAGTGTAGATACCATGGCTCATCGGAAAATTTAAGTGAATCAGCCGAGATTGCGGTGAGATTCCAGTGAATTTAATCCACACAAGCTGCTCATGCACTAACGCAAATTACAGAAACCTATAAGGATCAGCGTAGCGAAGCCCAAATTGATCACAATCCCGAAATCCTTTACCCGTCGCGCTACTTCACATGTCAAGTCTGATGCGAATGAATTTGCACATGAGTTTCCCAATTTTGAGCAACTGTCATCTGAACCAAGTACCTTGAGCCTTTCGTCGCGCGGTGAACAGTCTTACACTTCTTGTGATGACAGCGGCTACGCGACCCAAGGATCTTACGGCTCTACTGGTGACATAACCCCATCACCTCTGGGCGACAGGTCGGCAGATGTCTCCCGGAGCCTATTAGGGCGGCGATTGAGTTTCAAGAACCAAATTCCCCGATGGATACAGAAAAAGTCCTCATTGCGGAAGAGTGAATCCGTATTCGGGAGTACCAAAGGAAGCTGTTCATCACCCTCTACTCCCACGGGTTCCAAATTTCCCTTGGACTCTCCGGCAATCCCAAGCAAAGACAAGAAACCCGTGAAGGCAACATCCTGGAGTGTAGGATGGGTAATTGATCACCTCGAAACCTCAATAATGCAAAACCCTCAATCAGACTTAACCCTCTCGTCGCCAGTCATTATATTTGTGCGCTCGACGACAGAAAAAGCCCTCCTACACCCGTTTCAGGATATTTTTCCGACAGCATCTATCGAGAAACTCAGTTCGCTGTGCGCTGCTTTCATTGCTCAGATATACCTGTCTGCGCTGGGAACATATGAGAATACGAACAGCAACCCAATCTCTACCGGAGTCGTCGCGGATGGTATCTCGGACAAAGCACGGACAAGATTAGGGCTTCATCTATCAAAAGCCTCACAGTTACGTATAAAAGAACGTCTTTTACGAAGGAGAAGTGCTGATATCCACGCCCGTCTAGATAAAATTGTGGATTCGATTCTGATGGATTTATGTGGGACTTCCGATTCTGGCCTGAAAAGGGCGCTTATGTCCCTTGTTCAGCTCCTTGAGGGCAACAAAAGTTCAGACTCATCTTGGCCTTAGGTTTTAGGCGTAGTTCATGGCAGTTATGGGTACTGCCGTGTCCAGTTACTTGTTTTTTGTCTGTATTCATATCTATGCGGCTTTTACCCTTTCGTGTGATTACAGCGTATGTTACCAAAGCTTGTGTCGGTTCCTTATTTCGAAAGATAATGAGCGGAGTATCCCAATATTTATATGTATAATATCAGTTAGTTTGGCTCAGCAATATAGACTTCATTACGTAGAGCAACGACCTAGATATTGTGCGATTAGAAAAGAATCCGTTTTAGGTGGGAAGAGGAGGAGTATTTAATGGCAAAATGGAAACACGACAAGACGGCTTAAAATTACACGGAACAAACCAGCAACGAGAGTAAATCTTAGGAAAAAAGGAGGGCCACAAAAAGACAATGACTGAAACTAAAAATTTCCCTCTTCCTCCGAGGTCCCTAAATGTTTTTCTTTCTCTTGTCACTGCCAGGTTGCTTGCCGGCACCACCAAACGCTTTCTTCAGCACCATGGTGAATCCGTCCCATAGATCCACCACAAACAACCACCAACCCCTTATCCTTGCCGCCATCAATAAAATGCCGATCATCCTCCGCGAAAATAGTTCCGCGTCATCAAAATCATGTGCGTAAAATTCCCAAATGGCTATCTCCCTTACCTCCATTCCACCCCCGCCGCCAACTTTCGCTTCAGATTGCCGCCCACCATTCGCAGCATTCGTGGGAAGATCGTATATATCCTCCATATTAGGGATGCCCTTCATCCCACCCACACCTGGGATTCGTTCCTCTTCCCTTTCCGATCTGCCACTGGGACTGGGCCCAGATAAAGGGGACCTAACCCGGAGCTTTGGCGCGATGACAACGCTGCGTCCTACGCACCTAGGATCGGCCACGAAGCGCGTCGCCGCATCACAGACATGATTAATATCCGTCAGTGCGACGCCAGATAAGATTGCTTTGCCGCCAACGCCGATAATGGGTGTCTCGGTAAAATAAGGACAGAGCATGTTTACGCGTATCCCATCTCTCAGAGGGGTTGTGGCGCGCAGGGAGCGGAAAAGACCCATCACACCGTGTTTAGAGATGCAGTAAGGGGCTTGGGAGGGTAGAGGCAGGATACTTGCCACGGAGCCTAGGAGGAGTATGTGTCTGTCCCTTTCCGTGTTTGCTGGAAGGTGAGTAGTAAATTCTGAAGATGCCGGGGAGCATGGCGTCGATCCTGGGTTGCGGGGCAAGTAGAATAAAGCTAGGTGAGTGGTATATAGGGTTCCGGTCAGATTTACGTCGATAGTGGAGAATCTCGGAGCGGGTGGGTTGGGATCATTAAGGTAGTCTACTGGTGGCTCTTCGAAATATTTAGACTCTTTCATTTTGTTGATGCCCGCGTTGGCTACGACTGTATCGATCCCGCCATGCGGACTAAGTTTCACAGCTTCACGGAAAAACTCGACTTGGGACTCCCAGGAGGTTACGTCCAGGGGCAAGAAGTGTAAATTTGGGTTTTTGGTTTCTTCGCGAACCCGTTTGACGAGTTGGTTCCCCGATGCCGTGTTGATGTCACCCATTATCACTGTTGCGCCTTCGGCAGCCCAACGGGAGAAAAATGCGGCGCCAAATCCGGACGCGCCACCAGTAAGCAGAATTGTTTTGCCGCGGATGAAGTCCAGCGGGGTTGGGCTATTGAAATCCATTGCGCGAGGATGGAACGCCGACGGCCATGGGGATGTGGTAGACATGGCTAGTTTAAAGGTCTTGAATGAAATATTTTAATCGAAATAAGATGGGAGTTATAGCAATTCTCACAAATGCAGGATAGAAATCAAAAAAAAAAATCGTCGTATTTTGACCATCGGAAGAATATTCCAAGAAAACACACAAAGTATTACAGAGAAGTAGGAGAATCAACCAAGCAACAATGGCGTATATTTTTCCCAAAGTTCATCCGCGCCTGTGAGGAGAGGGATATAATAAATAAGCCTGAGTGCAGCCCAATGTCCGCTTCGGAATTTGTTTCGATGCTCACACGCGTTCCTTCGAATCAGGACCTTTCTCGGATGGGATGTTTCACGGAGACATTTGTTGGATGCCCAACGTACGTGCCTGGAAGCGTACTACATTCAGCTAGTCAGAAAAAATGTGACTGAGCACCGCCGTGATTTGTTGAGAGCTGCGTGAAGAATTGAACGAACTGCCTATCCTATCAGCCGCAAAGTTGCTCCGTGGTTAGCGTGTTAGCCTTCGTCTGGTGCACGCCCAGCCCAGACTCCGGTCTCTTGCTTTGGTAGCTACTCCGTAGTCGTCATCGTGACTGACTGGGTGGGATCTGGTCGTCTGCCCATCAAAGACGCCTCCGAATTTCTCTGCTTCATATTGATTTCTTATCTCTCGCAAGAAACGTGCTTGCGCATGCCGTTGGTAGTAGGGTAAAATGAAATAAATAAAGGGGTTCGTTCCTGGTTTGCATTCAAGCTTCTTCTTAGGGCACAGGGGCTCACGTGTATCTTGGGTTTGCTTACTAATCCGGCTGCCGGCTCACGTTATTCCGTGTATCCAATCAGGTCGATCGCGATGGGTAATGGCGGCTTTCTATGGTTAAAATAAAAACTTGCTGACAAGTTCGTATCAGACATTGCATCTATATATATGATATAGATAGACCATGCTTCAGTCGATCTTCTGCCTTCAGAACCCCAGTGTATCCTTGCCTGATTAAAATCCGGCGTGGTGTTTGGCACAACCTGCGACCTTCGCCATGGCAGCCTCCACCGGCAAGCTCCGAACTCTCTTCTCCGCCCATTCTTCCCTCTCCGCCCGTCCCTCCTCCGCCCTACCTGCCCTCCGCTTAACTATCCTGAGATCCTATGCAACGACCACTCCCCCTGACTCCTCCATATCCGATCCCTCCAATTCTTCCACCACAGTCAAGCGCCCACCGACAGCTTTCAAAGACAAACTAAATGCCGGCCCTGCATTCTCCGACTTCGTCTCTGGCAAAAAGGACGAGCCTCTAGACCCCGCCGAAGCATATGCCCTGAAAACAGCCCTTGTAGGACCAGCTGGCAGAAAGAAAGAAATAACCCGCCTCCCCTCCTGGCTCAAGACGCCCATTCCAGACTCTTCGAACTACAAGCGCATCAAGAACGATCTCCGGGGCCTAAACCTGCACACCGTCTGCGAGGAAGCCCGATGCCCCAACATCTCCGATTGTTGGGGCGGCAGCTCCAAGTCTGCAGCCACGGCTACAATAATGCTCATGGGCGACACCTGTACGCGCGGCTGTCGCTTCTGCAGTGTGAAAACATCCAATAAGCCGCCTCCGCTCGATCCACACGAGCCAGAAAACACGGCTGAGGCCCTCTCGCGCTGGGGGCTGGGATATGTCGTGCTGACAAGCGTTGATCGGGATGACCTTGCGGATGGCGGCGCGAGACATTTCGCAGAGACGGTGCTGAAAATCAAGCAGAAGGCGCCGAATATTCTCGTCGAGTGCTTGACGGGCGATTACGCTGGGGATCTCGAGATGGTGGCCCTCGTGGCCAATTCGGGACTGGACGTGTACGCGCACAATGTCGAGACGGTCGAGGCGCTGACGCCATTTGTCCGTGATCGGCGGGCGACATTCCAGCAGAGCCTACGTGTATTAAAGGCGGCCAAGGCGACGAAACCGGAGCTCATTACGAAGACTTCTCTCATGCTGGGTCTGGGTGAGACGGAGGCACAGCTATGGGATACTCTGCGGGCGCTGAGGGCTATCGACGTTGATGTCGTTACGTTCGGACAGTACATGAGACCGACCAAGAGACACATGGCGGTCCATGAATACGTGAGGCCGGATGTGTTTGATATGTGGAAGGAGCGGGCGCTTGAGATGGGTTTCTTGTATTGTGCATCTGGTCCGTTGGTGAGGAGTAGTTATAAGGCGGGCGAGGCGTTCATTGAGAATGTGTTGAAGAAAAAGAGGGGTAAGAATGTTGGAAGTGCGAGTGGGAAGGGGACGACGAGTGAGAATGTGGAGAAGCTGGTTGCGGGGGAGGCCGTGAGATGATTTATTATTTGTTTTAACTCCTCGATAAGGCTATTTATGTTTGTGGGAATTGTGAGGCCTGTCTGGGCTTTTTAACACGCGACATCTACATACGTAGTTTGGACCGATGGGGTTGCTTCTTGGTCTTTGGCGTTTTGGTATTTTCCCCTCTAGTTTCATACAGACCACGACCTGTCAATTTTTTTGTTTTCTGTTTAGATGTATAACATGTCTTGGGAACGGCATGAGATTTCAACAAATCTCACTCAGAAAGTTAACCGGGGAATCAACCAAGCCCATTTCGTTCTTGACTGGTTGCTAGATTTTAAAAGCGTGTGTGATTTTCCTCACCCCCATCCGCAAACATCCTCCTTAAGTGGTATCAATATCTAGAACCCGACATTACCTAGGAATACAGGAAGGGAATATTTCGCATGGCGAGACTGGTGACAAGATAATCCGGTTATATATACTGCGGGGCGTGAAGTGAAGACTTCAAAGTATGAGAAACATGAGAATGCTTCCAAAGCGCCCTGGAAAATCCAGAGCCCGTGGCGCAAGATTCGCCCGCATATGACCGATGCTCAAAATTCCCAAAATCTATTAATATATTGACATGTACACTATATGCTCATATGGGCCATTGTAAAAGTATATGCAAGTAATATCCAAAAATCTACAAAGAACGTAATGGGTCCAACCGGATCCACGGAGGCATATGAACACAGCGTCAGTCACCCTTACCCTTTATATATGTCGGTTGAGGTTAGATCCAAAATACAGGTGTTTTGAAAGCCTTCGTTAAATTAAGCTACCTCTCTCTTTTCCGCTTTCCCAGCCTCAATCAGTTCGTTGATCTCCTCTTCCCGCAACCCAAGCAAATACAAAACATCCACCAACGAAGTCCCATTAAGTCTAGTCGGCGCTTCCAGTTGCACGTTGCTCTTCGCCCTCCACGCAACGCCCAACCAAGCCTCTTTCAGCATAAGGAGGTCATTCGCGCCATCGCCAACGGCCAGTGTTTGCGCGATAGAAATGCCATTGTCAGCAGCGAGAGTGCGGAGCAAGTGCCGCTTTCGCGCGGCGTCAACGATTGGGTAATCTGGCACGAGCTTGCCGGTGAGGGTTTGTGTAGTAGCGTCGATTTCGAGCTGTATTAGAAATGGAGTGTAAGGTGTCAGATTTGTATTCTTATTATCATTTTCTTTTCTTTTTTTTTTTTTTTTTTAAAAAAAAAAAAGGAGTAGGGGGGCTAGTTTCACAAAACTAGAGGGGTTCACTCGTACGTGATTGGCAAAGGCGTAGTCTAGCCCCAATTCACCAGCCAGCCATTCTGCGAGGGGTTGGAAACCGCCGCTCAGAACTGCCAGTTTGTATCCGAGAGTTTTCAGGGCGCCGCAGAGTTCACGGGCACCGGGTGCGATGGTAATGATGGACTTGAGTTTTTCGAAGACGTCTGCAGGCACGCCCTTTAGGAGTCTCACGCGCGCTTCCAAGGAGGCTGAGAAGTCAAGTTCGCCGTTCATCGCACGAGCAGTTATTTCCTAAAATTACATTGCAGGACGGTATAAATATCTCATACTGCCCACATTATTCATTATTGAATCTGGGGTTTGGAACGTACCGAAACCTCCTTCTCCACGCCAATGAACCGGGCAATTTCATCAATGACTTCCTGTTCGATCAGGGTACTGTCCATGTCAAAGACAGCTAACCGCTTATGTCTTCGAAACACGCTTTCCTTCTGCATGACAACTTCCACATTCCATTCCCGCTCAAATCGCCATATATTCTCGTGTTTCCGCATATCCTCGAAGGATAGGTACTCCGGGTTTGGAGGAGGGCAGATTGTCACTTCTACCACTCGCGGCTGATCCTCTTTATCCAAACAGCGATGCGAGCTGCTCATCCGCTGGTAGGGAGTGGGCATGTCCTCCATCACTTGCAAGAAATTTGTCAGACATAGTTGCGAGACATATGGGCCGTATAGATGATCTAACGGCTCTGGTTCAAGGGCTGGTGGTTCTCGAGGAAGCTGTTCAACGTCTAATGTGGGAGCCGAACCTGGCGCAACGGTTGGAACGGGGAGCTGGTCTGAGGGTTTGGTTTGAGAGGAGGATGAATCGGGATGGATATGAGGATGAACTGGATCGGACGCCGCCTTGTAAAAGATCGTAGCAACGGTTTTAGGAGTATTTGGAGGGAGAGAGCTTAATGACTCGTTGAAGATGCTGTGCACAATTCCGCTTTCCTTGATCGAGCCACTCTGCTCATTGGCGGGGTAGCCAGTGAGGGGCATCGGGGAGGTGAGGGTCTCATGAGGACCCCGGAGGATGCTCCGTATAGTTGGGGGCTTGTGCGAAGAGGGTTTATACTGCTGATGATCCTGTATAAAGGATCCACCGGAGAGAGAGCTATGTCGTAACACAGGGCGGCCCCCGCGGACAGGAGGAGTGTCGGACATTGAATGCTGAGAGAAAAACGCGCGAAGGTATTGGAGGTGCAAGCTTTAAGAAGCGAAACCTTGCTCATAAAGCTGTAAGTCACTGCCAGCAATCCACTGAGGTGTATATGCCTTGATACTCGACAGCATTCATAAGTTCGGACGGGCGCAGCTGTTCACTCTACAATTGACCTGATATTCTATAGCTTAATGAATCTTTCATCTTCGTTCAAGAAGGTAGCGTAGCGGGGGAGATCAATGTTGGGATTACATCAGCAAAAAGAAAAAAAAAAAAAAAAAAAAAAAGCGGTTGTTCCCAGGTTGCCACGGTGATCACGTGCCTGTAAATGCCAAGCATTAAGTTGTGCAAGCTGAGTCATATGTCACGTGATTAGTATTTCCGAACTGGGAAGTGTTCTGCCCTAACCTACCTCTACTTACTTCAACTCATCTTCCCTTTATATCTGGAATTATCATGAAACATTCTGCGCGTGTAAGGTTTCTTGACTTCTCATTCATCTTCTTCCCAGAACTGATGAATATATGGAATAGAAATAGTTTATATTCCATTTGATGTTTGGGCCTTGAGAACTTTGGAACTTCTTATTATTATTAAATTAATTTGAGTTTTTTGCAACTGACAAACCAACCATGCTTGGCGAAATTGCAAGGCGCAGATTGCGTGATTTGCATCAACCATGAGCAAATTCCCCCCTGCGTTACTGTGATACTGCGATACTGCGATACTGCGTTACTGCGGAGTATTAAATTCTTCTTCTTCTTCCTCTTCTTCTTCTTCTCGCGCGGTGGCAGACTAGACTGGCAGCCCACTCACTGGTGACAGTGGTGAGATTCGTCGCCCGGATTGCGCCAGAATAGCGAATTGTCCGCAGCCTGTACGGTACGGTACGGGATGTACTGGATGCCCTGGATGCGATGATGCGATTTGGGGGCTGTCTATCTATCCTGTCCTGTCCTGTGCTGTGCTGTGCTGTGCTGTGCTGGACTGCAAAGGAAAGGAAAAGGTTAGGAAAAGGTTAGGAAAAGGTTAGGAAAAGGGGGCAGGCAGGAATGCATCTCGCTGGTTGTTCTCAGTCAGTCCTCCGATTTTCCCTATCTATCAGGAGTAAAAGGGCCCGGGCCTGGGGTTCGCTTTTTTCTCCTCTCTCTCTTTCTCTCTCTTTCTCTCTCTTTCTCTCTCTTTTATTATTATTACTATTATTATTATTATTATCATTATTATTGCTCATCTTGAGCCGTCTTTGTTTTTGATTTCTAAGACGCCATTCTAGCCTGGGTTCCTACCCATCGCACATATCCCTTTTTTGTCAGCAATCCATCCATCCACCTTTTGTCTCCCTCCTCCTTGCATGCTCACATACAACCTTGCTACCTACCCCATTCATTCGAGTATTTAAATATATATACTATCAATTCTTCGCCGCCTGGGTTGGTTGTTGAGATGTGCTTCAATTCCTTAGCTGTACAAGAAAATCAAAGCCGTCCTTCTTACCCTGTCAAAATGCCGTCCAAAATCACTTCCAGCTACCCTTCTGATACAGAAGCCGAGTCTGGATATGTCAGTGCCAGCACCAGTGAAGCCAGCCTACCAGAACTCGTCTTCACCAAACCACACTTGAAATTCCTTAATAAACAGCTTCAATTCCTAGAACCCCAGGGTATGTTCATTCATACGAAGCTAAAACTAGTCAACTTTATATACCTTCCTTCCATATATATATATATATATATATATATATATATACACTCTCTCAATTGATCAAAACTAACAACATCCCCAGATATCCTCCGCTGGTGTATCACAACGTTACCAGGCCTCTATCAAACGACTGCATTCGGCCTAACAGGGCTTGCCACAGTCGACATGATTTCCAAACTCAACATCCCTCTCTCTCAAACGGTCGATCTCATCTTCCTTGATACGCTTCATCACTTCAAAGAGACACTGGCCCTTGTAGACCGTGTCCGCAAACACTACCCTTCAACAAACATCCACATCTACAAGCCACACGGTGCCTCCACTGCTGAGGAATTCTCACAAAAATACGGCCCCAAACTCTGGGAATCGAACGACCAGCTCTACGATTGGTTAGCCAAAGTCGAGCCAGCCCGGCGAGCCTACAACGAGCTGCAAGTCAACGCCGTGCTCACCGGCCGCAGACGCAGCCAGGGCGGCAAACGGGGTGACCTGGATATCATCGAGGTCGATGAGGCTGGTCTGATCAAGATCAACCCGCTGGCGAACTGGTCCTTTGCACAGGTCAAAGAATACATCACGGCAAGTAACGTGCCCTACAATGAGCTGTTGGATAGGGGCTATAAGAGTGTAGGTGACTGGCACTCGACGGAGCCCGTGAAGGATAATGAGGATGAGAGATCCGGGCGGTGGAAGGGCCAGCAGAAGACTGAGTGTGGGATTCACAACCCCCTCTCGAAGTATGCTCAGTTCCTGCGCGATCAGGAACTTAAGAGGCAGGGGGAGGCTATTAGCCAGGCGCTTAAGGTGGAGAGAAATTGAGAGCCCTGCTTCCAACCCTCTTGTTACAATTTTGATTTCTTTTTGATTTTTTTTTTCGTTTTTTTTTTTTTTTCACCTTTCTTTGTCTAGGCTTTTGCATATAACGATACAGGATAATACGGCGCTAATAGGGCGGGGAGGGTCTGTTTCGTTTTGTTTGGAATGCTTTCGATACTATTCCTCTGCTTCTCTTTTCATGAAAGGCATACATACATACATACCCCTTGATATATGCTTGTATATACATAGCAAAATAGAATATTATACTTAAGAGAGGGCTTATCAGTTGGATATATGGCTTCGACGCGCATGAAAGAGAAATTTTACCCGTGCGACTTGAGGTCAATCGCATATTACAACAGGATTAGCACTCGGGGTTAGGCGGGTGATGAATGAGGATATAACCAACTCCCATATGATATAGACGTCGTCCTCCACAGCTTTAATTATGATAGCATAATCAGGCCAACCCACTCGCACTCATATGCTCAATGTATTAACATATGTAATCCCCATCCCATCCTAATAACTAGTTCTCATCTAAACTAGCCTACGCCTATTTAATACACATATCATATACCGTCCCAATTGGTAGATCCGGCATAAAGTACCCCCCCCCCCTCAACCGCCCCGTCTATAACATCAACATCAAACGGGTTCTGCGTAATCACCCCACCCCCCCAACGAACCCTTCATTGACAATGACACTTCCGCCAATAGCACCATGCTCTTCATCTCAACAAGGGTCAACCCGCCCACGCGGCCCAAAACACCAGCACAAATCATCAGCGCTGGATAGATACCCCGATAATCAATGAAGAAACTCGGGGCTGCGAATCTTCTCTGATGGCTTTGCGAAAGCAGCAAAACCCGGCACACCACCATTACCACCACTCCAACCATAACCATAACCATAACCATCCAAATCCCCAAACCGCAGCCTCAACGCGGCCCCCAATTCAGCGCCAACAGCTTGTTCTCCCGCGCAACCCCTCCCCACAGCCCCCATAAGCGAAATGCGTCTCAGCCCGCAACGACCACGCATCAACCCTAACAACCGCACGCCGGGGAACCCGGCCCCGGACTGCGCAAATCGTCATCCCGATGTGTCGGCCGTCATAGTCGATGCCGCCCGGGTGATATTCTTCGTCGTTTCCCCCGCCCAGTGTACCGTACCGGAGGGAGAGCTGCGCATCAGCGATGCGGGTGGTGCCCGGTCCCGTCGAAGAGGACGAGACCATTTTGTGTGGTTGCGTTAAGAGATGGGTGAAGAGGGTGGCTATTTTGGTCCGCTTTTGTGGAAGGGGTTGGGTAGTGGTGGATTTTCAGAGAGAATGCATGTGAGAATGATATTGGGGATAGGAAGAGGAGAAGGAAAGATGCCCAGGCGGCCAGGGGGGGACATAGCGATCATTGTGAGCAGGAAGATTATCATATCAGTCTCTGTGAGCTCGTCGTCTCTTTCTCCGCTCGGTGGTTAGCTCGTTCAGGAGTTAGGGGGATTGTTCAAGAATAATAGGTATTTTGAAGCTGCTCCAAGATCATCGGAGCGAAGGCCCCCGCAATGGGGCCGAAAAATCTGGGGTTGAATGAAGATCTTTTTACCAAAAAAAGAAAAGAAAAGAAAAGAAACGAAAAATATCATAACCGTCATATTGGTCCATACTAGATTAAAGCCTTCTTCTTCGGCTCTTATATATATGTGTGTATGTGCAACCCAAGCAAACTATGTGTCTAAAAGAACAACCATTAAGAAAAAGATATGACACAGGTGAAAAAAAAAGGACATGATCCAAAATAACAATCCTAATCATCATCCAAAATTTCCCCGTCAAGAATCAATAATCCACAAAGCCCCCATCCTTCCCGTCCCTATCCAACATATATCTAAACCTCTCCTTCTCAGCCTTTCCTTTCAGATATGCGGGTACATCCCGGTTCGCCTCGACCCTCTCATAAACCTGACTAGGCCTATTAAACAAATCCTTCCCCGTCCTCACCACCTCGACAATATGCTCCTTGTTCGTAAACTCAGGACGATTATACTCCGTATGCGAGAAACTCACAATCTTAGTCTGCATCTCCTTCACAGTCGCAAAGCACGAGCTACAATGCCATGACGCATTGAATAGGTCTGCCATGGGGCCGAACATATTTTGCACGACCGACCTCCCGCGCCCCATGCGCAGGTCGTCTGGCTTTATCGTCTCTTCATAGCCTTCATAATATGTCGCTTGTGGGTGCGCCCAGTCCGGCCCCTTGTGCAGCCATTGGAAACTGTAGTAGTAGAACCTGCTACGCAAGTTGATACGGCGGGGGAAGCTGCAGGTGCGGAGCAAGGTAACAGTGGCTGGGCGGGGGATCTCGTCGATGTCGGAGATGATAATGACGTCGTCGAGCTGCGGTGCGGCCGCGGGTTTGGCGGCAACGGGATTCTTCGCGCTAGGTTGGCCGAGGGTTGGGAAAACCTGGGTGAAGCCGGAGTCTCGTTGGAATTTCTCGCGGTCGAAAGCCTTGCGTACGTTTTCGCCGTCTCCTTCCACGAGATGGTGGATTATTTTATCGTGGAAGCGGGAGAATTTGGCCCAGATATTTGTGTCAGTGAGGAGGGTGGGCTTTGGGCGGCCGGTGAAGGTTGTGTTGGCTTCGACGATTATGAAGTAGTCGACATGGTCGTTCAGTTCGTTTAGGCGGATTTCGAGCCAGTCAAGTTCGGTGTTGAGGAGAAAGATGTCATAAACTTTTCGAGCCGGAGGCCGGGTGTTCTGATCGCCCTTGCGGCTCTGTTGTCCCCTCTTATAGACTGGCCAGTTGTAGAGGCCGCAGAGCTCGCCGGCTTTCTGCGCTGTTAACCCACTTTGGCCGTTACTGTTCGTCTTTTGGCGAGCGCGGTCGGCTTCCATGTCCTGGAGGGCTTCGCCGACATATTGTTGGGTAGAAGTGGTTATCCATGAGTACAAACCGCCGATGCATAATAAAAATATCGAGACATAGAGAATAAGGGATTTGATCCCCAGACGTGGGCCAAGGATCATTCTTGGGATGCGACGAGGCTGAGTATGTCGGGTTCATCAAGAACGAAGGGGTGAAAGTTTAAGTATTAAGTTTATTTTAGAGCACAGCAACCATGGGGCCGTGGCAGCCGTGACATGAAGAATAACATAAACAGGTGTATGCACAGGGGCGCGGAAAAAAAATGATTTGTAACGAGGTGAAAACTCTTGCTACCAGAGCACAGCAAGCTGAGCTGGAGGCAGCATAGAGTCAGGGGCCGGCGGCTCTGCCACCGAGGATGAACGAGGTGGCATTGGAAGGTTTCCTTGCCGGGTAACTAGTTAGCTGGTCCGTTATTTTCACTTTTTCTGTTTGACCATGCTGGATCAGGCAATGGTGGCAGAAAATCGGCCTGATGGCGTTCCATGTCTCGCTTGACATTGACCCAGAGGATTCGGCCGCTCCGCAAAAAAAGAAAAAAACAATGAGAGAAAAGAAAAGGTAAAGAACAGAGCGACGCGAGCAGTATCAAAGCACACCGGGTGCACCTTGCAAGACGTAAAGTTACGTGTCTATAGCTCTTCTAGTGTCGCTGCTTGGAGCCATCGCGGGAAACGCCCCAGTTCACAAAAAGCTCCCGAAGCCAACACCAATCCCGACCGACGGGGCCCGACGGCTGAGCCTCCACGCGGGTAAATGATCATGAGAGAAAATAAACGAAGAAAAGAAAAGAATGCACTCCACAATGCACCATTGGAATATAATGATTTAAAACTCCTGTTAAATGGAAGTCGGAAATAAAGCACTTATATTAGAAACGGTACATGTATGTACTGTACAATGCGCTGGCCATTTCTTGCAATGGGATCTCAGTCCTGATTGTTGAAATATTTTGGGCTTTTTTCAATGTCTCCCTACGACGGTGGTAACGGGTCCAGTGTAGGTCTTCCTGCCTTGCACAAAGTACATCACAAGACTGATAATAACCACGCCGCTAAATATGACAATGCTCCAATTGAAATTGCTTACAGTAACATGTCGATCTCCAGGCCAGAATGACCAGAAGAGTGCGAACAGAACATACCCGAGGCCAATTCCATTAACAATTGGACCAACGACTGGACCCAAACTCCAGCGCGCGTGGGGTAACAGCTCTGGGCGTGTAAGGCGAAGATAGAGCACACAGCTAATCGAGACGACGTATGTGGCCATGAGAGCAGCAACATTGAGAGATATAATGGCATGGAATGCGGCGCTTGATCCCAGGTTGATGAGCGAGAGAAGTACACTGATAAGGCAGGAAACAAATATCGCGTTGGCCGGGATATGTTTCTTTGGGTGGACAGCGGAAAGCCATTTGGCAAAAGGGAGGCCTTTGTCTCGAGCGAAAGAGAACGTTTGCCGGGATGCAGAGGCATTAAAGGAAACGTTGCTTGCAATAACTAATACAAGAATGACAATGGTGAGTGCGTTAACTCCCTTGGTGGACACAGCGTTGCGGAATACGTAGATGAAGGGAAATGTTGAGGGGTCGTTAAGAGCGTCCTCCACGGATGGAATCGAGAAGATATAGGTGACGATAAATATGATGGCTAGGATTCCATTTGCCATATACCCCCAAGCAATCGCATTGGGTACGTTTCTTCCAGCGTCCTTGACTTCTTCTGCCATGTGTGCAGTTGCATCAACACCTTTGTGGTACAACCAAGTTTTAGCCAAATTCTTCGTTGAGCGGGTTAGTTGAGGGAAAACATACTCAAGCCTCCATATATGGCAGAGAGCTGCCCGACCATAACGCTGACTCCAACACTTGGCCAATCTCCACCGTTTCGGAACTCTGTAAACACTGCTCGAGCGGATTGATGGGGAGCCATGACCCATAAAACAACCACGACGGCAAGAAAACCGAAGATATGGACAACAAGGAGCAAATTCTGGATCATGGGCAGGCCTTGAGCCACCCATATGTTGAAAACGTAAATTAGAGCCACCATCGCAAAGACAAGTAGGGTGCCCCGCCAAGGGGTAGCTTCATAATCCGGTTTGTTGACAGTTAGAAGGCCTTGAATAATATTTCCCGTGAGGAACGATCCAGATGCTGCGCCAGCTTGCCAAGCTAGGACTGATAACCATCCTGAATTAAAGACATTAGTATCAACTGCATCGATATATCGACATCAATAGTTCATCGGGCTTTCTCACTAACCCGTGATGTAACTCAAGAACTTCTGATGTTTCTCTGATGCAAATTCAGAGACCCAATGGTATTGACCTCCAGAGATTGGTGCCCTATCAATTCGAGAAGAATGGATATTAGCATGTCCTTCTCATTATTAGATAAAACAGCGTAACCTCGCCTGGGGCACTTGAAAATTTACATAGAGGCCATTTCTGCAAGAGAGAAAATCACGAAACCAAAACCAATGAAGGTCCAGAGATACGACCAGAATAGCCCAGCGAGGCCGCCATTGATAAGTCCTTCAGTGTTAGATCTTGCAAAGTTTCAAGTGAGATTAGCCCGAATCCTTAAGTATGTAGCCCCCGGTATCTAACTCCTAGAATAGTGAGTGGTTCGTTGGCTCACATCAACATAAACTCCCAGGTAGCTTGCAGGATGAGGGCAAAGCTTAGGGCAGAAAGCGGCCGGTAGTTTCTCTACCTCCCACAAGTCAGCAAACCATATCCGTATCGAGGTACCACTTTCTGCAGGGAAACAGACGATTAATTCCTGTCGTTTGCCCATACGATTCATATCCTTTCGGTCATTTTTAGTATGTCCCCGCCTCACTATTTCCTCCCCCGCGCCATCGTCGAGACTATCTTCGATGTCATCCATGTCATACTGGTCCGGGGTTTCGTACATAGATTCCTGAGGGGAGGAGCCTTTTGCAGAGGCCTGTTGAGTCGCGCCATCTGTGGTGGCGGCCATTGTTGTTGATAACTGATCGAGCAAGGAATATGTCAGGTGTTTCCGAGACCACATGGGCAGTCAGAGAATGAACCGTACGGAACGTATATATGGATCATGTATAATAATCACACTTATGAGAAATTGGCTCTGGGGCTAGGTGGAATAGAAGGGCCGAGGTGGGCAAGGTGAAGGGAATAGAATGAAAATCCAGAATAGAAAAAAAATGTGTGATGCAAGTTGCCTGCAACGACAAGCGACTGTTCCGATCATGAGAAAGGATGATCACTACAATATACACAACCCCCGCAACAGAAAGAGAGAAAGAGAATACGAGAGACGCAAAACCAAGAATAAAAAAAACCCAAAAAGAAAATTAGAATACGAAGAGGGAAAAATAGGAAGAATTTCTAATCCTGCCTCGTTCTGGAAAGTCAACAACAAGGTGATTGTCACCACTCTCTGTGCCGCCAGGTTTCGGATGACCGTGAGAAGATCACAGAGACCTTAACTCCTCAAATTTTCGGAGCGGTGAGTTTGGGACAAAGGACTGCGGCCTTGGTGATAGATGGAGAAGGACTATTTGGATATGCTGTAGGGTATCCCTACAGTCCCACCACATACACAGCAGCAGTGAAACAAAAACTGACATCGAAATATCTCAAGGTTCAGCCGTTGCTCTCGTCTTTGTTTCTTCCCTTATAGACGCCCCGCATGCCACAGACAGGTATGTTTTTAGCATATTCAGACGTACAACGGGTGCCATATGAACAGAACAAGTATATCAGGCGCAATTAAGGAGGACAGAAAAACACATCAGGAAGGATTTATCTTGCTTTCTGTATCACCCGTGGCACCCGACTCGCAGAACGTTTGCCGGGCTCGCACAACGAGCTCGTCATTCTTTTTTGGCCATTATGACGCATCCCGCGGAGACCAAGTCTATATCACAAGTGCTGTAAGTGATAAGAATTTGTTATTCTGTATTTATAGTCGTTTTAGGAGTGATATAAACGTGGATCAAGCTCGTATGAAGCAAGCGCCCACAACCTGAACACACAAACAATGGTTCAAGCTTGGGACATACCAGTCGGAGGGTATACGTGAAATCAACAACATGTGGTTTTATCCTCTATGCCAAAAGGATCAATAATCCTCAGGCACACACTCATTCAGATCTGATATTGTGGTTCAGTCCGTCCAAGGAATTGGCTAGTTCTGCCAAATTCGCCGGCTCGTTTAGGAGGCCCACACAGCCAAGAGACTATTTATTTTAAGAATAAGGTTAAATCAATCAGAAACGCTCGAGTTTAAATCTACTATGTATCAACTCGGTGATTTAAGTTACTAACTATATTTATGTAAATATCTTTAATAAGAGTATGGAGTGAGAAGAGGAGCTTTCTCACATGCTATCTAAACTCTTAGATCAACGATGTTTTTGAACTTGCATATATAACAAGTTGAATCTAAACATGTTCATCATCTGTCTGACACTGTCTCCGCTGCCCGCTAGCTTTGCTAGCCCCTGATGCGAACCAAAAAGAACTCTTTAAAATTTAAAAAGAGCCATATATTCCCCACAACGCTCACCTCATGCAAGTTAAATCCGGCATATCAACGCTTTAGCCGAACGAAAGAATTTTCGGAGCGCCGGCAGGATCTGTCCCGCCCAGGCACTTGGAAGCGAACGCACTTTTTTTTTTTACTCTTATGAACAGACTCACTGCCGCCAAAAAACAAGAGAATATTCCAATTGTTTCACGACTAAATTTGGGTGGTTAATCTGCCAAAAACCAAACTTTTTTGGAAGGCTCTCGGAGAGCGGACAACGAACGCTAAACAACCATGGTAAAATGGCCATTAGTTGTAACTATTTAATTCCCTGAGGGATGAACAGCTTATGTTAATTACAAAGTTTCTCATCAAGTCATCGAAAATCGGAGCTGGGATCAGTGTAGTCGATAAGGGCCATGCATTTTTGACTTTCGTTTTGCACTGCTTCCGCTTGCCAGCCACCCACCCACCGGGAATGATATAGTACACTCACTGGGAGGGTTCTCTTTGGGGTTCCACGAATGATGTGATCACCCGAGATGTCGATTTACAGCCTCATTAGAACGCCATTACAAGATTGGGACCCGGGAGGAGATTGGTTGCGGACGTTGAATGCTCTGCCAATGAACGAAAGCGGGCACTTCCGATGACTCTCGTCGAACCTGTTCTGCAAAAATTAAAACTATCATATTAAGGGTTCATATCCTATCTTTGGTCTCCAGGCAGACTCCATGGGAGCTGTCCTACCTCCAACAGAGTGCACCATGGCTGTACAGCCTTCTCATTCGGAGACTGGGGAGAGTGTCAACTTCTTCTATAAACGGTGATGCTTTTGTTTTAACCCCCCGATACCAATATTCCTTTGATATCACGCATTAGAGCAAATACTGTTTTCTTAGTTTCGGCCACCACTTCTGAGTGTCTGTATTTACATGGCAGCAGCAAAGACATTGCCCCCTGGGATTTCGGAACCTCTGGCGGTAGACACTAGCAACGACCATAGCGGATTTATAGCAATCATTACGGCACTGTTTCTTGGATATGCGCTTGTTTCTTTGGGGATACGTGCATATGTCCGGCATTCTAGACATGTGGTCAAAACGGATGATTATGTTCTCCTGGTAGCAATGGTGAGATTGCCTGTTGCTGCAAATCGGAAGTATCGTGGGTGCGTAACAAAATAGCGCTCCGCTAACATGAGATTTTCAGGTTTTATTTTGTATCCAATCATCGGTTGTGTTCGTTCAGATAGGTAATGGATGGGGCAAATCGAGGGAGCTTCTCACACCACGTCCCCATATTGCACTGCTCAAGGTATGCTGAAGTTCCTATTTGGGCATGTCGATTAAACGAAAGAAGTGCTAAAGGATAATTCAAACATAGGCAACCTACGCTGCGGATATGCTATACGTACTCACCCATTGCGTTTCAAAATGCTCCGCGGCGCTCTTTTACCTTCGGATATCTCCAGGTCGTTCCCATATCTTCATGGCGTGGGGATTGGTTGGCTTGTCAGTGATCTGGGCAGTGATATCTATGATTTTAATATCATTAGGTTGCGACCATTCTCGGCCGTGGACAGATATTAGCTCGAAATGTGCCGGTGTGGTAAGATATGTCATTGCTATGAAAAATTCTGGTGTAGTCATGGGAGCTAAATGCCTTGAATCACACAGTTTCCTCGTTGGCAGTTCATAGGGGCGTTTGATATAATCACCGAGATTGGCATATCATCTGTACCGTTTTTTCTTGTAGCCGGTATTCAAATGCATGCCAGCAGGAAGATCGTTGTTGTCCTGGCATTCAGTTCTCGTCTGCTGTGAGTCGTCCCAGTTCGGTCAATCCGGTAACATCGAGTCTATATAATCACGACATCTTCCAAAAAAAAACCAAATGTTCGCTCTCTAACCCAAACTGCAGCGTCACAATCCCTTCAGCCTTCCACATACACTATGTGAAAAGAATGCTCGACTCCTCCGATTATACTCTGGTGGGCAGCTACGCCACAATAAGCCTGCAGTTAGAATTGAGTTACGGAATCATGGCAAACACGATCCCCTGCCTCAAGCCCTTTATGGCCGCATACGAAGCAACCGGTACACCGTCTTACACAAGCCGCATCCATAGCCACGGTAGAAGTCAAAGTAATAGCGGAAATAGCAAGGGCACTCGGAGTCGCTACATTCGCGACAGCACTTTAGCCCTCTCGACGATCCCATCAGTCAAATTTAACAACCGTCGTGTAAGCAATGCAAGCACAGTGGCCCAGAAAGACGCGCCGCAACCACCACGACCACTGCTACTACAGAAATATTCTTCCAGGAACAAGCAATCGCAAACATCACGAGCGAATGCGATTAGCTACGCTACAAGGTTAGAGCCCGGTAGCCAGGAACTAGCGGGTCCTAGTTTCAGAGATGACGACAGTAAACGGCTAATTATAAAAAAGGATGTTAATTGGAATGTTGAGTGTTCGAAAAGTGCGGAGCGGAAAGTGGATGGCTCTACACCTGGAACCAACGCAACTTGATGACTTAATTTAAACCCATGTCTTATCTGTTTTATTTTATTTTTTCTAGTTGGAAAAGTCTTCGAATTCTGGACATCTTGGCAGATTTAATTTTTCATATCGTAAATGTAGGTAACTTAGGAGTCACGAGGGATGATGAAATCTTTCGCTCGGGGAAGAGGATGGAAATGTTAATTGTTTCTCTAGCGTGGCCTTGAAAAGAATTTATATTTTCGTATAAGCTCAGCAATCATCTCCTTCTTTTAACCGAGATCAAGCAGGTAGAATGCATCTCGAATAACGTCTGGACAACAGCGGATGAAATAAGGCCAAAGCGTTCTCTTAATTAAGCTTAACAGGTCCCACCCAGAACCAATGTTCGATCTCACAACTGCCCCACTTAGTTCCATGGTACGTCCATACGATGAGAGGAGCAGGTTTTTTTTTTTTTTTTTTTTTTTTTTTTCTTTTTCAAACTTGGTCCTTAGCCTCTACCTACGATTTTGGCCACGCTGGGCAATTGGATGGGGCGCAACTGTCAGAAACAAAATTTGTGGGCTATGAACGAACTGCTCACAGTTGCTATTATCTCATAGGGGTAGACTGGCCCATGAGACTTAGTTCGTTTGGGCTAAGTGACTGACTTGAATCCGCAGTTTCTATATACATGCCTTTCGCTCGTCCTTCGAAGAATGTAGTGGAAAGTGAAACCCATGGATCAAGTCATACTTTTCGCGGAAAACAAGGAAGCGGGCTATATAGTTCTGCTGAATAGTGACAGGACATACGAGGAAATAAACCATCCCACGCAAAAATAAACACCCCGAAGTAAGCTAAGTCCGTAAATAATAATACAAACCACAAACCAAGCAGCCCTCCCTCGAAAAGAAAGGGTGAAGAATAAAGGTTACAACTAATCATTTTCATATTCAAATCACCCCACAACCACCGACATCCCATAATCCGCAAATCCCGGATTACCCAAGATATACCTCAACGTCTTCTCTCGCTCCTTAACAATCAATTCCTCAGCCTCCCACCGTCTCCTCTCCATCTCCATCTCCTTCACCTTATTCCTACCTAGCCCAGACCACCACAACCACGACCCCTTACCAGCCCTATCCATGCTCTCCAACTCCTCATTTTCCGCTTTGACAACTAACCGACGCACCATCTGCTTCCAATTATCTAGACCTGCCTTGACACACTCCCGGCAACGCTGGTGTGCGTCGGAATGGTTCATGGACAAGCTGTGGCTGCTGCTGCCGGTGTTGTTTGGTGACATGACGGCAGAGGTGGGATGGGAACTTTCTTCCTCATCACCATTGAGTTGGAGGATGGTGGCTTCGGCTAGGTCTACAGCATCACGGGTCCATGCTAGGCCACGCTCTTGCGACGAGGAGGCAAAGATTATCTCGCCAATGTATACCATCAGGCCTGCTTCTTCGCAGGTGGTGTAGAGGGAGCGCACTGCGCGCTCGTTGCCGGTTCGGGTTGGGAGCGGGTATTCAGGAGGTGTGAGGAAGGAGAGGATAGATTTGGAAATACGGGTAAGGGAAGAGTCGTTCTTCGACTTCGACTCATTTGGTGGAGGAGAAATTGCCTGGGATCTTGCTGTAGAGTCCTCATCTTCTTGAGGAAGGGATCGACGAGCCCTCAAGACAGACACGAAAATAGATAATGCTGTCGATAAATCACCCAAACGCACCTGGTGTACGCCAAGGGCGGTCGATGCCCGTAACAAGTTCTCCGTCACATATGCATCCCCTCGCTCTTTCAAAATACCGGTGTTCTGATCCACAACATTCTTTGGATCTACGTCCCCTGGTAGTCCTGAAGTAGCAATATCCATCGCCCAACTATACACATCTCCCGCAGTCTCCTTCAAACCCTTGAAATCTAACCAATCAGCATAAGCCAGCGCAGCATCAAGTTTCTGATGCGTCTCAAATCCCTTCGTCGTCAGGATCTTCATATAAAACACCTCAGGGCTCTCATAGGCCGGCACACAGTTCTCCTCCTTGAGCATCTTCTTCGTCCCCGGAAGAAGCTGCGGCATCGCATTCGACGGACCAAGTACACACTCCGCAGGGCCAACAATCTGCTGCTCCGTATCCTCCACCCATCCATCCAATTTCTCCGCAGCCTCTCCAGCGCCCATGAGCGCCTGGAAATATCCAATCTTCCACGCCTCACTCATATCCGAAATATCATACCCCGCCTTCCCGACGCCCTCAATCAGTAAACCCCCTTCCTCCTGCTCCTTCAGCCCCTTCCCATCAATCTCCGGATCCTCCAATCTCGCCAGTAAATCCACATAGAAGTTCCCCACGCTCGCCCAGCTTGTTTGTAATTTATGAAATAGCTCCGGGTGCGCTCTAGCCCGCGCTGTACGCAGTTTCCAACGACTCCTAAACGTCCATTCCGGCGGTGTGGGGAATAGTTTCTCGTAATTCTCTTGTGAGAAACCCACTCGGATCACGAAGAGGAGTACTATGGCTGCATATATGCTCAGGCCGATTTTTAAGCCTCGGTATATCCTCTGGTAGTAGGCTTTGCGCTCTGTGCTGATTAGACGGGGGATCTGGAGGCGCAGTAAGGCGGCATTCAAGAGGCCATTGGTAGTTGCTGGGGTGGGCCGGGCGGCGGAAGGGGAGTGAAGGAAGGGGAGCTGCGGTCTGTGTCGAGCGGAAGGGGGGGTGATTATGAGTTTGGGCCCGTTGATGGTAAAAAAGCGGGGTTTCGTGGGTCGGGTATAGTATATCGGTGGCCGTAATGGCCGAAGGAGACTTGGTATTCGTCGTGTGAGAAGCTGTGGAGGCAGCATAGTGAAGCAATGCAGGATGTGAGAGGATTGGGTCTTCTTCGGAGTGAGGATTTGAGCCGGAGGTTTGAAGGAGGGTTTGACGGCAATGTTTGTCCTGTTTGCATCAGAGCTTTGAATCGGTTTTCAGCCCTATCCAGACCGAACGAGACACGGATTGGAAGAAAACATACTGAGTAGAAGTCTGTTAAAATTATTTATTAACTGCTTATGAATTTGCAACTACGCAGCATGACTCTTCCGATCTTCAGTGATGCCGTAACATCAGGAAGTCCAGGACAGGCTTCAATCTATCTTGCAAGATGCCCAAGGTATTTATGACATCTATGTATTCCGGATATCTAAGCCAAAAGGATGAAAGGTAGATAAAACCTCTCAAAAATCTTATGCAAAAGGTCACTAAACCAGCCGTGGTGGTGATCGAAGTTCTATATTATATCATCCCAAGAATAAATCCTTCCTCCTTCCAACTTTTTGTCGTATTTTATATCCTGCTGTGTGACATGAAGCGGAGAAAAGAAAAATAGAAGGTAGGAACCAAGAAACATAAAAGTTATTCTAAAATTTTCCAAAAGAAATTCTAAGATCTATCCAAAAATCCCTGACTCTCAAGCATAAGAATAATTTCATGAACAATAGACCTTACAGTTTGCTTCTCAACGTTAACTGTGAGGTCTGCGGCCCTGGGGGCCTCATAGGGGTCATCCACGCCGGTAAACCCCTTAATCTCCCCCCGTCTCGCCTTTGCATAGATACCCCGCTTATCAGTCTTCTCAGCGTACTCTAATGGCGTTGCGACGTGGACGAGGAAAAAGCTTCCGACAGCCGAAATGGTATCGCGAGCTGCTTCTCTGCTGAACTCATGCGGGGCGATCGGAGCAGCGATGACGGCGGCACCGGCCTTGGTGAGCTCAGCAGCGACGAAGGCGATGCGCTGGATGTTCTTGTGGCGGTCCTCGCGGGAGAAGCCAAGTTCTGAGGAAAGCTCGTGGCGCACTGTGTCGCCGAGGAGGAGGGAGACGGGGCGGCCACCCTGTTGATTTAGTGTAACTTGTAGGGCACGGGCAATAGCGTCCTTGCCGCTGTTTTGATAGCCGGTGAGGAAAATGGTGAAACCTTGCGTCGATCGGGGAGGATTAGATTCGCGTAGTACTCTGACCACTTCTGGGTATGAGAACCACTCGGGGATATGGCCGCCGGTGCGGAGGCGTTTTCGAAGCTCTGTTCCGCTAATGTCCAGAGTTTTGGTACCTGCGGGAACTTCGTCGACGGGTTTATACTCGTCCGTATCTGGGAGATAGGTGACCTGCTGGAATTCAACGACGTCGATTCCAAGCTCATCTTTGTATTTCTCAACGGCATGCTGGGCATCATAAGGGCCATAAAATTCGACACCCTTGGAATTCTTTCCGGGGCCTGCATGGTCTCGTCCGACGATGAAATGTGTGGCTCCGTGATTTTTACGGATAATTGCGTGCCAGATTGCTTCACGAGGACCGCCCATCCGCATAGCCAAGGGGAGAAGCCCGAGGACAGCCATTCCGTTGGGATATCTGGGCAAAATAGCCTCGTACACACGCACACGGGTAAAGTGATCGATGTCACCTGGCTTGGTGAGGCCAACTACTGGGTGAATTAGGACGTTGGCATGCCGAGCACGGGCAGCTCGGACTGTTAATTCGCGGTGGGCTCTGTGCATAGGATTTCTATTTTTTTTTTTCCGTTAGATTGAGAGCGTCCTAGCCAAAAGATAGTCATGAGGTGCTTACCTTGTTTGGAACGCAACAACTCTCGTCCAGCCAAGCTTGTCAAAATGAGATCGCAATTCGGCGGGTGTGACTGCATATACGTTAGTACGATAACCTATGGCATACTTCAGCAAGGTTTACCCACATCGCAGAGCTACATAATCATAGTGGTTGAGCTTATTCACAGCTTCAACTTTTCCACCAACATAAAACTCCTCGACCTTGCTAAAAAGATACTTAATCGCAGGATGTTCTTCGTCACCGCCAAAAACATCCCTTGCTTCCTTCTGTCTATATTTATCAGGAAGAAACACCATGTCAGCAATCTCAAGATAATATGAAGAAACTGAGTGCAAGAAGTTCATATGAAGTAAAAACATACTTGTCTGGCTTATAAACATCTTCTACAGTCAGGATCGCCAAGTTGCGGTCATCTCTGAAATCCCGGAGAGTAACACGAGCTCCTGGCTTCACACCAAGATCTTGGATATCCTTGCTGGATATATCAAGGGTGATGGGGATACTGAAAACATTGCCGTCTGCGAGTCGAACATCGGTGACGACGCTGTTAAGGTAAGAGGTAAATATGTTAGCACGCTTTATAGGTCTTTTTAGGGCTAATGGCTAGAAGATCAATCCGCCGATGCGACGTAAAATATATGCATTGTACTGTACTTACCCATTGTAATCTTTCTCGTTCATGAAACCTTCAAGGGGGCTGAAGCCGCCGTTCATAATCAACTCCAAATCGCAGAGTTGTCTTTCATTAAGAACAATGGCAGGCAGGGTCTCAGCCTCAGCCTCCAGCTCATCATGTCGTGGCGCATCTCTTGCGAGCAAATCCTTTAGGACCCCGCCATGAGGTTTGTTAGCCATTAATGCTGTTTTTCAACGGCTGCGGGCTTGAGCTCTGAGCAATCTATCTGTAATGAAGTGGAGAATGGGGTTCCAAGATGCGACAAAGCAATCAAGAACACAGCAAACAAAGCTAGAGGATGCAAGCCGGTGAAGGAGCAGGGAGGAATTGAAACAGTTTATAGCTACAAAAAGAGAGGGGGAGAGAGAGACGGAGAGAGAGAAAGGAAGAGAAAGAGAAGGTGGAAAAAAAAAAAAAAGCAAGGTTTAAAACAGACAGACTCCCGGCTTGCGACGATGATCTAATCCGCCTTGACAATTACTCCTGGCTAAAGCAACATGGGATAACCACGGATTGTCGTCGTGGAGATAAAAAAAGATTTGTGGTTTTTTTTGTCTTTTTTGTTAGTTTTGTTTCCTGGTCAAGACAGACAAGACTCGATAATCGGGTTTGAAGAACCCAAAAACGAGCTCAGGAAGCAGCAACCATTGGCTCATCCGCGTTACTCCGTCCCAAGTACCAGCCATGGCCCGTCCGTCGCAAGTTACAGCGGGGCAGCTCATGCAGGGTACATGGATGTGCGGTACCATGTCGTAATTCGGCCTCAAAAGGGGGGGAAGAAGCCCTACGCAGTATGGTATGACGCGCTGGGGGTTTAGCCTGGGCATAAAAGGAATAAGCTGCTTAGTCATGCTTGTGACAGGGGGCAGGGGGGCTGCATAAAACGTCACTTCAACCAATCAGCTGTCTTAGACTGAAGCATAATCTTATTCAGCAATCTTGGATTCGCCATCATCCCTGCAAACGCCGTCAACCTACCCTGAAATTGCGTGATCTGTGATCTACTGCAACGCCAAGAGACAATTTTCTTCCAACTTGATCCAACGGCAAATGTCACAATTTTTTGTTGTTAATAAATGCGACTGCTGCCTTATTATTAGTATATAGGGCATCGCCACTAGCGTTGTTGATGTATGTACAGTACCTAGGTAATATTATTATTAATAAATAATAATAATTAAGTAAGTACTTCATGCTGGTTCGGCATCCGCCTCTCGCGTCGTTGCCAGGTACTGGAAACCGATCTCAAAATTAAACCCGGACCATGACCAATCGATGACGATTGCACCTTTTTTTCGTTTCTCTGCGATGTTATTATTATTAGTCTTCACGCAAGCCTCACCAACGGCTGGTTATGTGATCTATGGCTCAATGGGCTAAAAAAAAACCTCATCCACAGCCATCTCCAGGTCGAAGAGCTGTTTTCCGGCAGCTAACCAAACAATGCAATTGTCTCCATAAACAAAGCTTGATCATGCTCTTTGATGCATGTACCATGTCACGTCACCAAGGGAGCAATACCAGCGCGTGAGAAGTTCGGAGATGATCGACTTGCAAACGCCTTCGGGCAGCATCTGGTTTTTCAATCTTCTTCGCGCTTCTAGTGTCTAGCGTCCAACGTCCCCTTCGTTAAATTGGCACCGACCCGACCGATGAATTCATTGTATAGCATTCATTCTATCCCATGGTTTGGCATTGTTTGACTCATCAGATATTCAGATTCCATTTCTTTTCCCGGGGTACGATCACATGGGCTATGGATAGATACGCGATGATGCTCGACCCTTGAGCACGAAGACGATCCCTATATGCCTGATCAATACTGCCTGAAACAACATATTTCTTTCATGTGTGGAGTAGAACTTATAACTCACATAGGCCATCATTTCTAAAATAATCATTTCAATATGAGCTCTTTCTTTTGACAGCCAAGTCGCAAATACAGTGCAGTGCATACGTACTGCGTCTGTACCAAGCGCAGCAACGACCAGTCATTTAACCAATTAGTAGTAGTCTTAGTGAGATCAAGACTGGTTTCATACCAGGACACAAACAGCATTCCTTACCGGCAATTCTCATTCAATGAAATTTAATGTCTTCATCGGATAGTTGTTGTGTCCGTCCGTCGATTTGCCATGCCAAATGTCGTTAAGCCAACCGCGGATTATCGTTGTTCCGGAGAATAGCCCAACTTCAATGCTCCAGCAGTTCGTTCTCCAATAACGTATTCAATGTGGACCACCACGTTCTCTCGTACGGCGTCTGAATGACGGACCTTTAAGCTCGGCCTCTCAATGGATGGGGTGCAATTTACATGATGCGCCGGCTGGCTGGCTTCAGTTGCCTCATTGGATTTTATATAGGATTCAGGTGTGGAGGCCAAGATGGTTGCTTTGATTGACTAAATGCATATCGTGATGGTGGTTCAGACCATCCTGGCATGTGCAAACCAGGAAGAACAACACCGTTCAGGAATCACGCTCCGTATATGCTATTTGGGTGTGGCACTTGACATTCCCGAGTGCGTTGGTTGTGCCTAGAATAAGGCATTATGCCACATTATTCCTCTTCTTTGGGAAGGCAGGTATTGTCGTCGCCAGCAATCTGAATTTTTTTTTTTTTTTTAAACCACATTGTGCCTTAGGGCATTTGGGCAACTGAGCAGTGAACAGGCAGGCAGCTCGATGAGTAAATCCTCCACAGATAGATCTAGTGGGCCATGGTTTCTTTCTGAGCTTCTGGGAGCAGCCAGCTGCTCTACTATTGAGCGCTTGCTTGGTTTGAAGGTGAACCCCCGTCCTAGGAGCGACCTCCGTTCATAGCGCTCTCTTCTATGCATCTCAGGCCAGAAACTCGAGTGGGCGCTCTCCATGCACTGCCGTGCAAACTGCCAACGAAGACGAAGGCAATGGCGGCGTCAGTTACCGGCCACCGTGATCATAGGCGGCAGGTCCATAGCTATGGCGCAAGGGACCCAACGCCCTGTTGCCTCCAGAAATAGCAACCATGGACTGACGTGGACTTCCCCGTTGATACCGCTTCTTTCAAGTCCACGATCGCTGTCATTCCGAAATCTCCTTTATTGAAGATTATCGCTTCTTCTGCTCTGCTCCAGGAGTAAGCAAGTTCGGGTTTAGAGAGTGCTCTCCGGCCCACTCTCCGGTCCATTATTCACTCCAGTATGGGTCCAGTATGGCTTATAAATGTGACCAAGAGCTGAACAAAAGGTGTTATACCGGAAACCCAATGCTGCAGCTGAGTCTAGGTTGAGATCGGATTTCGGAATCATATACCGACGCTCTACATTATAGATGTAAGCATTTATCAGCAAAAATGGAATGCCATTCTTTTATATATTTTTGTCATGATCCGGTGACTATTGCGGTATCATTCTAGTTGCACCACAAGTTCTTCAGCCACAGCACTTGGACAAAAGTCACGTCTTGAAAATGGCGGAGACAAGTTCTCACATTTTGGATGGGCCTCCAATAAGCTCATCCAAGTCTTGGCAGGATAGCTCAGTGCAGAAGAACGATGGCACCGAGAAAAGCATCTCTAGCGATGATGCAGAGCTCAAGTACGAGTATCCCCACAAATTCGCCCTCACACTTATCCTCACATCAGTTACACTGACCTATTTTCTATTCTTCCTTGATCTTGCCGTCATCTCCACGGCCACTCCAGCCATAACCTCCGACTTTGACTCACTAGTGGACGTCGGTTGGTAAGTACATATGTACACGTTGAGCTCGTCACCGCAGCTATCTATCTCTACGAGGAGCTGACTATCCTGCCTAGGTATGGCGGCGCTTACCAGCTTGGAAGCGCAGCGTTCCAGCCGTTGAGCGGCAAGATTTATAGCCAGTTTCCCATAAAGGTATGCGTTTGTCTACGGCCAATTCCTCGCGCACGTGCACTGAACCAAATTCTAACAAGATAATCGTGTAGTGGACTTTCCTTGCGTTCTTTTTTGTCTTCGAGGTTGGCTCTGCCATATGTGCAGCGGCTCAGTCATCACCCACGTTCATCATTGGCCGCGCTATTGCAGGTGTAGGGTCTGCTGGAGTGGCCAACGGCGCTTTGACAACCATTTCTGCCGTCCTCCCGACAAGGAAACAAGCTCTTTTCATGGGGGTCAACATGGGCATGGGCCAGCTGGGCCTTGCAACGGGGCCAATCATCGGAGGGGCTCTTACCACGAATGTGTCGTGGCGGTGGTGTGCGTTGCCTAATCTCCTGCTTTGAAGCTCACCCCATGCTGACCTTTTACTGTGTCAGGCTTTTATATAAACCTTCCCTTAGGTGTTATTGTCGGCGGATTCCTTCTTTTTAACACGATTCCCGAACGGAAACAGAAAAGCGCTCCCCGAGAGATTCTTAGCACCGCCATCAAGTCGTTAGACCTCCCGGGATTTATGCTCATTTGTCCCGCGGTCGTGATGTTTCTCTTGGGCCTCCAGTTTGGTGGGAATCGACATCCCTGGAACAGCTCAGTTGTGATTGGCTTGCTAGTTGGCGGCGCCGTCACTTTCGGCCTCTTTGTGCTCTGGGAGCGTCGGCAGGGAGACGAGGCCATGGTCCCGTTTGCTATGCTCAAACACAAAGTCATTTGGTCGGCTGCGATGACGATGTTCTTCACCCTGTCCAGCGTTTTAGTGGCTGATTTCTATATCGCAATCTACTTTCAGGCGATTCTCAATGACTCGCCATTCATGAGCGGGGTGCACATGCTCCCAATCACTCTCGGTTTGGTCCTATTTACCCTCATCTCAGGCGTTCTGAGTAGGTATTTCCGCTCGTGGTTCCTTCACTCATTTTCTATTACTCACTGACTAACGTCGATATTTCAAAGTCTCCGTTATGGGCTACTATCTTCCATTTCTTCTTGCGGGAGGTGCGATATCAGCTATTGGTTATGGCCTCTTGTCAACACTTAGTCCCACGACCCCAGCTGCAAAGTGGATTTGGTACCAAATTCTCTACGGCGTTGCAAGTGGTTGCACGACAACAGCTGTAAGTTTCAATAGTCTCTGGTAAATTAAATGTGTCCGGCGTCCGCTAATTCGCGTCTTCCAACCTCGCTAGCCCTACATCGCTATACAAAATCTCGTGCCCGCAGAGCAGATCTCCCAAGCCATGGCTATTATCATCTTTTGGCAAAGCATCGGCGCTTCCACCTCTCTGATCGCAGCAAACGCCATTTTCAGCAACAGCCTTCGTCAACAACTCCAGCAGCGCGTTGCACAAGTCGGCCGTGCGCCAGATGTCATAGTCGCGGCTGGGGTCCGCTCCATCCGTGACCTGGTGTCTGGCTCCCAGCTAACTGCTGTGCTCGCAGCGTATGCTAAAAGCGTCGACCGCGTCATGTACCTTGGTATTGCTGTTAGTATTGCCGTTATAGTGTTTTCTCCGGGACTGGGGTGGAAGGATATTCGCAAGGTCAAGGACCTCCAAGCTATTATTAGCAGCGAGACTTCTGGTGGTGATAAGCAAGAGCCGGCAGGAGACGATAAGTAGGATAATTGGCCAACAAGGGATCATAGCATTGCTGCAGTCATTCCTTTTCACATAGCCTCCGACTGCTGGGGTCGTATCGCTAACGTCCCTAGTATGTTACTTTCGGTAACATCGATTTCCGTCCCGGCGTCCCCAAGATCAGTTTTACTGTCCTTGTAATTTATTGGGAAATTGACCCTATTCAGGAAATGAAGTTGGTTGGATAATTCATAGAACCTTTTAATATTATCGTTTTGGTCAATTATTGTCACTCAGTCGCTACTTGTTGGATGTTGAATGGGCGATAAAATTCGCCTGGCAGAGAACAGAATTACTGACATGATGAGTCGGTTCATTGGTTATTCTCCCAACAACCTCACGCAAGGTGGCTCCCCTTATGAAGGTCAACCAACATGTGCAATTCCGGCTCGCTCTCCACGTCCTTGCACGCACTTTAACAGACACATTAAATTGGAGAATTTTGGTCGTGGGACCAGTGACTGCAACAAAATATGTACAGAGCTATCCGGAAAAAGAAGCGGGGAAATAAGGGTATATTGCATAACTACAAAAATTCGAAATCCCTTGTCCTCCCCTAAAATTAATAAAACCCTATTTCTAGTTTCCAACCTCGATTCCAATGTCCCTTCCAACTACAGAGTCACAACAAGCTTCTTTCTTGACACACCCTTTCGTTGGAGATCCAGGGCCTCTTGAATCTTATCTAGCCCCTGGCCCACAACGTGCGGGGGAGGGGCGGGCACAAACTGGTGGCTCTCAAGCGCCTGCGGCAGGAAGTCCATATAGAGTCGCGACACGACGCTGGTAGGCTCAATAAGGTCATTGACCAGAATGAATTTAGCTTCGACCCCTATCCTGATGCGCGTCCCACTCGACTTGATCGCAGTGCCCATCATGCCCATGAGGTACGTGCCCTTGCTAACAAAAGTCGTAAGTTTGTCAGCAGGTATGATGGCGCCGGCCACGGCGATGAACTTTCTAGTCAGTTTGGGATCATGCTTCCTCATAACGGCGGTGCATGCCTCGACGGCACCGTGGCCGATGGTGAAGGCGCCAACTAACTCGCGGCCCCTGAGGGCGGTGAGGAGGTCGTTGACTAATGCTTTGCTTTTGTAGTCAAAGACCTGAGTGGCGCCCAAGCTCTTGACATAGTCGAAGTTCTTGGGAGATGATGTCGACAGAACTTGGTAGCCAGCGGATATGGCAAGCTGAATGGCGTTACTCCCAACGCTCGACGCGCCACCGGTGATGATAACAGTGCGAAGCTTGCCTGACATGCCCATAACACTAGTCGGTGCCGGGATCCTAGGCATGTCGAGTCCTAGGTAGTTCTGGCTGAAGAGTCTGAAGGCCGCAGTTCCAAAAGCCAGCCCCAAAACACAAGCCTGTTTGTCGGTGATATGGGAGGTGGTTGGCGCTATCATGTGCTGCCGCATCACCGTGTAGAGCTGGAAGCCTCCCTCAGCCGGCCTGTTGACCTGCTTGGCTATGGCCGTCGCGCTTCCGAGAACTCGATCGCCCACACGGAGACGATCCACATCGGGCCCAACCTCGACCACTTCACCGGCAACGTCGGTGCCAAATATGAAAGGGTATTTGATATAGCCAGCCAGTGCTGGACCTATAAATTGTAACACCCAGTCGAAAGGATTAATGGCCACGGCGGTATTCTTGACGACCACCTGGCCCGGGCCTGCAGGTGTATACGGTGCATCGCCGACTTTGAACGGCCGTGCCTTTTTGGCGGGAATCCAGGCCGCCTGATTCCTTGGAGCCATTGCTGCGGAAGAGAGGAGAGTGTGATGTGCCAACGGGAGACGCCAGAATAGTTGCGCAATTGTTTAGGCTTAAAGGACGGCTCGAGATGGGTATAGGCTATACCCTAAGCAAGAATGGAAAGTCGCTGCAGAACTAAAACCGCTGCAGACATGAGCGGGGTTATATGTATGGACCTGATGTTTATGCCAGCTCAGGAGCTTAATGCTCTCAGCAGGGACATGTAGAGATAGCCTTGCGCGGCAACCACGCCTCCGGCCTGTTGGCACCGCAATGCCACAGGGTCGGATTCCGGTTGCGGCATTCCGCCATCTAGGATTTGTTTCCTAGGGTGTATTAGACGGTGCGAATGCGTCGCTGGATCCTGGGCTCGATCCAGGGGATCTGGAGTCGTTATGGTTCAACTTTTACAAAGAAAGGAGGTGCTTTCACAGGGGCAATGTTTCCATGCATCTAATAGATTCTAAGCCGTCCAAGGCCTCAGGAGATGGTATTCTCCCTCTGTTAATTTGGTATGATACATTTAGTCGTTCCCTTGTAGGATCAACAATTTCGATTACCAAGTTTCTTGTCCAAATTTTTAAGCTGCGAGTATGGATTAACTACCTTAATAAATAGTACGACGTTAGGGCAGCCTTGGCATCTGACCACCGCGCAGTCGGACTTCGGAGTCGAATCCCGTTCAGCCAGCGGCGGAGGAGGTCCCGGCGGGATGTCTTGCTGTGTGGACCGACCACAGAAAGAGAGGGAGCAGAGCGTTTTAGAAGCCATTGCGAGCCACCAAACCCACCAAACCCGGAGAATTGATTCTTTTGGCCCAATCGCTTTGATATATCATGCTAAGGATTGACAGCTAGTCTGAGTTCGACCCTGAACCGACGCAAGAAGCAAGAAGAAGCTTTGGGTTGGGGGCTTGATCTCATTTCCTAAGTTTTTGATCAATTCTGAATAACTTTTCCATGTACCCGTCACTCAACCCCCTATCTCAGATCGAGGGATCAGATCGAGGGAGGTGTACAAGAAGCGTTTAGCTGCAAAAGGGCTACTTTTTTTCTTTTTTTCTTTTTGGATTTAGTGGTTGTTGGCTGTGTACTCAACCTACTCACCCCTACGTAGCTTGAGCTACGGTATCCAAATCTTCTAGCACAGGTTGCCCTACAAAGTGAATGCTATGGAGAGATCGAGAGCAAGGCCAGCAGCCCACAGTAACTATGGCCAAGCTTGCACGCAGTGCTACAGGGCAAAGTGCCGCTGCGTGCGCCCCTCGGTTGGTGAAGATTGCGAAAGGTCAAGTCATGACACAGGCCTGTTGATACATGACACTCGACTAATTATTTCTCAGATGTGTTCGTCTTAAGAAAACATGCCAGCCTTCAGAGTCGGTTCGCAAGCGGAATGCTCAAGTAGCTGAAGAGTCTGAAACGCGGATCGCTAGGCTGGAGGACAAAATGGAGAGCTTGTTATCTGCGATGCAGTCTTTTGTCGGATCCCCAGGGGCGCCTGGAGCGTCAGTCAACGTCTTTCAGCCCTTTCAGCCCTTCAGCGCAATGCTCAAGTAGCTGAAGAGTCTGAAACGCGGATCGCTAGGCTGGAGGACAAAATGGAGAGCTTGTTATCTGCGATGCAGTCTTTTGTCGGATCCCCAGGGGCGCCTGGAGCGTCAGTCAACGTCTTTCAGCCCTTTCAGCCTCAGCCCTTCAGCGCAGACACCATTTTGCCATCTACTCCTTTTTCGAATAGCACACTCGTTAACAGCGCGAACACTAGCCTATCCTTCAGTGAGGGGTCGTCATCTGGGAGTGGCTCGATTGCCCCAACATCACCTCATCCAAATCAGCTTTTTCTGTCGCATCCTTATTCTCTACCCCCTTCTACCCCATCACAATATCAAGCAGACGACCGCCTCAATTTCTTTCGGTCCCGAATGCTACCATATTTCCCTTTCATCAACCTTAACCCTGACATAACTAGCGGTTATCTGCGCCAAAACAGGCCTTTCTTATTCCAAGCCATCCACACCGTAACCACTTTCTCGACACGGGAAAGACTTGTTCAAGTTGAGGAGCTGAAGCGTCTCCTGTTCACATCTGCTTTGCTTAAAGTCCAGTCAAATATCGACTTACTCCTTGGATTACTGACCTACCTCGCCTGGAGCACCGACGCGTTTCTTGGCAGAGCAGACCACATATCCCGTCTCATGATGCTCGCCATTTCCTTAGTATATGGTATGCGGTTGTTCAAGCCATCTTCAATAGACGTGGAAGTTATGATGGCCGTGACCCAGGGGCGGAGGGAAGAAAATAGTCAGAACCCGGACGATGAAACGCCCTACCGCTTATTGGAGAGGCAGCGGGCGATGCTGGCATGTTTTATTCTAAGTTCTAAGTGCGCAAACTTCTGATTGTTCATCATTATTTACCTCCTTCCTTTGTTACCAAGATTAAACAATGCTAACATTCGACTCTGCCTAGTATTTCATCTCACCTTGGGCGTCAAGATGCCATACGATGGACGCCTCAGATGGAAGAGGCGCTTAGGGCTATCACAACGGGTGACTCATGCCCAACGGATAAGTTATTTGTCGCTCAAGTACGCCTGCAGCTATTAAAGCAAAAGGCGGAGTATGTTCGGCAACTAGCCGAAACAGAGTTTGCTCATTCAGAGTCATCTACTGCTCCCGCCTCAGCGCCTCGTTTATTGTATCTGAAAACTCTCCGAAGGCAGCTGCATGAGCTGAGATCCTCCTTTCCCCCAGATCTTTCCCAAATAGGCAAGTTGTTACCCGGCGGATAAACCGAGTAGGTCATATCCCCTACGAAAATGCTGATACCTTCACCTGCAGATATTCTCAATACACATGCGCAATATGTCGAACTATATATAAACCATCTAGCTTATTCCATTAGTGTCGATTCACCTCTTCCTGATATCCCTGGACGACACGGTGACGGCGGGATCTTACAGGGCTTCGAAAGCCTCGAGTGCCTGTGGCAGTCAGTTGAGAACATCAAGTCGTGGCTAGACGATTTCTACAAAATCCCTTGCTCGAAACTTGCTGGCCAGCCCTTTCATTTTTGGTCCCAGATGATTCTGAGCATCACACTTTTGAAATACCTATCGACACTCAAGGATCCAGAGTGGGACTACCAAGCGGTGCGGAATACGGTTCACCCAATATCGACGATGGACTGCCTGCTCCAAAAACTGGAGTTGAGCAGCAAGGAGCAGGAGCTTCAGTGCGATGACCATTTGCTCAAGTATTTATCCAAGCTTCTGACCAGATGTCGGGTGTGGGGTGAGGCTCGGTGGAACATGGCTTCTCAGGCTCAATACGTGGAAGCTACGCCTGGACCTACGCGAAATGCCAACCCTGACACGAGCCCACACAGTCACCATATCCCAGATCTAGATCAAATGGTCTAGGTACAGTCGATGGGTTTGGGTAATGATCAGTGGTTTGAAGAGGCGTTGGGCATACCCACAACGTTCTACTAGTCTACCTGGCTATTATGAATATAGTTTTACATATATAGCTCTAACGAAATGAATGCAAGAAGCCACCTAAGGAATAAGGGCAGTATTACGGGTGAATATGAAGGCTGTCCCTACGCTAGAGTAGTGTGCCTGCACAGTATACGTCTTGGACGAATGGAAAATACGGGCTCCACAAAGGAATATGTTTTCTAGCTAGGGCTGCCATGCGAAGCAACGCGCGGAGAAGCAGGTGCATGGCATAGCATGAGGAGATGAAACGGCTACAAAACACTAACGGACTCGAAGTGAGCTGGGTAGGAGATAAATGGCAATGGTAATACTAAACGGCTGGACCTGCACCAATTCAGTACTGTAAATCCAAAAGGAAAATGGAAAAAAGAAGGCGGATTGTTAGGATGCATGGAAGAATGTGGTTCGAAGGGGGTGGGTTAAAAACAGACGGGAGGAGTGGAGAGCGAATCTCGTCATAAGATGGGAACAGCAGGTAGGAACTGAGAGGTCTTTTATAGCTTAAAAAAATGGAAAAAAAGAAAAAAGAAAGAAAAAAAGGAAAAAGAGAAAGAGAGAAAGAGAGAGAGAGAGAACTTAAGAACCAAAATTGAAAATGATGATTGAAAATGAGAAATTTAATTTATGTCCCGCCAACAATCGTGCCATTATCCAATCGGATCGTAAACCTATTAAAGTCAAGGATGAAATCCTGCGATCTGCAGTTGACCCCCAAGGACCACATTCGCCTATCTGATTCCCCTGCCGGGTTTTGGAGAAAGGATTGTATCGAATCATGTGCGTTGACTGCATCAACGATGTCCTCCGTCTCCCCGAATATGAACAGGACAGCAATCCGGGAAAAGTCCAGTAATTTGGGGGAATTTGTCGGCAGGGGGGAGGAATTTGTTGGAGCGGTCCACGGTGGTAATGAAGATTGGGTGGGGTTCTGCAGGTCAGGATTTCTTGCTTGCCTCTCGGAAAGCCGGTGATTGTGGGTAAAGCGATTACGGATCGATTTGCGGTATATGGTGGGCGATGGCGAGTTTGCAACACGACCATGGATGGCATCAGGTTGCGAAATTGCTTGTTCGTCTCGTTTTCGACTAGCTCCATTAAAGATCACAAGTGCGTTCTGGCTTGTGCAGGAAACATTTTCGCGGTTGAAAAGGCGGAGGATTTTGGATGTGTCAAGCGGAATGCTGAAGTTTGCTTCGGAGTCCTCGAACAAGCGTACAAGAGAAGCACCTAGCGTTGCATTTTGGAAGCCAAAGGAATCATTCGAGAGATTGATTGCAGTGCAGCTATTATCTCCCGCAATAGCGCATCTATCCCCGCCGAATCCATCGACGCAAACACATCCACATGAGCTTAGATTCCCAACGCTTATACCTCCGTTCAAACAAGGGTGGGTTTCTTGGCAATTTTTAGGGGGAAGAGGCGCCGATACCGATTCAGGTGATTGAGGAAGAGCTGTAAGCGCGACAGGGATTATAACAGCGACCGAAATGAGTGCAAGCATAATGATGCAAGTCAGGATAACTACCCAGAGAGGGAAACCACAGCACCGCCGCACGCCTTTCTCAGGTGCTTCTTCCGCGTCCGAGCGGGATCTAGGGTCATTATCGGCAAATGGACCAGGCCATCGATCATTACCAGCTGGATTAACAACTGCAGGTGGTGGGAATGAAGCCAAAATATCAGATATGGAACTGGAATTCCGGCCTCGGCGATCATCACTCGCATTTAAGAAATCCGATATTCCTAGCCTGCTCGCCGTTTTTCCTCGGTCAAGGTTTGATGCTAGCTTCGTAGCACGACGGATTAACTCAGGTAGACTCGTTAGGCTTCCTCTGGCTTCTGCCTGTCGAACGGCGTCAATGTCAATTTGGGGTGGCCGCCTCTTTTCGTTATCCCTAGGCAAAACGTTGGAGCTTTGGCCTTCCATCTTCTTCAAAGTCGGCTTTGAAGGCTTGGACTCAAATTGCATGATAGGGATTGGGGGCTTTTCATAGTCATCGTCTGAAGACGATGCATAATCATCCGAGGGTCGTGGTTCTGGCTTAGCTGGAATATTCCTACTTTCATAGGCAGGTTTCATCACTTTTGAATTTGCAGATACAGCCACAGCAATAGGCGTAGTTACCACATTTTCATTGGCATTTTTGTCAGTCGCCAGCTTGGTAGCCTGATTGCTGTCAACAGAATGATCGCTTTGTGTTTTATTTATTGTACGAAGCGACGCTTTGCCTCTCTTGCCTAAGCTGGCTTGCCTGACAAGGGTCTCAGCGGGCTTATCATCATCATTTAATAAGAAATCTTCATCCGACCACCTAGGAATATCAGAGTCAGGAGGCGCAGTTTCCCAGCTAGATGGTATGACTTTACTCGACGCGTACGAGCCTCCTTTTCTCGGTGTGATCTCAGGAGATTCTTCAGGGATAGGTGAGACGAAAGCAGTACTCGAGTAATATGAGGGTCCTGCTCGACGTGTTGAAGGGGGAGGATGGTAATTGAGGTTCCCTCTAGGCGGAGGCAGAGCCGCAGCGGGAGTAGGCTGGGTAATTTTGGCGCTTGGGGGAGGGGCATTGGGAGATCCCGAGTGAACTGATCCGGATGCCTTATCAGCAGACTTCGTAATTTGTTCTGGGCTTTGGGCCATTGACTGCCCGTTTTGCAGTCGCTGAAAAGACGATGAATGTTGTCCCTGGCGATATGGGATGCTAGGGGTGGTATCACGGACCTTTGAAGAATCAAACAATGATGGAATATCATCGGGGCGAGCAGGCCGTTGAGGAGCCGGACGTTTTGAGAAATTAACCATTTCTTCTGAAGCGCTTTCATCATTTGTCGACCTAGCATTTTCATCGCGAAGTGGCCATTGCTGGGCTGGCGAAGGTTTTGAGATCACAGCGGTATTGCTCGAATTGTCGAGAGCTTTGAACGCACCCGGCGCAGGCGGTACACGTCGTATAGACGGAGAACCCCGAGATGTTGCTTCTGAAGACCTGGCCAGGTCGCTATCCTCCATTGGTTGGATCCCCCTCTCTCCAGCCTCCATCCTCTCCCTCGCCCGACGAACCGAGCCGCCATCTCTCCTTCCACTCTCGCCTCCTTTCCCCCTACTAGTGTCACTCATAACAAGCCAGGTATATTACTGTATCTTGCGTTTCCGAGAAAGACGTTTAATCTCGAAATATGTCGAAAGATTTATAGAACACGCCGAGATCTTGTGAGAATATCTGGAGCGGGTTGCATATCGATTCTCGGGCCTGTATTGAGGGAAATATAGGAACGCGAAAGCGGCAATGTCACCGATATTATTGAGGACCCGGGTCAAATTCGCTGGGAAATTCAGCCAAAAACGAAGGACAAAAAAGAGTGAGGCCCAAGACAGACACGTGGGCAAAATGATATCAGTTTGCAGGTCGTATCCCAGAATTCACTGTTTCGAGGTACAAGGCCAGTATAAACACAGGGCGCCAAAGGACTGTGGTGTGACAGTCTAGTCACTGATAAAAAAAAATACAAAAAAAGACAGTTCGAGGTAATTGCCTAGCCAGCAGGTGTGTAGAACCAGCGCAAAGAATTCTAAGTAGGACTTCAAGTCACTTTGGATGTAAAAACTAGTTGACAGAGGGTATTCGACGCCTATATCACTGGTCAGCTTCGTAATTCCCAGCTCAGATATGATCGACTCTGAGGTTCCTCTCGGGCACCTTGAGAACGTAAAGCAAGGCTATCACGCCCCTGCAACGTAAAGCTGAATATCACATCCAATATCGACTGCATCTGCCCTTTTTGCGCCTGGCAGGAATTACAGGGAAGCAAGGAGGACGTACTGAGGTGTCCTGGAAGGGGTTTACCTAAACCGCAAATAATGGTCGCTTCCTGGATGGAGGATATTAATTGATTGCCCCCTCCGTCAATGCCAAACTCGCGGTGTCTCAGAACCGCGCTTTTGTCGAAATCGTTTTCTTGACAGGGTTGAGGCCTAAAATATCAAACACTTTCCGCCTATAACGAGGACTCCTGCCCAGATCCAACAACAGCAAGCCGACCTATTGTTTTCTCAACTATACCCGTCGGAGTAAACGTCTAGGATGCCTAACCAAACGAGCGACTGCAGAGCTTCTAGCTCAGCAAAGAAAGACAGACGAAAAAGCCCAAAGGGAAAATAAAAAATAAAATAGAGAAGAGAATGCACCAAAGGAACGAACGTCGTGCCTTTCACGACAAAAAAAAAGCCCAATTTGCAGAACGACTGATGAAGAACCGCACTGACAAAGGAGGAGTCAATAATGAAGGGAAGAACGAAAGAATCTTCGGTAAAATGAAAGGGACGCTGGGCTGTATCCCTCCCGACGTTCAACCATCGCGAGTCAGCTAAACATTTCCCCATTCGCTCGCGAGAGCGGACTTGTGAAATTCGAAACAATGGCTCAGGCTTCCGACTGCTCGTATCGGGACAGGATCCACGCAGCGGGGTATTTGGGGGTCGTTATTGGTGGTAAAAGGGGCTCCCCTTGCAAGTCCGTCATTAGGCTCAGTTGGCCCAGCGTTAGTGAGGCGCAATACCCAACGCATTGTGACTCTCAATAGTACTGAGTACTCACCAACAATCACAATTGTCACGAATCAAATTCCACTTTCCAATCTGATCCTTTGTGCAATATTTTGTAGTAGTTGACAGGAAATTGAAAAAAGAGTGTGGTTGTTGGCTATATCTTCATCTACTCTTCTGGTGCTGGGGACCAATGAGTCGACATTTCCGGTCTTTGTATAGTGTAAGTGTAGCCTCACAGTTTTGCAATCCAATATTGGAGGGTTAGATGAGCGCTTCCAGAGTTTCCATGGGCGGTTCGCGCCTGGTCGATCCCGGTTCATGAGATTGATGTAGAGGACACGATCTCGAAAAATATTTTGAACAAAAAAAAAGCATCTCATCCAGAAATGCCGTCGCAAGCAATGCTGCCTGTCCGGACTACGCAGTACCAAGACGGTTAGCAGATGTTGCCATCAAAATCTCGACAGAAGGAAGCGCAGCGTTGTACCCAGTAGAACCAGCTCCATTTTTTGGCCTGAAAACGATGGCCTCAGTACATGCTAAGGGACCCCGGCCCGGGCTACGGTGGTGGGACCGGCTCCCCTGCAATTAACGATCTCCATGCAAGCGGCCGAGTTGCTAGCGTGAGACACTCGGTTTCAAGAGCTTGCTGTCAAGCTGTTTCGAAACATCCACGCTTCGTTCACGAGATGATTGGTGGCTTGAGAGAGGGAGAGAGAAATGGCAATCATATTTGTTGTAACATGATTGTTACTGTTGCCAACCTATTTAACTCAATTCAGTAGTACTCAGAATGTGTAATGTGTGAAATTCTCAGGGATAAATTTGCCAATTTTATTCAAAATATTCCTCTTACAGAAGATCTCTCTCAGCATCTTAGTTAAGAGCAGAATTTATGTTCAATCACTTATCTCAGTGAGAGTAACTAATCAGGCGTATACAGATCTCAAGCAGGCTTGTGTTTACATCATTGATCAGAAAAAATTCTTCGCTACTCTTAGTTTGAAGTCTAATGATTCTGATTAGATTATTCAGAGAAAATCTGATTAAATCTGATTAAATCTCTGTACTCCGTATACTAGAATTTGATTATCATTCTGTCTATTAATTATATATATATATATATACGGAGTAGTGAAAATCATTTTTCTTCTAATCTGTTGATTAATCCTCTACAGAGTAACTTATAGTCAAGACATCTTATGAAGATAGGATTTGAACCTGCAACTCTGGTGTCTCAGAAGAGCCATCTCTCATAGCCAGACTGGTATTATCATGGGCCTTCCATGGACAGCGCTTTTATCACTATGCTATCCACCCCATCTAGGTCCCATCTCATGTTCTGTGGATATCTAGCGAGCGACAAGCTTCTACATATCGACCACCATGATCGGAATATCGACCCTACACCAAGGGTATATTAGTATGATGACATGCTTCAGCATCTAATTCATATTTATTAACTTACCAGAGTTTGATCCATGCGCCACCTGTATGTGTGTGTGTGTGTGTGGGCTTCGAAGTGGACTATTTACTAAGATGGCTGATATGTTGTTCAATCGCAGCTGCCAGAATCCCCTCCTGGAATTCCTAGGTGTTTTGTCCCTTCCCAACCCCAATAAATAAATCCATTGATTTGTTTACAAGATGGTAAATATTGATGCCGTCAAAGTTCATTAGATCAAACGAAAGCCTGTATAAATTCACTATCTGCGCTACCAGCTGCCCCTGCGAATTAAATAGCTGTCTTATTTATTCCGGTTATCTGATCTACACTCAGCCAGTCAGTAACATAACATTTGAGTGATCTGTTGAGAGTCAATTTGAATGGATTTGCATCCAAAATTAATGGACGGTAGGTTCTTTTCCTCCTCATCCCATCTCCGGGTTTATATTGCTGAAGGTACAAGGCGGTCCTAACTTATATAACTAACACCAGAGCATCGTGATCACCATAATAAAAATCAGCCAGAGGGGGATAATGCATCCATTCCTCAAGCATGGGGAAAAACTCCGCCAAATACAGGCCGGAAGAGGGAATCCCGAGCGCTATTAGCGAGATCAGTTCCCTCTCCTAGCCACTCAGTTCACATGAGGAAAATCTTCCAGAATGCCAGCACGTCTCTGCATTCAACTGGACATGTGTTAGGGTCCCCATCTTTACGGAGAGCAAACTCTCCAAGCGGGCAGAAGCCGGATATTCACTGTACCAATACCAACAAAATCCCGGGGAGACCATCGGAAGACAATCATTTTTCATTTACTGATCAACTGCCTTCGCCGTTACTGCTGCACCCAGTAGTGTCTCCAAATGGATCGCGATGGACAATGGTACCTATGGCGGATGAGCCTATCAGCAGCGGATTCCATTCTCCGTCATTTCCTAACCGGAGAATCACTCCAGAGTTATCCAATTCGCAATATCTAAACCGAAGTAAGCCGAAAAGAGTACCTCTGCCTCCCTATCAGAAGAAAAGTCCTCAAATGAGCCTGGACGAAGCAAAACTTGCTCAACGTTTCCAAGACACTTCCATCTCTGATGTCCAATCCTGGCTTGATGGGTTATACGACGAACCTTCAAGTAACATGCACGAATATGACGACTTTCCGTCCATCAGCAAGGCGAAAAAGGAAGAAGCCGTTCTTGGCTACAATTTTCCGGAATCCCAATTGGCCACTGGCCATCACTACACTTCTCTCCTCAAAAGCGATAAGGAAAACATGTCACCTTCACCATCTAACTGTGGGGCCAGGTTCCCGAACCAACATTCTTCCCTACCGTGTAAAGGTTCCGACATTGCGTTATCGATGGAGGCTTCCCCCTCCGCTTCCGCCCAGGCACACAGATCTAAATTTAATCCTTCAACTCCTGTTCTGGTACGCAAACCTCACAAATGTTACACTTCTCCAAGGTCTCAGAGACGCGGACAGATCTCTCCCACCCTCCCGCGGAGCCACTTTATGCTGCCACCACGGCGAAAAAAAATCAGATCATCTTCGAGCTCGCTGCCCCAGCGATCGCCTCCGGCGTATGGTCGCGCGCCGCCATTCGAGGTTGCAGAAGATGAAATTCACGACTTTCCAGAACAGCGTCCAAGAACAAGCTATCAAGAGCAGATGGTCCTACTGCCCGGATTAAGTGATTTGAGCCCTCATGTGACGCCATTCCGCAAAGGTAAAGGCCCGAAAAGGCCAAGATGTCCCAGTTACTACGATGAAGATTTACTACAGGATACACAACCCGAAGGAAAAAAGGGGCCGCTTCGAAATCACCAAGGATGAGCGAGGATGGATATAGTGTCCCACGTGTGGATATTCAAGATATGTGCTCTCGGGATGAGCCAAGTGGCGCCAACCACGGTTAATAGGCTTGAAATTCAAAGAATCACACCTCACCGTGTCCTCGTTATAAGAAGAGCATTTGTTCCCACTTCAAAAACACCAACTCATGGCCTTCAAATTAAAAATATCACATCCCCCTATCTAAAGAGCTATGTTATATTCCAAACGCCTCTTTCTTCAGCCTTAGACGTGTATCATTTGCAAATGCAAGTCCTTTCTTCTGACTCCGTCCATTATATTTCTCTTAAATTGTTCTCTCTGACTATGTCTGTGGTGTTCAAATTAGTGTTTCTCTAATATCATGACATCATCGTGCCTACATTATAATTTGATTATCAACGTAAACGTCAACTTTAGCTACTTACTCTTCCGCCAGGAAGGACAGACATATATCATTGAAAAACCACAATGACACCCAATTTGATAGATACTTATTCTACTCCCATGTATTCAAGTTTTACGAACGGTATCTACTTTACAACTCCGCAAAGAACCGACAGGACGCCTGATAGCTAGCTCGAAACCAAAAAAGGAAAACAAGAACAGAGGCTGCGAATTTCGGCGCATGTAGCATAAATATAGGTCGAATAACAAATGCAGCAAAGGCGCCGTTGATCTGAAGCTTACTGTTAGATCGGTAGAAAAGGATTCTGCAGCATTTGAGCCGGTCGTCTACGGGACACGGGCCATTCACCAAAGGCCGAGCTTAACTATTCTCAACGTGGTTGGCTTTCCGGATATGTGTTTCTGGTTTCCAGGTCAATCGATCCACTCAATACAGCGGACATCACCTCAGTACCATGCTTCCCATGATGGTTGTGCTGGCGCGCAAACTGTTGACAGCCTGGGCATGTCAAAATAAGGTTCCATTCCTTTTCTGAATATTTACATTAAATTCCTGCTTAAACAAGCTGTATGATTAACGGAGCTATCTCTCGCGATGTTGACCTTTCGTATGGGAAACCTTGGAACATAACTTGCATAGGATATGAAAACCACGGAATTGGGGTCGGGACCATCGGCCCCATCCATGACCCCTATTCCCTTTTTAGATTAGACCCGGGGAAACCGGAGATTAGAGTTTTGGAGCGCAAGAGTTTAAAAAACTCTAATCTCACTCCCATCGCCCTCTCGCAGATACCATCAGAGAATGTACAGTACAAACTTTATCAGGAAAGATTGAGGAGCAGCAAAAGGAAGAAGTGCCTGGTATTTGAACATATCGTACCATCATCCGAGTTTGAACACAGTGACAGACTATCCAGTCTCATTCAACACAACTGCAACGGTTTCGAGAGGCAGCTATACCGGTTGCCCTCATCCAGGTGCAAGCTGGCTTCTGGGGACGAGTCATTGTACCCCTGATAATGAACTAGTATTCATGTACTAGATTTTTCTAAGAACCAGCGTAGTTTGTTATTCTTGACTGGTGAAAATCCAGGCACTAGAATCTGAGATATGCTTCGACTTAGATACATTCTGCTGCAAAGCTCACAATGAACGTGGTCCCGCCTAAGAACACAGCACGCGCTAGCATAAAGATATTGCATCTTGATGAGGGTGATTGTGCTGTAGCACTGGAAACCAGAAAAACAGCGACATTTTCGAACGATTCAGCATTGAGTCTGTTAACCTGCTACACCCTCACCATATCCAGCGGAATTGGCTCAGCAATATCCCGGCCTCAAGCAGTGACGCCCAAGGATTGAATGAATTTTTAGCCTAGCCAAGAGCAACAATTTTATTTACTTCTGTTAAAAGAGGTTGCATTTACACAGCCCAACATGCAAAAATAATTGGTCTATCAGAGCGATCACGGATCTACCTGGCCAGCGGCTAGTAGAAAGGTTCAAGACACTGAAGTTTCTTACCAGTGTCTGCTTACCTTTTTCGGGGTTTTTTTTTTAATTGTTTTTTTTTTTTTTTTTTTTTTTTTTTTAAAAAAAAAAAATAATAATAATAATAATGGCTCTTGGATAGATATGGATAGCTTGTGCCTTCAGTGTAAATATCAATTTTGTGGCGCATGGAGCTATTCTATGATGTTCAGGCTGTTTTGAGTTGTCATTAGAACGGGATATGGATTACTCCAGTGACATATTTAGGACTCTAATAAATAACTCCTGATCTGGCCGTATCTGACTACTCAAATAAACTTCCTCCGATCACAGTGATGCGCTTGTTTTGCAGGATCCCAAGGGCCCGCGTCATTTCACGTCTTTACTTCCCAACATCTCCCATATATCCTTTGCGACAATTTTCCTCGCGGCGCATATCCGCATTGAAACTACCTACATATGGAACAGCAAGGTGTCAGACACAGCCAACCACGCTCTAGCCATACCATATCTCTATTCACCATTACCTGACGAGCTACCACCGCGCATCAACAAGGATACCTTGCGTCTCTACGCGGATATGGATACATCGATCGGTACTTTCAACTCCGAAATCCTAAGCGCAGGATCAAAAATGAGTCCGCGGAATCTACCGCGACACCATGTTCGTTAAACGGTGGTCCGTACGGCGTGATATTCCCGATGGTAAAGTATAGGGATGCTGTACACAAACCTATTTTCGCCAGATTCATGATGAACAAGAAACTCTCGCGCATCACTGAGGACACCACTGAGAAACACCTGGCATACCTCATTTGGTATCCTAACTGGGTGAAAGGAGAGAACTATGAAGAGCTGGCACGCAATAAGCCACTGATGAAGCCGCTGGTCTCACGGACATGCGTTGGAGTATCTCAGATCTCTAAACATTGAGATAGATTTACAATGGATACGGAGCTGACATGACTGAAGTGGATCTGTTAGTCAGTATGCCTGAGAAATGGTGAGTGAAGCAAGAATAGTGTTCCCAAGAATAGTGTTCCGCCGTTCTTTACTGAAACGTCCGAGTTGTTGCCTTGCCTATTGTACTTCAGAAAAGGGCAACAATTCTAGAATAGATTAGACGATTTTCGAACAATTCATATTGTCCTTCATTCTATATCTGTACCATTACAATTCTTTCGGAATGAAGTTGTCCGCCAAAAGGGGAGCTTACTCCCCCCCCTAAATAGTCCTAGTCTAGATCTGTATGATGCTTATGATATTAATCTAATTCGTTTTGAGCAAACCTAAATTTATTAAATTATCGACAGAATCTTTGTTACCCGAAGAAAGTGTCCATTTTGAAAATGTTCGTAATTCGTAAAGGTTTAGCCGGTAGCTATCTGAGCACACAAAAAGTCCTGTATTTCGCTCACTATAAGTTTAGGCATCAGTTTTTCAACCTTAATACGGTACAATCCCAGAGTTCTTAAGCCGACCAGAGCATCAATTATACCTCCATATCAACATTGCATTCATTGAACCCCATCTAGGTGAGATATAAAGATGTCTCCGGAGTATTATGTAGATACAGAGGTAAATTTTTAGCAAAAGTTAGAGCAAAAAAGTGCCTTGTCTTTATCGCTATTGTTTGCCACTTTCGCTTCCATCGTTGCCAATTGTTGCGGCGACCAGCATCCCTCTCAAAGCCTCCACTTCTCTCTCAACCTCGCGCATCTCAGTAATCACACCAGCCAATGTAGTGATTGGGCCTTCAACAGCTGTACAAAACGATTGTTGGGCGGTTCGTAAAGCTGGGGGAACAAGTATCCCAAACCAGTTAAGTGGGTTGGAGGATTGCCGATTAGTACTCGACTTTTCGGATCCCGTGCAACGATCCGGCTCATTTGGATCAGAATTTCGGGACGGTGAAGATGAGTTGGGACCGGTCTCGTCGCTCTTGTTTTCAGTGTCCTCCTTCGTTTCTCTTGAGTTAAAAGATGAGAGCGAAACGTTTTCGAGGGTGAAGAACGGAATATTTCTCTTTTGGTTCAAGATTAACGTGGTATGTTTGTCTTGAGCAGGCATCTTTGAAGCGGGTGTAATTGACCTATCGGCGGAATATGTTCGGGTTAGCCTGTGCTTGCTGCCTGTGCCTATAATACTCGTTTTCGAACCAAATGACGCCCGCAGGATAAGATAGTTAGTTACACTGGAAAGGCATACAGTTTCTTTATTGGCTTCATCCTCTCATCATAGTAGTCTTCGCCATACCGACGTCCTGGTGGGCAGGAGTTATTCGCGCGCGCAAGCGAGAAAAAGCCCTAGCGGACGATTGATTCGTTAGCATTTTGGTTTCCGATTTGGGGATACAAAATGAATATAGATCCCACAGAGATGGCGGGAAACCATACAGAGGAAAATTCTCGACCAATCTCCTCCTGCAGCCGCTGTTGCTGATCCAACAAAACAAGATAGTGTTCCAAAACACTATCTAGCTCTCGTGAAAGCTCCGCGCTGGACTTATCTGTTGTTGAAGGCAGGCTGGTTGAACCCGCCCCTACCGCTGGACTGGCGGGTGGCGTGGGCAATTGCCTCATCATGTTCTAAGTCATGGAACAGAATCGAAGTGAGCGGGTTCAGGCATAAGATGTGCTTGATAAACTATAAGAGTATCGTTAACCGTGTGGAAAAGGTCATGTTGCTAGCTTCCGAGAAAACGGTTAACGTTCATTTGGGCTAGCGTCATGTGGAGCATTTTTGAGAACTCCCCAAGGTCGCCGCCCCGGGCATCCGCGGTCGGTGTTTGCCAACACAAAGAAGGGGACAACTCTGCTTTGTTACTCTACAGGCTTCACTTGATTTCACTTTTAACTCAGTTGCATTTATCTCTTCTACCTTGTTGCCGTATCATTATTATTTAATCGGCCTTACGCTAAAGCTACGCCAGGTGGAAGACTCAAAACGCATCTCCGCTCTCTTCAAATCCCGCGGATATTAGTCTGAGCTAGATCCATATCCTCATGCGCCATCGTTGTTAACTGCTGCTACTACCGATATCCCGTAGAAATAGCATCCTCAGGCTTCAGCACGCCCAATATCCCACGTTCGGCTAGGCACTTGAGAGGAAATATTATTTTCACTGCCGGAGGCGAGAGAAAAAGCAACAGAGGAATTGCTGAGATAACATCGGCCTATAACTCCTGCTATTATGTCCGTTGTCACTCAGACGAACTCCGCCTTCCAGGCTCGTTCTTTGGTACGGTGCTCAGTTTTCCTTTGCCTCGTGTTGCATGGTTCATCTCATCTTTTCCTTCCGAATTCTATGACACATTCCGGATTAACCCTCCTCATATATTCCCAACGTTTGTGCTAACCCTTACATATCACTAGTTCCGGTCGCTCCTCCGTCAATCACGTCAATTCGCCGCATATAATTTCCGAGAGTATGCGCGGAGAAGAACGATAGATGCATTTCGGGAACACCAGCATGTGACAGAGGAACGGAAAATACAGGAATTGATGCAAAAAGGACTACAGGATTTACGCATGATGAAGGTTGGCTCTCCCGCCCCTACGCATCCTATTCCCAACCCTACCGGAATATTGGTTGCTCCATAAATTACACCAGTACTGTGCTAACGACTCTGCCTACCGCCACAGAGACAATCCATCATAAGCCAATTCTATCAACTAGATAAATTGGTTGTCGAGGGCGAACCTACGGTACGTTTACTATAATCCTATATCCCAGGTTTTGAATAGAAAGAGGACCGAGCATTTGCTAAATCCTCGGCTTTGTAGGGGAAAGAATCCGGAAATGCGGGCGGCATCGTGCGCCAGAAGGATACAGGGTAAGCATATAGGCCCTTCCTAACGTTAATCCGGTTCTGATGCTAAACGGTCACTCTCCAGTTGGGATTGAGCGACGAACTTGGGTTTGGGATACGATGAGACTCCTTGACCTCGGGGTTATTACGCGGTAGAATGGAGAGTTATGTTTTTTTACTACCAGCGGAGTCGAACTGGCCCTGTGTATATATATAGAACTTTTTTTTAAACTTTTTTTTCATGATCTTTCACGGTTTTTTCTCATAGGCGATTTCGACCTTTTCGCGGCCATCCCAGCTCTGATATTTGTGATACCGGCAGTGCTTTTCCGCAGACTACACGCAGCTAAACAAAATTACATTAGTATCTGTTTATACACATCAAATACCACACCCGTTCATGTACTTGAGCAATGTCTTCGTATCGTCTTCATCCCGCAGCCCCTATTTGCCACATGAAATGCTACCCCGTTACAGTCACGTGATCTGATGTACATTACGGAACTCGCAGCGGCGATTGATGCGCCAGACCTAATATATAAAGGCAATCGATCGACCCCAGACAGGAGGAATAACCGTATGATCACTCCGACCCTCGACGTACGCACATTTAATCCCTGGAGTAAAGTTTGGCTGCGCCAACCTCTACTGTTGATCGATGGCTCCGGTATGGTGTCTCCAATTCATTTCCTCCTCAATAACGTGTTGGATAAATACCACATCATGAGTCTTCTAGCTGTCGTACCTGGGAGTAACTCGGCGTGTTAATGTAATTGATGCGCGGATGAAAGCTGTGTTATCTGTTATGCTCAACACATGGCTCACTTTTGCGTATACCTTACTAACAAATGTTCCTCACAGTTCCGATCCTCTCGTCGGTCTCAAGCACTTACAGAAAACGTCCCCAATAGGACGAGAACGGGACAGGTTGATCACGATGTCTTTGAAGGTTTTCCGGTCCGGCGCTGGGTCCGACAGCCAGTGGTGGTTTACCAGAATCCGAAAGTTGAGCAACCAGACACGAGGCTGGGAGGATCGCAAGCCATACCCGAATTACCGATGCCCAGAGACAGCCACCTTTTAACCCCAATGAGTCGAGCATTACTACGCGCTTCCAGAGCCGGATGCAAGTATATTCGGCCCGCGCCTACTGAGGTCGAGGACGACGATAAGGAGATCAAAGACGCTGATGAACCTGTTGCGGCCCCTCCGTTTGAACGCACCTTTACAGCTGGAAAGTGGACATTGGTACCGCGACATATTGAGCCCCCTGAGGCAGAATTTCTCGCGAAGAGAAGGGCTGGATTGTCGTCACTGTATGGATCAACCGCAATAAACGACACGGCAGAAGTGCAACCCGAACCTAAGCCGCCAATGAGGAAAACCAAATTCAAGAAGGTCGATCCTACGACGGGAAATGTTTCGATATATGAAGCCTGGGTACCTGAAGGTCATAAAGTAGAAGGAGAGATTACAGAAAATACTGAAGCTGTTCCTGAGAATAGCGATGGGACTGTTGTTGAAGCATCGCCGGCTCCAGGAACGGTTGTCGAAGGTTTTGGAGTGGTAGATACCCAAGGGGTGGTTGTCGCTGAGACCGATTCAACCATAGTTGCTCCAATAAAGAGGAAGCACTCCCCTCCCAAAAGGAAGGCAAAAGGTATTGGAAAAGGTAGACGGAAGAAGGTGATGTTCGCGCCTGGCGAAGGTGAGATTGCGGTAACCACTCCCGTCGGAACCGAAACTACTTGGGACGTGGCGATGTCGGGTACAGCGCGAGATGGCAGCTCCACTACTACGCCAGGATTACAGGATGAGGATGAAGATGAGGACGAAGAAAATGAGGGAGAAGAGAGTGACGAGGGAGAAGAGTCGGCGGCCGAATCAAAGTCTCCTGGGGCTCTCAGTAAATCTGAACAAGAAGCTGCAGGAGATGCGCAAACAGTTCCTGAAACGGAGGAATCCAATCTACATATACACGAACAGTCTTTACTCCCGAACCAGGAGCAACACAAAGATGCCGCAATTTCAGCAAGAGACAAGTCCAACTCACCAGGTATCCCACATACGACCTCTGCCACCACAATTCGTCCCACAGAACCCTCTGACGAGGAGATCCCTCCACCACCCCAATCACAACCCCAACCCCCTGTCACCATAAAAATGCCTTCTCCATTCCCCGTCCAAACAGTTGCCGAATTCTCTGAACCAACCAAGGACATCTCCTTCAGTGACACCCAACCACAGCATTCACAATCCGCAAATAACGGGGCAAAAGCACCCGCAGACAACCAAAATGGCAACTCAACCCCACAAGAAAAGTCTCGTAGCCCAATTGACGGCGTTCATCCTGATGCTGCCACTCAACCTTTCCACCCACAAGAAAATCCATCCTCAACAACATCAACACCTCCTGAGCCACACAGCGCCACCGTCCGGTTCGAGAACGGTGAGGTTGATTTGCTTGGTAGTCTAGAAGCAAGTTTAGATAACCCCAGCAAAAACGCGACTGCTCGCAATCACAATCACTTCTCTCCGACGACGGAGGCTGGTCGGAGTGGTGCTATTGTTGCTTCAGAGCAGGATGCTTCGGTTCGCGAAAATGATGAACGTAGAGGCTCCTCTGATGAGAAAAAGGATTTCGAGATGACTGGACAGTAGGAATTTCGTACTCCAGTCCAGTCCCTTCTTTTTTCTTGTTTCATTATTCCGCTACGACTACCCCTCCGGAATAGAGATTGTGTTTCGGACCTAGCTTCCCCTTGGCATTTTTGAATGTCATTTTTGATGATGTGTATATGCCTATGGGGTCCATTACTGAAGTCCTCCTGCGCAAGGAGCAGTGAGTGTATTGCTTCTCGGAGTTAATTTTTGGTGTGGAGTACATATATTGGGGATGGACGGTGAATGTTATGGTAAATTTGTTTTTGTCTTGCTTTCATCGCGAAAACCCACTGGTATGTTTCTTTTATTCTTTCTTTTCCTTTTTCCTTTTCCTATATCACAATCATATTCAATCCACGAGTCATATTTGCCGTCGTGCTTCTAAGATTCCCAACGGAATATATGCCCTTCTTTGCCAAAGAAGAAAAATAACGTATATTGTCTCACCACATAGAGCTTTCCGGATTGAAGCCTGTCTATTCTGATGAAGAATCCATTGTATTATTGATTTATCTCGTCCCTTTCCCTTCCCTCTATGTATTATTCGCTATTAGAAATATGGCTTAAAACCAAAAACGCTATGCACTCAATGATGAATATTTCAAATATCAAAAACAATTGCCTGTTTAGAGGAGATGAATTCTATAATCGGTCATATCATTGTTTCCCTCTTCTCTCCTTTTTCTTGTCTTTTCTTTTGGCCCCCTTTTTTTTAACTTATTGGCTCAGGCTAATCTTGATTGAGCCATCAGCTGCGGGTGATGGTTTTTGCGGTTCTGTCCAATGCACCCTAATAATCAGCAACCGAAGAGAGAGAAAGAAGGTGCTCAATCCATCACCACAAAGGAATAAAAAGGAAAAGGAGATTTCTGTTCTACTCACGCTTCGCCCACTCGCCCACCACAGAATCCTCCCCTATCTTCGCAGCCACTTTCCCGGCCATAACCTGTTCTCTCGTGACACTCATCATATCTGCCGGTAAGCCCATAGATGCGAGAAAGTGGACTGTTTCGGTCCACTCGCGCTCTCGCCTTGCGCGGCTCCATTTCAGCTCATTGCCCATGAGGTCTATTACACCTGGCAGGGCTTGCAGAGCCGCATTGGTGTCCAAAAAGGCTAGGCGGGTACGCCGTGCAAGAAAGTCTGCAGCGGTCATGGCGTATTCGTTCTTGATTGCGTACTTGATTTCGGCTTTGAGGTAGGGGTAGGAGGGTGAAAGGCGTACGTGAGAGGTGGGTGAAAGTGTGGAGGTGGTAGTATTGCCTGGGGTTGAGGACGAGGCAGAAGATGCGGATATGGAGGCAACTTCCCAGGCGCGGTCGCCGTATGCATGTGCCAGATGCAGCGCGACTTCAGCGTCGAGGTTGAATCTTTTGATAAGATCGATATATAAAGTTTTGTGATATCCGTGGGCTCCGATGACTGGCAGAGCATGCGTTTGGCAGGATCCGTCAAGGAGTGGTGCCATCTCGTCAGCACCAGTGCCACTGATATTAGGGTGCTGCCGGTGTCCCTGTGGCTTCAGGTGGAATTCCATGATGGCCTTGTTGACCGCATCCTCAGCCATCTCCCGATACGTGGTCCATTTTCCACCAGCACAGGTGAGCAGGCCAGATTTTGAGACTGTGACCAGGTGACTTCGCACAAGAGATTCCGTATTCTTCGAGTTTGGGTCCAAGATCAAAGGCCGTATACCTGACCACGCAGACAATACATCAGAACGGCGAAGGTCAATCTCCGGAGTGAGCTGCTCTCTAATCTCGTTCAATATCCAATCGATATCCTTACTCCTGGGGATGGGCGATTTCTCTACTTCGCAGGGGCTATCCGTGGTCCCAGCGATCAGATTCCCTCCCCATGGCAAGAGGAAAATCACCCGCCCGTCCGACGAGGGGTCTATTAGTCCAAATTTCTGAGGTCCAAGCCATCCGGGGAGGACAATATGGACACCGCTACTCGGTGCCACTATGTTCCTCTTCGTCGGCTCATCCATTTGTTGAATGGCATCTGAAAATGGCCCAGTTGCATTAATTATCCCCTTTGCACGCACGGTAAATACCCGGTTTTCATCCTCATTATCACAAAGTGTATCTCGAACCTGCGCCCCGCAGAGCATTCCACTGGCATCCTTCTCCAACCCAGTGACTTCCATGTGATTGACCACAGTAGCACCATACAACGCCGCGGTCATAGCCAGCGAAACGTTCATTCTCGCATCATTATGCTGGCCATCATAATAACATAGCGCCCCAACCATCCCATTCGCATTAAGCGTTGGAAACGCACCCATGGCTCTATTCTTCGTCATAAAATACGACCCTTCCGGCGATCCTTGGTGGCCAGCAAGCAAGTCATACATCTTCGTCCCAGCCCAAAGATACGGAGCCTGCCACCATGTGCGAATCGGCAGCAGAGTGGGCAACCAAGTTGAGAGATGTGGGGCGATATCAAGGAAATATTTCCGCTCGTGCAGCGCCTCCTTCACCAGCTTGTATTGATTGTAATCCAGGTTCAAAATAGCCTTTTCGAGATATCGAACACCACCATGAACGAGTTTTGTGCTTTTGCTACTCGTCCCGCTGCTGAAGTCATCTCGCTCGACGAGGGCTACTTTCAACCCGCGCGTTGCGGCATCTAGGGCAATTCCTGCCCCTGTAGCGCCTGCTCCAATTATGAGAAGATCGTATATACCCTCATCTTCCTTCTTTCCTTCTCCTCCATGGTGTGTATTTGGCTCTGTTCGTTGAGCCAGGTGAAGTTTGTCATTCGCACTTCGTCTGAGGTCGGATATCTGTTCATATCTTGGCTTTATTTGGGGGAATCTCGGGGGTATATCACTTGGCAAACGCGATCTGGTTTGGGCTCCGGGCCGGCCTAGGCCGCTCGTATACGATGTAACTGTGTAGATTGCAATACCTCCCGTGGCAACGAATATCGAAGTATAGGCTAGTGGCTTGAGCACCGCTCGTGATGAGAAACGGGAGGCCATGTGGATTGGGCGGACTGACTGTCTTCTACCCTTACTCTGGCGCTATCACCAGCTCGTTAGGTGGGAAATGCCCGAGTTCCTTTTGATACGAGGTCGCGCAGTGGGCCAGGCGGGATCTGGATAGATATGAGGTTGAGGAATGGGTGGACGAATATCTCTAATAAGTCCAAGGAGACGACTGTAAGAAAAAATAGAAGAACAAAAATTTTTCTATTTATTGATGCGAAACAGAAGCGAGGAATTGAAAACAAGAAAAGGGCCCTCTGGGCTCAGCAACGGTGTTGAGTGGGTTGGGTGAAAGACTGCATGCAGGGCCTATTAAACACAAAGGAGCGTACAACGTGCCCTACCTCCCAGGACAATTTTAATAGAAGCCAATGAAAATGTCCGCAATGGTTTTATATGAAGAGAAGAAAGAACCCACGGCAACCTTGTAAGAAGAAGAAGAAGAAGAAGAAGAAGAAGAAGAAGAAGAATGAAAGTAAAATGAAAGTAAAGTTATAAAAAGAGAAATGAGAGAGAAAAGGTTCTAAAGGGCAGAGTAGGGGGGTCACCAAAAAGATAACATTGAAGAAAATGGTTTCATGATCTCCATATTAAATAGATTTGATACCCGCTTTCACATTGTAATAATAATGATTCACCACCGTCACCGTGCAGCAACCAGCTTTCCAAACAAATTTTCGCATCCGCATAGTAAGTAAGCCACCGCCCAATAGACATATAGACATAGATAGTTAAACACTCGTACAAGAAAGATAAATAACTCCTATCCAATCGTAGCGTACTTTTTCTGCCATCCGTTCTGAGGCATCTCATTGGCTTCATATTGCCAAATCCAAGCTACGCAGCGTACCCATTGGTCAAATAAACGCGGTGAGCAGACAAACCCATGTGAAGAACAAACTTTCCATCCAATGAATCTTCCGCGCTGGAAGAGCCCCACGCCGTTCCCGGACTAGCGTAGAATGCATCTCGGTGCAAGTCATCCCGAGCGACGGCTGAGTCATCGGTTCAGCCGCATCTCGGTATTTCTACACCGAACGACACCATCGGATAAACATCGGCTAACAACTCCACAAACCACCGCAATTGACGCAGTTCAGCGGAGAAGAATATAAAAAGTTTCTCCGAGTGTTAAGACGAGGAGGTCATTCGCCCAAGCATGTGATTGTTGCCGATCTCTGAGGGACGTCTTCTACTGCAACCAGCGGCCGGCGACGCAAACAGAAGCCTGCAATAAAAGCCGACGCTAATGCATCAATCAAAATTGGTTTCTCCTCACTTTGCTCTGCAGAATCTATCAATCGAAATTGTGCCTTCACACGGTGGTGTTGCATATTCCAGCAACGCCAATACCGTCGCCCGCCCATAAATGTCCAGCCATATCAAGCTCCCTCTGTATCAGCGGGGAAATCATAGAGTACTCCTCGAAGTGCATAGGTATGGCTTCCAGGTCATACCATCCTATCCCGTTTGCACCCCCCCTCTGTGCCCGCTTCTATCCTTGAGCTAAGCAAGATATTTCAATTAAACGACGTCCCAGAGGAAGCACTCTGTGCGGGGAAGGCAATCAATCCATCCCACGGTTTGGAGTCATGGATGCCCTCCACTGTCCCCCGTCTGTCTCTTCTCTTTCGTGGTAATCGGCCTAAAGGCTCCTCGAGCTAACTATGGTGATAGTTTCGAGGTTATGCGTGAATTGCATGCATAGAGTGTGAGTCCTAGACTGTCCGTGTGACCGTGTCTAGGACCAGGACTAAAATATCTGGTGGTACCATTGATTGAGTTGCTTGGTCCTAGGCCCAGGTACATGTCAGAGATAGTGGTCCCATATAGTCCCTGTGGGACTACACTACTGTCTAAAAATGGTCCCAATTCTGTCATGGTTAAGAGCTGTCAGGGCGCGCCCAGCACCATCTACTATTACACATTCATTAAATGAGACCAGTATTCATGATCTAATATTCATTTTTTTAATTAATTATTTTAAATAACTTCAGATATCATTTGAGTGTTATCAAAAATCATTACTCTTTCAAAATTTTAAAAATAAACTAAAAATTTCTAAAAATAGTAATTTTATGTCAAGAATCTGAATAATATTAAATAAGATCAAATAAGAAATGAGAAAATGAGATAGATTACTTTCTCATTTTTACTTAGTTGTAATTATATTCTAAGCTTTAACTATATAATCACTTTTATGTTTATGATAGGTTCTGATGAGACTTATATTAAGAAATATATAAGATCAGATCTCACTGATTAGTCTAAGTGATAAGAGAAATTATAAAAGCAACTCATATATTCTATCTCTTTATCTTCTCTTTAGTTTTCTTGTAAGAATAAGTGCTCGCAGGCAATTATTCAGGTGTTTGCAGCTTGGCGTGATATGTACTGTTAACTACTAGAAGTATTCACAGTAGAAAGATAAAATGTAGAGATTAAATGTATAATAGTATTCAAGCTGAGTTATGAATAGTATTCATGAACTTCAGTCTATATAGTTATATGTAGTCAAGGGCTGCTAGCTCTATTGATTATATGAGAGATAGAAATAGAGATAAAGAATCTGTGAGAAGCAGAATTTCTTACATACTTCTTTCTCTCTAAGACTTCATTTATGAAGTCTTTCACTAAGTAACTTCATAGTCAGCTCAGCACTGCAGTGATACTCACTAAAAATTCTTCACATCTATAAAAAACCTCAGTGAGGAAAAATCTCTTGTTATTATAAAGAGAAAAGAGTCTGTTACTCAGTTTCTTATTCTGTGAGATTCTTTATAATCTACAGATTCTTCTCTGACTATTACACAGATTTATCTCATATCTTTTATACAGAAGAGTTTCAGTTGACTCTTAATTATTTTCATGAGATTCTTGTGTGATTATTACACAGATTCATCTCACAGATGAATCACTCTCTATGAGATTATTCTTATCAAAGAGAAATATTTATAAGTTAATCTTTCACTTATTCTTATGAATCATTGTTCTTTAACACTGTAAAATTGTGAGGAATTTTTCATTCTTTCATTAACTCTGTAGAATTGTAGAATCAAGATATTTACAGCCTGCAATCACTCTTTATAGATGATGGCTCCACCACGAACTCGCTCGATTTTTCGAATAAGAACCCGCCGATAGATCCATCGAAAAGCCCTCGATCATACGAGCATTTTGACCCCATCGCCGACCGCATACCCCGTGTGGTGGTGGAGTTATCCAGCCAAACGTGAACCGGACGTTGTTCGAAGCTCCTGTGTGGGATTATCCCCCGTTCTCCCCTACCACACCACAACCCCGGGCCAGAGTGCCATACAAATTGTAAGGTGAAGTGACCTAGCCATATGCACCAATCTTCTCGATTTTGGAAGACCCCCGACCTGTAGTTGTGGAGATATCCGAGGAGCGACCTCCGCGAAAACCCTGTCCATCTTTGATGTTCCAAAACACCAACGCCAAGTCTCACCCTCGTACCGCCCTTCTCAATCTGGCCCATCCCCGGCAGAAAAATACAAAAAGATATCTCAGCGATAATATCAAGCACATAATCAATGGACTCTTCTGAAGTGCAACCTCCACGGTCCGCCGCCAGTGTATCTAGACTTCAACACCAAGTCTCACCCCTGTACTACCCCTCTCAATCTGGCCCATCCCCAGCAGAACAATACAAAAAGATACCTCAGCAACAGTATTCAATACATAATCAGTGAACAACGAGTCAACAGCACATCAACAACTATAAAATCAGTATATCTCAAGGTCTGACTGAGCCTTTGATCCCTGCACAGTGAGATATATTAAATCTAGTTTTAATACCTCAATATTCAATAGATTCTGCAAGGGATTGAGAACAGCAACACTAGGTTTCTATTGAATTTGAGAATTAACTCTATATTAATATAATCATTAGACTGGCCGCCGGGACCATGAATTTCACGTTTGGTCCCATTTGGTCTGGTCCCATACATTTCTTGGCGTGAATCCCGCTGGGACTGGCTATCAAAAAAACATGTAAAGTGACTATATATCAGATCTTAAAATGGAACCATGACTTGAAAAAAATGAGAAAGTGGTTCCATTTGGTCCCATTTAGTCCCATTCTTGGCATAAAGTTACTATTTTTAGACATTTTAAGGTTTTTTTTAGACTATTTTTAATTTTTTAAAAAGTAACGCTTTTTGGTAACACTCAAATGAGATTTAAAGTCATTTAAAGCAATAAAAATAATTTAAAATGAGAAGTGGAAATCATGGTCCCATTTGGAAAATGTGACAAGAGTAGACAGTAAGTCCCACTGGGACAGTATGGGACCACTATATAATGTTAAAACCGTGTAATGGGATCAGTCGAATTGGTAATGGGACTATCAAAAAATCTAGTCCTGGTCCCAGACACGGTCACACGGTCAGTCTAATAATCATTGACAAAGTCTTCTATTTTGAGATATAAATAACCAGTTCCTCTACATCCCACTGACAATATTTATATTATTATATAGAAACAGACTTATATTCTCTATAATATCAAGACTCTGAAGAGGGAAAGTCTTGGTAGAGAGTATACAGTAGTGCATATCTTAGCAGTTTCTATCTTATTCTTCTGCAGCAGTTAATGTAAAAAAAAAAAAAAAGATCTTAGAAATAGTTTTTTACTTCTCTTGAAAAAGTAAGGTGTTTTTCTCTGGGTTTTACACAATATTCTTACAAAGAATTAAAAACAGAGTTGTTTTCTGTCATAATTTCATATTCTTTTAAGTAAGAATTACTTTTTCAGTGACTGAAGAGCTTTCATTAATACTTAATTCTTTTTTACACTCTTTATTAACTGATTTGAGTTGCACACTTGTTGTGTGAGGAGAATTGAATGATTTAGAATAAAATTGAATAGTTTTAATCAATTTCTCTGTAAAAAATTGATTTATTTTTTGTCAGTTTTTCTCTCAAAAACTGTCATATCATCTGATTTATTATCAATTGATATCATACTTTTCCTCACTGTATCCCAAGAAAGAGATTGTAAAGATTTTATTGATTTATCTTAAAAATCAATTTTAGTTTATTAGATTCTCTTCAAAAATCTAACCTAGTTACTGAACTAGTGTGAAAAAAATCAGGTGTTTTATACACAAAAGTCTTTTATTCTTCTTTTGAAACAGTCTGACCAACTTTTCAATTGAAAACAGACTTAGAAATATCTCAATTGAAACAGTCTGATCAACTTTTCATTGAGTGAAAACAATGAGTTCAAAAATACACTCAGTTGATGTGGAAAAAGATGCTTTCTCAAATGCTATTCCTGGGATTGAAATTCTGAAGAGAAGAAAGAAAGAAGAAATAGAGAAACAACAAGTTCTTGAAATACAGGAACTTGAAAAAGCAAGCAAGATTCTTGGAAAGCAGTGTCTGAGTGAGATGAATGAAGAAGTTCTGTTAATTCTTCATACTCAGGCCAGACAACTACAGAAGATGATCAAGTTCAAACTTGAAATCTCAAACACAGTTCAAAAAACCTTGAAAATTCCTAGTACAATCACTGACTCTTTATCTTACTCTTCTTCTTTCTTTCTTTCTACTTCTTCTTCTTCTTTGAATCAGAAGAAAACATATACTCAAGCAGCTGAATCTGCTGTCTCTAAACCTGCTATCTCAAAACCTGCTCAAAATCCTGAGAAAACTGAGAAGAATACTGCTCATGCCTCTATTCATAGAAAAGTGAAAAAGAAAATGCAAAAAGAGAAAAACTTCCAAATCTCTAGAAATAGAAGACTTATTCTCAAAGTCTCAAATCAGAACATTCTGCAAAGAAACAAGCTAAACTCAAATCTCATTTTTAGAATCAGAAATGAAATTAATCAGCAGTTCTTTTCTCAGTTGATGACTGATATTGAAGTTTAAAAATCAGTTATAGCTTCAATTGAGTCATCATTCTTTGAAAACTCTATTATTCTGACTACAATGCCTGAATTCAGTGCTGAATTCCTTATTCAGAATGAGAATCTCTGAAAGTCAGCAGTAGAATCATTGTTAAACATAACAATTCTATCTGAAAGAGATGAAAAGTGAGACAAATTCATTCTTCATGATATTTCAGTTGAAATTTTTGACTGTGAAGAAGGAATGTTACTTCTCAAAAATGAATTGAAAGAATACAACTTCATTCAACTGAGAAAGGAGCCTGTATGACTAAATTCAATTGAGTTCAGACAAAGCAGGAGAAATGCCTCTGTTCTAGTATATATAAAAACACTTGAACAGTCAAAGATCTCTGAAGTAAGAGTAGCAGGTTTGAAAATGAGAGTTCATGAATACAAAGACTCAAGAATGAATCTCAAAGCTCAAACACAGTGTTCAAACTGTCAAAGATATGAACACTTTGCAATCTCATGTTTTAGAGACTCAAAATGTGCATTCTGTGCCAGAGATCACAAAACTAGTGAGCATAAATGTGAAACATGCTCAAAAAGAGATGAAATTTGTCAACATACTCTGCTTAAGTGCTCTAATTGCAAAGAAAAATATGCATCTAGCTCAAAAGAATGTATGTTTGCTTCTAGAACTCAAAAGAACTGAAGAAAAGATGAAGCTCAAAGTCAATCTAGAACTGAAGAGAAGAGTCAAGCCAGTAAACTCACAAATGCAAGCTCAAAAAGAAGAAACTCTCAATTATCTAAGTCTTCAAACTTCAATTCTTCAGCAAAATGTAAACAGAATTTGAATCCTCAAACTTCTGTTAAGATTAGAGAATTGAGAAATGACTCTGATGATAAACTAGATATAATGTAAGCAGTTGAGATTTCTACTTTTTGAAACAGTTATAATCTACTATCTGATGATAGTGATTAGATTCTTCTCTACTCTCTTTTAGTATGAATATACAACAAAAACAACAAAAAAAGTTTAAAAACTCTTCAAAAATCACATTTATTCAAAATAATGTGAATAGAAACTCAAATTGCATTTATTCTTATCTTCAAATTGCATTTGAATAAAAAGTTGATTTTATACTGCTTCAGAAGCCGAATTTTGATGCTGAGCAAAAATATGTCATTTCTCATTCAAGCTACTACTGCTTTTTACCTCAAAAGTCTGAGATAAAGTCAAGAGTAGTGATCTATGAAAGAAAGAGATCAAGATATCAATTTAATCTAAGATTTGATATCATGTCTGACCCTGATATTCTGGTGGGTGATATTATAGATAAAGAAAATGAGTTTGATACTATACAGCTTATAAATATCTATAATGAAAAGTCATTGAAGAAAAATAACAATATCTGAACAATTAATAGAGAATTTCTGAACATAACTTCATTAAGAAACTCTATAATTGCAGGAGATTTCAATGCACATCATCTCTGATGAAATTCAGAATGTAAGAGAGCAGTGAGAGCTGATAATCTGATTGAATGAACCTTTGAGCATTCAATAGATTTGATTAATAAGTCTGATCAACAAACATTCTTTAGAAAAGGCATGAAACAGAAGTCTATTATAGATCTAACATTCATGTCACAAAATCTAATGAAAAGAAGACTTGTAAACTGGTTTATTGATTCAAATGAGACATCAGAATCAGGTCATGAGATTATTCAATTTGATATTGAACTGAGTGAAAAACAAATGAGTGAAAATCCTCTTCTCTCTAATCAGTATAACTTTGAAAAAGCTGATTGAAAAGCAGTTGAAGAAAGCATAAAACTGTTAAAATCTGAAAGACAGAATGAGCTATATTGAAATTCTGATCAAGATATCTCAAATGAAATGCTTGAGAATAGAGTGAAGCTTATTACATCTATCATTCTAACAAGTGTTAGAGATAATATTTCAAAAAGAAAATCTTCTGAGTATTCAAAACCTTGATGAAATGAGAATATCTCATCTAAAAGAAAAGAATTAGCTACTGCTAGAAGAGATTGGAAGAATGATGTAATATCTGATGAAGAGTTCAAAACTGTCAGAAATGAATATTTTTCAGATATTAAAAGAGCTAAAACAGACTGCTGGAATAAATTTCTTGAAGAAGCACAAGAAAAGAAAGTTTTTAAAGCTTTTAACTATACTAAAACAAGAAGTGTAGCAAAACTTCCAGCTCTAGAATATGAGTTTCAGAATGAATCATATACAGCAAACTCTTTTGAGGAAAAATGTCAAGCTTTCATGAGAATTCTCTTTCAGAACTCACCAGATTCAGATTCAGATTCAGAGGAAGAGAATATATTACTTCTCAACTACATTGATGAAAATGACTGGGAATGGCCTGATCTTACACAAGATGAATTAGAGTCAGCTATCTTCTCAAGTTCTGTTAAAACTGCTGCAGATCCTGATTCAATTAATCACTTGATTATTCAAAATACATATTTCTACTTAAAGAATGAATATTTTGAGCTCTTTTTCAATCTCTTGAAAAATGAATATCATTCTGAATGCTGGAGAGAAGCCACTGGAGTGATTCTTGTAAAACCTAATAGAAAAACTTCAATTCCTAAGTCATATAG